AAAACCTTAGGAGAAATGAGCAACGCACCAGCCTAGCACGGGAACAAGGCGAGACGGATGGATCCAATAATAACGCCGCTTTTGGTTCGTGTTGCGCGTTGTGGAATACCAAAACTTATCAGCTCACGGAAACCTACATGGACATGTTTGAGAGGCCTTTTACTGAGCGACTACTCAGACTGATTCGGGGGGGGCTGGCGGTCTGGACATCGGGCCAGGCGGGGAGGCTGGGGGAGGATCTGAGGACTGAGTGGGCGTCCTCCCTGGCTGAACGCACGTCCTCTCCTCTGGTGCGGCGACTGACACCACGATACTGCTCCGCCGCTCCGCAGCACGGCCCTCGTCGTCGACCATAGTATGATGGCGTATTCTCATCTGAAAGAGGAGGCAGAACACGCATGGGATCTTGTCGCTAGATTTTTATATGTATGTGGGCACTTGCTCACGTGCTTGCATTATCAGGGACGGCGGGATTGCTCTTACGAGGGTGTAGTGTATCTGATTGGGCCTGGCGTGGCCTTGCCTCCTTCCTAGCGCATGGGAAGAGTTTGCATATCCTGCAGCATAGCGTCCTAAGAGCAATGCCGCAACGCAACGCCAAAAGATGCAGAACAAAGCGAAAACCGAAAGTTGTCATGCAGATTTGCAATGACAAGAACATTTGTGATGCGCATCCCTATGAGGGGCATTTCCAGTCGTGTTTTGGAATTTGTAATGCTGTAAACAGGATACGCATCTCGATTTGTGATGCGGCTGTCCCTGCTAACCTGCACTACACTACGGGCTGCAACTTGTCATGCGTGGTGTCCAAAACTCCAGGATCTGTGTTGCAGAGATCCCAACTTAACTATGGTGTGGGGACGTTTTTACTCAGGATAGCACGCCACGTTGAGAATGCCAAGGTCCGAGAAAAAACTGGCCGCTAGGACGGTGGAGAGGACAATGGTGAAGATCACAGCTGTCCGCGATTTGTCTCCGCTGTTTTTGAATGGCGACAGCATGGGGTTCAGCATCAACGGGTACACACCGAGACAAACAACCGACATTCCCGCTCGCGCAATCACGGAGTACCACGCACCCGCTGGAAGGTTGGATAAGACCTGACAGTGGCATGGTAAACAACAGAAGATAGAAGTACTATACATACAAGTTGTAGGAAATGAATGTGCGATAAATTTTGTGCGAAGCCAGCCTTTCAACTACATGCTAGTAAAAAATCAATGAGCCGCATATTGATACTACAAAAAGAGATTCTACTTCAGGAGCGTCAGCAGTACCGAAAAGATTCTACTTCAGCGCCAGCAGTAGCACGAGCATCCGAGGAATAAGAGGAAGAGCAAAAAACTTCTTTATTTGTACGTTTCCCTTCACTTCGGAGCCGTAAGTCATGTATGCGAAGGAGGAGAAGCTGGTGAACAGGGTCCAAAGTATCGTAAAGCTGAGCTGCAGAACTTTCGCGAACTGGGCTGGGCTTCGTTTTTCCATGGTCTCATACATCGGTAAAATGCAGGGCTGAATCACCATGGCCATACAGATGGCCGAGATGTAGGTGATATTTCCCGACGTGAACCCCAAGAAGCAGACCAGATCCGGGCCACTCATTGGTTCCGTCAGGCTGCGAGCAGAATCAGAGCGTACTATGGCACTCGTCTCCTGCAGCAAGGACGCTGGGGGTGTACGACCTGGCACTGCAGCAGCAGCTGCGGCAGCCGCTGCTGCGGCCGCGCTCGGTTGTGCATGCTGCATGATCTCTTGGTGCGACATCAAGGGTCCGCCCTCCGGAGAAGATGGTATCGCTTTCTTCACGAAGTAATTGTAGACCACGGAGAAGACGACGAAGCAGTTGCTGAACACCCCGAGGGAGCTGGTGATTGCCAGTCGTTTTTGCGACAAAAAACACAGGGGGAGAATCAGCAGCGCGCCGCAGATGACCGGCCAGAGGCGGCTGAGGTCGCTCCAGCCGGTGATAAAGCAGACGGTCGGGACCACCGAGTCCGCGATGATGATGAGGTACCCGACCAGGGCCAGCCAGTAGGAAATCCAGATGGCCCCGGCGCAGGACCTTTTCCACGTGCCGCCGGAGAAGAGAAAGTTGCACTGCTCCAGCAGGTTCTCTATGGAATGCAAATATGTCTGGGTCTGGTTCTGGAGAAATGCAACTTGTGATGCGCATTTCACAACACATAAAAATCACTCATGCACAAGCAGCAAAACCAAAAGCTGCCCACTTTCTGTCACCAAAGTGGGGCATTTGTCATGCGGATTTGCCATTGCGGAAGCTTCTCCAAACCTGTGATGCTAGCGCTTCCATGCCAGACCTTCTGTGTCATGCAAAAGCAGCATGACTCTTCCAGACCCAGACATTTTTGCATTTCATATTCTCCATGTCGTAGACCTGCAGAGCGTCGGCGCGGCGCACCATCGACATCATCGTGTAGTAGGAGAGGAACAAAATGCCAAAGTTCCACACGGCACCGTTCAGCAGTCCGGCCCCCGCGGTGGTCCACGGAAGGGACATATGAAATGCAAAAGTGTCTGGGTCTGGAAGAATGCGCGATTTGTCATGCAGCTTTTCCATGACCCATGAGGTCTGGAATGCAGGACCTAGCATGACAGATTCTGTGCGATCTCTCTCATGCCTATCCTGCGTGAGAAACTCCCTCCCGACTTGGTCAAAACTGGACGACTTTTGGTAGTCATGCAACACAGATTTTTGCATGCTTCAGATTTAGCATGACAAGTTGCAATCTTCCAGACCCAGACATTTTTACATTTGATAGGACAGAATCCCGGCGCCAAGACCACACAGGACCATGTTCACCGTGAGCCGCTCGAACGAGACTTGTTCGACAGGTTGTTCTATCAAATGCAAATATGTCTGGGTCTGGAAACTTGTAATGCTGAGTTGGAAATAGTGAATGCTCTGTAATGGATGTACAGCCAAGCATGAGAAATATTTTCGTGCCTAAGTGTTGCGGTTTCCGCATGACAAGCTGCGTTTTTGCATAAGAAGCAAAGGGGTCTCTGTCTTCTTGGACGCGCATCACACACTCTTCAGTCATGCCAGACAGGCATGACAAACCCTGCATCCTTCCAGACCCAGACATAGTTGCAATGCATATGTTCGGCGGTTGTACTATTGTGATTTTCAACGAGCGGCCGGTCCGCCTGGTCCGTATCAACTGCAAAAATGTCTGGGTCTGGAAGGATGCAAACTTGTGATGCGTGTTGCGGATCATACAAAAATCTGCGTTGCGTGACTTGCAAAAGTGCCCATTTCTGGCCATGCTGAGGGGGCATTTTTCATGCAGAACAGGCATCACAGAGGGGCTGCACATCCTGTGATGCTAGGTCCTGCATTCCAGACCTCATGGGTCATGGAAAAGCAGCATGACAAATCGCGCACTCTTCCAGACCCAGACATTTTTGCATTAGATAGTCCGCTGCCGGAGACGAATCGTTGCCGTCATTCTCGCCGATCCGCAAGGTGATCTGTTCCGCGGTTGGAAGCGTGGCTGTCCCTTCATCAGCCGTCGTCGTGGCCGTGGATTTTGACATAGTGGCTTTTTCTTCTTGATGTTGGGTACAATACCTATTTCTTCAAAGGCTTCAACATCAACACGGAAATCGATTTGCAGGGTTTTGCTTTTGCTTCGCACAGCATGATGTTCCGTAATATCCTAGATGCAAATATGAATCCTTTTGCATCATGAGTTAGTGCTTTTCTCTCGTCGGCCTCCTTATCATCTGGGTGGAAAAAGATGGAGGTACGGACACTCCCGCAATTTTTTCCTTTGTGCAACTTCTTGTGCGCCACGTTTTCGTTTTGTAGTGCTGCACCGACGGGGTGCAGCACGGTAGATCATGCTTGAACAGCCTACCACGTCGGTTCCTGCCGTTGTTGTGTCGCTGCAGGTTTCCCCATTCGTACGCGAAAAAAAAAAGCACAGTTTTGTTCTTAAAATTGTAGTGAAGTCCAGCTAGACTAGGAGCAGTAGGTTCTTCGACGCTGTCGCAGTTTCGCCTGCTTAAAGACATGTAGTGAAATACTATTAGCTTTGTTCGCTGCGTTCCGTACAACGCACGGAAGTTAGTGGAGTTATTCCTTTGTTTGTGTCGAGTAATGTTCACGGCCAAGGCCATTTCCATCATTTTTTCGATCTACTTCTACAGTAGATTATTTGTTTTTATTTCCTTCGTGCTGTCGTGCACGCGGCGTCGGAGCTTATCGAGGAACCGGCCCACTTTCTGGTCCAGATCCTCGATCGGGAGAAAGAAGTCCATGTATTTGAGGCTTCCCTGGGGATCCACCACGGCGTTGGTGTCGCTGGAGTTGCGCAGGTCGACGAGCGGCAGCTCGAGGTAGTCGTAGCCGACGCTGAGCGTCTTCGCGAACTCGGAATAGTAGCCGTGGTATCCTAGAGAAAAACGTCCCCACACCAGAGTCAAGATGAGGATTTTGCAACACAAACCTTGATTTGAAGTTTTGGGAGCCCCGCATGACAAATTGCAGGCTGTATTGTAATGCAGTTTAGCAAGGGATGTCGCATTACAAATCCATCTGCATATCCTGTTTACAGCATTACAAGTTCCAAAACACGATCGGGAATGCCTATCATGGGGATGCGCATTACAAATGCACTTGTGCTTGCAGATCTGCATGACAACTCTGGGGTGGGGATGTTTTTACACAGGATACGTGGTTGGTGGTGGTCAGCGCCGTGTCGTTGCAGTGCATCAGTGGGTTTGAATTGCAAAAGTATCGTACTCGTGTAAATGCATTACAAATTTCCTCAGCATGAGAAATAAAATTTGTAATGCTAATTTGCCCTAAGAACAGGATTTGTAATGCATTATTGCAATACGAGTACGATACTTTTGCACAGGATACCGGGGAGTACTTGAGCGCCCGGCGCTGAAGCAAGACCCGGTCGAACGCGTGCGAGCCTTCGTCGCCCGAAATCCCGAAGTGAATCTTCTCCTCCTTGGGGTTCTGGATCTGGTCCAAGTACGGCTCCAACGTTTGCCACATGTAGGGCTTCACGCCCTGGCACGTCTGCTGGAAGTTGATCTCCAGAAGCATCGCGTCCGGCTATCAAATGCAAAAATGTCTGGGTCTGGAAGGATTCGAATTTGTGATGCGAAGTCTACATCAAGATAAAATCTGTCATGCATGGCTAGCAAAAAGCCCCATTTCTTGTTTCCGAGAAGGAGGATTTGTCATGCGGATTAGGCATTGGAATAAGTGCTCAAAATCTGTGATGCTAGAGCTTGCATGCCAGACGATCTGGGTCAGGCAAAAACTGCATGACAGATCTCGCATTCTTCCAGACCCAGACATTTTTGCAATCCATACCGGCTGCATCCACACGAGGTTCGTCACGTCCGCCCCGTGCCGCGCGATCACCAGGACGGCCCGCTGCATCACCCGCACCTGCTCGCACTATCCTGTGCAAAAGTATCGTACTACAGTAATCATAGTCATGCATTACAAATCTCCTTCTTAACCTCAATCCGCATTACAAATTCCACTTTTCATGCTGAGGGGATTTGTCATGCGATTTATACTAGTACGATGCTTTTGCATTTCATACGCACGGCGTTAGGTCAATCATCCGCAGAACATGGAGCGAAAGCTTCAGTTTCCGAGGTGGAGCAGGAGGATTATTTCTGGTACTGTCGTCGTGGTCTACTTTTAAATCCTCTTCCGTGTAGTTGTCGTCCAGATCTTCATCCTCGCCGCCCAGGCACTCGTTCACGTTGGCGGAATGCTTCAGCGAGAGTTTTTTCTCGAAGTAGGACACGATACCCTCCAAGTTCGTCCACTGGCGCTGCCCGGCGACACGACCGTGCCGTAGAATCAAGATACACCGGCGACCGCCGAACTCGCCCGGGAGGGTCCGCTTGTTCCATCGCGAGTGTAGTCCCCGTGGTGCGTGGTCGGGCTGCTTGTTAAAAAAGGTATCAGCCGGAGTTGTATGTTCCAGAGCTCCTCCTGTTGGACGAGTAGTGTCAGGTCTTGGAATTTTACACATGTCCCACACTCGCGCGCGTAGGAGGTGTGCGCTTTTCGTACTACATGACAAACCGTCTCGCGCCTTCTGCACCACCCAGTCAACGCGGTGGCGGCTGTAAAAGCCGGTCAATATCAAAAGAAGAAACTGCTTCACTGTAAGGATTTTGCAAGTTTTGCATTGCAAGTTCGCTACACATTACAAAGAAAACTTGCCATGCGAGGATCCTAAGGGAAAACACCGCTAAAAGTCACTTGTCTTGCATGTGTAGCAAGACAAACACTTTAGTGATGCTTTTTCTGCATTACAGGTTTACAGTGAAACAGTTTTTCTTTTTTCTTGCGATAGTCAAGACAGCAAAGGTAATGGAGCGCAGGTTGCTGACGGATTCGTGCCACGTCGCGATCTCGACGGGTTCGTCGGCCTCGTTGCCGAAGAGAAACCTGGTAGTCGCCATTTTTCTCTGTACATAGGCCTCGACATGCTCGGCGTAGCAGTTTGCAACTTCAGCAGGGAGCAGTAGATCATGCGTGGCTGCTTTAGTTTGCGAGTTGCGCAACTCTTCATTTTGCCCAGCAGCTTCTTGGTGCTGGATAATTCCACGACTTTCAATATCAGGCGCAGGTTTGGTGCAACGCTTTCTGATAGAGGCAGCGATCTGATGAATCTTGCGCGAGGTGGGTAGTGAATTACTAGGAGTTCTAGCCGATGACTGATCGGATGACGATGACTCTGGATCGGGTTCCGTTTCTTGTCCAACCGATCCGGCGCTGCTTTTTTGTGCTGCAACCGACGGCTCCTTTATCGGTATGCGTCGGTCTAGAAACCGAAATGCGGCCGTGCGCCAGGGACCTCCGCACATGCCGCCAAAGACCTCTTCGTTGCACCCATGGGTGCCGGAGTACCCCACCCTGCAGTCCGCGTCTACCACTTTCGGGAACCGCGCAATGTCAAACTGTTTTTCGGATTCCTCCTCCAGCTCCAGCTCCGCGTCGGTGGACCAATACATAACGCCGAAGGACAAGGACATGGTTTTGCGCGTGCAAAAGCAGAAGTTCCCGTCCTGGATCCCGAAGTACGCCGTGTGGTACTGCAGCCGACACACCCCCGCGCAAGACTCCAGCATGTTCAAAGGGAGCCGGCCGACCGAGATCTCGAACGCGCGCTCCAAAGTGTCGTCGGAGAAGCAGCCCATGTATTCAAAACGCGCCTCCCCGGGCGCGAGGGTGTCGTCCGAGGCTGGCGACGAGTCCGCTTCTGGCTCCTCAGTGCCGCCGCGCCGAGATGAAATTGCATTTGCAAGACTCTCATCGTCAACATTATCTACTTCCGAAGGAGGCCCCTTTGCCGCGAAGCGTATCAGCTGGTACCAAATTGCATTTCGAAGTTCGACCGCGGGCGCAACCCCGGTCTTCTTGGCCCTCTGCCGGGCGGGAGACCACCTGTGGCACTGCGCGTCCTCTCCGCCATTGCAGAACTCCGCCCCGGTGAAGTAGGGATGTTGTTCTGGTTCACCGTGGTCTTGGTTATTCAGGCGCGGAAAAATGATGGACTGCAAAACCACGTCTAGGAGGAGATTGTTGTGCGGCAACGTGTCCCTCCAGTCGTGCCAGAACTTCGTGCCCATGATGAAGACCTTCAAGTTTTCCTTCTTGACCAGGTGCAATAGCCAGGAGTTCGGGGAGAGGAGCTCAAACAGCCAGAAGGCCCAGCGGGTGAAGTGCGAGATGTTGCGCAGCTCGCCAATCATGATGTACAGCTTCTTGTCAACTTTGTGCAGGTACCACTGCGGGTCAATGTCTTGCATCTTATCCACGATCACCACACGCCCGGGGTTGTCGCGGCTGCGCGCGAGAAAATGGTACACGATGTCGTGCATAATCGGACGGTGCTTTGTCACCAGCTTCTTCTTCTTCTTTGTCGCTGCAGAATAAACGGTCGTCTGCACTGCGGTGGCGTCAGCGGTCGTAGTTGAAGGCGGTTCGGTTCCCGGCGTTTCGGTCTCACTGGATAATTCGTCTGTTGCTTCGTCGTCATCCTCCTCCACGACAACCGGCGTGCCACGAGGATCTCGCACCATACGATGCACAAAGTTTCCGGAGAAGCCATAACGATGCTGCATCAACTGCCAGCCGCGCATATGCGCTGCGTAGGTTTGTTGGTTCTGCTCCTCATCTGTTTCTAGGGAGCGGATAGCCATGCTGTGCTGTTCTTCGAGTAATTGGTGCAGCAAGGGTTTCGATTTATCTTGATTCGCATGATCTTCACCGAGAAGCTGTTGTGCGGATGTCAATGCAGCAGGCTGAGTCTCTTTCTCCATTTCCTCGCTGAAGCAGTGGTCCCAGAGTCCCGCAGTGAAACTTTCGAACAGGGAGGCGGTGCGTGTGGGGTCCTTTCGCGCGTCCTTGTGCTCGCACTTCACGAACCGCTCCGCGATCTGGCGGCGCAGCGTCATCACCGAGGTTTGCTTGTTATGAACGTTTCGAATGGGCACGATTTTGTTGAGAATTTCGTCTTCGGTCTCTGACATGTATTCTAGACTCCAGGAGTTGAAGCCCCCATGGCTCCAGAGGTTCTTCAGGCCACCGTGTCGTACGAGCAAATCAAACGGTGTCCGGGTCGCGGTCGTGCCGGCGCCTCGCGCTGCTAGCATCGGGGCTCGTTGATACATCTTCGTCTTGGTGGCATGTTGTTCGGGGCTCGGGCTCGCATTCGGGCTCAACAGTCCCTCCGCGGACGCTGGTACAACTACGTGCTCGCGCGAAGCGGGAGAGACTTCGGTGGACACTCCAAATATATCTCGTTCCAGTTCTGCCCGGACTGCTTGACTTGCTTGGGAACGCGTTGAAACGTCGCTCGGGGATAATCCAGGGACCTGTTGCTGAGTGGTTCTTGCGGCAGCCGCGCCCACTTGTTCTTCGGATCCTGGGTCGGGGGCTGCTGAAACGGGTGGGGACGCGGACGACCCACCAGTGCTGGCGACCCCACATGGCGCGAGCAGCCATAGGTGCATGAAGTCCAGCGCCACCTTGCGGCTCACGAAGGAGTTCCGGAAGAAGAATGTGTCGCTGCAGTTCAGTCTCAGGCTGCCCAGGTCCAATCGCAGGCGGCCGCTCTGGCCGTGCAGTTGCGCCTTGAGAAATTCCTGGTCCATGTTGACCTGCGTGTCGGTTCTTGTCACTCGCTGCTCCACCATCTGGTCCTCGTCCGCCTGGGGCTCCACTTGCTTGTGGTGCTCCACTTGCGCCTGACTCCGCAGAACCAGAAGCAGGGTGAGCTGCCATTTCTTCATCGACAGGAGGAAGATCATCCATGATTATTTCAAGCTGCAATGTGCGGGCGAAACAAGCCGGGCTAAATTACAAGATACAGGTTCAGGTCCACAGGATCTGGAACGATCGTAATGGGGCAAAAGCCGTTTATTTGTGATTGTGGGTCTTAGGCTTGTTGTTGATTTCAACAAACACAAAGCAGAAAAACATAAGGGTGACCCTACATGGAAATGGAAAACAAAAAGGGGAAACCAAAAAAAAAACGAAAATAAAATGCCAAAAAGAGAAGAAAGAGCGGACAAAACCAAAAAATTACCTAACACTTCGGTTTGCATTTGCATATCAACATTTCAAAACGATCTTGTACTTTTGACAAAGAACAAGTCCACGCCACGTGTTCGTTTTGAAGTTTTCCTTCCTCCATTGCCGTGTATCTTTTCGTAGCTTTTTCGAAGTTTCTTCTTCTTTCCAAACCTTTGTACAGTCATGTCCGTCTTGACCGCCCAGTCAAAGTCCTGCGCTGCGGCCGGCAAACGATAATTCCGCGGTGCCTTAATACTGGATTCCCAGGGCCAGCACAAGGCATTTTCATTCCAGCCTAACGCAGTACTTGCAGGCGTAGTCGAAAATTCTCAGTAATTGTAATAGTAAACTCAAAGTATTCAGTGTGTGCGTGGCCGAGCGAAAAAGCGCCACAGCTGCATATCATTGAAAATGCAACACGCTGCTTCCACGTTGGCGGCAAGCGCTGCATTTTCCTGTCAATTGAAATACTTGGATAATTAAGTGTGATCGAAGTGTTACCTTGTGAGTGAAGTGTGACTGTGAGTGTGCCTTTTCGAAGAATGCATGAGCAAGGGCAAAAATTGTGAAACAGAAACAAAGCGCCGATCTCCGAGGACGGATGGAAGAGTCGCGAGTCCGTAGTCTTGTTTCGCCCAACAGCGAGTAAGAGACGGCTCCTGGTCCTGCTCGACTTCGAGCGTTCTTGTGATCGTTCTTCTCACTCCCCGACGACTAAAGGCTTGAGCTTCTGCGCGAGGACGTCTTTCTTTTCGCGAAGCTCCTGGATCTGTGCCTCGATGGTCTGCATGCGGGACTGGAACTCCTCGCTGTATTGCCAAAGAATCACCGACTGTTGCTTGTTGATGTCGATTTTCTTCTCGGCGTTGTCGATCAGAATGTTCATCAGGCGGCGCTTTACCTTTGCCTCCAACACTTGGCGGAAGAGCTCGAGACGCTTACCGGCCTTCAGGATGTTCTTCTTGACCTGCAGCCACTCCTTCGCACTGGTGGGCTCTGGTATGGGTTGCTTGGAGACGTCGAAATTTTGTCTCACCTTGGTGATCACCTTGCCCCCCTCGCACGCCGTGAGCAGCGAGTCCAGGAGGAGTTCATGCAGCACAGCGATGCCGCCGTGCTCCACGTCTTCGGTCTTGTTGTCCTCCTCCGACTCTCCCGCCTTTTGCAGGCTGTTCTTCCGTACCTCCTCGTCGAGCTGCCGGTCGATGTTGCGGATCTCGCTGTGCGACAAAAATTCGGGCATCTGCAGACTCTCGAGCATTTCTTGGTTCTTGTTCTGCCCGGGCCGCTTCAGCTTCTTCTCGAGCCCCTGCTTGAAGCGGCTCAGACTCGTTTTGCTGTTCGTCATCGTCTTGCTCGCCTCCTCTTCCTCCGCCTCCGTCTTCTTCAGCGCGCCGACCACCTTGATCTTCTGGCCTGCCTCGCTGCTGGTCGGCGACCCTCCGCTGGGCGCGAGCACGATGTGCGGGTAGTACTCGTGGTATTTGCTCATGCCGATCTTTTTTTCCACGTCCTGCCGGATGTTTTTGGTGTTCGCGGCGCAGGCGTGCTCCATGCTGAGCTCCACGATCCCCCGCTTAAGATTTTCGTCCGCGATTTTTGCCGCGAGCCGTGCGAGTTCGGGGCGCTCGTAGAACCGCGCCCGTACATCCGCGTCTCCGGCCTCGCCAATACCGATTTCCAGTGCAGCCTCGTGATGGTCATGAGCTTGTTGTTCTGAGGGTGGGAAGCACACGCGGCAAAGTTCCTGCACGAGATCGGGATCCGTTTCCTGCCGTAGTGCGTCGGGGAGAACTATTTGATTCGCCGGCCCTTCCGGATGGTCGTGGTCACTTTTGTGGCCGCCACCGCCCCCGCTTTCCGCTCCCCCCGGCCCACCGAAGTCGGAAGTGGCGCCGCCTCCACCACCCCCACCTCCCGCGCCTTCGCCGTGCGCGGTCGTGCCACCCCCCGCGGGAGAGCCGGTACTACTGTGGTGGTGTGCGGCATAGACACTACGACCGGTTGTCGACAAGCCGTCGAGCAGCAGCAGATGTCGGAGCATCTGCCACTTTTGCCAGAAGTGATCCCCCGTCGGCTCCATCACGGTGCTTTCATCCTGTTTACCCTTGCCCCGACCGAACAGCTTCACCACCGAAAGCAGCACCTTGTTCGAGGTGAGCGCGTTTTCGCAAAGCAGCGCCGCGTTGCGGAAGATGCCGTACACCTGCTTCTCCTCGCGGTGCACTTTCCAGGAGTACACCATCACGGCCAGAAATTGCTTACTCAGGATGAAGAAAAACGTCGACTGAAAAACCCAGAACAACACGTACGTGAAGGTGTATTTCGCATCTGGTCGTTCGTTTTATTTTTCTTTTTGTTTTTCTTTTTGTGTACTACTAGTACTACTAGTACTAACTGGAGCGAAAGGAGAGAACGAATTTCTTCCTACTTGCTGTTGCTGCGCCTCCATGCTCATTGGTGTGCAAACGCGAGGGCTGTTGACGTGATGAAAGTGGGAAAAGGTCATTGACCGCCGCAGCGAAAATGAAAATATAAAGAAAGTGCGGCAAAAATAAAAAAAGCACGTGGATACTATACCCAAAAGATCCTGCAAAGCAAAGACGTCGCCCATCATGAAGCGAAACAGGGACAGCACGGCTCGAAACGGGCTGGCAAACGACTCCAGGATGGTGCCGAACTGAAGGTGGAAGAGAATGGCGAAGCCCAGAAGCAGCATCAAGAGGACCAACGTGAATTTCGCCACTTGGTCGATGCAGCGCGCGAGGGCTTTCACCAGAGTGCCGATCATGCCCGTGCTGGACCGGTAGGAGATCTGGCAGGGAATCTCGAGCCCGTTGATGTAGTGCTCAAACCAGATTTTTGCCGCGAACGGGTCGCCGTTGGCCGCCGCTTCCTTGCGGGCGCGGTCGTATCAAATGTAAAAATGTCTGGGTCTGGAAGATTTTGACACTTGTCATGCACGTTTTGCATGAGCCATGATGTCTGTGATGCATACCCTAGCAATACAGATTTTTTGAGGGCTTCTTGATGCCTATTCCGCATGACAAATGCCTTCTCAGCGTAGCAAAACGAGCACTCCCTTTGCTACTTCTGCAATACAGATTTTTTTGGAATCCAAATGCAGCATCACAATTTGCATTCTTCCAGACCCAGACATTTTTACATTTGATAGGTCGAGCAGCACCACCATGAGCACGTCGTTGATGTGGGTCACAATCCATCCGGGACGAACGCCGGCCGTCTCGGCAGCCCCGATGCCGCCGATGCGCGGGAAGGACTGGGTGCCTACCACCGGCTTCTCGATGCTGTCGTCCCAGATATAGTCGATTTCCTCCACCGGGTTCTCGTCCTGCTTGTAGTTCACGATAGCGGTGATTTCCCCGAAGTACTTGAGGATGCGCAAGGCCAGCAAGAAGGAGTTGATCGCGCTCCACGCCACGAACGTGCCCCACTGGCTCGCGGCTTCGGCAAACAGGTTCAACGTCTGCTGGTCTTTCCACTCGACGACTGGGAAAATGTGTGGGAATTCAAAAATTATAGGCTTATTCAGGAATGCGAGCGATGCAGCGCCAGTGGCAAGATGAGACGGAGTGGGACGAGATTGCTCTGTTTTCATTCATGATCCCTGTTGTACTAATGAATTGGCGCAACTTCTACCGTGTGAATAAGGCGATGAATCGCCAGAACCAAAAGGACAATAAAGTATAATTTTCCGTACTGCTCTCCCGGGACACGCGGTCCGCCCGTTGCTCGGCGGGTTTGTTGAGAATTTTCTCGTGTATTGGCGAGTGGACAAACTGCATCCAGGACACAATCACCGCTATGTTGGCAATCGCGGAAATCGCGCTGACGTACTGGTAGCTGTCCTCCTGGAAAAAGTCGATCAGAAACCCGTAGAAGGGGCGGCCGAGCTCCTCCGAGATTTCTTTTTGCAGGAGCAGCTCCGTTATGGATTGTAAAAATGTCTGGGTCTGGAAGATTGCCAGGTTTGTCATGCACATTTTGCATGACTCCTGATGCCTGTGATGCATGCCCTGGCATCACAGATTTTGTGAGGGCTTCCTGATGCCTATACCGCATGACAAATGCTCTTTCCGTGTAGCAAAACTTGGCCTCTCTTTGCTGCCCATGCAATACAGATTTTTTTAGAATCCGAAATTAGCATGACAAGTTGCATTCTTCCGGACCCAGACATTTTTACATTTGATATCCGTGATCATGACGCCGAACGTGACCCAGATCACCAGAACCACGTATCCTGGGTAAAAACGTACCCACACCAGAGTCAAGATGGAAAATCTGCTAGACAAATCGGCCAACTTTGCTTGTTTCGCATGACAAATTTGGACGCGTAGTGTAGTGCTGTTTGAGCTAGTTCAGCAGCATTACAGATCTAGTCTCTCATGCTGATTGGAGCATGACAAATTTCAAAACACCCTTAGAAAATGCTTCTCATGGGGCTCCGCATGACAAACATTTTAAGCATGCAGATTTGCATGACAACTATGGTGTGGGTACGTTTTTACTCAGGATACCACGTAGAGAAGCATCAACACGAAATTGACGTTCCTGTCGCTCAGCAGCGCCTCGGTGGTCCCCCCCGAAAAAAGGTGCGCGACGGGGAAGGAGGTGCTGGACAGGTGGGTGTCGATCTTGCCGCTGGCCTGCAAGGAAAAGACCGCGGTGTTGTAGGAGAACAGGTCGTAGTTTGCGTTGTACAACACCCAATCGAAGGAAAACTTTCGCGACTGCGTGGAAAACAGCCCGTCGTCCTGCAGCATGCGCAGCACGCGCTCGGCCTCGAGGCGGGTCTTGCCCAGTCCCACCACGTAGCCCTGGGTGGGGAGCTGCCGCTTCGGGTCTGTGGTGTCGAGGTCGTCGGTGCTCTTCGCGAGAACGTACTGCGTACCCGTGTCCGCGCCGGTCACATTGTGGACGCCCATCCCCATCACCGTAGTCACGCCGTTCACGGACGCCGTCGCGGTGCCCGCGGAGGCCCCCGCGAGACTGGGCGAGAGGAAGTCCACACAGCCGTCGAGCTCGGTTTCGTCCGAGTCGAACACATAGGGGTAACCCTGCTGCCACCGCACCGCCGGGTTCGGCTTGTAGCACGAGGGCTCGATGATCAGGCGGACGAAGTTGTCGGTGGTGAAAGACCCCAGATTCCACTGGCGCAGGCGGGGGGTGAACTCGTGCAGCGCGATGCTATGGGAGTGTCAGAATCGAAATCGACAAAATCGAAAAACTTGTAATGCGTAAAATGTAGGGCGCGCGTGGCCTGTGTTGGGGAGCAGGCAAATGAGACCGATTGCAAGCCTGTTTAGAGGAGGGCGATGTGCTGCCAGAGCAGCAGGACAGGAGCAGTCTTCTTTGCCCAAACAGCATGACAAACTGGATTTTTGTGCTCCCAAAATTTGTCATGCGCCACTTGAAAACTGAGGCTTCAACTGGTATCGATTTTGTGCATCACAAATTTTTCGACTTCGTCAATTTCGATTCTGACACTTCCATAGATGCTCGTGTTGGCGTACAGCGTACCCGCCACCTCGGACCGCTGTTCGTCGAGCGTCACGTCGAAAAAGTACCCGAGGGACATCACATTCTCCTGTCGCAGTGCGTCCACCACGGTCTGTTCGGCCAAGCCCGGCGTCCTCTTCAACGTCGCCCCCGCCGCGGATTCCAAAGAGGCGGGCGTGAAGTACTGGTGGGGATTATCATTTGTAAAAACGTCGCCACACCAGAGTCAAGATGGGAAATCTGCTAGACAAATCAGCCAGCTTTGGTCGTTTGGCATGACAAGTTTGCCCTCGTAGTGTAATCCTCTTTGGGTAGTTCAGCAGCATCACAGATCTAGTACATAATGCTGATTATCATTATAGCATCACAAATTCCAAAACACAAATGCCTCTCGTGACGCTACGCATGACAAACTTTTTATTTTTGGTATGCAGATTTGCATGACAACTGTGGGGTGGGGACGTTTTTACTCAGAATAGAGGTCCTCTAAATTGTAGCCGACGCGCTGTCCGTTGTACAAGGCCCAGTTCTTGTGCTCCCGGGTCCGCGGGTGGCGGGCGTTCGACGTGGCCAGAATGTCGTGCGAGATTTCGCCACCCGCGTTGTCGTCGTTGAATGCGCTCTCCGCACGGCAGGACGACAGAGGACTGCCCTCGTTGGAGGACGTCACGCAGTGGTACATGTTGTCGATGATGGCGGCCTTGGCCCAGTGCTCCACGTCGGCCATGGTGCGCACCCCGGAGCTCGCGAACGTGCGCTTCATGCTGGCCTCCACGGTTTCGTCGGGCTGGGTGTACCACTGCGCGCGCTCGAGGTCCGTCATGGTGGACAGCCGGTAGGCGAACGCGTCCGTGATGCGGCAGATGCGCGTGATGGCGATGAAAAACAGGGTAAACAGCGACGTGATCGCGAGGCAGTGCATGCTGCCGGGGTAGATTTCCGCCTTCTTTTGCGCGCGCAGCTTGCCGATCAGCTCGAAATTGAGCTTCTTGCTACCGCTGGTGGAGGCGTTCAGGGTCGCCATCATCTTCAACCGCTCGAAGAACTGCAGGTACTGGCCAATGTAGGCCACGGCATTCTTGAAAAAAATCTTCAGCGAGTCGATCTCCCCGTGCAGCTCGATCTCCTCGTTCAGAAACTTCACCTGCTTGTTGTACGAGGAGACGATGATCGACAGAAACATGTTGATCAAGACCAGCGCAAAGATCGCCATGAAAATCACAAACCACGCGATTGCGATCACGGGGGTCTGAGCGGAACCTGGCGATTGTACTTATCAAAAAATGCGGCAAGTTGTTGTAGAGAAAGCCAAAGCCCCGACAGCAAGTTCACACCAAGCAGCATTTTTCTCAAGAGAACCGCGCAATCAGTTTTTATTTCTACACGCTTTCGTCAAACAAGTGCCACCTCAAACGCAAACTCACCAAGTTACTCATATACGAAAAGTCACGTACTTCTGAGCTCCTTGAAGTCAAAGTCTCCCATGGTCATGCGAAGGCAGGTGAGGAAGGCCTTGTACCAGGTGGAGAACATTTCGACGCTGCCGCCGAACTGCAGGTACCCCGATAGGGCAAAGCCGCAGAACAATAACAGAAACAGAAAGAAGAAACAGGCCAGGCTGGCTTGTCCCTGCCCCAGGGATTGCAGCACCAGGCCCAAGTTCGGGCTCACCGCTGACATCAAGGTGAGCAGGCGGAGGAAGAGAAAGCATATGTTCACGGAGGCGACGCCGGCCACCGCCTCCGCGCGCTCCGAGAGAAACTGCAGCGACTTGATCTGCTTGATCCACTCATCGGTGATCACGCGGTTGTCCTCCAAGTGCGCCAGGGGGAGGGTCAACGCCGCAAAGTCGTGGGACAGCACCAGGACCAGGTAGAAAATGATGGTGATCGCCGTGAAGCCGAGGGAGATGATCGCGAGCCAGGAAAGCGGCTTTTTCAGGTACTTCACCGGCCCGTCCGCGAAGTTGCTGTACTCGTCAATCACGAAGAAGCCGAACAGGACGAGCACGACGAGCTCGAGAAAGAGGCGGAAGTAGGTGATCGCGCGGTTGGCGTACAGGTTGAGCGTGAAGGGGACCGCGCTGAAGCTGGCCCGGACCAGCCCATTCGCCTGCATCTCGAACGCGAACGCGAGGTGGAGGAACATGTCCACGTTGCCGTTGAAGAAGGTCACCTCGGCGAGCAGGCTGGAGAACTTCACCTGGTCGAAGTAGTTCTGCTGTTTCATCTCCAACACCAAATTCTGGGCCCGTTGGAAGGAGAACTCGGGGTGCAGGTACTCGATGAAGGCCCCGGCGTTGGCGTAGCCGTCGTTCTCGGTGTACGGGGTCTTCCGGGTCGGCGCGAACACGGCCGTGTCTTCCACGGTGAGGTCGCTGTTGGTCACCGAGCCCGTGGGCTCCACTTTCACCATCTTGTAGCTCGACGAGAACCGGTCGTTCGAGAAGGGTTGCAGTTTCGATCGCTTCAGCGAAAACCGGACGAACAGCATCTGGTTGAACTCCTGCAAACGCCGGTGCTGGTTTTCCCCCGTCTTCTTGCTGAGCAGCTCGGGGCAAAAAGAGGCGATGCCCTGCAGACCGGCGTGGAAGTCGTTCATGTATGCTGGCGTGTCCTCCGGGACCGCGCAGGCCAGGGACAGGTCGTCCACCCGCTTGTCAAATTTCCAGTCGTACTGCGGAAAGTCCACCAGCGTGTCCCCCGTGCACAGGTCGTTTTCGTACGCGGTGCCGCCGGTTGCGGTCCGGTTCTCGCAAGCCTCGCAGCAGCCCGCGCCCGGCGTCCCCGTTGTCCCCATCCACAGATTGCAGTTCTGCCGCCCTCTGTGCAAAAACGGGTGGCAGGCCTGATGTGGACGAGACCAGAGATTTGTTCACTAACGGTTACAATCAATGGATGGATTGGCATGTCATTGATGAATTGTACACAATGAGTACTACAGGGGTGGTCGTATGAACCAGAAGCAGAACAACCAGAGGAAAAGCAAGAGGTCGGGCGAAAATAAATGTGGCTTTTTGGATATAAGACCGGAGTGGCACTACAACAACCAACCTCGGGTCATTGTCTTTGTCATGAGTGCGACGACGTAAACTAAAACAATGAAAGTATACTCGATACGTCGTCGGTGATCGAGGGTCCCTGGCCCATAAGGCAGCGGCTGTGCTTGGTGCAAAAGGTCGGATCTCCGTTCATCACCGATATGCCCTGGTACACGGCGGGCGTGAACACGCGGCGCAGCCAGATGTACACATCGTCCGCGGTGCGTATGTCGTCGAAGTATCGCTCGGGCCCGATGCTCCATGGCGTGTGGATGAAGCGCGGCACCAGGGTATTACAGTGAAAAGTGCCCCCATCCCCAAAGTCGCAAACATTTGTGATGCGAAGTTTCCAAATGAAAACTTTTTGTTATGCATGAAAGAAGTACGAATCTTTCTGATGCAGAGTCTGGGTGTGTATCGTATCGCTTGCATGAAAAGCGCCACTCTGGCTGGGGTCTTTTGCAATACACATTTTTGCTATTCACGATTGGAAATCTGTGATGCTGATAGATGCAAGAGGGCGAATGTTTCATTTGGAAAGTGTAAGCATGATCAAGAATTTGTTCTTGACAAGCATCCCGATCTGAATTGACTAAATTGAAATCACGATGTAAATCACGATGCTACGATGATGATTCAAAATGAGGTCTCATGCAAATCACGACGTTCATGAGAAGGAACAAAAATGGAGTTCACTCTAATCCCGCACTGTATACTAGTGACGATCAACGATTGTTGATCTGATATTTTTCATAAATTTAGGGTGATTAGAACAAATTTGAACTTTCATGTTTTACCCCCTTGACTGAGAACTCAAAATTTGTGTGTTGTCTGGAACGCTAAATTTTTCCCCACAGGCTGTGACGATAGTCACCATAGATTGATTGCGACTTAGAAACACTGAATCCCACCTAGATTCTGCTTGACATGCAAGATGGCCAGTGTTCACACCGCCCGCGTTTCTTCGTCGTTGATTGTCTTCACACCGTGAAAATTCGGTTGACATTCTAACGGCACAGCCTTGAGCGCTGACACCAAGACACGACCAGTGCCAACACGACAACAACTACCAAGCCTGGTCCCCCCGCAACACGACAACACCTACCAAGCCAGGACCAGAACCAAACCACCAACCACACCAAGACCCGCAGGAAGGTACTAAAAGCACGAAGAAAAATAAAGAAAATTTTGAATTTTTGGTAGTGTTTTTGAATAGAATTTTTGTTTGAATTTGAACTAAAAATTTAGGCAAAATAACCCCCAGCCACCGAGTTCAAATCAACCAACAGTGGTGATTTGCTGCCGTGATATCAATTGCTGATACACGGTCAGAGGCTGTTTGAAAGTAAAAGAGAATTTGTAATCATACACCTACACAGGTGCAAGAGAGACAAAGCGACCAAAGGTGCGCGCTACGAAGCCCGTAACCTTTGCCGAAGCATCGAGCGAGGAACAAGACAGGTGCTAAAAGTGTACTTATTTTCGGTCTGTTTTCTAAAATCATTGGAAATTTTGAATGCGAGCACACATGGCAAGAGCACAAAAATCGCATGTTAATCCTCCCCAACAAAAACTATTACAGTTTTGGGCGGCGGATTTAACGCACCGAGCAGCAGGCCGGTACAAGAGCAAGGACCCGACAGCAGGCCACGAAAAAGGTACTGAATTACATCGGTTTTTGAAAATAGAAGTCTAAACGTAATTCTGATTTTGTCTGTAATTGCATCGTGAATTCAACAAGATGATCGCATTTGAAATGCTGAATACCATCTGAATTCGATTGCAAATTTCTTGTACAGGTAGCCGCCTACGCGTGTACCGAGTACAACAGACGACACAACCGCGACGCGCGTGCTCATCGTGAAAAGATGGGGGCGCCGGGTGATGACCATCGTCCGAGCACTTCCGGCACCGTCGGAATGCTGTACGACGCGGAACACGAGGGAGAAACTGGAAAGGACTTCCAGACGTTCAAGGGTAGCGTGATCGCTCAGGCGTTCTCGTTGAACATCGGTCCCCAGTTCAAAGAGGACTTAGAAGGAAAAGTCTGCATGGACAAGTGGGATGAGGTCGATCAGTTAGCCTGCGACCAGTGGGTTGCTGACGGCAAACACGAAAACGACTTCTGGCCCACCTACACAACCGAAGTGCGCTCAGCTTACGCGAAGTTGTATGGTACAGTATTCAAATCCTTAACCGGAAAGGCCCGAGCCAAAGCTCAGGACATTCAGGAAGAGCCCGGGGCTGACGCGTGTGTAGTCTGGTTGATGCTTCAGATCAAGGAAAAGGCTAACCCGCAGACCGCCGGTGCCCGCCGCATGTTGATCAAGGAATATTTCAACAGCAAGCAGGGTGAAGATGAAACCGTGGAAGAACATATTGACAAACTGAAGAACTTCTGGAATTTCAAACTGGGCGCTAAAGTTACGGCCGAAGAGTTACGCTATCACTGTATCTTCGGGAACATGCGCGAGGAATTCGATGAGTGCAACAAGCGTGCCTTGGCTAATGGATTCAGTTTCGAAGAAACCAAGAATCATATGGTCGAGGAAGAACGCGCTCTGTCTAGCAACGGAGAGACCACGAAGCACAAAGCTAATCTGGTCCGCAACAAGAATTCTCGCAACCAGCATGGCCCGCGCCCGGATCACGTTCAGAAGAACCGTGAGAAGCAGATGTTCTCCAATATGTTGAAGAAAGAGATGCCGAGTCTGATCCAGCAAGCCGCTGCGAATCTGATCGCGCAAAATCCGAACTTGACCCAGAATCACACTGCTGGTAGCAATGACGACAGTCATGCGGCCAATTACGCAGGAGATTCCAAGTGGTGTTCGAATTGCAATTCGGAATCCCACAACACCAAGGATTGCTGGTACAAAAACGGCAATAAGGTCAATAACAAGTCTTCCAATAAGAATTCCGGTAAGGGTAACAACACGAATACTGTTCGCAAGGGCAACGACAAGCCGAAGGGTGGAGGTAAGAAAGGAAAAGGAAAGAAGGGTAGGAAATACTGAGTCTTAGATGGTGTTTCGAAGAAAAGTAGCTTGTTACACAAACTACAAAAAGTAAGAAAACTATTCTTACGGCTGACGAAAACTCGATGTTATAATACAAATTATTCGCGATGTTTTTCAACTAAATTTTTAACAAAAATACCCCCCCAAAAGAACCCCCCACAAAAAGAACAACCACCTGGTGATGAACCACCAGTGACTACAAGTCATTTTGAAGAAGATGAATGTGTGTTCGACAGCAAGCTTGACATCTTCAATCCAGATTCTTCATCATTAATCGATATGGATGATTTATTCTCGAATCTCGATAAGAATGAAGATGAAATTTGTACCAATGATGCAGCTGGTCCAACGAGACAGCTGAAAGGAAAACGAAAAAGAGCAGAGCTGGAGCTTGCTGAGCAATTTGCAACCCCAGAGATGGCAAATATGACACAACAAGTCCAGGCTCTTGAGTCGACCGATCGCGAAATCCGTAAGATTTTATTTCCTCGATCTCATGTTTCGGATGCGTCCAAAGCCGAACGAGTTGAAAAATGCAATCTGTCACAAGATGCAGTATTTTCAATCGTAGCAAAAGAAAGCGAGCAAAATCATTCGCCCGAGTACACAGCAAGAAAGCTAGCACACCTCTACAGCGTTCGCGAATCAGCATTGAGGAAGGTGCGCGAGGCGAACGATGCTCATCGGAATAAAAAGGACGAGCAGCACCGAAATCATGAAACAGCTTTTAATTGTGTCGATGATGCAATTTGCGACAGTGGCGCAACAAGTCACATGTCGGGCCGACCAGAGATTTTCGAATCTTGGGACGACAGTAATCCAGTGCGAATAACTGTAGCAGACGGAAAAGAGTTGGATGGCCCTGGATATTTTGGCACATTGAAACCAAACGCACTTGGTTGCAAGCGTGCAATATTCCATCCATTCCTTCCACAGACCCTCCTCAGTGTCGAGCAACTGAAGAAAGAAGGCTATAGAGTTGTTTTCGACGAAGGGGGCAACTACTTGCAAAGTAGGAAGACAGGAAAGAGAATTTTTCTTCACAAAGGGATCGGAACCAAGCTGCCGGCCGTGGCACTTGGGTTCAACGAAGATCCAGGTGAAAAGGGTTTGTTGTGCGAAGAGATCGAGACAGAGTCCACTATGATGACAAAGGCTGAGAAAATGCTTCTTGATCATCAGCGTGCTGGACATCGTAGTCTACCAGGAATAGTAGTCCGATGTCCTGCCTGCGATCTCGCGAAAAGCAAAGGCGCGCAACATGCAAAAGCGAAGAAAGAATGCTACAAAGTTGAAAAATTCAATGACCAAGTTGATTTTGACTTCACTGGACCGTGGGAACCTGACTACTGGTCGCAAAGATGGGTGCTAAATGCCATCGATCAAGCAACCAGCTGGCCTCGTTCTTTCATCTGCAAGAGCAAAGCAGAAGCAGGCGCAAAGCTGCAGGTCTGGATAAATGAAGAGGGACCACCGAAAAGAGTGAGATCCGACAATGCCAAAGAGTTCAAGGAACCAGGTAGCACTTGGAAAAAGACAGCACAGAAACAGTCCCCGCCGATTCATACTGACTACTCAGCTCCATACGAACCACAAGAAAATGGAAAAGTTGAAAGATACAATCAAACTCACCAGAACGGAGTGAGGGCAATGATGGTCGGAGTCGATAAGCGTATGTGGAGTTATGCAGCACGCACTTTCTCCCACATATTCGCCCGAACCCCTACAGCCAAAGGAGGCGAGTCGCCATTTGAAAAACGCTTCAAAAGAAAACCTTCCATCAAGTATTTCCGACGTTTCGGATGCTTGGTATACGCGAAGGATCACTCACAGAAGTCGAAGCTTGAAGACCGGTTTACCCGTGGAATCTTTCTAGGCTACGCCCAAGAAAATTCTACATACCTGGTAGGCATGTGGTCCGCAGATGGTCGATGTAAGAAAAGCTCCAAAATCCGCTTCGGAGTCCACGAGGTGAAGTGTTGTAAGTTTGATGAATCAGTGCTGGTCAGCAAGATAGATGATCTGAAGCCGGACGCTGACAAGTTGTTAATTGATTTTCCGAATCCGGCGCGTCTGGGTGATAGTTCGCAGCTCGTAGAGCCGAATGTGCCCGCTGTAGATCATGATCAAAGCAGTCGTGGTCAGGACGCTCCGAGGACCGATCGTTCGAAAGATGAAGAAGATGCGGACAAACGCAGTTCGAAGGAAAAAGAAACCGTCGAAAACGACGAGGGCAAGAGTTTCGAAGGGGGTGAGCAACCTGAGGAAGGGGGCGAGGAAAATCAAAACCCTAATCAGGATTGGCTCGATTTGTTTTCAGAGGAGGCGCCTGAAAAATCCCCGAAGCAGAAAAAGAAAGCTGAGAATGGAAATCGAAAAAGAAAGTCTAATACAGTTGATGCTGATGAAAAAGAGAACGAGACACAAGAAGCGCCTAGGATCCTCGTTGAAGGACCTACACGAAAGAAACTTCGCAAGAAGGGCCGAGGGCATGACAAGAAAAAGCGCAAAGAACGCAACGACAAAGGCCAAAGTCGTGGCCCTCGAGCAAAGAAAAGGCAGAAAGTCAATCTTGTGTCGTCATCTGACCTTTTGAAAGATCTACCGATGGAATTTGAAAAAGAAGCAGAAGCTATATTCCAGATTCGTCATGAATTAGAGGAGGACGAAACTCCTTACCTCTTTGGCTTGCAGCACACTTGGGCCAAGTGTCTGGAAAGTCCTGACGCAATCAAATGGATCGAGTCAGATACGAAAGAACGCCTAGCGCTAGAAGAAGCAAATACGTGGAGGCATGCAACCGCAGAAGACATCAAAGAGATGGGTGATAAGTTAGAGATTATCCCGACGGTATGCATCTACACGAAGAAGAGAGACGGACGCTACAAGTGTCGTCTCGTAGCACTAGGAAACAGGCAAAAGCTATCTCTTCAAGGAGAAATATACAGCCCAACTGTGAGCCATGCCGCTAACAGGTATTTACTTGTTGAAGCAGCAGCACGCGGATGGAAAGTTAGACAGTTCGATATTTCAAATGCGTTTGTGCGTGCAGCTCTAGGTGACGAGATCGTGTTATGTCGCCTGCCCAAGCACAACAGCTGGAGCAAGAACAAAGAAAAAGGCGATGTTGTCAGGCTGTTAAAGTCGTTATACGGTCTGAAGATCAGCCCACGCCGCTGGTATGACGAATATTCCGGCAGACTCAAGAAGTTAGGCTGGGTTGTATCCGAACACGAACCAGGTTTGTTCAAGAAGTTTGCAAAAGACAAACAGGGAAAAGAGCAAGAGCTCTGGCTAGCAGTTTACGTAGATGACAACATTATCTCAGGCGAAGATGATGACCTTGTCGCTGCAGAAATGAATGCAATTTTAGCAGAGTTCCCAGGAAAAGAAATTCTCGCAGAATATGACAAGGAAGGCAATGAGATCCGCGACCTTCTCGGCGCAAAGTTGACCTTCAACGCGAAAAAGAGAGTCATGAAAATCACTTGCGAAGACGCAATTGATAAGCTGCTTGAGAAATTTCACATGAAGGACTGCCGCGCAGTAGTTTCCCCATGTTTACCAAATTCCCACGCAGACTTGGACTCGCCGTCGAATTCCACATTTCCGATAAGATCGCTAGTAGGCGGAATGTTGTATATCAGTTGCGTTGCCCGGCCTGATATCGCATTCGCAGTACAAAGAGTAGCGACGCAGGTAGCTAGTCCAACCGACCAAACGGTAAAAGATGCTAAGCGTATTCTGGCGTATTTGAAAGGAACCAAATCGCAAGGATTGGAATACAGCAAGCAGCAAGAGAAAAAGTTCAAAGAAATCTACACAAAAGCCGCAGAGCTAGAAAACAAGGAATACAGAGACACTATTGCTTTCTGCGATGCAGATTTTGCAGGATGTTCTGTAAGTTTTCGATCCACGTCAGGAACAATCCTATATCGACGCGGAGTTCCCATCTGTTGGAAGTCGAAACGTCAATCGATTCGAGCTACGTCAACAATGGAAGCCGAGTATTGCGCGATGTATGACTGTGTAAGGATGACTATGGACCAAGGATATTTGAACTGGTTTTCAGAACAAGAGTCAGGATCTCTACCGTTGATCTTCAACGACAACAAGTCCGCGCTTGCGTTGAGTCAGACAACCGTAGCCACGAAAAGATCCAAGCACATGAGTCTTCGACTACACCTAGTACGAGACTACGTAAAAGACTTGTGCTATGTAAACACAGATATCAATCTAGCGGATGGATTGACAAAACCACTTCCAGGAGAGAAGTATATCCAAATCTTCAAAGCTCCCGCAAGAAAAGCTAATGAAGTATTTGCGAAAGCTCATTTTGTCGATTTCAATAATCTCTAGGATTTATTGATTCGAATTTCACACGAATTCATCACATCTAAGATTTCTCGAGATGATTTCATGTTCATTCGGAAGGGGGAATGTAAGCATGATCAAGAGTTTGTTCTTGACAAGCATCCCGATCTGAATTGACTAAATTGAAATCACGATGTAAATCACGATGCTACGATGATGATTCAAAATGAGGTCTCATGCAAATCACGAAGTTCATGAGAAGGAACAAAAATGAAGTTCACTCTAATCCCGCACTGTATACTAGTGACGATCAACGATTGTTGATCTGATATTTTTCATAAATTTAGGGCGATTAGAACAAATTTGAACTTTCATGTTTTACCCCCTTGACTGAGAACTCAAAATTTGTGTGTTGTCTGGAACGCTAAATTTTTCCCCACAGGCTGTGACGATAGTCACCATAGATTGATTGCGACTTAGAAACACTGAATCCCACCTAGATTCTGCTTGACATGCAAGATGGCCAGTGTTCACACCGCCCGCGTTTCTTCGTCGTTGATTGTCTTCACACCGTGAAAATTCGGTTGACAGAAAGGTTTGCAATACAAATGCGTCCAAGTTCGGGGGTGAGGGCATTTTTCACTTTGATACAGGGACTGATAGATCTCGTTGGACGTGGAGACACTGGTCTGCAAAATGTTGAACAACGAGAAGCAGAAGGCAAAGACCAGATACAAGGTCGTTGTCAGCAGCACGTCGGCCATCCTGGTGCCGATGCCGCGCTCGCGGCCCCGCCTCGCAGAGCGGGTGGACGGCTTTTGCGCTTGCTAGACCTGGTCTTGCAGCGGCAAGCCAGCGAGGACGAGACGAAGCACACTGTCGTCGCTACATGATTGCCTTGTTGTCGTTGTTCATCAGGTTCCGATCTCGTAGCCGGGCTGCACTTTCTGCTGCGAAGTTTGAGGAGATACTGATAGATGAGATAGACGTCGAGATGCTTTATTGTTCATCATCTTCATTGAGATATTTTTTTACATATACCAAGATGCTTGTGCTTGTCGTTATGCGTCGTCAAAAACCTCCCTCGTTTCTTACAGCCATCGCTCCCGCTCCGTGAACCTGACTCGAACTCTGTGTACATAGCCAGAGAGAGATACTAAAATCCTCGGAAAACTGCATGACAGGCTGGAAACACGAATGCGCAAGGTTGTAGAGCGAAAGAATGACTTTCACGTTCCGACACGCAAAAGCTTTAGCCTGCGAAAGTTACATTCGCTAGCATTCCACCTTCATCAACTGCCGAATGTTTAGTACGCATGAAAAAGTGTGAGTTGAAGAACTACGACTACGAGCTTAATCTTCGATAGCCACGATGTAGCGCCACAAAGAAACATAAGTAGAGTCTTTCTATATGAATCTAGAAGCGGACACATAAAGTGCGTTGATTTTCCATGGTTTCGTCGTTTCGTTTCTCACCTATCTATGCATGTGAAAGAAGTTAGAGTTACGTTGTTCGCGATGTTACATCAACAAAGACCACAACTTCCATCTATGGTCCATCTGTTCTTTACTTTTATCGAATCATCATGTGAAGGCGGTGACAATTTCGTGCTCACTGGCACCACCGACTAAGACACACCGCGAAAGCCCCTGCGTAATGGTGTCCACGAGACGGAAGTAGGGAAGACTCGAAGCGGATCCGCGAAACTCAGGGAAGTTCATGAGAACCAAGGAGGACTCGGCAGAGTGCTCCCGAATGACCTTGTTTAGGCGTTCCGCTAGATCGAGACCCCCGTCCGACCGGCCCAACGTGCCCCGCGACTGCCACCGCGTCAGCTTTGGTGTCGGTTTAGATTCTGACGTCGTGGTTGGAGCTTCCTTTTCCTTACTCGTCGTTGTGAAGAGGTTATTTTCATCCTTGGAATTTGTCGACGTGGTCGAGTTATTGATTGTATCTGCTGAAGTGGCCGCGAGAACTTCCTGTATCTCAATTTGTTCTAGCGTCGTAGCCGCACGGATCGCAGCGCTGACGGGAACGAGGTGAACGCTACTGTCCACGGGCGCTGGCGGGCCTCCCGGGCTGAGTTTCGATGCTTGCCGACTCCCAGCTGCAGACTCAATAAAAGACGCGGCATCTTCGTCATCTTGCAAAGATTCTGCGTTGAAGAGAAAGCTGGCCGAGTTGTGCACGAGCGGGTTTTTCCGTACGAGGCCCATTTTTTCAGTGGGCACCAGCTCGGCTGCATCTACTGCCTTTACTTCCAACATCCCAGAACGCGATGCAAACGGAGCATCATCAAGAAGATCTTCACGTCCTTCCTGCTCGTTGTTACCGCCTGCTCCTACGACCGGAATACTAGTTGTGTGCAACGGAACAACGTGGACCTCGAGCTTTAACCGCAGATCGGCGCAGTATGTTTCCAGGTCTTGTCGCATTTTGTCAGCACTTGTCCTCCTGCTTGCGGCAGAACAATCCTCGGTCTCTACTTGCGTTGTACCTTCGCCGTTATTTCCCGCGAGTCTGGACTGCAGGTCTTCGTTATCCAGAGCGACCGTGAAGAGCCGGGCGCCCTTGGTTTTCGCCCACACGGGATTTTGCCGCAGAAGATGTGGCAAGAGGAGAATGATGCCCCCGTCCCCCAGGACCCACCACACATCGATGTAACCGCGCATCGGCTTACTCGCAGGGTGCTGCTGCTGCGCAGTGCCGACGCTCGGGCGTGGCTTCTTCGCAACTCCACTGACTAGTTGGTGGTGGCCGTGGCTGCTGTGGTGGTGTCCGACGAGGTGCTCGATGCTGGGCCAGTGCGCCCCGGGGCCGAGCTTCGTTACGAGAAGCAGCTTGTCGAACGCCTTCGCGCCCTCGAGCGCCTGCAAGAGGCGGTAGCGTGTCCGGTGCGCACGGTTCACCTTCGTCTTCTTCCAGAGCTGCTGGAGCATGCGCACGCGCGGGTCGTGACTGGCCCGGTCCTGCACCACCGTGGACATGTCGTCTTCGTCCCACTGATCCTTGGGGGGAAACGCCATCAGCACGCAGTTGGGCTGCAGCGGCCCGATGCCGGCGGATTGCATCAAGTCTAGGGTGCTAGCCGCCCGGTCGGCGGTGTAAACCCAGTGCACGAAGCCCACCAGCCCGTGGCTTTTCATCAGCTTCTGCATCTTCAACTTTCGATCGTACAAGACGTGTCGATACTTCTCGATGCTCCCTTTATTGCTCCTTGTCGTGCCGTTCGTCGGCCTAGTTCTTCTCGCGGCAGTAACAACTTCGTCGTCCTTGGTGGTTGCTGCCAGAGCGGTAGGAGATGAGTTAGCGCCGCCTCGTGCAGCAATTGTAGCGGGCGTCGTGGTAAATATGCTTCGGCTACTGACAGACTCATTGTTTTTGCTTCGGCTCCGACTTCGGGGAGAGGACCGAGATTTCATCTTGAGGTCCATCACGGCACTGGAAAGGAGGGCAAAGCCACGAGACGCTGAGGGCGAGGCAGGCAGGGGGAGCTGAGGATCTTCTGCATCGTCTACTTCGTGATCTTGTACAACTCCGCTGGTCTGTCGCGCCGGCGTGCCCGAAGCCAGCAGGGCGGCAGGTGAGGGGAGCGTTGAGGTTGGGGAGCGCCGCGCCACCGAGAATTCGCCACTCTTGGCCCGCTCAATGTCGATCATGTGGGAAGAAAGCGCGCGTGAGCCGGCATCAGTTGGATCGGAGTCGTGGTTTCTTCTGCCGCCGCTCGTCTCTGTCTGGTCTACTTTTGTACTAAAGTCGATGTGTTTTTCTTCCATGTAGCGCTGTAGTTCTCGCTTCAAGAATCCAGTTTCGCCAAACAACGAGTCGCCGTGGCTGGAGCACAAGACGGCTACCTCCATCAGACCTGATCTGTGAGAAATTTGCTCGGCAAAGGCGAGCAATTCTGGATTTTCGACTTGCAGAAAATTTTCCTCGTCATGATGCGACTTCTTTGCAATTGCATCTCCGTCAGTACGGCTACTCCCAGATGAATGATCCGCAACAACATAGCTGGTGTGGGACATCATGACCTCATGATCCGTCGTTTTCTCTACTACAACTACTTTGGACGATGATCTTTGCTCAACTACAGGCACAGCATCTTCTGCGGTCGTGGCGTGTCTGTTTGCACGTTCACGGAGCTCATCTGCTATCTGCACTTCTGCTTCTACTGCACCGACCGCAAGCCCAGCCTCGGCTCCGAGAGTTGTTGTAGCGGGAAACAAAATTCCAATGCTCTCGTCGTCCATGTCGCCTGAAATGTTTGATGCGTGGCCGGACACGTTACGCTCAAGCGCCAGACGGCTTCCTCGACGACTGGAGGGGGGCTGCTGGTCGCGCTGGTGTTTCATCTTTGCGGCACGTTTGGACGGGGTTGTCGCACTGTTCAACATTATGCCGTGCTGGGTACCTTCGCGAGGAACTACACGAAGGTGCCGCAAGGCGTCCGCGTTGTCCGGCAGTTGCACGTCCAGAATGTCTACTTCGGGCGAGGTGAGGACCAAAATCTGCGGCCTCCAGTTCTTCGTGTGGACTTCGTCATCCATGTGCAACAAGAGGTAGCGCACGAGCTGAAACTTCATCCCCTGGAAGCCGTCGCCCCAGTGGACGTTTGCGGAGTGGTAGGCCGCGTAGACGTGGATGAGCAGGCAGAAGGCGAGAGCGATGATCGCTGTGTACCAGGACATGGCAAACATCAGAAACACGCACAAAAACGCGCCCAGGAGCGACACATTGCGGTGGTAGTAGCGAAATTTGGGCCGCCAGTTGGGGTCGCGCGCGTAGCTCAGGATCGCGCACGACAGGTTCACGCACACGTAGCACATCAGAAAAAACATCGTCAGGACGGAAGCCACCACGTTCAACTCCCCGACGCCGATAGCGGCGGCGCACAAGGTTCCACAACACGCCAAGGCTGCGTACGGCTCTCCCGCCGGAGCGGGGGTTGGTGGAGCTGCTGACGGCCCAGCAGAACCATTGATGCGCGACGATGGTAGAGCAAGTGCGGCTTTATTTCTGGCAGCGGGGGGCGACCGTGAGGAAGCTGCAGGTCTCGGTTTCGACTTCGTTTGATGTTCCTGCGGTGGCGTTGCACCATTTGCAGAGGGCGGCTCTTGAAGTCCTTCTTCTTCTGCTTGAGCTTGTTCCGGTACTTTTCCAACAAAAATGGTCCCCGTCTCGTTCTTGTGTTTGCTGGCGGGGCGTTCGTGGTCCGCCCCTTTGGTGCTTCTACGCACGGCTGGTCGGCACCAGGCTAAAAAGCATATTTTCCGGAGCAGGTTGACCAAGCCTGGTGGTAACAACAGCGTGACGACACTCGACCACTTCTGTCGGAGGGTTTCATCATTCCAGAAAAAGAAGCGACGCACCGCTACCTCTTTTCCGCTCTTTGTGGCTACAGGCGCACGTCTCGGCGCAAAGAACCGGAGCGCGGGTAAGGTTCCGTCCGAGGCGATGGCTGCTAGTAGTCGCGTTCCGGAGACAAGAGAGCTCAAGCCGGCACCGAGCGTCGAGGCCATAACGCCATATACCACGCACTCGCGCGCCGGCCATGTGGCCGTGGCCGCAAAAAACTTGTCGTCCAGCAGGGTTTGCCGCGGCGCCGCGCCAGCATACAAAATCGCGAAGCTTACATAAATAAAGGCGGTCAGAAGGTAGGCGATGAAGGTCCCGACGGGAATGTCGCGACTGGGATTGTGCAGGTCCGCGGACCGGTTGCTCCCTGCTTCGAAGCCAGTCACCGCGGGAAACCAGATGGCCAGCAGAGAAACGAAAGAGTGTTCGCGGTGTGTGCCGTCCTGCGGAAATGCGTACTGGGGAGCATCCAGCGCCGGAGGCCAATTTCTGTCAAACAGCAGGCTTGCATCGTGGAAACTGCCACTCCACTGCAGGGACTTCTCACTTCCTGTTTGTGTTTCTGCAGCAGTTGATGTTGAGTTTGTTGACCTGGTGGAATCACTTCCAGGAGCTTTCGCAATTCCGTGGTGGTTCGCACCAGCGTCGTGCTGTAGATCGATGGTGTACTCCGCCGAGGTGGCACAGCAGGAGGCATGTGGGCCCTGGAAGAGGCCCAGATACATCGTGACGATGGCAAAGAGCGTGATCACCATGAACACCGTCCCGGTTCGGGCCACGATGTTGATCCCAAGCCCTACGGCGGTCACGGCGAACGCCAGGACCAGCAAACCGGTGAGACGGATGTTTGCGAGACTGCCGACCGGCCCGCCGAGCTGGTACTCGGGCTGCGCGACTTCCCAAGCCTCGACCGTTCCCAGGAAGTACATCGCCGCCCCGATGCTGTTGGCCAAGAAAAAGCACAGTCCCACGGCCGCCCCGATGGCCGGACCCATGGAGCGCGAAATTAGGAAGTACGCGCCGCCGCCCTGAATCTTTCCGTTGGTCGCCACAGCTGCCAAAGAGGACGCCGTTATGCCCGTGACCAACAACGAGAAAACCACCATCAAGGTGCCCATCCAGGTGCCCGCCTTGCCCATCAACCAGGGCAACCGTAGAAACAGAATTACACCCAAGATGTTGCTTACGCAGGGAAAAATGACACCGAGGTACAGGCCCTGCTTGTTGTTGCGACTTGGCTTTATTGCGGGAGCCGCGTCGCCTGTTTGGCTTTGGCTTTGGATGGCCATCGTGGTCGCTGGTGCAGCTGGGGGCAGCTTTTCAATTCGTCCTGGTGCTGCTCCTTGCTCAAAACAAGTGTGCTCAGTAGTCTTGTGTTGGAAGTAGAGGAACTTCAAAGATGAAACGCTCGGTTGCGGAACTCGACAAAGAAAACGATGACTGTTGCACCCTTATTTGGTGTTGACCAGCAGACACAAGGTAAAGTTGTTCGCATCGCAAAGAGGAAGAAAAAAGTGTGGGCGTTTCCAGGTAAGCAAAAAGAAAAAACCAAAACATAAATGAGCTGATCAAGGCACGGTTAGGATCGTTGTGGCGACGCGGCGCGCACGGGCGCAAGAAATGGAAAAGCAACGGGATGCTACCTCTCGTGTCTCTCCCTCTCTCTAGTATGTGTGTATGGAGCCTTTGAAAAAACCAGGGGCTTCAGCGCTGTTCAACAGTCGTCCGTGTGAACAAAACCAGAACGACAAAGTCAGCCAAGTAGTAGCGTCAAGAGTCAACGTGCCTGCTTCTTTGACGCTTGACGTCATTTTTGGCATTCCAATAAATTTTCTACTTTCTAGTTTTTCATGTGTCCGGATATTCTTTGGTGTTCTTTTTTGCGTTGTCGATGTGGATGTTGTCGCCGTTCTTTTCATTCTCTGTCCCCATATGCCACTTGTTTGCTACGAATAGGCACCAAGTGCAAAGCGAAAATGTAAATAGTCACGTCCCAATTCCACATTGTCCAATGTATCTCCCTATCCTGTGCAAAAGTATCGTACTCGTATAAATCCGCTACTGGCATGAATATAACTTCTCACCAACTTCCCAACAACTTATGATCAACTTCTTCCCAACCTTTTCACCAACTTCCCAGCTGTTGAGAAGTTGGCGTAGACCGCTTGCCGCGGTTGTTCCGACGCTTGACGCAGAGTTGAAATCCACGCGAAGCTCCTGACAGGCTTCCGGCTAGGACGTCTCAGAAGGAATATCCCGGGCCTCGATTCGTGGCCGCACGTAAAAAGCACGCCGACGCCGCATTTTGCGGCAAGCGCGGCGCGTTACATCAATTAATGCACAAAGCAATAACTCACTTCTCAACAACATCTCTACGCACTTCATCTTACCAGCTTCGCGACGAACATTCCGGCGCATTCTGCGGCAAGCTTTGAGCTTTTGGAGGCGTCATGCTAATTCTTGCATGACGCCTCCAAAAGCTTAAAGCTTGCTGCGAAGTGCGTCGGGAAGTTCGTCGCGAAGCTGTTGAGAAGTGCGTGGAGAAGTTGTTGAGAAGTGAGCTATTGATTTGCGCATTACTTGATGTAGGGCGCACGCAAACTCGCGTTTTTTTGTGAAAACAAATAAAACGCAGACAATATATCAATTGATTAGCTGAGTAATTGGCTGCTCAGCTAATCAATTAATTAATCAGCGCCAGGCGAGAATGGCCGGCGTTCAAAGCTTGCCCGCCCAAGCCGCGCGCAGCTCCACATCGCCGAGGGAAGCTGTCTTCCGCTTCCGGCGATTCTTTCTTTGATGGCTGCACGCAGGACAGATGCGCGCGCGCAGAAATCACGGTCGCGCGGCCTGCCGCCTCTTGTATACGGCTTTGCGCGTGGTACCGTCGTGCTAACTGATGAAACTGCACTGCAGATAAACGGACAGAACAAGACTGCGGTCTTCTTTCCATTTATCTGCAGCGCTGTTCCTTCCAGCTCTTGCAGCTGCAGTGGCAACTGCAAGCAGCGAGCACGATATAACTCGCAGCGACGGAGTGACGCGACGCGTCGCTTGGTCGAGGCGAGAACGACGCCAGCATGTCGCGGCGCGACGCCACTTCTCACCGAAGTTGGTGCGGAAGTCGGTGAGAAGTGGCGCGCGCCACTTCTCACCGACTTCCGCACCAACTTCGCAACCAACTTCGCAACCGACTTCTCACCGACTTGTCCGTCAGATTCTGCATAGAAATTTTAGCGGATTTATACGAGTACGATACTTTTGCACAGGATACTCCCTGTAGTCACAACTCGACGTCGCAGAGTAGAAGAAAAACAATTCAAGTTGTTCTTCATCCAACTACGGGCAGCTGTTGACCTCTGCGTCTGAGCATCTTCATGATTCGCGGCTAGCTCTGAGCAGTAATTGCATAAAGTTGAACTTCATGTGTTTGTTAAAACTCTGATGTTGAGTTCGTGCTACAGGTTCTGTAAGAAACAGAATGATCTATAATTGCGCTGTACATGTGACGAAGCCCCCGCTCTTGCTCTTTAGCCTCCCTCTCCGTCAAATAAATCGTACACAAAACTCCTCGTCCTGTACTGCGAATAGGCTTTGTTTTTTCGGTAAGCTTTTTGTCAAAACAGGAAAATAGGGCTTTGTTCGAAAGGAAAACAGATCCAGGTCGTAAATCAATGTAAGTAGTACCGCCTCAAAATTTGTCAGTGATGTATAGAAAACAAAATCATACAGGGTACACAAAGCGTCGTACAATCGTTTTTTTATAGTGAGTCTATGATGAAAATGAAATTGAAAACAACAGGCCGATAAACAGCGCAACATTTTTTGGGTTGTACTGGCTCTACATACACATAGTATGTTTAGTCTGCAAAATAAACTACTTATATGCTTGTCGTGATTTTTTCAGACGTATGCGACAGCACGTTGTTCCAAAAGCACGCTGGCGCGCCGTTTTCAACCGATATTAAATCGATCGTTGTCTGTTTACACGACCAGCAGCTCGTCATCAGAGCAGTCGGAAAAGTCGTCTTCGTCGACATCCAGGAATTCCGGGTATTCGTGTCCGCCGATGTGCTCGTCGGACCCGGCCTGGACGTAAGTGACGTGGGCGGGGGCAGGCTGGGCAACCTGAAAGGCACCACCGACCACAACGCGAGACTTGTTGTAGTGGACACCCCAGATCGGGGGGTTCCAGCAGCACGCCGCGTAGCAGCCCATGCAGGAGCAGGGCCAGAAACCGATCCCAAAAAGCGGAATCCACGCAAAGATGGCCGCCACACTGCACCCCTCGTAACTGGTCAGAACGCAGGCTGGGCAGCACAGGGAAGCGCAGCAGGTGGGGGCGACGCGCTTATCGCAGCCAAACTGTCCAATCGGGTTCTTGTCGTCACGGCAGGCGACCGGGGGCATCGGAGCGTCCTTAACAACGGTCACCGGAGCAGGGGCCGGTTGTGCTGGCTGCTGCACATAAACCGGTTGCGGTTGCGGCGGGGCACCACCCTGAACAGTGACATTCACATGGCCCGGGTGCGGCTGCGGCACCGGCTGCGGTTGATGTTGAACATAGACTTGTTGTGCCATTTTCGACTGATTTATTTGTTGCAGAAAGAACTACCAAAAGTGTAGTAAAACTAGTACGAGATTCTGAAGCAGTAGCGGGTTGGTAAAACACTTTTTTACCTACTAGCTAGTTGCGGCGTCGACAAATTCAACAGGAGAACTCACTGTTTTGATATTCATCAACTACGGATCATCATCACGGAAGAAAAACAGAAAATGGATTCAGGATAGAGAAATGGTATTTCCAGATCAAGATCTTTGCGAACCGACTCCACAAAATCTAGAACAAAATCAGCTTCTTCAGATCAGATTCTACATGCATGATCCATTTCTGATTCTGGCAAAGGATCTAGTACTTAGCCTGGCATTTTTTTCTTTGGATCTTCGATCTTAATTCATCTGGGTCTCAGATGATGAGGTCGTTGTTGAGCGACCTGTTCCTGGATCTGGAATGTGATCATTTGCCCTCACATATTCTACGCGTGACCTCCCAAAAACATTGAGAATGCTCAGCAGTTCATCGAGATCGCCCATTAAACATGTTGTTTGTGGGCATTCGCATTCGGTTGCCAAACACAACCGCAACAAATTCAAGTTGTTCTTCATCCAACTACGGACAGCTGTTGACCTTTGCGTCTGAGCATCTTCATGATTCGCGGCTAGCTCTGAGCAGTAATTGCATGAAGTTAAACTTCATGTGTTTAATTAAAACTCTGTTGAGTTCGTGCTACAGGTTCTGTATAGAAACAGAATGATCTATAATTTCGCTGTACATGTGACGAAGCCCCCGCTCTTGCTCTTGAGCCTCCCTCTCCGTCAAATAAATCGTACACAAAACTCTCCGTCCTGTACTGCGAATAGGCTTTGTTTTTTTGGTAAGCTTTTTGTCAAAACAGGAAGATAAGGCTTTCTTCAAAAGGAAAACAGATCCAGGTAAACCAGTGTAAATAGTACCGCCTCAAAATTAGTCAGTGATGTATGGAAAACAAAATCATACAGGGTGGTACAATCGTTTTATAGTGAGTCTATGATGAAAATGAAAACAACAGGCCGATAAACCAAAACCGCACAACATTTTTTGGGTTGTACTTGCTCTACATACACATAGTATGTTTAGTCTGCAAAATAAACTACTTATATGCTTGTCGTGATTTTTTCACACGTATGCGACAGCACGTTCTTCCAAAAGCACGCCGGCGCACCGTCCTCTTCAACCGATATTAAATGAATCGATCGTTGTCCCTTCACACGACCAGCAGCTCGTCATCAGAGCAGTCGGAAAAGTCGTCTTCGTCGACATCCAGGAATTCCGGGTATTCGTGTCCGCCGATGTGCTCGTCGGACCCGGCCTGGACGTAAGTGACGTGGGCGGGGGCAGGCTGGGCAACCTGCATGGCACCACCGACCACAACGCGAGACTTGTTGTAGTGGACGCCCCAGATCGGGGGGTTCCAGCAGCACGCCGCGTAGCAGCCCATGCAGGAGCAGGGCCAGAAACCGATCCCAAAAAGCGGAATCCACGCAAAGATGGCCGCCACACTGCACCCCTCGTAACTGGTCAGAACGCAGGCTGGGCAGCACAGGGAAGCGCAGCAGGTGGGGGCGACGCGCTTATCGCAGCCAAACTGTCCAATCGGGTTCTTGTCGTCACGGCAGGCGACCGGGGGCATCGGAGCGTCCTTAACAACGGTCACCGGAGCAGGGGCCGGTTGTGCTGGCTGCTGCACATAAACCGGTTGCGGTTGCGGCGGGGCACCACCCTGAACAGTGACATTCACATGGCCCGGGTGCGGCTGCGGCACCGGCTGCGGTTGATGTTGAACATAGACTTGTTGTGCCATTTTCGACTGATTTATTTGTTGCAGAAAGAACTACCAAAAGTGTAGTAAAACTAGTACGAGATTCTGAAGCAGTAGCGGGTTGGTAAAACACTTTTTTACCTACTAGCTAGTTGCGGCGTCGACAAATTCAACAGGAGAACTCACTGTTTTGATATTCATCAACTACGGATCATCATCACGGAAGAAAAACAGAAAATGGATTCAGGATAGAGAAATGGTATTTCCAGATCAAGATCTTTGCGAACCGACTCCACAAAATCTAGAACAAAATCAGCTTCTTCAGATCAGATTCTACATGCATGATCCATTTCTGATTCTGGCAAAGGATCTAGTACTTGGCCTGGCATTTTTTTTCGCTGGATCTTCGATCTTAATTCATCAGGGTCTCAGATGATGAGGTCGCTGTTGCGCGACCTGTTCCTGGATCAGGAATGTGATCATTTGCCCTCACATATTCTACGCGTGACCTCCCAAAAACATTGAGAATGCTCAGCAGTTCATCGACATCCCCCACGAAACATGTTGTTTGTGGGCATTCGCATTCGGTATCGGTTGCTACTTAAACACAACCGCAATACACCATACACACGCACAGCGCAAATGTTGGGTGTCTATGTGCTCCACAACTGACTCCAAACTTTTAGTTTGTTCTCGGAAGTTGGAGTTCTGCGATAGCAATTTGACGTTCGTTATGGTCAATCAAGTCGAAGTCCTTGGCTGGCTGCATAATACCATATCGGTGACGGTTGATGCAGCAGAACAAACAACTTGATCTGATGGGCATTTTTTTACAGGAGGGTCTAAATTAATACTATCTGGTTGGTAGCAGGTGCCAGTGTTGGAACGGCAACACTTTTGGGCATTTTTTACAAAAGGGTTCAATGCTAAAGAACAATCGAAAAAGTATTATAGTTTTGAGCAAGACATTTACAGGTCTGTCAAGAAACAAAGAATCTAGAGTTGATATGCGATCTTGAATTCTAACTCAGAAAACAAAGCGAAGTCTCCTGCTCCACCTACTGTAGCAGGTCCAATCATACAGTGAGTACAGCTCGAATCTAAAGATCGTTGATCCCGTGGTAGTACCTATCAGATTGCACCCTTTTGGTTCTCCTTAAATTCGGAAATCTTTTCCTTTGCGGCGGCAACTACTTCCTTCCCGTATTTCTTTACTGGCAGTTCGGAGTAAGCTAGCACATCTTCCGCAGCCCCAAGGAAACTCTTCAGTGGTAGGTCTGTCTCGGAATGACGTGTAACGATTCCCTCGTTCTGTGATTTAATCGCCTGCAGCATCTCGCTTCTCTCGTCCATCTCTACAAGCGAAGATTCTTTTTTACTCGTCAACGAAGCTGAAGCTGATGCCGCGTCGTGGCGGTTAGTGGTCTCAGAGGGCTTGTTAATATCTCCGTCGGGACGACGCTGAGACTCCACCGTGGACTGCGATTTTATTTGAGAGACTTCTTGCACAGCAGATGCAGATCGGGCAGCTGGGTCCGCCATCTTGGGAGCGGCGGTGGGTGGCTCCTGCGGCTCTGGTATCTTCGCAGAAGATGTGGAAAACAGTTGCAGGAAGGAGACGAACATTTTACCGAGTGGTCCTAGACTGCCGTCCTTCTTCGGATCATGCCTTCGCAGGAGCCGTCGTTTATTTTGTGTCCGCGGCGGAGGGGGCTCCTCCGGCGCGATTTGGACATTCGGATCGTGCGCAGCCTCTTGCAGATGATCTGGAGGTCGTGCGGCACCAGGTGAAAAACTTGGTTCGAGCTGGGCCACCGCTTGCGGATCCCCACGAGCAGACTGGTCACTGGAGGTAGCACTTGCACCAGCCTGCGCGCGACGACCGGTTTCATCCGCTTCATTGGCACCTTGAGCCGGCTGTTCTGGTAGTTGCAACGCTCCCGTTTCCGAAAACGCACTCGACGAAGCGATCGCCTTCTCGTTTTTTGTCTTTTCGTCGTCTTCGCCTTCATCGTCGTCCTCCCCGTCTTCCTCGTCCTCATCAGCTTCGTCTTCATCATTCTCCTCGTCGCTGTCGCCTTCGCCGCCCTTGTCCTCGTCTTTATCTTGTTCACCTTTATTACCCGCTCCTGCGTCTTCTTTTGCCCCTGCCTGTGGTGAAATTTCAATTTGATTTTGATTTTTTCCGAGAATCAGTTGTTGATGAGAAAAACTAATGCAACAGCAAGGCAGGAGCAGCTAAAAGCGTGACCTCCTTCTCGTCGGGCGCTTCAGCTTTTGGTTTCGGTGGTGCCGTGGCTGCAGGCGGTCCGTTTTCATCGACTGGAGCCGGTGCTGCCTCCTTGGACTTTGGGGCAAGGGAACCTTCTTCGTCGTCCCCAGCATTGTTCTCCGAATCGTTACCGTCGGCAGCCCCCTTGCTAGGCTCCGCTTTCTTTTCAGGTTCTTGCTCCTCTTCTCCCGCCTCTTGTTCTTCCCCACCTGCGGTAGCTCCCCCGGTTTCGACGTCGGCGGGAGTTGCACTTGCAGCGAGTTTCGTGGCGTACGGTGACCAGGTACTACCGGACGAGCCTTTCGTCTGTTCTCCGTTTATTTCCTTCTGCTCGTTGTCAAAGGCGTAGGTATCGACATCGGCGTAAGGAGCCCATCGGTCTTTCTGGCCATCGAGCGCGTCGGCAGCTTCTTTGCTCAATCCGCCCGCAGCGGCAGCGGTAGTCCCAGTTTTCTTCTGGTTGCTTTTGTTCTCGCCACCTTCTTCCTCTCCGCTTTCGCTCCCCTCTTCGCTACTGCTGGCCTCGTCGTCATCGGTGCTGCTCTCCTCCTCTTCACCTTCGCCGCCCTCGCCTGGCGCATGGCGGCGTTTCCTTTTGCGCGATATCGATTTTCCGTCAGTGATGTCCCCGGTATCCGCGTCTTCGTCCCCTCCTCCTTCTCCGCCTCCTTCGGCCTTTGCCTTGCCTTTTGCCTTTGCTTTTTTCTTTGCTTTTGTCTTCGACTTAGGCTTTTTCTTCGCCTCCGTCTTTGCCTTTGCTTTGGGTCCTGTATCAGTCGAGCCCTCGTCGTCCGCTTCGGGTTCGGGTGCCGATTTATTTTCATCCGGTTCGGGAGCTGCGGGTGCAGGAGCAGGAGGTGGTCTTTCGGGATCTGGCGAAGTTTCCGCTCCGGTGCCACTGAATTCCACTGGTGCCGGCCCTGGTGTAGTTACTGCGGCCTGTTCCACTTTGGGCGCAATCTTCTTCACTTGCGCTTGCGGCGTCTCGTCCTGCTCCTCGCCTTTCTTGAGGCTTTTGCGCACCTGCCGCCACTCCTGCGGCGTGCGACGTCGCGTCCGCCACTCGCCGGTGGGCACCTTTTTGTCCTTGTTGTAATTGTACTTCAGTTCGGAGGGGTCGAACAGCCCCTTGGTCTCGAAGTCATTCAGCATCGCCCGGGAGTACCGCTGCATGTTGGTATCCATGCTGTGCAGCTGTTGCGGCAGCGGCCCGTCGATAAGCTTCCGTGTGCTCTCCAGGCCCCAATTGTACGCGCGCGTGCTGTCCTGAAGCTTGTCCATCACTTTCAACGCCATTCCCGTCTCATACTGCGCGTCCCCGAGCTCAGTTAGAAAATTTCCAAGCCTGTTGGATAGATTTGGAAGAAGAGGTTTTTTTTTGCAACCGCAACCGGTTCTATTTTTGGTGAATGTCATCTTTGCTTGCGCATGTTAGTTGCACGACTATAGCTCAGATGAGATTAGTCTACCTGCTCTAGAGAAAAAAATACATTTGAACGAGGTGGGCACCAGGTCGCAACTACAAACGAAAGCAGGAGTAGATGAAAGAAAATTACTTTTCGCGCATTTTATGCAGTGAGCCGTCCTGTCCCGTGACTCCCATTTTTTGCAGGTTTTGCTGAAAGAAGCTTTGCTTCCCGCTGTCGAGCAGGCAGTGTTGCCCCCAGTGCCTGGGCAGGATTCCGCACTCGAAGCACCGCGCGTTGCGCAGGCAGAGGTGGATCCGGTCCAGCTTCGCGCCCAGAAAGTTCACCACCATGGCCGTGTTGTCCACGCGGATGTATTGGTCCGCGCTTTTCCGGTAGTTTTCTCGACTCTTGTCGCTGAACAGGTGCACGTAGGCCTCCCGAGCCTTGTTCATCTGCAGGTGCAAAAAGTCCTGCACCGTCTCGGCGCCGGGTTTGTCGAGCGGTGCCCGCCGGCGTTTGCGCAGCCGCTCCACGTAGGGGGCGTCCAGCAGAATCGCCTTGTCCTGCAGGTTGGCTTCCTTCGCCACCTTGAATGCCTTTTGTGCCTTCTCGAACGCCTTCTGTACTCGTGCATCGCGATCGTCGCGTACCTGCCGGGCTTGCGCCTCCATTGCCTTCGCGTTCGCGCCAGCTGTCCCGTCGCCCAGGGAACTGGCAGCCACGATCGCAGCGGATTGCGAAAACTCGGCGGGGTCCAGCCCCAAAGCCGCGTAGTACTCGAGCGGGTCCGTTTGAAACTGCTGCATTGTTCTCGTCGCGCCCCCACCCGATGCTTCTTCGCTCGTTTCAATACCATCCGGGTCGCGGCGGTCCTCGTAGGCCTCTTCCGGTACCTCGATGCAGCTGTTGCCGCCGCGCAGCGATTCCAGGTACTTGTCCCCGCCCAGGTCCACCTGTTTTTCCAGTGCCGAAAATGCGTAGAAGTGGTGTTTCGCCGCCTCGAAGATGCGGTCCACCGTGTCCGGCCAGTCGCGGTTGCGGGCGTCCACGCCTTTCCCGGCCAGCTGACCGGAGATCGGGGTGCCCTGGGCGGCCGGCGAAAAAGCGCCGTTGATATCGTCGCTCGCGAGAACCAGTCGCCCGCCGCGGCACGCGAGCGTCCCGCTGGTGCGCATGGTGGCGCCAAAGGGCAGCCCAACCATCAACGAATCGCAACGGAGATCGCGGTTTTCCGCAACGCCGTTTTGCACCAGCAACAGCTCGCCGTCCGCCCAGGGGCCCTGCAGCGCCAGCGCCCTTCTCTCGTTGTCGGCGAGCGTCGCCTCCGAGTCCGCGTCTTCGTGAGCCTCTACTTGTTCGCGCATCCCGCCGAGGTGTCCTGCTTTGAGAACCTCGGTGAGTTTGGGGTCTTTCAGGAAAGTCTTCAGATATGCACCAACGTCCTGAAACTTGTAACCGCCGTTCTTCTTGCTCGTCCGCAAAAGGTCCTGCGCGTCACCACTGAGGTTTACTTTCTCGGCTGATATTTTCGCCCCACCTCCATCAATTTTCGCAGCGCGGTCCGCCGCTTCCGTCGAGGAGAGTTGGGCCGCCTTGGTGAGCAACTTTTCTAAAGCTGCCCTCCGCGTATCGACCAGCGTCTGGAACTGTTTCTCTACCCGGGTCTCGGGATCCGCGAGCACGATGCGCCCCGCATTGGGATCGAGAACGAGGGTGAGAAAGAAGGCATCACTCGCCGCCCCGGCCGCTTTGTGGTACGGGTCGACCGCTCCGGACACATCGCCGAGGGCCTTCCACGCCGCCATTTTGGGGGTGCGTTCCTCGTCCAGAGCGGACCACTCGAATTTGTACACGCCCGGGCCACAGCTGCCCGAGGAGTACTTCTGGCGCATGAAGCCGTACACTTGGTTCACGCGCTCCTCCACACTGCGCAGCACCCCCGCTTGGTTGATCTCGCCGCGGAGGTAGCGATCGGGGACGTCGTCCAGGCTCAGCAACCGCCATATGGGACTCTCAAGCGTTACACTCTCAACTGTTACATGAATTTGTCATGCTAAAGCACCATCATCATCCACACGATCAAGCTGCTTCGCATGAAAACGCATGAAAAAAATGAAAAATCCCTGTTTCCACGGCTGAGGACCGGCAGGTAGTGGGCGCAGGCGTTTGAGACGAAAAAAAAAACTCAGCCGATTTTGAAAAAATGGCCAGCGTCCTGATACTATAAAACGCATGAAAAAAATGAAAAATACCTGTTTCCACGGCTGAGGTCCGGCAGGTAGTGGGCGCAGGCGCTCGACACAAAAAAAAAAAACTCAGCCGATTTTGAAAAAATGGCCGATTTTGAAAAAAAAAACTTAGCCGATTTAATTTGCGAAGGGCTAAACGGCATGAAGATCTGTGCCAAATTTGTAATGCGAGAGGCGCCAGCTACCTTCTTGCACTTTTCCTATTCTTTTTCTTGCATCACAAATTCATGTAGCAGTTGAGAATGTAACGTTTGAGAACGCCATACGCCACATGTCCTCCCCGCCCTCCGCCACCGCGCGCAGGATCGCGTCTCGCGTTTCGGCTTGCCTCTGGAAGGTCCGCAGAAACGGAAAGGTGGCATGTGCCACGGGATATATTTCTTGCACAAGAAGTAGACGCAGGACCGCGAGCACGCGAAAAAACACCGACGTCAACATCGCCAACCGAAAGGTCGTGGACATGTCTTCGTTCAGGGTTGTGCTTGTGCAGCTGCTTCGGTGCTTATCAGACCAGGGTTAGCGTTGCCGCCTCCAGACTGAGTGCTAACATAGTAGTTCTAAGTAAGTGATTCACCCCCACGCTGGGCGTCATGTCCTAATTTGAAGATAAGCAGATCATGATCAATAAAAAAGGTTTTTTTGTTCTGTTTTTTACCTATAATTCTTCCTGGTGGATCCTCATGCTATACGCAACGAGAACGACCATACTAGAACTAGCCACCACGACATCAATTCCCGAAGAATATTTTTCATCTTTGACCGGACTTCTGGGTGGGGCCAATCTACGAACATCAAGAAAGTCCGTTCATACTTTGTCAATCTAGCGGTAACACATTTTGCTAATTTGCTCTCTCATCTCTTTCTCTCCTCAGCTGCTCATTTCAGTTACTTGTCGAGAACGCTCCAGGGCACCGGCTCAGATTGATTAATTTTCCTCGAAACACACGAAAATCTTTGCGACGACAAGAAGAACATACGAGGAATTCGGCAAGATATCGTGCGGGTCGACCCTGCAACAAATTTTTATTTGTGATTAGTTTTTTTCGTTTTGCACCCGTGACTACTAAACACGAATCACCTTCAACATTTGGTCGTAGTCCTTATCCAGTGGCGAGTTTCTGCAAAAATTACAGTAGCATGGCTCAGACGGAGCGATGAGGATGACCGACGAAATGTAGATGATTCTTATGTGAAGAGTATGTCTGTGCTCGAAGAAAATAGATATAGAGAAGGAGAGCGGATGCTGATCATAGGTGATCAGAAAAGCAAACTGTATGGACTTCATGCTGTAGAAAATGCAAAAGCAGAAGTGCTCGTAGAGCTAGAGAAGCCACAGTGGGTACGGGAGCTAATGGCCTCCTGCCATCTAATATCGTCCCCTTGTTGTCTTTTTTTATGTCATCATGTATGCATTAAACCTTCGTTAATTTTGTTGATGAATCCTAGCTGTAGTTTCTGTGTGATAGATTGGAAATATTGAATCAAGATCGCCATCTTTTTTAACATATTTGTAAGCGCCAAGGACATTGCAACACCGCAATTGCAAACGTACTAGTAAATCAACAGCGCGGAACGACAACTCATCTGCAAAGAAAGGAGTAAAACAGTAGTTCACGACCATTTTGTGAGATTCCGTCGGTGCTGCTGTTCCTCTTCCTTCTCGTTCGCGATCACTACCTTCAAGAGAAATGTGGATAAGGATATCGAATGATAATGAAGGAAGTCGTTCTCGTCGTTCTTACTTGCACAACATCAAAAATCGTGCTCGTGCACCACCTTAGCAGCAGCACGTCCGCGACGGTTTTTCCGACTTCGTCGATCCCCGATCCCCCGAAGAGGTTGCGGTCGCTCTGGCAGAATTCGACGGGCGCGACGCGCGTCCACTGTCCACCACAACCGCGCTGTCCGCCTGCCCTTCCGCGTGTGTCGCGGCCGCCTTCTTCTTCGCCGCGTACCGAGAGCCTCCGACCGTCGGCGGCAAATCCTTGATCTCGTACGTGGTGTGAGTGGGGGGCCCGCCCCCGGCGGTCGAATTCATCGCGTACGCACTGGGAATCAACTTGTTGATCCCGCCCGGAACCGCCCCCGGTACCTGAATGGAATTGATATTTTGATTTTGAGCACTATTATAATAATTGTGGTTGCTGTCACTGTCTCGGTGACATATAGCAAACTCACTAGTAATGTTGGAACTAGCATCAATTCAATAGCAATATTACCTCCAATGGAATTCAGTGGACATTTGTATGTAAAAGTGCAAATAGAAGTGGGTACCTGCATTTGAGCCGGCTTCGGAGAAGTGGGAAGGTCCGAGTGCAGCTCGTAGTTCGATGGCGGAGGCAATGGCATTTTGTTTGTCGTGGGGGTGTTTCTCACGACAAGCGAGACGGACTTTTGTAACGTAGGCGAGAAAGTTGACGCGCGGAGTTTTAGTTCGGAACAAGCGCAATTATGGTGAGTGAGTTTCGCTTTGTAGTGTGCGGTTCGAGGATTCTAGTACATGCAGTTGTCTTTTCAATCAGCGAACTTCTACTTATTGTTATTCAACAAGGTAGAGAGACGAGAGAAAAGGTGGGGCAATGCTTGAGCTGAGTTGATAGTTTTACAGGAGAAACCGTCTTGCGCTAGAACAAGACAGAGGGACGAACGTTTTTCCAAATGCTTGGTTTGTGTCTGGGAAGACACCACTACACGATGCAAATTGGCACGAGCACACTGACCGATATGCTTCTGTGTTGCACGACCGACTACATACACAACCGGCAGTTGTAGTTGCGGTTGCACTGTAGATGTACGAGGAGAGTGGACGTTATCAAGACAGAGCACGAGGGTACTACCACGATGGACCGATAGGTCTTCTCCAGGCATGAAGACGATGACAAATTTTGCCAGGCATGACGAACGAAGAAGTACGTAGAGGTGGTGCACTATTTTTGGTAGCTTTTCATAGCAACCATAGTCTTGACGCTGGACGGTTGTATCAGTCATTCGGTTGGTCGAAGTCGCAAGGCAGGACACGACCACCAACAACTTGAAAATACGAAGCACGAGATGTTTTAGTTTTTGGTTTCTAGGTAGTAGAAGCACGTCGCACGGCAGGAGCTCACTGAGAAACTGCCACCAGCATTTGCAATTATCAATGTGCAGCATGTGCAGTCACTGTGTTAAAAAAACAGCGGCTCTACAACTTATCAAGCATGTGGAGCGTGAGCGTGGTGTGCATCTACGTGCTGTTACAAAATTAAGGAGGCCAAAAGCAAGGAAACTTTTTACTCACATGTTTGAGCTTGCCAGCCGAAATTTTCGCTGTTGCAAGATGTCGATGATGATTGTTCAAAAGGTACTACACGCAAAAATAGACATGTTTAAGTAATTGTATCATGGATAAGTATGCAATAAGTTTTGTAGTAAACTAACATCACAATCACAGAACAAGAAGCTGTTCGTAGTGCATGTGTTCGTCGTGCTGGTGCATCATGAAAACACAATTTCTTTTAGCATCCTCCGCAAAACAAGCAGCAATCGCGCTTCTTCGGTGCCGGGTTGCTGTTGGATTTGCGGGCACTCGGTGGGCGCACCATGGGATCCATGCCTGACATAGGCTGCTGGGATGGGGGCCTGCTTCCCATTTGGCTCGTGTTCGCAGCGGAGAACCGTCCGGCGGAGGAATTCGCACTCTTCAGATAGGATGGTAGATCCTGTTGAACAATGCTGCCCTGGGACAGAGCAGAGGGTACCTGAATTTGTTTTTGAGCATGACCAACTTCAACAAATTTGAAATTCACGTGTAACTATATCGTTTATCATTTTGATGCCGTGGGCAAAAAACAGGAGGTGCGTTGGAACAAATGGAGTTTTCGTCAATCCAGGACTAGGGTTAGATTTCCTACAAGAAAAAACTTTACATCAGCAGGTGCTAGATGTACCGCGTAGTTGTCCATAGCCATGTAGGACACGGGCGCCGAGTGTAGGCTGTAAGCAGACACCGGATTGATCGGTTGGCCCTTGTTGCTGACCCGCTGCTGCTTCCCCTTGCTGCTGCTGCGCCCATCCTTGCCCTTGCCCTTGCTGCTGCTACGAGCCTTGCCACTCTGGCGCTGCTGTTGCTGCGGGGCGGACATTGTCGTGAGTGTGTGTGCGTTCAACGTTCAACGTCCAAGCAGATGAACTGTCAAGAATTGTTTCTCAGACGAGGAGTTCGGTTCTGCAAAATAACTTCAATAATTATGCGTCTATAAAATCAGTGCTAGCTTCTATCGTTATGGAAGAGCTAGAAATTTGCTTAATTGTTAAGGCGGGAAATTCAAAGTATGAAATAGGAAAACTGTTGAGAATTAGATGAGCTGAGATGTTCGCGTTTCTGCATCATCTGCTGATATATTTTTCTGTATGTCTCTAAAGCACGACGAGGAAAACCGATATCAATGTTGTTTCTCGCTTGTAATCACCGAACGTAGGGGGCAAGAACTATGCAAAACCGAAGTTTACTAGACAACTCATTCTTACCGATTGATGGTATCGCACGAAAATACGCATAGCCGTAAAGATGTGACCATGTTGATAACGACCGAGCAGGTATTGACGAAGTTAGAAGAAATGGTAATCGGCAGACACACGTAAAACAACAATACGACTATCGAGGACACCGAATCGGTACTGCTTGGCTCCTCATCTCAAACCGAAATTTCGTCGCTTGAGTGAAAGTTGCTACGTACGAAATGGAACCGATCATGTATTGGTGGAATAAGAAGACTTGCACCCCGACAGTATCTGTATCATTTTGCCACTGCTGGCACGACAACGTCCGAACAACAACAGGAGGAACAGGAACTACTAGCGTTTTTCAATCATCAATTCTTTCAAAATCAAAATTCGCGCGCATACGCTGCAACGGTTGCGAGGCCTTCCAACAACAACGATTTATCCATTGACTTTCCTGTCTCTCTTGAAACCTGGTCATCGAATGCACTTGAAACATCTTTTATTTTCGATGATCCCCAAGGACCATGGCGAGTTCTTGTAAGCAAAGAATGGAGTGCGAAGACATATAGTTCATCGGTATAATTGAAAGAACTGAGATGCCCGACCCCGATGCTATGGTTGATGCATACATAGCTGCCATAGGTTTTCGTTTTCTTGGTTTCTTGATAGCCGGCTTTGGCTGCTGCATTTTGAAACATCGTGCTAGCAAAATTTGAATCAACATTCATCGATAAGAAACGCATCTCCTACTACCAAGCATGCGTAGCAGGCAGCAAAAACAGTTCAAAAAGCTCATCGGTGGCATTCATTCGGACAATATGATAAGCTCAAAGTCAAAAGTGGAAACGGGATGAAACGGAAACGGAAACGCACATAATCGAAGAGCATGACTCTGACAGTGTCAATTCAACAAGTAGCTTTCAGACCGTAAGCAAAATCAAAGTTAAGTTTTTTTTTTGCGGATTCAAACATTATACAGTTGCATCAATCTTCATTTTGTTCATCTAGAATGCTGCACCAGCCGGTCGAGCGATGGTGGTGAATTCTGGCTCGGGCATCGGTTCCTCTTGCATGAGCGGCTGCTGCTCCGCGAAATCATAGAATCCGCCATACTCGTCGGGCTCCTTCAACAACAGACGGTACAATAGGCCAGCGATAAAGATGGAAAACAGGGATAAAACCTGCAGTTCGGTTGTTTATAAATCATTTCCATTTGAAGACGTTTCAAAGTATGCCGTGACTTTTCGCAGAAACTTCGGGCGGTATGTTATTACGATGCAATTGCCAAGAAGGCAAACTAGAAGGACAAGCATGAAAAAAAAGGCCAGTTGTGAGAACAAATTTCAGTACCCCGACGTCTGCGTAGAAGAAGCGATCTGCGAAGAAGGGCTGGGGTACCAATAGAACGTACCAAGCGAACAGAATGAAGAGAATGCTCAAAGCAATTGGGGTCCAGGCGGGGCGATTGGTCAAGGTGCGCTTGATCCAATCTTCTCGGTGACCAAAAACAACGTACCCCGTATCAAGCACCAAGAAGGTGACCAAGACCAAGCCCACAAGCGCATTGGCGTATTCGTGTCCAAACTCGGATATCGCCTTGAGCGGTTCCTCGGTGAATGCCGGGATGCCACCCGTGGGGGGTGGTGCGCCGGTGGCCGTCCCCGTCGGAGCGGTTACCACCGTCACGACGAAAAACGCCAAAATCGCGACACTCGGCGTTAAGCGAAGCAAGGCGTACTTGGCAAAACGCAGTAGCTCGCGAGATTCGACCAGGTTTTCTATCGTTTCAGGCCGGTACGAAAAATCGTACAGCGAGATCGCAAAGTTGATGACGGAGTACAGGATCTGCAACGAGAACGATACCAACTGCACCAACGCGATCCACCACAGATCGAAGTTCATCTGTCAAAATGGTTTTTCTTTAGTCGAAGGGCATGAGTACTTGCGGAAAAAGTGTAACAAGGTCAGTAGGAGTAGGGGAAGAAATGAAAATCGCCTATACTTAAACTTCTATTTCTATTACCAGCCTGCAGGCGTTCGTCGTTCTAAAGACAAAACAGACGAGCGCGGCGAAGGTGACGAACAGAATCTGCGTGAAGACCGTCAAAAACTTCATGCCGTGGCCATACCACTGCGCCGGACCGCCCTTTTCTGCAATGCTGTTGTGATAACGCGACCACCGGGTGTGCAAGAGGACGTCAAACCCGGCGCCAAATGTCACGAGCAGCTGATAGACAAACCGGCCTTCCGGGGAGCAGGAGGACGTCACCTCCTGAGTCGACAAAATCGTCACGACGGCAGTAAGTAAGTCGACCAGTAGAGCTGTTGGGAAGTTTTTCGTGTTGGTTTGCTTCACGATCTTCATCAACGCTCAACAAGGAGATCCAATCAGTCCTCAGGGAAAATCTAAATTTTATTGAGTACGGGAACTTAACAAGCCACAGAAAGAGCTCCCCGCCTCACCGCTCTGCTCATACGTTCACAAAAACAATGAATTTGCATTTCTACGGATCAACATTCGTAATCGTATGTACCAAATCCCACGAGAGAGGGCTTCCAGCTCCTCAACGGGCGGGAGTAGGCCATCGTGTCGTGGGTGTACATGGAAGTCGAGGCCGAAGACATCGCGAACGTCAAAGGGCCACCAAACACTTGGTCCACCGACGGCGCCCGGTTCCACATTTCCGTTGACCGGGCCTTGAAGTCGGGAATCATGTAACCGAACCGCCCGAAGGAGTGCGAATTTGAAGAAAAATTGCGCGAAGATGTTGAGTTCGAGTGGCCGTTGCTAGTGTTCTGCGCCACTGACGCGCTGGAACTACCGCTGCCGCTCTCGCCATGATCCCCGTTGTTATTTCTTGCTGCCCTCGAAGGAGTAAACACATCGTACCAGGCTGCATGTCGCATCGTTGGTGTTTGGTCCGCACGATGATCCGGATTCGTGAACTCGTTCACCTCGTCGCTACTTCCGCTGCGTCCGTTCGTACCATTGCTCTCGTCTAGCACGTCGTGCTGCACCACGTTCACTGTCTGGCCGCTCAAGTCGAGTCTTGGAGATTGGGCTTTGTCGTTAGGTAGTACCATCTTAGTTCTTGTCTGTCGATAATGAGCAAGCTGCCGCTCGTGCGGCCTTTCTTGTTTCCGCACTGCTAGAAGAAGTAGGAAATAGAACAAAGTTGATGGATATCTATTGAAGATTGATGTTGCGAATTGAACGCCGGTAGTCTTGTTACTTCTTTCTCAATACTGCAATTGGAAACGTCCACCTGCTGTGTGGTAATCGAAAACGATCATCCATCCCATCTTTTTGGATTGGAATCACCTCTCGGCGACATCCCTCGGCCTCGTTGTCATTGCATCGCTTCACACTCGAACAGAAACACGACACTCATGTCGGGAACGCAGCGAGCACTCGAATGTTTCTTTTTGTTTTCGATTTGCGAAAAAAAACGACAGCTTACGGAAGAGTAACATTAAGATACAACACACATACGACCGGCAATATCAAGACGATTGTTGGAGACGCGACGCGTTCCGTGTGACCACGCTCCCGCTGCCGCGGTACTGGTATTGTCCTGTTTGACATAACATTACTTTGATATCGCAACAAGAATAGATCCGAAGACTTCATTCCTTCAATCTGCTTCAACAGACACGATAGGTTCGGGTGCTGCTACATAAGGGAAAATTGCGAGGCATCACATCTTCATGAGCAGAAGCAAATTCAAGAGCCTTATTAACTTTGGTACATTCTGGAACATAGACATACATAGAAGTGTCTAGATATCAACAGGCGCTACTAGTCGTGGTGTACAAAACAGAAAGATGTGGCAATCGAAGAGAGAAATCTGAAAGTCGCTGAAATGCTGAGATTTTTCGAGTATGAAGGTAATAGATACTCACAAACACACAGGGTGACGCTTCACAGCCTTTGCAAAAAAGCACCAGAAGTTGTAGATAGACGGAGCTACAACAGAAAATTTATGTTAACTGTTGCGCTCAGTGTCTACCAAGGCCACCAATCACAATCGGGGCCCAGCTTTTTGAGTTTGAAGAGAGAAGTGCAAGAAGGCATAGATTTCAAGAGATCGCCTGTTTTTGGTTGTTACTTGCTACAGAAAAAACCAATTACCACCTGATGGAGTACGACATTGTAAACTTGAGACGAAGTAGGAGGTTTTCCAGACGGCATTTAAAATCGGTAACAGTAAGGGAGTCACTAGTTAGTATGAGAGGAAAGCGTAAGCGGCCGGGTTTAAAGGGAAGGAAGTAGCTTTAGTACGGCACATCGATCTCCGTTTACTGACCTCCGCCCCGAAGTCAGTGGTTGATTTCCTCGTGATGGTGATTGCGATATTTACGAAATTGATATAGCGGTCGTGTCGCCAGCTCAGTGAGTAGCTTCCTTGAGTACGTCGAAAATGTTTTCGGATACAACAGAAGATGAACGAAGACATAAATCATAATGCAAAATTGCAGAAACGTTGACGCTCCGATTTTTCGATGCCTACGAAATTGAATGCCAAGTCCTGACAACATCGAAGCAACTAGCGAGACCTGCTCGCTCGTATAATTGGATTTGGATATCTTGTCTTGACAGCACAGAAATACGCCGCCTGGTTGATAATGACAGATACTAGTACAAGTAGTAAGGTGCAACTTTTATTTAATTTCCTACTTGCGAGAGTTGTTACCCTGTTTTCTTCCGATCGAGAATCATTCCATCGATACCTTCGCTATGCTTCACCGCCTATCGGAGTAGCGCCCTCTTCTGGGGTTTCCATCCGCGGTTCTTCTCGTCCAGCAGCTAGCAGGTCGTACGGTTCGTCGCCTGGCGGCCGACGAATCAGTGGGATGTCCCCGGAGGGTTCGTTGTGGTGGTTGTTCTGCTCAAAGATTGACGATCCGTTCAGTGATACTTCTGCTCCGACCTGCGAAAGAGCTCCAGGAACAGCAGCGGAAGCTTCTGCACGACCTTGTAGAGCGCAACTTTCTGGTGGCTTGTTTATTTTGGTATCAACTTTCGGCGGTGTAAATACCGTCTCCTTGCGCTGATACTTCGTGGCCCGTCCCGCACTTCCCATCATGTTGCGCCGAAATTTTCCATCGCTGTGATGCTCGTTGAGCAGCCGCGGTGTGTCGGCGGCGATGTCTTTGTTCAGATGTTGGTTCTCGCCAGAAATCCGTGCTTGCGGCAGCACCGGCTGGAACAACGGGTTCTCGTTTTCCTTGTTGCCGAAGCTGTTTGACCGGCCGCGTTCCGCGGTTGCAGGTGGTGGCTTATTGATTGCGCCGGAGGAGGTGCGCACCTTGTTGATGCTGCCTAGCTGCTCCTGAGCACGGTGGCTGAGAGGAGCACCAAAGTTGGTGCGTGGCGTCCTGTCGCTTCGCCGGCTAGCACCACTCAATCGGCTCGGATCGAAGACGCGTTTCGCTTGCGGTTCCCCTGCTCCTGTGGGCTCCGGCGGTTTGTTCCTCTCGAAACTGGTATTGGTGGTATGATTTTTGGGGCCGCGGGGCAGACGAGAATTGAGTGTGGTGCCGAACGCAGGCCTGGCTCTGGGCGGGTCTAGTACCCCGCTAGCGTTTCCGAGCACCAGACCTCCTGTTGTACCAGATGACGAGGAGTTCGAGTTACTTGAGGAGGACCCACCACCAGCCGCGACAGCAACTTCTTGTAGTTCCTGCGCCACAGCAGAACTACCACTGGCACTGTCACCTTGCTGTTGAAGTTGCTCACTTGCCGCTCCTTCTAAAGGACTGGGATCGTGACTGGAGGTTCCACCTCTGCTTCTTGAGCGGACCACCGTCCTGCGCGCCACGCCCGGGACGCCTGCTTCGCCGCTCCCCTTGCGTGGTGGCAGCGAGTCGTCTCGCCGGGTACTGTCCTCCGCTCCAGCCGAGGTCAGGCGCTTCGGCAGCTGGTAGAGTCGCGTGTCCCGGGGTTCCGTCAGGGGTGGTTTTTGCACGACGGGGAGGTTGCTGCGGTACTGCGGAACTGGCCGAGCGCGAAACTGCAACTGCTTCCGGTGCCTCTCCAACTCCGCGCGCTCCGCGTCTGCCCGCGCCCGAAGCTCCTCGGCCTTCTGCTCGGCCCGCTCTGCCATGCGTTCCTTCTTTTCCCGCTCATAGTCCTCCCGCTTCACTGCTTGTCGGTCGCTGTGCAATTTGACTTCCATTGGAAGCGTGCGCCTCCGATTCTGCTCCACATGATTGATCGTAGGCGGTCTGCAGTTTTATTAGAGTGGTTGGCTGGACGAGAATAAATCACAATGTAAACAATCTTCTACGATCTCTACGAAAGTCAAAGATGTGATACTGAAAACATGTTGACGGATCGTCTTTTAGTTTTACGGTAATTTCAACATCAAGGAGCGATACTTGGGATGCAAGACAGAGTCCGGGACCGGGCGCGCTTTGAAGGGTTGCGGGCTGTCGTCCATGTGACTGCGGCGGCGCGGCGTCGAGCTCCGGCGTCTCTGACTCTCTTCGAGCCCCTTGAACGGGACCGGATCCGTGATGGGACGGGGCTCAATTGCTGGCGCAAGCCACTTCGATCGCAGCTCCTCGTACTGGATGGGTTTTGCCTTGAATTTGGTGTCAAACTTTTGCGGCTCCGGCTTCCGAGAGAAGTTGCTGGTACTGAGGCGAAATTCCTGCACCTTGTCCACAACGGAAGTTCGCCTTTGCTCCGTGCTGCTTAAGTCCGGCCTCCACGGTTCGGAGAAATCAGGCACTGGGTTTGCCTGATGATGAGAATTTTTGTCGAAAAGCTTCTTCAAGAAGAGCCTGTGCCTGAGCCTGATCACATATCAGTGTCGGTCATGAAAATTACGTACAAGAACGAAAGTGTGACATCAGCTACGTACTCGTTTAAAAACTACGTGCAACAGCGTCCAGTTTGGGTAAAAGGTACCTTGTATGGCTCGGTGACGTTGCGCTTTGCCTTGTCTTCCTGTTCCTTTTTGACGAGAAACCTCTTCAGGGTGTGGGTATCGTCGTTGGTTGAGAGTCGAAACGGTTTCGGTTTTGTCGGCGAAACTTTTGGCTTTTCGGGCGGCTGCGACGGCTCATACCTAGAAGAAATTGGCTCAGGGAGGAATACTGTCTCACTTTCGCTTTCTTCGCACGGTGGTGCAGCTATTGCGGGATTAATATTTCATTCGTCATTGGCATTCATGTTCATGATAGCAGCTTTCGATAGTGATAGAAGAGGCACATCAAGCACAACAAAGACGTAGGTACGTGGTCTGTGGCAAATTGCGGGCTCGAAAAGCAGCTTCGGGAGCAGTGGAATCTACAGAGGACGCGGCTGAATGCACTCCCGAGGTGCGTCTGGTTTGCTCCGTCAGCTTGAAAGGCTCAGGCTCCGTCACTGGTCGTCGCTCGACGGAGCGATTCACAAATTGATTGCTGTAGTCGGCGACCGGACGAGCAACAAACGGAACATACAAGTCGCGCTCCCGCTCTTCCAGGATGGCTTGCTTCACTTCTTCGAACTTCGCGTGGTGTTTCTGAGCACGGTGTTCTGTCGCCAGTCGCGGCTCTTGTACCTCGGTGAGCTCAAATTCCGCCGGCCGCACTTCGAATTTCACACGATCAAAATCGGGCATCGGCATTGCCTTGAATTTCGGACCTGTGCCACCCGCATCCTCCGCCTCGTTTCTGTTTGCGCTCTCGCCCCGGGCTTTGGAACCTTACAGGGATGCAAATGAAAGTTAAAGTTTTGCTTTTATTGCTTGTCGACGAGGGATACCCATACACTTACTTGAATATTTTTCAACACATTGCTATAATAAGTATCGACTGCACTTAACGCGTCGCAAAACTGTCAGTACCTAGAGAAAGCCGCGGAGATACAGGTTTTGTGGCAACAAAGCTTCTGCGCCGTGGAGGAAGTTGTTCTGGCTCGAAGGTGGTTTGCGGCAGAGGCAGTGCACGGAACTTTCCTTTGGACGGGTCCGGAGAGGCGCTCCGTCGTGGCGTGTTTTGACGGCTGCTCAGGCGAAATGGTTTTGGCTCTGTATTCGGTCGTCGATCGACACTGTGCCGCATCCCGAGGTCTGCATAATGACCGATATCACGAGCCTTGAACCCGTTGGCTAGAGCGATTTCTTCTTCCTGCTTCCGCTGCAAGTCTTCTCGCAACTTGTCGATCTTTTCGCGGTGCCGCTCCCCCCGCTGGTCCGTTTTCAGGGAGAAGGGATCCGGCTGTACCACATCGCGTTTCGGGGTCTGCACGCGCGAGGGAAAGCTGATTTGGTAGGTAGATGGGGGCGGCGGGCGCGCTTTGAACTTGTACGCCTGCTCGGTGTTGGAGCTGGACGCTGTCGCTGACGAGGAGGACCTTGTGCCACCACCGGTGCTTCTCGTTGATGCCGTCGCAACGCGGGGCACCAGCTTCGATGAACCCCCGTGCGAAATTTTCGGCGCTGAAGCAGAGGACGGCCCTTGGTGCGGAGGGGGGTTCACGTGTTTGCCGGATGATTTTCTGACTGTTTGCCCGCCTTGCTTGCTGTGGTCGTAGTCGACGGACGCATTCAGACGCAAAACGTCGCGTGATGAATTCAAATGTTGTGGCACGTAGTTCTTGGCCCTCTTGGCCAATTTTGCAACACCGGAAGGAGCGCTCTGCCGGCAGACTTGCGAAGATTGGACAGGAGCTCCGGGGCCCCCCGCCCGTGCGGCATCGTCCTTCGCATGAGATCTTGCGGTGGCCTCAACAAATGGCAACTCGTCATCGAGGGGACTTGAGTAGACCAGGTTCGTCTGTCCGGCAGTAGCTGCGGTGTCGCGATGCTGAGGCAGCTGCGCCGACGTTTTGCCATTGTATTTCGGGGAGGAAGTAGAAGTGTCACGATCAAGCGCACCAGGATTCTTCGTAGAGGAACCAGACGAGGAATCGCTGCTGCCACCAATGGTTTTTTCGAGACACATCCTCGTCGTAGCCGTGGACGCGCTCGGAAATAACGGAGCGCCAGCGGAAAAAGTAGAAGCTGCAGATGCGGGCCCTGGAGCTGCACCTCCTGGAGCCGCTGGTCCTATTGCATCTTTTGCCGCCGCTGTCGAACCTGCTTGCACCACAGGCCGTCGATCTGCAGCAGCAAGCGAGTTCGTTCCTTCTCCGTTGTGCGGTCGTGTGATTCCGGTCGTGGCCGCACCCTTCGAGGAGGTAGCAACAGAGACTGACGGCGCGGAGTCTCGCGAGGCTCGATGCTGATCCTTTACCTTGCGGACTTTGCTCCACATGGACTTCACGCGTTCACTAAGGGCAATAGCGGAGTCCTTCCTGGCGTCCTCGTGGCAGGCTGCCGCGTCCTGCATCTCGACGTCCGGCGAACTACTTTTATGCGAGATCGTCGTAAACGCCTGGTGGTTTTCGTCGCTTCCATCCGAATTCATTCGAAAGACCACGGGTCCTTTCGCACCACGCGACGACGTTTCGGCGTCGAAGCCTGTGTTTGCAGCCGCGGCCGACGACGAGGGGAAAGACGGATGTTGAAGGGCCGACGAGTGCTGAGTAGTACGTGCGCCCCCCGCCGCCTTGAGTCGTTCTTGACTGTTTATCCGGTGAATCATCTGACTCACCTTCCCAACACCGACTCCCTCAGGTCCTCGCTCCTGTTTCACGGGATGCGGCGTGCCACGCACCTTTTTTTTCTCGCCTGAATTACTAGCGGAGAACGCCCTCCTGCTGGGGGAGCTGTCAGGCGTGCTACGAATCGAGACGCGCCGCGGTGGCGGTTTGTGGTCTGCGCGAGAGTCGGAGGAAAGTGTCATCCGGGCCGCAATCTTCAGCGCGCCACCGCTAGTACCCGCTTCCAAGCCCTGCGACAGCTCTTCGCCGTCGGGCTTTCTTTCTGATGAAGCTCCCAGTAGCTGCGCTGGTGCAGGGGAGTAGAATTCGTGCTGGGCGGAACCAAAAGTACTTTTGTACGATTTACTTCCCCGATCATTTGGCGTGTGCATGGCTAGCCCCGGCGAGCAACCCGGTGTTGCTCCTTGGGGGGACGAAGCCATTTGAGTCGCGCAAGAAGAAGGCTCGCGTTCGTGGTCCTCTGCGGTCGCGTACAACCTTAATCTGTGCACGTTAGACCCCTTTTTTTGTGCCGAGTTCAGTATATTGTATTCTTTTTTTAGCAAAAAACAGTCAAACTCAAACTCTTCCTAAATCCTGCTTCGTCCACAAAGCGAAAACAATGAGAACAGACGAAAAAGAACGCAGAAGATCTAGTCAGCGCTTTTGTTCCAATCGATATTGCAGGTCTTCTTGCTTCTTACTCTTAGTCTAAATTTACGGAAGCCACTGCACATTCGATTGCGACAAGCGAAACAACATCAAACTTCTGGCTACTTCTAGTACTACACATTCTCAAGCACATCTGACACTCTCGAGGTCTACTTGTGGTTTCGAGATTATTCGAATGTTAACGACGAGAGGAAGATTGAACAACGGGCTGCAATGCAGCATACGTGATGACAATGCTGATACTTTGTAATCTTTTGGGGCGAGCACGAGCGAGGGTCATGCTTGAGCTGGCGGTATTTCTACGTGTGTACTTGCATCTAGAAATACACGGATTTCGGATTCCACAAAAATTCGCTCAACATAGGTGTTTTTTTACAAAAATTGCGAATCTTCTCCTCGAGCTTCGCGACAACATGTTGTATGGCTATGGGTTCTATTCAAAATGGCAGAGTCAGACACTACAAAAGGAAATCTTTTTGATTTCATTTCGTCTTCTGATCATAGTAACTGATAGATTGTACAGAATTGAACATAAAATCCAATTGTCAAATTGCAGAATGCTTTTTGCTGATATGCGTATCAAGTAGTTACAAACATGTACAGATTCACAGCGCGCTGCGCGAGGAGACTGCGACTGCCAACATGATGTCTGAGACGAAGAGAATCCGTTTCCGATTCGTAGCAGAGTAACGCAATGACGAGACGCCCCTACTTACAGGGCATTGAGCAGCGCCACCACACCTTCCGCGTCGTAACTCTTCGCGATCTGCAGGAGATCCCGGTTTTCTTTGTCGCTCTGCCGAAGCAACGACTCACGATACGCGCCATTCTCGTGCTCCAGTAAAATTTTGCAAACAGCCGTGCGATTGTACTGCGCTCCGAACATGATCGCCGACTTATCTTCCGTTGTACGCGCATTCAGCAACTCCCACGCACTGAGTGAACGGGTGTCGGAAGCGGGCCCTTCTACTTCCGACGGCTCGACATTGTCCGGTGTAGGTCGGAGCTCGACTGCTGGAGGTGCTTGTAGTTGTTCTCTATGTTGGTCGCAACAGCTGAGCATTAGCCGCACGATGATTTCGAGGCCGTGTCGCGAGGCCAGCATGAAAGGGGTTTCGTTACCGCTGAACTCGTTTTTGGCCCGGATGAGTTGCGCCGCGTATTTTCCCCCTTGGTACTCTTTCAAAAGCCACTTGATAAACCCGATGTGGTTCCGCCGCACGCCTAGCATGAAGGCCGTCATGCCCTTGAGGTCTTTGTGGTCAAACAGCCGCGAGACCAGATCCAGGTCGTCACTACTTTTCGGTGTACGACTCATCGGAAGTAGCGAGTTCTTGCGCAACGGGACGGCATCGGCTTCACTCTTGTGCGGAATCCGACTCAACCCGCCGGTCACAGGTGCGGGCGGGGGATCGTGATTGTCGTGGAATTGGCTGCTTTGTATGTTGCCCTTTTCTCCTTGACTCGAACCCGCTGAAGCGTTTGCGTTGGGTTTCGATGGTGATGGCAAGTTATTGACGCCATCTTTGCAGCTTTTAGAAGTTCCGGCGGTAGAGGAGGAAGGAGTGGATGTTGATCCGGCACAAGCACTTTCTTCCGATCTAGATGAGGGCCGCTTGTTGGTGCGTGCTGCTGCTCCGTCATCATTTTTGTTCTTCTCTTCACAGCGAAGTTCATCTTCACCGTTGAGGATTTTTACTGTTGTCAGCGTTGCTGGCGGAAAAGATGAAGCGGCCTCGGCTTCTTGTGCGGGGTCCCCGACAACGCCAACGGAGGGCTTGCTCACCAGAGACAGAGTCGCTGAGTCCTTGCTGCCGACGACGGAGGAAGCGCCGGAACGACGGAGGACCACGGCATCGTGCGTCAGCCGCTCTGTGTCGGTCGACAAAAACGCAACGCGCTCGCTTAGCAGTGCTTTTTCCCGGGCTACTGGATGCGTCGTCGCCGGAACAACAGCCAGGGGGAGGTTGTTTGCGGACAACTCTTCCACAGGCAACTGGACGACACCGGTTTCCACGTCGGCCAGCGAACGCGAGCTCGATCCCACCCACTGTCGTGCCACGCCGGTGGCGATGTAAGCATCCTCATCCGAGGGAACAGTTCCACCTGACCCCGTTCTCGCAGTTCCCGTCTTCCACCAGAATTCGTTGTCGCGTTCGCCACGGCGGCGCGAACTCGGGGAAAACACAATATCGGAAGTTCCTTGGTTGCTGGAGAAAGCCCTCGGCTTTTCGCTATCATGCGCGCAGCAGTCCGCTTCCTTTGTTGCTGCAGCTGGAGCGGTTGGAGTTTTTAATACTTCTGGTGCGCCGCGGCCGCGAGGGGACACAGCAGCAGCTTGCTCAACTCCTCGTTGTGGTGCAGACGAGGTGGACGTCGTCGCTGCAGATGTCGACGAGAACGCTAGATCATTATTGCCCTTAGTAGGCACCACAACTGACGTCGAAACACAAGACGAGGATGAAGCTGCACCGGATGAAGCTGCAGCAGTGTCCACTTGGTCGCTCCGCTCCGATGACATCGCAATATTCGCTTGCTCGTCCTGGATTTTCTTCTGCAGCCGTTTCCTTGCTTCCAGAGCTTCGTATTTGCTGAGCAACATCTTCGAGAGTAGCAGAACGGAGTCCAGGTAAAAAACCACGTCTTGGAATATGGTCCGCTTGGTGATGGCGTCCAGTTCTCGCCACCGCAAGAAGCGAGGGTCTTCCAGAATCGCCTGAATCTGCGCGGTTTTCCACGCCAGGGGCCCGTGCCCGCGAAGACACCCCTGCAAAAGGTTAATGCCGACGCGGCCCCAGTACCGGAAAATGCGGTAGAAACTTTGGTTCAACTCGGTCTCGGACATGTGAAACACGACTTCCCGTGCCTCTTCGACGGTAGACGCGTCCTGCAGCGCGTTGTAAACGTTCGGAATGTGTAACGTGCGAACGAGGACGGATACCACCGGAGGAGAGGAGGAAGGGGAGTTTTCCGCGCGGTGTTCTGAAGGCTCGTCATGCGGTTCCATCTCCGCTTCCTGACTGGTCGACTTCCTGCTGCGCAGCTCTTCGAGTGGCAAAAGTTCGGCGTCAAGAAGCGTTTCGCCGAAGCGATCGGAATCGGGATCGTTATTGGCGAGAAAGCAGAGCGTCGCCGGGACATTGCGGCCTTCTCGGTCACTCAGGGACGCGGCAACCAGGCGCCGAGCATCCGCCACACAGATGAAGTCGTCTGCTGCAAAATCGCCTGAAGAAGATGGGCCGTTGTTTTCTTGTGTGCCGTTACGTGGTTTACTACGTCCCTCCTCCTGGTCGGAGCCATATTCGTCCTGTGTTGCATCCGAACCTGAAAGGATTTCTCGAAGATTCTGTTCCTGCTCGCCTTCCGCCCGTGTTCTTGTACGTTGCTTTATTTCCGCTTTATCAGTCACAACTGCTAGAGGTGGAGCAAAATCCTCTGGTTTTCGCTCGTGCCCGTCGGAAAAATCTTCAGCGATGCTGGCACCGCGGCGCGTTCGAGAGGAAGTTCTTGACGTAGTACTGCTACAAGCTGAACTGTAGTTCAGCACCGGAACGACGGCCATTTTGCCGCAATTCGACCCGGTAGTACTCGAACTTGTCGCATCAATGGGGGTTGAGGCAGACGCGGTGCGGTCGCGTGGCCTCGCGACCGGAGATCTCGTCGGCGAATCCGTCTCTCCGACCACGATGGGATTCCCATCGCGCCGGCGCTGCTCGTCAAACGCAGATGCGGACTCGTGCATGCGGTCGCGCAAATCACCCAGCAAGACCTGCGCATCGGTTGCCGTGGCCTCGCTCACAGTCGGCTCGAGGAGCAGGTCGTTCTGTGTTTTTTAGAGTGATCAGGAGATCACGACACGAGAAAATAGAAGTACTTGATGTTCCCCTTTCCAATTAACTTTAACGACAAGGGAAAACTAGCACGTCGGGCTGATGTTTTTTTAGTAATATGTGACTATCGTCTCAATCAATGTTGGTTCATGATCATGACGCCGTTGCAGCTGCATGAGCATGAGAAGCAAAGAACGATCAAAGAACCTCGAGTAGCTCAGAGCCGTTGCTCCCAGCTTCAACCGCCGCGGAATTGTTCGTACTGGGAGGCGGCTGCGATTCAGGCGACCGTCTCAGATCCAACGGAACCGATATCCGGAGGCAATCACCCGAAGCACGAAACACACTCAACATCTTGCGTTTTGCCACAATTGGGAGTAACAATGCAGAGTGGCAGACAAAATTTCAAAACAAAAAGTCAAAACGCCTAAACGTGCATTTTTATTTCCGAGATGTTGAAATTATTAAGATTTAGAATCAAGTTCCTGAACTTTGTAAACGAGGTACGTTCATCGCGTTCCTTGAGAAAAACGGAAATGGATGTTGACGCCCACCCTTGTTAGCTTCACGTTGACTTCAAGTCTGAAGTGCATTTAGCTTCCTCACAAGCACAACACGAGAAGAGCGTAAAAGAACTCGCGCTTTAGGAGAGGGAAGCCAGTACCTGAAACACCGAGACTGACTGCATTGACATTGAGGCGAGCAAAACAATTATACTTTGTCACACGGATGGGGATGTGACGTGTTGCAGGTACCGATAGATTCGGAGACTATTCGCTCTACTAAACAGAAACACGGACAACAGCACAACACGAAAAAATGGACAGAGATGACACAGGCAAAGAATTCATTCTGGACTAAAAACCGAACCAAAGCCAAAGCTTACAATTTATGAACAACGGCACTTCCTACGGATGATACTTTGAAGCCCGTCCGAAGACGCGCCAATGCGGCTACCCAAGCTTTGTCTTTCACAATCCCACCCGATAGCGATACGGCTGCGCTGCGAATGAATGAGAGCCAAATACCTCCTTGATACTAGCGTTGTTCGAAAACAAACTACGTACAGTCGTCTATGTCTCGCTGTCGCTTATTGCGGATTTCGCTTTGAACGAGATGTATCGTCCGTGCCTTTGGAAGATTTAGGTTGTTTGAAATATCATCCGCTTTTCAAAGAAAGCCAAATGTACATTACATGACTCCGACTTCGTCTCGACGGTGCTGCACCGTCCCCTGGCGCAACAATAAATTATAACGGTTTCATCCCCAGTCGTACATCACGTACTCCGTGTGTAGTAGACGATTCCAATGATCCTACATGTTCGATTTTTCGTGGTCTTGTTTTTTCTGGGACTCGTTTATTCTGGTCTTTCTCTATCATGGCGATGAACACAATTAGCATAATCTTACATTGCTTTACCGCTTTGGCTTTGGCGCTGTGTGAAGATGAAAATTCGCTTTGGCTTTGTCGCAAGGGTGCCATAAAGAACCCTCGATGGAAGATGCGCAGTAGTACGTACCCGGAAGATGGGTAGTTGGTCGTAGAAGACGATCCCGAGTGTAAGATCATCCAACTGCTTGCTCATTCTTGTCTCCACAAGTCGATAGAACCGTTGAGATGAAGTTGAAGGCACCAGAAAGCAGAAGGCCGTTATAATGATGTTCTCCATTGAACGGGAACGTGTCGGCGGCAGCAGGGAAAATGATTTTTGGTGTGCAACAACCAAGGCACGGGCGACGCTTTCCTCTGGACCTACACATCCCGGTCGCGTTCGGCTGGCCGCCGTTTTGAGGCGGACGACGGTAGATTGCTTTCGTCCGTTTCGGATTCAATGCGGACGAACTCGGTTCGTGGCGACTTTGGCTCGAAGTTTGTAAGAAGACTGCTCTGGGAAGATACCGTCGGTACCTGGCTGCGCGTCGACATCGAACCTGTGGACGAGCTGGTGTGGTGGTCGCGCTTTGAAGATGTCGAAGTTATTAGGTGCACGTTTCTTGCGCTAGAGCTAGTACCTACTACGCCGGGCATTGAAAGGACGGAAGATACTATTGTAGGCGGATGATCTTTGCTTCCATTATTTCTGAGCAACGCCGAATGCTCGCCCTCAAGCTGCTTGCTTTCGGGTGAGCGCGGGTTGGGTGGAGCGACGATCTCTTCCGACGTCAACAGCTTCGATTTCTCGTTATTTTCGTCGTCGTCCTCCGGGGTTAACGGACCACCTTCACGTCCAGATGTTGTTTGTAGCAGCTTTGCGGTACTCTCGTCAGCAGGAGCTGCTGTTCTTGCCGCGGCTGTTGTGGAGGTTGTGAGCGGTGGCGGTTCAAACTTTCTTCTGACCTGCTGGCCGCTCGCTGCTGTCGACGCGGCTGAAGCAGTAACCGTTCCTGACGGCGGCCTTTTAGCGGTCTTGGAGGACGCAGAAACGGCAGACGCGGAGGAGGTAGTTGCAGCTGCGCCAAATGCTGGAGTGGTCGAGGCCGAGCCTTTTGTGGACGCCGTGGGGCTTTGACTGGGCGTGCTGTCGATTTCTTCGTCGGCGCCGGCAGGCAACAAGTTCTCGTTTAGAGCCTGGTACTTGCCACGACTGGAGGCCGAGGAACCTCCTCCTGCCGTGGCTGGCAGCAGGTACTTGCCGACCGCGCGAGTGGCTTTCGTTGCCAAAGAGGATCCGGATGTGGCATCGGCAACGCCCGCGCGGCCGCCCCGCGGGGAGAGGCGGTAGTGGTCGGGGTCAATCTTGGCCTCGTCATGAATCTTCACGCGCATCTGCTGACTGGCATCCTCTTCGTCGTCTGTCACCTCATCCAGGAGCTCCTCGTCGTCATCCATGTCCTCGTCTGCGGTAATGCCAACAACTGTGAAATTGTGCTTTGCGTTGGAATTGCTGACTGTGAAGAACAAAGGAGCTCCAATCAAAAATTTCAATATACTTACTTTTGTCGTCCACAACTAAGAGCATCGGCGATCGCGTGGATGCAAGCTTCAGACAAAAAAATTTATACCGCTGCGCATGCGCATGATTCGTTGGTAGAGCTCAGCGCGCAGCGCTTCGGTTGACTCAGGATCCGCAAGCGAAATTGTTTGTCGCGAAGCTGCGGAGCCTCCGCAGCAGAAGAAGCAGGAGCACAGCAGACCGACCCAGGTTTGCGTTTTCACGTCGATGAAGAGTCGGCTGTCGTCAAATTCGGTTGTGATCTTGCCTAGTGTGGTTTCCGTGATGCCCAGGGAGCCCGTGCCGGTGAACACCGTCAGCGAAGAGTTGGGCAAGTTGTCCAGAAGGATGGACCGAAGGTTTTTACGACTGCGCAAGACATAGGGGGCGTTGACCGCAAAAGTGATGTGGTCCACCGTGTCGCGTAAACTTCGGTGTCTCTTCAGAATCGGGTCCCAACATATCTCTTTCTCGCACAGCTCCAACATGCGCTCGATTATTTGAGTCCTGGTTATTTAATCAGACTTGCTGCGAAGATCGAATCCTCAGCGTCACTAAGTGTCACTGTGAGGGACTGAAGCTAGGATGAGAATGAGGATGGCGGAGTAAAAGTATTTGAAACTGAAAGAATAAGGTGTTGCAAATGTTGAAACAGGCAATCAAATGTACCAATTACGTACCTGTAGTGCCGGTTTCGTATGGCGAAGTCGGTGGTCATCCAGCCCAGACTGAGCCAGGCTTTCGGGACGCGTGCGCATTGTTGCGCAAAGAACTCGCCATCTATGAATCGTGGGGCAAAAAAGCCGGGTGCCCCAAGGGGTCCGTAGAAGATGTCGGCATTCAGCATGAGGCAGGGGACATAATCCATCAACCGCGTCTCCAGGATGATGTCAATGGCAGCCTGGATGCACTCACTTTTTTTGAAGTCGAACTTCACTCCCTTAGGCGACAGGGTCAAACCTAATGGTCGGTTTTAGTTTTTGTTTTTCACGTGAACTACGTGAAGCAAAGAATCAAATCGACTTGTGCTCGTTCTTGAACTTGTCGCAGCAGGTGCCGATGTGTCATAAAAATGTCAATCGCAATTTAAACTCTTGGAAACCTTCAATCTGAATCAGCAGGAGTGCGTGATCAGAGGAGCAGCCAGAGTCCTTTTGCAAAATCTTTAGTCAGATGAGGTTCACAGACGAAATGCACCATATGCAGGCCACTGGCCTCCAAGAGCAAGAAAAGCAAAAGATCTGTCATAGTCATTACCTAATGCCCGGCCGACTTTCTTCTGAAGGTCCTTGCCGACCTTCTTCGCTCCCCGCGCGACTCGCTGTGCTTCCTCGACGGCCTTCTGCCCGAGCTCCTTCGCCACGTGTTCGAAACTGTCCAAATCGAAAGTGAGCGGGCGGTTGGGGGTAATCGCCCCGTCATCCGGCACCGTTGAGGAATCTCTACGCTCGAGCGGTTCGCGAACTCCGGATTCCAGGTCAATGTCTAGGTGACTTCTTACCTCAGCTGCGCTGTCATCTTCTTCTCCCGTTCGGATTGCTTTCGGCGGGTTTCTTGTTCCTCTCTTGCTGGGCGACACGTTCGTGCCAGGTTCCTTTCCGCTCGGAGGCGGAGGACCGGCGCCGGGGGCAGATGCTTTATTTTCATCCTCCACCACGACCAGCCGGAAGTCATTGCTTGTACTTCCTAGCACACCTCCTCCGCTGGAGGTAGAGGGAGACTCGTTCGGATTGGCTGTCGCGGTAGCTGCACTACTGCCACCAGCAGTTCCGGCGGGCCAGAAACCATGATCGCCATCAACACTGCGCGGCTGGCTGGTAATCGACTTTTTGGCTGGTGGTGCAGCTCCAGCTGCACGACTGGTGGACGACTGACTTCCGCCGATCTGCAGTGAGCCCCGCACTATCACAGGATCATCACCTTGATCCTCTTCCCCGGTAGTTAGTGGCGGCGCGGAACCAAAGGCGAGTTCTCGCGATGTTAGCCTCGAGAGGGACATGGGACTCGCGGGTAGCCAATGCGACATGCGTTCAATTTGGTCTTGCGAAAACACACTCTCGAGGAATTGGGCGGCAGCTACGTTACCCGCGCCCCCGAGCGTCGCCGTCTCGCGCTGCATGCGCTCCACCGCGATGCTGTGAGCGATGAGTTTCTCGCAGAATTTGCGGAAGCTCAGGTTGCTGCCAGGCTGCTGCGGCGGGTGCGCCATGATGAGCTCCATCTGGGACGAGGAAGAGCTGTTATTGTTTATGGTTCCGTTGCCAGCAGGAGGCACTCCGGAGGCGCTTGTCGACGATGTGCTGTTCACGGATCCCGTACTTGCGGTTCTGGGAAGCGTGGGCCCGCGACAAGCGTTCCAGATGGAATCCGAAGGCTCCGTGTTCTCGTCGTATGGGCCAAAAGACACATCGGCCTCGATCATGTGACAATCCCCTTGCAACGCATCCTCCAGCTTGCTGCGGGTGTTGACCTGAAGAGAAGATATTATCAGAGTTTCATGTATGTCGACTGCACAGAAACAGCAAGTGGTGTGTGTTGTTTATGAAACGAACCTGCTGGTGAGCTTTGAACTGAAGCATCGAGTTTGAATATTTGTCCTCAAATAGCTAAAACTGATTTACATCATGTATTTTTCGCAAATGACAATCCGTTCGTTTTTTGTCTGTATTTTACCGCGTGTGCCCATTTTATCTCGGTCGGCTTCTCCACCTCAAACTTCTCGGCAAGCTTCAAAGGAAGGTGCGAATTGCGCCGCCCAGGATAAAAAATCGACGTCACTTCGGACATAGCCGTCACGAATGATGAGCGGGTTTATCAGCGAAAATGTTCATCATTAGTTTCTATTCTTGCTCTTCGTGTTCACTACTGTCTATACGAATGTAACAAAAAGGGCCTTTCTGCGCAAGGAAACAGAAACACCCTGCAGCCACAAATTCCGATCTAATGAGCGGTATGTTGTGCCAATTGTGCCACTTACATGAATATACGCAAAACCATGAAATAATCGGCGAAATTCAAATAAATTGTGCCTGCGTTTTATCTGTGCAAACTCGTACTCGATGAATAAACTACTTGCGTTGCGGATGCATTGCTAAAAACTAAGTCGTGTTCGATTGGATTTTAATGAACCCGTAGCGTTGGCCAAGAAAAAATCTCGTCAAATCATGCGCTACACGGTAGACACACACAGGTAGTTGTGTAGCGGCAGGCCTGTGGTAGAACCAATACTGAATCTCAGTCACATCATCATCATGGGTAGACAAATTGGGATTAAATGTTCGCTGTCCTTCCGATGTGATTCAACAAAAACAGAATGCCTTTGCTTCCTTAGCAGCAAGTCTACCAGAAGGGTGCAGCTTTAATGCGGAATCGGCCGATATCACTCCAACAGAAAAACTTTGATTCTTTTGCACAGGACAACAAAACCGCTAGACTAAAACTTCTGAACCTAATACCGCGTTTTTTTCAGCATACAGCTTTCATCAATTTGCTTTGGATCGTACTTTTCGATACCGATTCAGCATTGTACCGAGCGATGTGCAAAAGCAGATGCAGCATCGAATTGCTTATCTTCCAGGACGACTTGTTCGTGACTGTCGGAAACTGTTGCAAGTATATGAATGAAGGTAGGATGAAGTCGGACTGACAGAAAATATCTCCACCGACAGAAGCTGCAAAGCGCGCGGACCACCGGAACAGCTTCAATTTTGGCGCAGAACAAACTGATTGTACACATCTTCGACTCATATCAACGTTGGCCGAGGGTCAAGGCAACATCATCAACAGGTGACGCTAATCCAATCGTATAATATTGTGAAGATTGTGATTGTACTTAATATTCAAACGCAAACCGTTTGTGATTGATCACACTTGCGCTTCTTTCTGTACAGTCTAATTTTTTCGAATCGAATTGTTTTCAGTCGCTAGATGACACGGTTTTGTTCTGGGTGCATTTGCTGAGTCGCGTCAATATCTTATCTAAAGCTCATGTGCCAGGTGTGCTTTGACTTCGTTGATAACGTAGTCCTGCGGCTTGCGGCCACTGAACCAGTAGATTGCGCTTAGTTGGCCGAGCGCAACACAGGAGCCAAAGATGGTCAGCATTTTTGAAACTCCCCTTCGTATTCTGTGCTCTGGTCGCAGCTGCAAGCCGATCTCCCACACCCACGGCCAGCTGATATTCACCATACTTGTGACGACACAAAAACCAAAGGCGAGGTACAGGTTTTGTCGGGACACTGTCCGCAACACCTCTCTGCTTGACCAGGTGGGTAGGACATGCATGGGAATTTCCACGTCGCGCACCATGTTGATGTTGCTGAAGTCGTCTCCGTGAAGATGTGGTTTGTTAGAGATTCATACTAAAAGATCATGATGTAGCGACACAATTACGGCTGAGCTGCTTGCTAAATTGACTAATTCCCGACTTTTTTTCGTAGTGTTTTCTTGCTGCAAGGGTTCATGCTTGTATCTTGACCAAGGGAGGGGCACTGTGTGGTGTGAACCTGGGAAGAAAAGTGAGAATAATGAAGAAAACGACGTAGAGATACAGCTTCTTATGCAAGTGAGAGCCTCTGGCTCTGGTGCATCAAGATCAAACAGCACGATCGAAGAGAAGAGAACCTCTTGAGTTTGGTGGATGAAAAGGTTCTTCTTGTCGAGAAGACAGACGTGATGCTTCGCTTGTCCTCGCATAATTCGAGTAGTCAACTACACTACAACGCTGCGGACGATCGGCTGGAAAAAGTGATCCAAACTAGGATTGTGTGCGAACATCAGTATAGTTTCTGTCGATTATGTTCACGAACCACTGTGACCAAGGCCGGCGTTTGCTGGAGTAATGTTGCTGTGTTGGCTCTACTTCTTGAAAAAATGTGAATGTTGAAGACTTCGTCGCCTTCGGAAAAGTTGCGTTCTCGCGTGTCGTTTTCAATCGTCGTGGGTCATTGTGGTCAAACCGGCATTTTTGGCAACCAATGTAGCAGGCTGAAACTATGATGAAAGGTGCAGGATAGTCAACCTGGATGATGTTTCTTCAACCAGACTGACATTTGTGCCCATGGAGTGTCAACAGAGAATCTGTCTAGGAAAATGTCGCTTTGAGGCCGCTCGGGGGGAGCGGTATCTGTGAAAATTTCTCATTGGACTGCCGAGCAGGTTGATACAACTAGTACACTGCTCCTGTTCAAGTTCATGATCCTCACGTGCACAACTACATGAGGGCGCAGCGTTCTGTGCCCAATGAGCTCTGCACCTTCTTGCCCTTGGAGGTCGCGTCTGCGCGCGTGTAGACATCGACAAAGAGGCGGGTAGTGTCAAAGTTTTCCTCGATCGCTTGCAGGTCGTCAGGGGTTATCCCCGTGGTCATGGTGCCCGTATAGACGGTAAGCGACGAAGAAGGGACCAGCTCCAGGAGTTGCTTCAGGACCGGTTGACTCGCGAGGGCGTACTTCGCCTGCACACAAAACGTGATGTGGTGCGCGATGGCCGCGGGGGTGTACAGAAAGGTGTCCTTCCCCCGCAAAAACGGGCGCTGCACAAGCTCGAGCATGTCGTTTATCATGCGCTGCGTGTAGTGCTGGGTGACGGCAAACTCCGTGGAGATCCAACCCAGCGACAGAACGACGTCTGGAATACGGCAACAACGCTGTAAAAATTTCCTGCCGTCCAGCACCCAGTTCGGCATCAGGGGAAGGCAACCGGGTCCCGCGGCTATATCAGCGTTCAGCCAAACACACACAACCTGTTTTTATTTTCTCATCTTTTGAGAATCTCTACTAAAACTATCTGAAGTGTTGAACCATGGAAAAGTCCGAATCAAGACTTGACGCGATTCGAGACCGTCGCCCTCTTTTTCGGGTGCATATAGGTAGCATTTTCGCTCTCTAGTTCAGTTTCCGATACAAGTATTCGCCACTTCTAGGCGCGTCTAGAAACACTACGAAAATGTTGGCCATGGAAATCGATCCCGCACACACGTAGCACGATCGCCCCAAATGAAGCCTGTTCCGTGATGAAATGACAGAGAAGATGATGAGAAATTGACTAGATCTGACTGGTAACGCGATGGCACTAAGGCCATACGCAATCCAGTCACATTGCCCAGATTGACGACAGTGAGCATAGTGACTGTTTACGCCATACGCAAAACAATCACACTGCACCCACTAGAGCAGAAGTAGAAACAATTGAGGCACTTCCTGGACCATACGCAAAACGGTCACAAAGTGCCAGAAGGATGTAAATGATCTAGAAGGAATCCCATGAAATTCAAGAGGAAAGTGATCAAGGTGCCTATTTGCGTCATACGCAAAACAGGCACAAGCAGAATGATCACAGTGACTGTCTGCGCCATACGCAATTCAGTCACATTCTGGCGGGTTGCGGTCATACGCAATTTCGTCACATCCTGAAACTTGATGAATTGAACCTACAGGATGTAACGCAGCAAGAGACTTGCGTCACTTGCTTGCTTACTTGCAATTGAGAGAATTCATCTGCTGTCGATAACGAGCTCAGTGGAGCAAACGTGTGTAAGTGTGTGCGAGTGTTCTCAAGTCCACTAACAGAAAATCATAAAAAAATTTTACCTGCGCCCACACGTTCATGCGCATGAGCAGCTCGATGGCGGGTTTCACGGCTGCGAGGTCTTTGAAGTCGAGTTTTATGCCCTTGGGCCTTCGCCGTGTTCTCTTTTCCACGGTGTTCATACCCAAATGCTCCTGGAGTTCCTCGTTCATCAGCAGGATGCCATGATGGCCGCTCGTGGACGAGGACTGCGACCGCGTGTCGGAATTGCCGTCGGCGCTGGAGCTTTCTTCCAGAAGTTCGCGGAGGTCGCGGTCTTCGTCCTCCGTGATGAAGGAAATGTTGTTGGGGATCTCCACTCCCTCCAGCAGCGTCGTGTTGCCGCGGATCACCTCGGTCCGCCGGCCCTGCACGAGCGTGGGGTCCACCATGCAGTTGTAGTGGCAGATCTTGCGCACAAACTGCTCGAGCGTCAGATTGCTCCGCCGGCTGGGAGGGTGCGCCATGATCACGGTGCGGTCGTCTCGGACCGCAAGTCGTGTTCCCGCAGAACTTGGGGGTGCTCCGGGGGGTGGTCTCGGTTTATTTGCCTTCGGTTTGTGTAGTCCTGCCAGGGCGGGGTCCGAGCTGGATATTAGGGGAGCGTTAATATTATTCGGTTGCACGGTAGTTGCACTCGGCGGCAGTGCCCGAGTTTGCGGATCGAAGGATACGCCGCGGCGCGACGCGGCACTGACGGCTTTGGACTGGGGTACAGCAGGGGCGGTGCTGCTTGCCGAGGGCCCGTCGCCGGTCAGCATCGGTGGTGCGAAGCCTTCCCCCTCGCCGGAGAGTTTTCGCAGCGGCGGCGCCAGGGGGGGACTTAGTGACGACTCTGGATCGTGCACAGGCGTTTCTTCATCCGCGTCATCCATCGGCGAGGCGAACTTATTGTTCGGATCATGCGGACCACCACCACCCGCAGTAGAAATCATACCGCCTGTAGTAGTCCCGCTTCCTGCCAGAAGCAGGTTGTCCGCGCTCTGCGTGCGCCGGGTATCTTCTCCCAAAACGTTGGATGACTTTGCTCCTGCGGCAGCTTGCAGCGGGAGGTTGTAATTCGGGTCTTCATCCGGCACCGCATCTCCTTCGGGCGCCCGTTTCAGTCGTACGGGCGCGGCGCGTGAGGAAGATGCGACGGAGGCAACGCTGGAGGAGGCCACACTAGAACCGACGACCACGTCCGAGGACGTTTTCTTCTTTCGCGACGACGAAGCGCCGCCGGGAGTCGACGAGCCCTGTTGCTTATTGTTCGCACCGCCGAAGAAGCCCACATCCTCGGTGCCTTCGGTTTCTTCGTAAGTTCCGAGCGTGACATCCGCCTCGATTAAATGAACGTCGGATCGCAGTGCTTGTGCCAACTTCGCCTTGGAATTGCAACTGTGATACCACGTGAGCTGGTGTACCGAGCTTACCTGTTACGATGTGGTGAAATAGAAAAGAGTAACATATTAATCTATACACATCAAAAGTGTTCTTGTTGGTCCAATTGCACACTTCAAGGTGATTGCCCGGAAAGTACGGTGGCGTTAACACCGGTTTTCCTTTTCGTTCTTTTGTGTCGGGCTTGTGGTACTACGTTCAACAGAAGCTGCAATAAGCAATTTGTACCTGAAATTTCTGGCATAGCTCGACACAATAGCGGGACATCTGAAGTACGGATATCTGGTGGCGCAGAAGTTCCTTCCACCTATCCGTTTTGGTTGCGTATTGCTATTGCTGCAAGCTGGAATATAACGCAGAGAAACTAGTACAGCAGTAGTACCGTTGAGCGATCATCCATTCAAAGGGAAGAGATTCTCTGTACTGGCGGAGGATTGCCATAGATGTATTTCTAGCTCGTATTCTTCAGAAGCGCATACTACTAGCAAACTCCTGCTAGTATTGTCAAAAATACTTGACATCAAAAACTTAAACTGCACCCTATTTATAGCTTGCCGACTGCTCGATACGAAACTTACTTCTGTATGAATCGCAATCGCAATCCTGCAGTGAAGGAAGCACAAAAATAGTCTAGCAGCTTCGTTTACGTCGTCATCAATGATGAGCAACCGATCGATTGAACATGGGTCTACTTTCGAGTTGCATGATTGCCAAGCCACTTTCGAGTTTGATCTACTTTCAAGATTTTTGGATCGAAGCAAATTTCAAAAAAATGAACACTGGAGGACGCTCTGAGTGTGCCTTTAAAAAGGGTTCAGCACCTACGATTTTTCTGTGTAGATCCGGCGTGTTCGCACATCATCCACATGCAGCTTACTTTTGTTTTTGTTTATTGTTTGGCTGCATCGGTTTCTGTGCGGGCATCCTGGTTTCTTCAGAATCCCTTGGAGTAGTTTTTGATTTCCTGTAGGATTGCAGAATTCGGCACAATCAGTTCTTGCACATTCCGCAGCGCGTTGAGTTTGTGCAGGCATTTCTGATACCTGGTGTAGTAAAGCAACAGTTGCGTCAAGCACTGCTTGAGGATCTCTTTGCCGTTGTTGAAGTTGACAAACGCGTTCATGATGAAGGCGTGCAGGGAACTCATGTTCTGCTTCCAACTGCCAGCGAAATGGCGACTGATTTTTTCGGGCGTGCTGTTGAGGTCTTTCACGTCTAACGATGACGCCGCGCTGCCCGCAGGGCGCTTCGAGTTATTTGCTGGCTGTTCACTTGCTGAGGCATCGCCGCTGGAATGATGTTGATCCCCGGCCTTGACCTCGTGCGCCTGCACAAAATCAATCATGTCGGGGTAATAGAGTCGAAATTGCATTTCGATGAACTCCGCCACCTCGGTACGCAGCAGATCTTCGAAGTGCCCCGTCACCTGGGGCGGGAGCTGGCGCTCGTAGAAGACCGTGAGTATCAGGTCGTAGTTGTTGATCAAGAACACGCGGGCGTCGACTTTCGGTAGACAGCGGCTGGCCACGGCCTGCAGCTCCGTGACGAACGCTGCCTGTAAGGTGGCGAGGCTCGACACGAGGACCTCGTCAGGTTCCGTGGTCGCTTTCTGCTGCTCCAGCTGGTGCGAAGAGAGAGCCTTCGGCGCGCCGGACGTAGAGCCTTCAACAACCGCTAGCTGATGAACAACGGGTGCCTGCAGCAGTGTCAGCGACGCGAACAGCTCTGCATAGCGGCGAGTCACAAAGTGCGGATGAGTGCAGGAAGACGGGGCCGACGTTGTACCTTGCGTGTTCGCGGCGGCGTTTCCGGCTGCGGTGCCCGCGACGGGAGTGGTCGTGCCGCGATCCAGAAGGCTGATGTTACGAAACTCCTGCAGGGAGTTGGTGTTCTCCGCGAGGATCAACCGCAGGCGGGGCCACATCTCCAGCAATATTTTGTCGAAATATGCGTCCAGAATGTGCAAGTTGCGTCCGCTTGTCATTTTCTCCTTGTAATATTCCACGACCCGGATCTGGATCAACAACCCCACTGAGTCGTAGCAGCTTTCCGTATATTCCACCATCTTCTCGTGAAAAAATTGCAGGGTTCGCTCGAACACATCCTGTGCATTGTGGTGAAGGGCGGATGGTGACTTTATGAAGATTTATTTTAAGTAAAAGTATTCTTACAAAAACGACAATCGCGGCAATTCCAAGCACAAATTTTTTTGGCTGCCTTGGAACATCAAACCACGTGAGTACCTGAAATATTCGGGCGCCGATGTTTTCGCCGAGAAAAAACTCGGTGAGGAAGTGAAACTCCGAAGAGGCGGTGTCGATCAGAAGTCGCTGGTGACTTCGAAAAAGGGCCTCGGGGTAATATTTCAGCTCGGACTTCAAGTGCGCCACAATCGGGTCCTTGTCCAAGTCGTTCTCGAGCACGGCATTGCGGCCGGACAGGGAAAACACGTTCCCCTTTTCGTTCATCTTGGTCTTGAACAGGCTCTCCCCGATGCCGAGGTAGCTGGCCATCTTGGCCATGTTGCCTGTGGCATCGTTCAGCAACGCACTTTCCGCTCCACCCGCGGCGGACGTGCCGAAAAAATTGCACAGCAAATCCGCGCGGCCAGGGCCCCACTCCAGCTGCAGTTTGGATAAAGACAGCAAATACGTCTTGAACTGCTGGAGGTACACCTTCCCCATGGTTTGAATGTAGCTCTGCCGGATTTCCGTCAGTGCCTCCGGAGCGTGCTGGCCGAGGAAAGCGTTGAAGTACTTGAAGCTGAGGAGCACGTTCTGTTGCAGAATCTGTAGATTGGTCTTCGGCTTTTTCAACGTTTGGATCTTCTGGAGCAAAAAGGTGTGCACCCGGTAAATGGCCTTCAGCTTCAGCCGCTCGAGCTCGGGAAGGGCGCCATGCTGCTGTTCCTCGCCCAAGGCTCCTGACCCGGGGGTCGTTCGCGGCGGAAACTGTGCCCTGCTGCTAGAGGAACCGCCATCGCGGGATCCTGGGAGGGAGTTTAGGAGATATAATCACGGAGCGTTTTTCTTCCCCTTCTGCAAAGACAAAACCCAAGTGCGCAAAGATGTTCTTCCGCTAGTTGTAGGTAGATGCGAAAATACTTCGAAGAAGCTGATGCATGTAAATTCTATACCGCGACTGACCCCGTCCAGTTTTCGACAGAGTTCTTCCACTTGCTGCACGTAGTGATCGTCGATTTCGCCTTCGCAAATGGTGCGTGCGAGCTCTTGCGAAATGATCAGGCCGTTCACGTAGTTGGTCAACAAGTGGCTCGCGGCGCGGCGGTTGCGCAGGTTCGTGCTCATCTGCATGGACTCCGTTTGTAGGCTCTTGATTTCGTCCGAGATGGTCTGCAGGTCCGAATGAAAGTTGGAGAGCACTTCGCCAATTGACGCCAGCGTCTGGTCGCACTGCTCGATTTCGCGATCCAACTCGCGAAACTCGGGCATGCTCGCAGTGAACTGTTCGAGAATGTCGCTTTCCTTGGCTCGCAACTCGTCGGCGACTTCGCAACATTCCTTTTCGAGGCGCTCCAACTGAGATTCCACGGTCTCGGTCGCGTGGGAGGACGCAGCTGGGACAACTCCTTTAATATTCTCACCGGATGTTCTTGCCGCGCTGGGTGTCGCGTTGGAAGGTAAAAGAAACTGGTCAAGCACGTCGTCCAGCCCCTCAAACTCCACGTCATAGCTCTGCATCACCGCGGCAGCCGCCATCACTAACTGATACTATCCTTTGGTCCCGCTTGGTGAACCAGTTTTTGTTCAGGCACAAACGCCGTTCACCAGGTACAGCACATTGCCATATGCGCGATGATGCAACCAAATTGGGATTTCATTTCATACATGCATGGGATCACAACGTACATAACATTCTGATTATATCACTTCTGGACAAAAAATGCAGCATCCATCACGAATCAAGAGTTCTATTTGTATTTCACGAACCGAGAAACTACAAAAGCTGTGGCCGTGGAGGTGGACGAGACGAAAAGACCAATTTTAGTCTACTAGTGCGGGGTCACAGGTTTCTTGCAGAACTGGAAGCGAGCCCCACAAGCACGATGCTAGGTCCTATTTGGTTGCCTAGAAATAGCATGTCAAATACAAATAGAACAACTTGCAGCATATTACGCCTTGCAGCTTTCATCAGTGCAGCTTCATTATTATACGTGCTGTACTTTTTGCAAAGTCGTACTTACTTTACTTTGCAACATGTATAACTTATAATTCCGATATTCTTTATTCGCAAAATCAATATGATGGAGCGCTTGTGCGTTTTCGTTTTTTCGTTTTGCAAACGCAGCATTGTCATCGTATGCGAGCCTTTTTATACACATGAGCGTTCTACTTTTTTCGTTTGTCAGACATTGGTAGATTATACTGGATTTTCTTCTTTACGACCGGGTATATCTCTTCATCGCTTTGGCGGTGTCGGCAATGTCCAAAACCAAGCCTAAGACAGTGGTCTTGATACCACGGATGGTTTACTGGAGTCAGCACGCCACTGCTCTAAACTTTTTTCCAGTTTGTGCACAAATGTGTTTGATGTTTCATTTGGCGCCGTCTCTCCCTTGATCTCACAGTTCTGCATCTGTGTCACCAGGTCGCGCAGCGTTAAGCAAGCGCCTCCAAGCTGCGCGCTCTGGTCTGCATCTGCGTGCTCCCGCACCTGCGCCGTTGCAGTACTATCGGAGTCAGAAGCTGTCCTCACCTCGGCCTCGGGTTTCGTCTTTATTCCCTGTTCTGTGTCGTCCCCGAGACCAACCGTGCGATCGACCCAGGGACCATAGAACGGGCACGTAACGGGGCTCATGAAGTACCAGCACATTTGCCCGAGATCCGTCCACGTCAAGGCCTCCTTTGCTTCATCTTGAAAGAGTATCGCCTCCTCAGCATCCTGGTATGGGCCGAGAATCTGGATGCCCTTGGTGCCGTCGCTTTTTCTGGCGTCCGCAAAGTCCACGACGTAGTACTCGCCATTTTTTGTTTGCAGTACGACAAAGGCCTCTGTCCACACCGTTCCCGCACTTTTTGGCGAGCAGCTGTCGTTCGTGGTCGCACCACACGCTGCGCAGGCCTGCCAGACCCGCGCCATGCCGTTCCCGAGGGCATTTACGAGAACCGGGGCCCAGTCCCACCGGTAGCGCAGAACCCGCTCGCACGAGGTCACTTCTTCATCCAGGCAGCGGACGTCCGGCACGTGCACGGGCGGCAATACGCACTGTAGCCTGCAACTGCCGTCGAGCGACACACCGCTGCGCGCCGCGGTACTCCGAAACTCTTGTAGACACTCGCCGGTCTTCCAGCTTGCGACATCCGGGGCTTCGACACAAAAGTGAGCGTTCTCGAAGCGACGGAGAAGCGGGACGGCGCTGTTTGCAGAAGCACTCTCTACTGCAAGAGAGCAATCCGCTGCTGGTCGAGCTTGTTTTTCGCCGGATCTACTTGTCGTTCCTGCTCCTAGTCCGCCGATAAGGGGCTTTATTCGCGGGAAGTCGGCGCTGGGTCGAAAATAAACAAAGCTCGGCGTGCTTCTTCGTCCGAACGGTGTCTGCGAATCGACATAGACTACCAAGTTCGTGTCTTTGATCGCTGGAAAAAAAGGCGAACCACTGGAACAGAGTTTTGCTGTGAACAAGGGACAAGTGTCAGGTTCGCGCACGCCGGATGCATGATCGCAAGGTTCTTTCGCACGCCGCCCGCAAGAGGTGACAGTGAGTCCACTGCTTCCTCCTGCGTGTGGGTCAGGAGCAGAGCAGGCTGGCTGCATGGGTGGTGGAGCCACGTACACAATTGTGAGCTTCTCTTGCTGCTTTTCCTTTGCCTGCATGGTCGTCACTGGAAAATTGCTTCCCGGCCCATCCTCTGGTAGAGCACCTGCTTGATTCGTATTTTTAGCAAGCTCATCTTCACCAAACAAAACACGATGCGCTTCTCCCGACTGCTGCAAGTCCCGGATGACTTCATCGTAACGCTCCAGGGGATAAAAGTGCACGCGTCCTTGCAAAAGCTCCGGGGGAAAGTGGTGCCCGTCGCTTTTTCCGTTTCGACGGGCTTTCTCGAGTGAGTGCAGGCATCGCAGTCGCAGATTAGAAGAGTGCACAAAAACATGAGCTTCCACTTTTGGAGCCGCGGGTCGTTCGTCAGCAGTGCTAGAGTGCCGTTCTTCGGTGGAAGCACCTCCACGTACCGCATTCCGCGCTGATGACACTTCATCGTCCTTGTCATTCGTTTGCGTCTGCGGTTTGTTGGCTGTCCATGTCCTTCGTACCGGGAGGTTTTCGAGTATCAGTCCGCTGAGCGTGTCCAGGATCTCACTCGCACGCTCGCGGCTTTCGACCAGCGCCACCTCCTGTTCCGCAGCGTTGGCGGCTCGGTGCCGGTCCCGGTTTCCTTGCTCGTATCCTGAGTAAAAACGTCCCCACACCAGAGTCAAGATGGGGATTTTGCAACACAAACCTAAGAGCCTTGGACGTCACGCATGACAACTTGCATTCCATAGTGTAGTGCAGGTTAGCAAGTGCAGCCGCATCACAGATCCATATGCTTATCCTGTTCACAGCATCACAAATTCCTAAAACACGATTGGAAATGGCTACCATGGGTATGCGCATCACAAATGTCCTCGTCAATGCAAATCTGCATGACAACTCTGAGGTGGGGACGTTTTTCCTTATGATAGCTCGATCAGATTATTCTGTGTCCGCAAACTCGCGGCTATCTGCATCGTCTGGTACGCACTGACGCTGTTTGCGAGGGCAGTCACTGATACCGCACCCGTCGCGGCCATCATCGCAGCATTCTGAGTCCCGGCATCAAAACCGACAGTAGTCAGGAGCGCATTACCACCTTGCGTGATGCCGTCCGCGATGGAGTTCGTAACTTCCGCGGAAAGTCCGTTCATCATCAGCTGTGCTCGCTTGCGGCCAAGCTGCAACGCCGCTGCACCTGGTAGAAACCCACGATTTAAGTTTATGCTGTCCGGCGGTAGTAGAGAAGTTAGGCATTGAAACTCGCCTCCGAAAAGGCTCCATAGGTTGGAGAAAAAGCACAAGAACCGGAACCAAACGACTAAATCCATTTTGCTAACGTTTATCTGCGGTGCGCCGAAAAGACAATGGGAAAGAGTAAGAGCTCTGTCTTCTAGAATGTAGAATATATGGTGCCGCGTTGTGCCTTGACCAAAGCGAATTCCAGGTGGAAGTTTACAGAAGCAAGTGTGTGCGTAGGGAACTTGAAAGTGAAGGATCGGAGTAGATCGACGAGGCAAAAGACCGATGCAGCACGAAGAGCGAAGTGACACGAAATTGAATGATCCACAAATGTCAGTTAGCAGTGAGGCCTGAATATGATTTACATCATCTTCATGCAACTAAACTCTTGTCGTTGCCGCAACACTGCCCAAAAAACAGGAACACACGAATGCGCATCAGTATGTTAAGAAGCAAATTGCTCCTCACGAATACAGGGTTAGTCATTCGCTCCTTTTTGGGTCAAAAAAAAGCTCATCTAGGTAAACAGAAATGAAGCTCGAGCTCGTTCTCGTTTGAAGTAGTTCTCTGGCACAAGAATATGACTGCTTTATTGTACTCGTCGTCCTCGTCGTCGATCCTTGTGCGGAGCGAGCACCTGGATCAATCGATAGTTGTCTCATATGTTCTCTGCCTCTAATTTGGAATGGGAATGATAAAGATCGACAAGATGCGATCTCGCATAAACGAGAGTGTAAGCTTCACCGCATTCTCTTCAACTCGCCATGGACATGGTGGTGTTCAGGCGAAGCAAAGAGCTCGATGTCCTCATAGATTAGGTTTCATTGACGTTCTTCAGGAATATGGAGGATGAATCCGAATCGTCAGGAAAGACCGAAGCATTGAGTTTCGAAAGACAAAGAGGGTAGCGTTCTTGGGTTCTTACTATACTAAACTGCCTGCGTGCCCAGAGAGATAAGGAAGACTGCAATTATAGCTTTACTTGATTACTGAAGAAGTTTTGTGTCGTTAGATGTGTCAAGATGTTCTAGCACTGCTTGCAACAGCGCCCTGCCGTCTTGATGCCACAGTTCCGGAGATTCGCCTGCATAGGATTCAAGGGTGTAGGAATGACGTGCGAATCTTGCGGCCACGGCTCTACCGCTTCCACCGTTTTTCTCCTTTGCCTCTTTAATTTTGAAACGGCACTGTATGCATTCTTGCATCGCAACGCTGGTGTTCGTGACGGTCGACGTTTTGTCCGGGCCGGAAGCGGAATCGATATCGGCGATGCACATATCTTCGTTGTCGTCGGTTCCCTGGTGATACATGAAGGATTTAGACAACCTTTGCGGAGCAAAGGGATGGAGCTCTTGGAGATCGCTAGAGCCCGCGCCGCGCTCCGTGCCACTGAGATCTTGCGCGGAAGACGCCGCCGCACCGTGCTCAAAACTGTGGAAGTCAACGTACAGGCAGAAGTCAGTAAACGATTGCAACACTGGCCAAACACGTTCCACAAGAGCCGGCACGGCATCGAAATCAGCTGCCACTACCGCAGACGAGGTCTCTGGGTCCCCGACGGCTGCTGGGTTCTTCTTCAACCTTCGTGTTGGTTTCTGCGTGCCCCGGCCACCCTGCTTAGCCATAGCCGCCGCAGGAGACGCGCCGCCGAGTCTGTGGCTGTCGCTCTGGTAACTATAGCATCGGTTCAGATCGTGGCCGACGGCGTTTGCGCGGAAGTGACCCCGGGTAACTCCATCCGGGTTCAGCATCGGAACCAGCACGAAGATCCAGTCTTCTGCGCTCCACTTTTCGCACAGCGCCGACACGAAGCCCTCAAAGGCAAACGACGCTGCACTTTCGGTCGGGTGACAGCGCGCGGAGCAGAATACTGCTTTGAGTGGCTTCTTCGCGAGGGGAGTGACAACTATGCTGTTACTGCTTTGGAGCGTCACGAGCGGCAATTCTCTTACTACCGTAGGTACTAGATTTTCATCCTCGGCCGGCGGTCCGAAATTCGCGAAATGTGCAATCTGCGGTGGCTGTTCAACTTCAAACTCAACATCCATCGGGGACGCAACAGTGGAAGGAGCGGTCGAACAGGTACTAGCAGTGTCGTCATCAGCCGCGCTCTGGTGTTGCGTCTGTTTGTTCTCCATGCGTCTCAACAGCGCACTGACTTGCTCCCTGTTGCTTTCACAGGAGAAGACGTAGAGAGGAATTCTTTCCCCGTCGCACGACATTCCGAGGACGGCATCGCTACGCGAGAGAAAAAACGGTCGCCTAGTTTTGAGCTGGCCAGGTTCACGAACTGCAGGGGCATGATCCTCTTGGACGACGTGTCGCTCTCGCTCCAACCTGGGTCGTGCTGACGTTGACAATCTCGTCGGGTGCTGGCACAACAAGTTTCGCCGGCATTGTTCCATGAACTCCGAAGCCTCCGAGGGAGCATACGGCACACTGTGCGCAACTTCGATAGCAGAATAGGCTGACATTTCGTCTTTAAGAGCGAGCCGGTACTTGAACCGTTCCGGGCCGGCAAAAAGCTGGCGTTCCTTCTCGACTGTGACTAGGGTTGCCGGCCAGCGTTTCCAACTCGACCAAAGTACACCATTTGTATTGCCATTCGTCCGATCCAACTTTTGATGTGTTGCGATGCTGTCCATGTCCTTGATGTGGCCTCCACTCTCAATGCGGTAGCGGTACCATGGGGTGTAAGAAGCACCACCGGCGTTCTCGCCGCCTTCAACATCGCTTTCGTCTGGTGCACCTCTTTTCCAGGAGGCGGAGCTTTCGTTCTTTGTCTTCATGCGCTGCCGCATGTTGTGCACAACAATGTTTTTGACCTTCGTCGACTTGTTCCCGTGCCTCCCGAATTGACCATGAAGACCGGAAGCGTTTTCATCGCTACTGCCCGCACCCGGACCCGGCGCGTCGCGGTTTCCGTCCTTATCCGTGTCGACGACGCTGTCAACTGGTTGTTCGATCCGCAGATAAAACCAGCCACCGGGAAAGCGAGGTAGGCAATGTTCTTCAGGCAGCAGCTCGCGAATCCGGCCAATGGAAAAGTCGCGTCGCCAGTCTGCTTTGGAGACGACCACTGTGACGTCGTCGTGCTCCCGCAGCTCCCGGGACGGCGAGGTCAGATGCTTCTTTGTACCATCTTCACTTCCTTGTCGGAGTTTTGTCCTGTGAAAAGCAAAGCCTTCAACATCCCGCAGCGCGTTTTTTTGTTCCTTGCCACCACGCGCGACGGCTTCCGAAGTACAGATGAGGACTTCACAGCTGCACTCACTTTCGCCATTCCGATTCCTCGCACAAGCACTAGCACCCACCACATTGGCTTTGGAATCCGTCCCACCTGGCGTGTCGTCATCGTCCTCCGTTCCGTGTCCCGCACCTTGCGTGAGGTCGAGAAGGCATCCGGATCCACGATGCGCCGCACAAGTTCTCACGTATTTCCGGCCCGCGCGCGGCCATCCCGTGCGTGGAGCAGCGACATACACATCAAGGACCGCGGTGGCACTGCAATATTTCGCGCGCCCGGCACCATTGCCACCGGCGAAGTCGCTGCGGACACGCAAGAAAGAAGAAACTTTGCAATTACCTTGCGACAAGGGCTCCACGGTATTCAATTGACACGACTCTACTTCACGACCATGAGACCGAGCCATTTGTTTTCTTTCACGATGTCGTCCGGGTCGTTCTAGAACATCTACATCAAGACATGGTCAAGAGAAAAAACAGAAGACGAATAGGAATATCAAGCGATTCTCTTCCTGCTATAACCTATCGCTACATCCTCTTCATCTTCTTATGTATCCTGCTGATTTTTTTTTAGGAAGCTCATCAACTGCAAATCTTAATTCGGACGAGAACCTTTTGCGATGGGCATCACGATTTGGATTTGCAGCTCCTCTCGACGATCACGATTGCGATTTGAATATGCTAAAACTCACTCACAGTCATAGCCACAGGAGAGAGATAAGCAGACCACTCCAAATTGGCCACGAACGAAATTCATGTTTTGGTCTAGCTTTTTTATTTTTGCTACCAACGCAGAACATGCAAGAATATCGCGCTTTGAAGCCGAAACCGAACTGAAGTACATATGATGTAGGCATACACAGCTGCCGCGAACCGTGGAGCTCCTTGTTCCAATCACATTTTCGAAAGGAAGAACCGGATTTTTTCATCGTTGAACAGAGAGGATCATATTAGCGTTACTACCGACGAACGATTTTCCCTTGGGATTGTGTATTTGCGGATCGTCTTTCATGAGCTTCTTTTTCTCTGCGCAACTTTTTCGCTTTCTTTGAAACTGATCATGATCGTGCGCCTGCACTCCACTGTTTTTTCTTCATTTCATCTAGATCAATGACATTGTGATCGTATTTACAACAGCAACCAACAGTGCCGGTTAGCGGGGAAATGCATTGTTACTCGCTTGCTCGGAGAGCGCCTTTGGCTTTGCTAGCGATTTTCTCCTGCTGCCAGAGCCCTCAGACCGAGAAATTGTTCCCTTTACGATTACGCGCCACATCATGATGGACCTCACCGAAGGACAAAAAGGAATACCAAATACAGGAACAATTTAAGGTCACAGGATTATGATCGTCATCATGCCACAGCAGCTGTGTCGCTGCGGTGGACGACACCAGAAACGAGAGCCGGCGTCTCAGCGGCAGGCCATTGTTCCGCGAATGCTAGGTGACCTACGTCTCATGTGTGTCTCAGAGTTGCGGTACAAGCGGCAAAGGGACAGAGTCTCGAAACCGTCGGCGTGAAATGCACACGGTGCTATAACAGAATTGGAGGAGTGGAGAGCGCCGGAGCGCCCTTGTGCACCTCCATCAATCATCAACAAGTCGGGCCGTTAAATAATGAAATGAGCGCTTTAGTAAAGAGTAGTACGTGCAGCTGCAGTGGTGATTCTTTTGGTAGCAGTCGTGTGTTCTAAAAGGAGGTGATGGCACCAGACACCTTGCTTCACCAGCTCCATGGCCATACGGGTTACATTGACTGTGCCCATGGCTATGGAAGATGCGTGGCGGCAAACAAGACCAGGTTGCGATTGGAACCAGGTGCGAATCTGTGTCGTACAACTGAGATGAGGAATAACCACTCGTATTCAAAAAGTTTTCAGCGGGTGCCTTTGAAAATCGGCAGCAGCAGTAGACATTGGTCGCACTCGCACTCGTAGTTTGATCGCCCATAAGAACCATGTCGAAGGACGCGCTAAATTCGGCTCTGCGAAGGCAGCCTAAAAATTGATCGATTTCAAGAGATGGTGCCCGAAGGATGCTAGTTACGTGAAGATGATGGTGTTTCTGCACACGAGCAGTTTCTCGTCGTTCTTCTACAACATGAGGATTTTCTTCTTGGATCAGGAGGAAGTCGTGTAAGGAAAGTATGTGCGCTGGACCACCTCCAGGACGATCTCAACTAGTTGTTGTACAAGAACTTCTAGCAGGATCGATGAAGTGAATATTACGTGTAGTAGCTTTAGCACAATGTGATTTCTCCGCAGGCTATACGCGCACCCGCGTTCCCCGTCGTGAGTGAGGTCTTGCCGTTTACGCCCGGTTCACTGTGGTCTCCCTTGCCGAGGTCATCTGTTATAGTGATGTGGATGTGGAAGTGGAGGTTGACGAATCAAGATATTTGAAAAATCATATGGATCAGTTTCAACGAATACGGTTGATGTTGCACTTGGTTCACAAGTTCTGAATCAGAGTGCAGATCAGTACCTGGATCTTCGTGAACCATGACACTGCGACCAATGACGGTGTATTCGCCCTCCAGTTTGATTAGGTGATCTGTCAAAGAGCCCTTGGAGTTTCCGTCTGCGTCCACTTCGATATTGCCCATGTCTCCCACATGACGATCCTCATCCGTTGGCGCGCCATGATTCTTGCCTGTTTTTCGTAGTTTTTTTCTTTTTTATTTTTCGATACATACAGCAGCGTCGCCGACGTGGTATATGTGTTTCTTTTTTTTTTCTCCGAATTCGTAGTATGCACAAGATTTAGAATGCGTCGGTCGTGATAGCAAAGTCGGTTCCCAGAAATTACACTACATTTCTTTGCGCGCATGTGATTGACGTGAAGTCGAATGATAGCCTCGATGTCTAGGCCGACCTTAAGCTTATGAATTTGTGATTATTTCGGAGGCATGGTCGATTGTAGCAAAACTAGTTCCTACTCCTTAGTAAACAAGGTATACCAAAGGGGTTGTAGTGCGGTCCCGCTGACATGCATCCGTTACTGAAGTCAGCCTTTTCGTGTATGTGAAACCCATGAAGTCCTGGCTTTCCGCATCCCTTGAGATCCCAGGAAATGACGCACTTTTCCGCGCTTTCTTGCACGAACGAAACCACGCCGGTGCACCCGGCCGCCGCTTCCTCCCCGCCGTGACAGGGCTTGCCCTTCGGGGCCACTACGCACTGAGCCTTGATCGGGTAAGACATTTTTCTGTTTGGCAGCACGTCAAAAATGTCGTACTTCTTTTCCTCGTTGCTCATGGACGATTTTCTAAACCGAATCTACAGTTGGAGTTGTGCTGTTGTGTTTATGGATCAAAATTCTCACGTGCTGACGAGATGAAAAGCAGGTTATTATGTTCCCCCGGATCTGTTGGAAATTAGAATTACAGGCGTGGCTCCACAAATCCAATCAAGTCTGAAGACAGCTACTGAAAAACCTTTCGATTATTTCGTGCAGCTGAGACAAGTGGAGAAACGTAGTTATTTCGACGAATGAAATATGTTCAAAATGCTGTCGCGAATCTATAAGGAAGTGGAAGAGACTGACTGTGAGCAGGTTGAATATGACAATTTAAGGGGCAACCATAAAAAAAGACTACCACATTCTCCGTTTTCAAGAACTTCCCCGCGACTCGGCCGCATCTTCCTAAGGAGAGATCACATTCTAATTCAGGCTCTCGTGAGGGACATCAATATCGCAACTACTTTCTACTTCTTTCCGACTCGCTTCATGGCTACGGAAGCCAAAATGAAAATGGCTTCCGTCTATAGACAAGGCAAAGGCCTTGAGCCAAAATGGCTAATTGCCGTTCGGTATGCTCGCACTCAGTTGGTGCGGCGGAACAGCAGTTTTGTGGAGAAACGCAAAAAACCCCCAATGAGAGATAGAGCTGGACGGACTAGTGGAGAAAAACAAAAAGCTACCCTATTTCTTACTTAAAAACGTTGAAAGAAAAAGGAGGTAACGAAAGAGAGGGAGACAGACTACCTTGACTGATGCTGATGCTGATGGCGAAGCGCGGGCGCAACGCGGGCGGAGGGGCACCGACCTGAAGGGTCCGAAGACGTGCCTTTTTTCGGGGGGTAGAAGAGGGCTAAACCCGCGCGCAAAACTTCGGCGGGCCTCAATCCATCAAAAAAACAATTTGTGCGTGAACGCAGCAAAAAGTAAAAATGACGGAAGGAGGTCTTGCAATGTAGCTGATAGCGCCACGCGGACGTGACCACCGGCGGCAGGGACGACCTGAAGGGTCTGGAGACTCCCCTTTTTTCAAGGGGGGTAAGAAAGCTAAATCCGCACGCAAAACTTCCGCGGGCTTCGAACTACACAAAGATCCTGGATGTGCGTGAATGCTGCAAAAGGATCAGGAAGTAGTAAGAAGTCGAATAATATATTTATAAAGCCTTCGAACCACCGACATCCTTATGTTCTCATGCTGTTCAACTCCCGACGGTGATCGCAGCACCAGGAGCCCACACGAACTGGAAGAGTAGCGCGCGGCTAGCAGAACTTTCAGGCGCGAATCGCCGACCTTCCACAAGCGGAGGCCAAACAATAAAATGTTTTTCCAAGCAGAGCTGTAGCGAGCGCGATAGCGCTGAGGAACAGGTAAGTTGTTTAGAGCCCCGGCGCCAAATGAATCTACTTGCCAGGATTAGCAGACCTGACCCAAAGCTATCTACAGATTGACGCCATAATGGAACTCCGCAGACAACGAACCAGCCTCCGATCAGCATATAAATGTCATTCATATCAACTGCGGAACCCGAGTGAGAAAGAACGAAAAGAGCAACGCTGATAAAGCTGATAAAATAGCAACGCTGATAAAGCTCTACTCGTGCCGAGACAATTCTTTGCTGATCCCAAGAACAGGAAGCGGGCCTCCATCTCTTGAACATTTCGACTTCCCTCAAATTTGTTTTTGATCTTTCCGTCGCCATACGAAAAACATGTTCTTTCTGTATCTGCGCATCTCGTTGTACGAACATCACAGCGCTGCTATTGCAGGCCTCCTACGGGGGGCTGCTTTTCTGTGCCTGCTCGTTGTGCAGCAGCAGAAGTTGCAGATTCAGATACAAAAACAAAAGGAGTGGTAGACAGAGTGGAGAGCAACAGAACTTTGCAGAACTTTTCAGAACTCAGATCGGTGCTTTTTCTTCTCAGTTTCTGCAGTGGCCATGCCCGTGGCGTTCTTTTTGTCTTCGAACCTCACTTTCGACTGCAGACAACCGACCGAGCCTTTTATCCGATGCCGCCCCCGAACCCGCCACTACTTCGGGGCGGTTTTGCATGCGAGGCGGTTTGACGACGTTCGGGTGATGCTCCGCGTTTCCTCATGCCACCCTGACAAGCGTACCGAGCCCCAGCACCGCCCTGGTTTGAACCTACTGCGGATGGCGCTGCCAAAACCCGGTTGCCCGGCAGTCCGCCAAGCCCCACGGGCGCCGGGCTAGTAGCATTTGAAGAACCTCCTACCGCAACTTCCTGAATTCGGCGCGTTCCTTGCTGAAGCTGGTGGTCGCCGCGCGGCATGGTACCTGCTGGGGTCGTCCTTCCCCTGGCATCCTCCTCCTCCGCAAAGCTCTCATCTTCGCCGTCGCGAGCGTGTTCATCTGGACTGGAAAGCAGATCCTCTGCCTCTAGGAGCTGCGGACCGTGGCGGGCATGAAGATCCGGCTCCGCACGCTCGCTCCTTCGCCGAACCCCAGGAAAGTCGGGCAAGTGCTCCAGAATCCTAGATATCATATTACCTGCAGCCAGAAGGAGGTAGTAGGAGAATGTGGATGGAAAACCGAAACACCATGAGAGAATAGGAGCAATAAAATATGAATATACTATCTAACGAGCAGCAGTTCGAGTGAGAAAGAAGGAACAAACCCTGCTGCGGTCGCATGAATCATGTACTTAGTTCTGTTACATCAGATTCAGCAGGAGAAACATCATGGTTGTGCTCTTCATCATCTTCATCACGGTTTTTTACATATACCTCTGATCCTCTCTTGAGCTGTGGCGGCCACTATTGCAGTCGGGGTCGTCGGCCGGCCTGTTTCTCTTTTTCTTGTTCGATTTCTCGTCGCCATGTCAGACTCATCAGCTTCTGCATCCTCTAGCAGGGTCGTGCCTGCGCTGCCTGTGCGCGTTGGAATTTGTGAAGTAGTAGAGAGTCTCCGGTCAGTGCTCGTAAACGAAGATGAGGAGTTGTGTTTGTTTGTTGTGCCAGGGCTCCTCGATCCGGAAGGGGGATTTTCAGTTGTGCCGCGCGCGGCCTGGTGGCGGCTGCCACCGAGCGAAGTGCTGGACGAAGAGGAGCCTCCTCGTCGTGTGCCGGCGCCGCCGATGTTACCGTCGTCGTCTGACGGATCGTCCTTCCGCGACGAAGAGGATAGCAAGGTGGCATTTGCCTCGATCAGCCGCTGTTTTTTTCTCAGCTCTTCTTGGCGCCGCTGCAGCTGCCGGGTGGCCCACCAAAACTTCACGTGCGGGCGGTACTTCAGAAACAGTTTGCTCCCCAAAATCAAGCACAGGATGGTAATCACCGTGATCAGATTCCTGTTGCGTAACGCCTCTGCTTCCCGTTTGCGCCGCCCACTCTCGTACTGCGCCCACTCGGACTGTGTCACGGTTAGGATCGGCCTTGCTTCCCACTCTTGGACAGGAATTTTTGCAGGTGTCGCGCCAGCTGCAGACGCGGTTGATGCCGTTGCAGGTGTAGACGCGGTCTCATCCGTAGTTGTGCCGACCATCCGTCGCTGTAGTCCGAACACATCCACGGTGTACGGGATTACGATGGGCCTGTGTGCCTCCGCTCTCATAGATTCCAAGACGGAATCTTTTGGTTGATGCGACTCGGTGTTGTCCGCTGGTGTTGCAGCGTCCGCTTCTTTTGCTTCAGCCATTTCTTCCATTTCCACTGCCTCGTTGCGTCGCACTCGAGTCAGTTCGTCCTGGTATCTTCTCTCAGCTGCGTGCTTTTGGTGCAGTTTTTCTACCAGCAGTGCCTCATTAACGCTGAAGCCTCCAAAGTTGTGCTGCACGTTCGGCCCCTTCCAACGCGCTCGAGTCCACAATGCTAACACCAGGTGAGTACAGAAATCGATGGGGAAGGGCTGATGTAGAGGAAGAGAATTGAAATCGACAGTGGTCTGCATGAAAATGAAAGGTAGAATGGGGAAACACACGCGCAGCTTTCTAGTAGCGTGACATTGCACTCCAACTTAGAGGTGAAAAAGAAAAATGGTTCGTAGTCGTTCATGTGGAAAATGAAAATCAGATCCGGCTCGCCGCGTAATTATGAACCGAGTGCTACAAAAATAATTCGTGCAACAAGTGCTGAGGTACCTTATGCGTGATTCCGCTCGATGTGACTTCAAAGAAGCCGCGCTCTGCGTTTACTTCTGCAAAGTGGACGTCTCCTGATAGAAAGAGCGTGCGATCCTTGACACGCTCCAACAGCGCAAGAAGCCGTTCCTTGTCGCGCGCAAAGTGCATCCAGCTCTCGAAGAGCGGGTTCGACGTCAGCACCTGAATCGACGAGCCAATGACGAGCAGTTTCGGAACTTTACTCGGTGAGACGAGTGACGGGTCGCCGCCCTCGCTCGTAGGACGATTGTTCTCGTTCCTTTTTTCGTGTTGATCTACTCTGTCATCTTCTCCGAGAAGTAGTTCAGCTCCGCCTTGTTCTTCCGGGGGAAAGACCTCCTCCAACACGCTTTCGAACCAGGCAAACTGCTCCTACCCCGGTTTTTCATCGTTTTTCAAACTATTGAGCAGGTCTGAAAAATAAAAAAATGCGACCCGGTCACATGACCCGAGCGTGTGGACCTGAGCGACAGATTCTGTGCACTAGCTAGGGAAAAGGTGGACGATGTTGAGAAGTGACCTTGTGCACACTAGCCACTTACTTTATCCGAACCATGTGAGATAGCTCGCTTGGGGGAGCAGATGGGGAAGAATTGAGCTCGCTAGGTGTTTGGTCAAGGTCCAGGCTTTGGGAGATGTCCCGGACCCGCGGGCCCACAAATTCACTCGAGCCGGCCCTAGTGAAATGAAAAATTGCGAGCCGGTCAAGAATTAGAAAAAATCAAGAAAAGTGACGCAATTTGGCGCAATGAGCCTGGATTGCCTGCGTTTGCCGTTAGGTGCATGCTCAGGCACCTCCCCCGACGGTTTTGCTTGTATTTTTCGCAAGACAAAAATGGCGAAAATGGGCGCCGTGCTTTTTGTTTTGCTTCCGTTTGGGTTTTGTGTCTGGGGTTTTAGCTTGAACATGCATGGCATGCTCGATGCGCGGCTTGATCGAAATATCTGCCGCATGACGACAGTAAAAGTGCCAAGTTTGATCGGGGGCATAGATTGAACTTGCATGGCATGCTGCACGTTTCGGCGACGCATGTTTTGATACTTGTGAGCAAAACTATGGAGCGGCTTAAGTTTTTTATTTTTTTCGAGCTGCTCCATATTTTTATTTTCCAGATCCGCAGAATCTGTGGGTCTCAGATCTCAGATTCCGGCTCATCCGGAAGACGAGATCCGAAAGCCATGCTCATAATTCTAAGTGTAGACAAATACATATAGGACAACATGAGGGGCGAGCTGACTCCTGTATGCAAGGTATAATTTCCTAGCGGTCTACATGTGCCAGAGCTAGTGTTAACAAGATCCTCCAGCTCAGGCACCGACGTCGCCGGGACGTGTGAGCAGGTATCGAAAACATAAAAATCGAACCTGCTCAATAGTTGGAAAAACGATGATATTCCGGGGTAGGGGGAGAAAATTCGTAGGATAGATCCTCAGGGGGGAAAATTCCTCCGGGGGGAAGACCTCCTCCATATTGAGAGGAAAAATCCCCCCTCCCCATATTGGAAACGCATTCGTCTGAAAATTTGTGATGCAGATTTGAGGTCACAAATCCTGTCTGTCTTGCAAGAAGGCAAAGCCAGAGAGTCCGCCGCATTATGCCGGCGGTTTGCAATGCTGTTGGGCTTACAGAGACGACATCTGTCATGCTAGTCCCCTACGTCAAAACCTCTCGACGCAGGCTTGGCATATGCCTGCGCTCCTCTCCAGCAAGACAGACCTGATTTGTGTACGCAAATCCAGCATCAGAAACTTCGTTTCGATATGGGGAGGGGGGATTTTTCCCTTTGATACTCCAAGACGCTTTCGAACCAGGCAAACTGCTCCTCGCCGAGCAGCTGAATTTTGGCTTTCGCCTATCCTGAGTAAAAACGTACCCACCCCAGAGTTGTAATGCAGATTTGCAATGACAAAGACATTTGTGTTGCGCATCCCCATGAGAGCCATTTCCAATCGTGTTTTGGAATTTGTGATGCTGTGAACAGGATCAGCAGGTCGATTTGTGATGCAGCTTTCCTTGCTAACTTGCACTACCTTACGGACTGAAACTTGTCATGCGTGACTCACAAAACTCCTAGGTTTGTGTTGCAAAATCCTCATCCTGACTCTGGTGTGGGTACGTTTTTACTCAGGATATCGCCCCGCTTTCCCACCACCAACCGCAGAACCACGGAAAAGGGAACAAATTCAGAAAGTACTGGGCTGTTCGCGCGAACGCATTCATCACCGGCCAGAAGATGTGAACCGGTCCGGTGTTGGTGGTGCGGTAAAAAAACTGCAGGAACGGGTTCGTTATCACCAATTCGTTGAAGCTTCGCAGGTCAAACGCCACAAAGTGTACCTGGTAATGAAAAAAGCACAAAATGATCGTCCACATCGCTTGTTATTGTTTGCATCTTGTTGTCCCGAAGAATAAACGCAAATCAATTCTTCAACCAGAATCAATGGATGATCCAAATGGAACGAAACATGTGGAGGCCAGGAACATCATTCTGTTCGATAGTATAATCAGCAAGAACAAACCTCGTATTTCTGCTTTTGGGGAGTCGCTTGTGAAAATTGATCATGGTTCCTGCCCCGCGCTCCAGCTCCAAGGTCGACTTCTCCGTCGAAGCGCTTCCAGAAACTGAGTCCGGGCCCCAGCTGAATGGAGTCGGACTCTTTCACATCTGGAAACACCGCCCGCATATTGTCCTGCCGAACTTTGAGCTCCTCCGGCGGCACTGACGTTCCGATCGCGTCGTTCAGGCCGAAGTCGTGGTCGTCCCATGGGTATGGGAAACAAAAGCCATGTCGTCCGAAATCCCTTTCAGCGAACAATGCTTCCCTAGAGCTTGCAGCCGGGGTTTGTGACCAATCATGAAAAGATGAGTTCTTGATCTAAATTTTGCTTGATCAAAAATGCGATGATCAGGGGGTGCCAGAGCTTCTTGCTTCTTTATCTCGTATCTGCTGTTTTTGCTGCGCTCTTTTCTGGAATGCATGACAGACGCAGATCGAAATTCCGGGCGACTTGGAATCTTTCGCGCACGTACGACGCCTAAAATGGTCCGATTTTCGGCGAATTTCGAGTACCAGGGGTTTATCCCGTTGTCTTTGGAGAACATGTCTTCGAGATGGGCCGTGGAAAGCGCATCGGTCGTGTTCTGGTACGCGCTGTCCCCGAGCCAGATCCATGGCACCTTGTTCGTAGTGGCAGTTGTAGTGCTGGCGCCCCCCGGAAGGTCCATCTCGCGGTCCAGCGGCGACGAGCATTTATTTGTTTGCGGGTCGTCGTTCTTGGGGCACGTAGTTGTTGTTCCACCAACATCCTCACTTCCTTGCTCTCCAAAAGATCCTTCACGTAGGACACGATCTAGCTCCGTCCAGGGCTGGTTTGCGTGAGCTTGCTTCGCGCACGAGCCAAAGCCGAAGCTTACAGGAGCAGCTTCTGCTAGAGTGATGTAAGCTTCCAATGAAAGCAGGGGGTAGACAAGCATGCCCACCATAGCGACCTCGATTCTCGTGCGCAGGGTCGTCTGGGTCGTCTTTATGGCGCAAGAATGCAGTATGTTTCTTCTTCTTCAATACCAGGGCGTGAACTTGTGCTTGATGTGATGTAACATCAAGAATACATGCACATCCATATGCGAAAATGGCAATTCAGTGTCTTTTTACTTTCCGTTTTGTTTAGCGACAAGTCTTTTTTTACGTTGAAAATGTCGAACTACGACTACCACGTCTGTGGGGGAAGGACATTAAAAAAGGCACAAAACAAACTTAACAAACCAACGGGAACATCACCGAATTCATTGCTGTGTCCTCCTCCTTGAATATGCGTGCTGCCAAAGAAGCAAAAACGAACGTAGATACATAGAGATTCAAAAAAGCTACATGATTCAACAATGTGATCGAGATTTAACACATTCACATCTCACGAAAAAAAAAGGCAAATCAGAGAGTGAGCTCGCACAATTGATTCGTCTCGAAAAAATCAAAATGATCGAGACCGAGACGGAGAAAAAAAAAGAATACGCACCTTTCTGGTTGCTTCACCAGCTCATCTGACCACACAGACAAAAGAGCGAATTCGCGTCCCGCTTTGCTGAAGAGAAACAGGAAGCCTCACAAAAAAAAAAGCGCGCGGATCGGAGGGCTGGTCAACTGCGTCCGTTAAGTATCTGTCAGTATCTATCGTCACGTGTGATCGTGGCTTGGTAAGTCTTCGGTGAAGACAGAGACACACTCACCGATCGACTTCTGGGTGCTCATCAGTACGAAGAAGAAGACACGGAGACATGGCCGGTCGACCAGTGACGGTGTCCACACTCTTGCAAACAAAGGCAAAGCGCTTGCTTCAGGGCCTGCAATAACATTGCTATGAACTTCACCCCGTGTGTGAGTTGTTCTCCGAAACAGGAAAACGAGAAACGTATTTACTGAATTTCTTTGGGAACGAAGGACGAGGAAAAATCAATGAGAGTGCCCTGCAAAAAAATCTGTCAGGTGGTAGGTGGGTCTTACTCGAGAAGAAATCATTACACCATTCCTTTGGTTCTGTGACTGCGTTCGTCGTCACCGCATCTTCCGATGTCAAAAATCCTGAAGTACTTGTACACTAACACTTCTTCTTGTGGTCTAAGAAACTACGAGCTCTGATGTTGAACAAATACAAAAGCACGCCAAAGAAACGTAAGTATTATACATTTTTTTCAATTTCAACTTATACCTACCAGTTTTCTTTGCCTGTCACTGTTTGCGACTGATCTCGTACGATGGCAGCAAATCGGGACGAGGTATTGCAACATCCGTTGCAGCTGGTCCACGATTTTTCTTTCTCTGAGTGTTAGGGGACATGAATCCTCGCACAGGTGGGAGTTCGTGAACATCAACATAGTTAGCTGCTTTATAGTCAACAACACCACACGCACACGCTTCGCTTTCTCAAGCTTGACGATGACGTGATGTTATTAGTTAAAATCACGAGCGTCGAAGAACTTGCAAACCTATGCTCACTTCTTTGTCGCATCTGGGACGTCGGTTCCAGCAGCACGCGCAGTAGATGGTTGTTTTTTGTTGGCTGCGCCCGTTGCTGGTCCGGAGGATGAAAACGCGGAAAAAAGATTCATGCTCCGTAGCGACGGTGACAGAGACAGGGAGTGGGAGGCCGTTCCCACCCGCGCCGGATCGGCGCTCGGGTTGGTGGTCCGCTGATGTTGATGTTCCGGGTGCGGCACAAGCAGGGACATAAAGGACGACGACCCGCCCGCCGTTCCTGAGGAATGGCTGCGACTGCCCCTTCGTGATAAGCTGGTCTCAGGGCTCTGTCCACTGGTGCCGCTGAAACTCAGGCTCTCTTCCATGCTCAAACCGACCCCACCAGAAGTTCCACGCGCGCGCGGTTTGAAGTCCAATAAGCGCTGCACGCGCTTGGACCGGGATGTGCGCTGCGGCAAGCCGGGGAGGCCCTCCGCCTCGCGTCTCAAACGGAGGTCTTCGCGCCAGGCCTGCAACGGAGAGAGCTTCGCGGCAGCTTTGGCTTTCGCGGGGGAGGCCGGTGCAGTCATGCTTGTGGCGAAGTTCGGAGACTGCAGGCCCGTTGCTCCACCCATCAACGTGGCCGTGCTGGAGCCACCTTAGAGATGACGATCATATAGATGAAACGATAAAAGAACTGAGCGCACGACCCCACGAAGTCCAAAGGAAAAAGGACGAGCATTGCAGATTTGAGCCTGCATCTGAATTTCGATTGGTCATGTTTGGTTTGTTGAAAAATTTTTCGTAAAACGATAAACAAAAGCGATGTTTCGTCACAGCAGTGTACCAGGTAGCAGTCCACCTTCCGCTGATCGTGCTTGTGGCGACTCAAGGACGCTGGTTCCGCCTATTCCGGAAAGCGTCAACTCCTCCTTGCGCGAGAGCAAATTCATGTTGGACGGCGATTTATCACCTCTCTCCTCGCGACCACTTTTCGGCGGGTACTGTTCCTGCTCGTGGTCACCAGAGGAGCTACTCGCAGAAGAGGACGGTTCGGGGAAGAGTTCTTGCTTTCCAGGTTGCAGCGCTGTCTTCCTCTGCTCGCGCTGCAACTGCCGCTGTTTTTTCCGCGTCGCGGGGCTCTGAATCCGGGCGTCGTCTTTGACCACGAGCGGCTCCAGGTCCACGTCCGAGCCGTCTTGTTCCAGCGGAATTGAACCTTCAGCCCCCGCCGTGAGACTGAGATTGTCCGGGGACCCACTTCCCGACTCGCTTGTCTTGTTCCCGCTGGCACTGCGACCGTGGGGCGACTGACTTCTCGACTTGGCAGAGACGCGCTTCGCCTGCTTGAAAAGCTGAGTAAAGTTCGGCATCATTCCGGGGCGGTCACCCGGCGACCGCTCGTCCTTCATCATGACGTTTGCCGTGGAAACCTCCGCATCAATGTCGATGTCCTCCATCTGAAACATGCTGGCCTTTTTCGCCGGCTTGGTCACCTGGCTCGTCCGCGTCGCAGCACCGGCCGCCGCGTGGTCGGAGGTGCCGGAAGTGGAACGCACGAGGTCCGCACGTGTTGCCGCGCCCAGACTGGTGCCCGCCGGAGGAGCGAGGTCATCCACATCCTGCTCGTCGACTGCAAGGAGGCGGTTGCCGTTTTTATCGGTGGAACCGCGGTCACCTTGCGCGGCCATTTTGGCGGGCAGCAGAGGCCTCGGACCCCGGCTATGCAGCGCCCCGTCGATTTCGCGGGTAGTGGTTCGAGTACTTCTTCGTACTGTAGTTCCTTGCTGATGATCCTGATCGAGTTCGAGGACCCCTCCTACTAGTACTTCCTCTGTGGCGGGTTGTTCTAGTAGTACTCCAGTACCGTGGTGGTGCTCTTCGGACGCCGTTCGCGGCATGGTGCTCGCTTGCGGGTCATCGCGCAGGCCTCGCAGAGCTTGCGTAGCATCGGACGCGAAGTGCTGGGAAGAGAAGTCTTGCTCCCGGCCAAAAGAGGCTTGTTGGCCCGAGGCAGACCCACCCATACGACCGCCCGGACGCGCGGCAAAGTCGTCCTGGCCCATGTCTCGTAGCGCCTGTTCCCGCTCCTTCGCCTCCTCATCCTCGTCCACTTTGGTCGGCGACGAAAGTTTCCAGCGCAAAGCCTCGGTTATTGCGGTCAAGTATGGCCACGGTTCCCGCTGCTCGGTGGGAGAGAAGGGCTCGGCATCGATGTGCCGCTGCGGGTCAATTTCGGTCCGATGCGCGCGTAGCGTTTCCCGAGCCTCCGGACTCCGAGGATCAATGTCTTTCGGGAGCTGGTGAAACTGGATCCCTGCGTCGAGCCCGGCCCGACTTTTGGCCATCATATTGCCACTTTCGTCCTCGTACATCCAGTTGTGGTCTCGCCACCGTTGCCCCACGGGTACGGGTCTCTTCTTCGGCACGGCGTCTGCTTTCACAGACATGCGAAAGCTCTCGTCGTTTCTGTCGATCGGGAAAGTGCGCACAAATTTGGAGCGCACGTGCGTCATCTGGCCCGGGCGCGGGGCGTTCGTGAGCGCTGGCGCGCCGCCCCACTTCAGATTCGTAAATTGCTGCTGCGAAGTTGAAGGGCTGGACATTCCAGGAGAGCGCTCGCCTGGCCGCGGCGGTGGGGACCGGCTTTGCGAGTTGTCTGCCCTCCAGGACTGTTGGAGGTTCTGCTGCTGCGGTTGTCCGGCGATCGAAAGACTGCTCGGACTGGTCCCCAGCATGATGCGATTGACCGCATGATCGCGGTCTGGCGTACTCCCACCTCCCTCCGAAGAACCTCGTGCAGCGGTCCCACCACGTGGCCCAGCTGCACCTTGCGCGGCCATCAAAGACTGCGATGACAGGAAACCGCCTTGTTCGGAAGCGCCAAGCGGTGGTCCCGACCGCAGGTAGTTCGGGTTTGGACTCTCGGCGGAGCCGCTAGCACCCCGCACCATTGAAGTAGTTCCCAGAAGCGTGCCGTCGGCCGTCATGAGCGGGGCACCTGGCAGCGGGGCACGGTGTACGTTAATCATGGCGCCCATGCGCTGCGCTGACGAGAGGACCACCTCGAAGTACCGGTTCTGATTGCCGACCTTCATGACGGACGGTGGCTGCTGGGGAAGGAGGCCGGGGCCGTGCGTCCTCATCTGCGGGTCTAGGAAAGACGTGGGCGACGCCTCCCCTTGAGCACCACGAACTGAGGCACCCAGGGACCCAACCTTCTCCCTTGAGGACGAGGAGGACCGACTCTCGCGTCTGCTTTTGTTCGGGACAGATCCTGAGCCGCTCGACTGGGAGTCGTGCTCCGAGTTACCATCGTTAGCGACGGCCACGGTCTGCGAAGCGCGTCGCTTTTTCTTTACCTTCGGACCGAACCGCGTTCGCGGCTGGCCACTTGCGTAGACGTTGTTCTCTGGACTGCTTTTGCGCCGCGACGAGCCTTTTGTTCCCAGCAGGTCGTCCTGCGCTGCTCCGTCCCCGTCCAAATCTGCACCTTGGCCCTCTGGCCCGACTCCGGGGGGTAGATCTGTCTTTCGTGACCCGTCCAGATTTGCGGCCATGGCCGACTTATTTTGGATCGGTGAACCCGGGGGGCTTTGGGGCGAACTGATGTCGGAATCGATTTCCGCTTCTGCGATGCGCTGGAATTGCTGCTCCTCGCGTAATGTGCGGATCCGCTTTCTCGTTTGCTCCACGCGCCGCAGCAACGCGGGATCGGGAATCGCGGGCTTCGCAGCTCCTCTGCTGGAAGATTGGTCACTCTCGTCCTTTGAGCCGGACGGTTCCGGGCTGGGTTCTATTTCGTCCACTCCGTCTTTGTTCATCTCCGATTTGTTGTTCATCCCAACAGATGCGGACGAGCCCTTGCTTAGAAACCGCAGCAACTTCCGCCCCATGCCGGAAGGTTCGCCGGTGCCGGTTGCTGCGGCGACTTGTTGCAGGAGCTTCCGCGCTTCCATGATCTCTTGGCGAATCTCCTTCTCCGTACGCAGAGACGCGGGGTGGAAGTTGTGTGCGGGGCTCCGCGGCATCGCACTGGAAGACTCCTGTTGAGGGGACCCGGGTGGAGTTCCACCTCCCTGTTGCACGAACAAGCGACGGTCTTTCATCGCTAGCCGCAACTTGTACCATAGCCGCTGCCCCGAGCTTCGCTCGGTCGCTGCAGTTGCTGGGCCTCCCGGAGTTCCTGCATTATCGATATTATCCTCTTCCGGACCCCCTCCATCCAGAGTGCTGTCGCGGAATCGCGGTTCCCCCGCTGTGGTACTACTGCGCTTGAAGGGTGACCGCAGTACGTTCAGCCCGCGCTCTACGTATTTTTTTCGCCGCAGCATGGCGATCAGCTGTGCCACTCGCTGCTGTCTCGCGCGCCTGCAGGTGTTTATTTTCCAGTTTGCGTGGTCGCACCGTGGAGATGAAGGTATTCTTGACTTTGGTTTTCTTGCAACGTTGGTTTGTTTTTCATCATCATCAGCACAAGTTAAAGATAAAGGCAACAGTTTTTCATCTTTTCTCACTTTGATAGCAGCTCGTAGCAGATCCAGAAGTAGAACGCACAGATGCCGGCCATATGAAGAACGTTGAAGACGCTCAGGAATGGTACGAAAGTCGCTGCGCGCTGGCTGGGATCGACGATCTCGCCCCAAACATTAAAGTTCTGAAGCCCGTCCAGGCTGCCGATACTGAACCCGAAGAACACGTTGAACCAGGTCAGGGCAACCAGCAGAATGGCCACGGGAATCATACCCAAGGCGATCTCCGAGGGTACTGCACCCACTGAATCACGCAAACGCAGCCGCGATTCCAGAACCCGCTGCAGCTTGTCATGCTGCAGCTCCGCTTCGTCTAGAACCGTGTCAAAGACAGTCTGCACCTGATGTAGTCATATCGATTGCAGTCTCAGTCGGAATGAGTTCATGGTTGATAATACTCAGAAGTACGTCGACGAAGACGAGTGCAAAAAGTAGTACCTCAACGAAGCGCTCTTGGAGGGTAGAGTTGAGCTCATGTAAAGTTTTGGCAATCAGATCGGCCCGGCCGGTATCAAATGTAAAAATGTCTGGGTCTGGAAGGTTGGAACTTGTGATGCTAACTTTGGACTCTAAAAAAATCTGTATTGCATGACCAGCAAGAGGAGTCTAGTTTGTGCTACACGGGGAGGGCATTTGTCATGCGGAAAAGGCATCAGGAGGCCTGCTAAAAATCTGTGATGCTAGGTCGTGCATTACAGACATCCTGGGTCATACAAAATATGCATGACAAACCCGGCAACATTCCAGACCCAGACATTTTTGCATTTGATAGCCGGTCATGCGTGCATGCGTCTTGGCGGTGAAGTCGAACCAGTAGTGCATTTCTCCGCAGCTCTATCGCAAGAAAAAAGTGTTACAGTTACACATTGTGTTCGCGAAACAAGCAAGACAGGCAACCTTTGTCATGCCGGATATGCATAGGAGCCTCGTTTCATAGGTGTTTTCCCGTAGGATTTCTGCATTGCAAGTTTTCTCTCTCATACACGGGAAATTTGTGTTGCTGAATTAGCTACAAATGTGTAACTGTAACACTTTTTTCGTGGGATAAGCTCCGCTCGATCCCCCGCAGGGCGGCGGCTGCGTTAGCGAACGCACACAGTACGCTCGTGTACTGGTACTCATTGAAGCGGTGTTTGAACGGCATCCTGGCGAGGGAGGGGGTTGCGGGTGAGCTGAGCGCGGAATAAAGCGTCTCAGATTATACGAGCAGCCACGAGAACGCGGTGCAAAGTCGTGTAAATTGATACAGTATCCGAAAAACAGGACGCACAGGTCGGCGCTGTGGCTGGATAGACCAAAATTTCAAAAAACGCAAGGCACAACTTATCGGGTCGGCTGGCGTCGTTCTCGTCGTGGTTTCGCTTACACTACTTGCTTCCTCCGGAATGTTGAAGCCGATTTGAGCCGAGATCTGCATTTGTCATCCTTATCTGACAAAGAAATAGAAGGCACCCGCGGGTGTATAGGACAACCACGATAGATGAAACACATTTTAGTTTGCTTACGCCGAACTAGTAGCCGACCCCTTGGCAACGAGAAAGACGGGTCTGCACCATAAGCACGAGCCATGTACTAGAAATCTTTTATTTCTATCGCTTGTGCTGAAAAATCATCATTATGATAAGAATCTTCAATATGTCAGGACGCGCACCGCAAGGGTAAGAAAGCTGCTGGTGTAGTCCTCGTCGGACAAACTGAAAGGAATAAAAGCCCTCGCTTGCATGGCAGTGGACACTTCAACTTCATTATTGCGACACGGCTGAGTAATATCATCTTGTCGGGAAAAATTTGGCCGACAGGCGAACACACATGCAGCTTTGGAATGTCCTCCTTCTTCTTCTTTGGAATGTCCTTCTACATTCCTCATTGGCGAAAATCTTCTGTCGTTGCGGTCAGTCGCACCCTGCTCGAAATAAAACTAGTCGCTCTGATCCTGATGGTGATGAATGTTGTACGCTACTTACAGTTACAGATACACGTACGAATTGTTGTCGCAACCGTGAGGTGGAAACTTTCATATTTCGAATCTGGATTGAAATAGATTGGTGGATACTTCTGAGTCGCTATTTCATCTGAAACACCGTAAATAATATACTTCTTTTTCTTTGCTATTGTAAGTCTAAGTCTTAATTTCATATTCGCTTTCGATCATGCTACTCTCGCGACGAGCTGCTCAACTTCGCGCTTCATGGCATCATTCCAGCTGGCCACATCCTCCACTACTTTCTTCTTCGCTTCGATTCCCACAACGTCGGCAACACCAAGTTCCGCCTCGTACACTTTCCTGTAGTTCGTCTGTGCTTTTTCCAGTGCACCGCACACAAATCGTACTTGCGGCATCGCGGGAAAAAATGCGGCGGTGGATAGCGCTTTGGTCTGCCGTTCATCTTCCTCCAGTAAACTGATGGTGGCGTCGCCGAGCTCTCCGCCTCCAGGAAAGTCGTCGTCATCGGCTGGGTCAAGCTCCTTACTTTTGCTCGAGGACGAACCTCCGCCGGCAAGGACGGTGATTCCGCGCAACAGCGCCACGGCAAAGCTGACTCTCTCGAAACTTTGCCGCGCGCAAACACAGAAAACTAGCACTGCTTTGTTTCCGTCTGCGAAAAGGCTGCTTGTTCCGGTAGTACTGGTTATCGATGGACTTGTTCTTGCCACGGGCGTGAGGTGCAGGACTCGTAGCTGCGATTTCACGAGCTCCATCTCGCCGAAGGCTTTCACGAGCTGCTCGCGAATACTCGCAAAAATGTCCTCCTTGCTAACCGACAGGCGCCGCACCCCGTGGAAGCTGAGCTGGACTCCGAAGTAACGCCGCTGTGGTCGCATTTTTTACTTCGATCCTCTGAGCGGGTAAACAGGTTCAACTCAGCGATAGGTCGCAATTATGTTTGACTAGACTACATCGATAGGAACGGGTATCGGTATGATAAATCAGGATTGCGTAACATTGTCGCCAACTACCTGAATGTGAATGAATCTCAACAATAAAGGTCGTAAATTTCAACATTAGGATCTGATCAGCATCAGCTCGTTCTTCATAGCAGGTACCTACGTTGCTACGGCTTCACAGCTTGTGACCAAACGATTTTTGCAAGCGTTCTCGTGCTTCAAAGCGGATCTTTTTTTTGAACGTTTTACTCGGTCACCAAGGGATCAAGCGGAAGATCGCGAAACCGTTGGTCCAAAGCATGAATCGGCTTCGGCAGTCTCTAAATGTCCATAATGTGGTAGAAGATTTCCGACAGAGTTGCGACCACTGCCATTCAGGAAATTCCATTGAATTTGCTGATCACTGGCGCAACTTCTAATTTACCGTCGATCAAGGTAGACATAGATCTAGTAGATCTCATGTTCTATTTCAATTTCTTGGTATACGAACAAACTGAAGACCAGCACGGCCTTGCAGTTGCAGCCATATGCCACTTCTAGTTACAGCAGCGCGTCACTGCTAGTAGAAGCAATCAAGCAACGACTTCAAAATCGCACGCGCTTGAGGAGTTCGAATATAGGAAGAGAGCTCGGCTGCAGTTCATTTGCTGGTGTGCAGATCATCAGTAAGTCAGCTCGACTGCTGGTCCGTCGTCATCCACCTCATCTACTACCTTTTCCTGCCTCGTGAGCACAACCGGCGTCGCTACAACTTCCGCTGCTCGCGCAAACACGCTCTCGAGAGACGCTGATTGGTCTTCCGTCGCGGATACGTTTTCTGTGTCAGTGTCGGCGACGTCGAAGACCGGTTCGTTGTTTTGGAGATCCGTGGTCCCGTCGGGCAAATCTACATCTGCGTCCACGAGTCGGTACACGTCTCGGACCACGTCTTTGCTTTTCTTCAAGGCCTGAAGTAGTTCGTCCTGTGCGGCTATCAAATGTAAAAATGTCTGGGTCTGGAAGAATCCGAAATCAAATTTGTTCTGCTGTTTTTGCATGACACAGAATGTCTGTCATGGAAGCCCTAGCATCACAGATCTTTAGAGGCCTTCCTGATACCTATTCCGCGTGACAAATGCCCTCCACGCGTAGCACAAACCGGACTCCTTTTGCTGGTCATGCAATACAGAATTTTTTAGAGTCCACAGTTAGCATCACAAGTTCCAACCTTCCAGACCCAGACACTTTTGCAATCCATAGCGGCATCGCGTGTGCGCTTTGAGGTCGGCGACAGCCGACTGAGCTCATCAGGTGTATGCATTGCAAAACTATCGTACTAGTAATACGTATAAATTGCATTACAAATTTTCCCAAGAACAAAAATGCAATTTGTCATGCTGTTTCACGTAGAAAGTTGAATTTGTCTTGCATATCTGCGACTAGTACGAGTACGATACTTTTGCACAGGATAAGGTGTTGCGCCGAGCAACGTCGTCGTGCTGCCGCCGGCTTGTTCGCCAGTAGACGTGTTATTGCCACTTGTTTTCATCTGGGCTTGTATTCGGTCGTCCTGCAGCTGCGTTAGGTACGTGTTCATGCGTCCAATCTTCTCATTCAGATCCGGCAGGTGTAGCCTCTCCCCATCGAGGCTCTTCAAGTTCCGCAGATTGCTTTCGTTGAGTAGGGTCACGCGGTACTGTGGGTGCAAGCACACCGGACACTGCCGCGCATTAACATTATCGACGTCTTGGAAGGAAATGTGTTCCAGTTTGTCCTGCCCGCGCAGCCCTTCGAGGTCTGCCACTCTCGAAATTGGGTTGTTCTGCAGTCGCAAGACTCGAAGTGCACCCTGCACAGGAAGATTCTCGCATTTGCTCAGCTTGTTGGAGGAGAAATCCGCGTGCTCGAGGAACGAAAGATTCGTAAGAGACGATCCGAGCGTGGTAATCTCATTCTCAGATAGGTCGAGAAATCGGAGGTTCACCAACCGTTCCAGTACGTCGACGGGGCTGCGAATCCGCTTCTTCGATAATACCAAGCGGAACACCGTTTGCAGGTCGAATTCTCCGGTCTCACTCTTCAGCTGCTGGGCCGTCAGCACAACAGACATGATGCCGTACTAAGTCGCTTATGTCTATGGTTTTGCAAACGTTTGTAAGTTCTGCCCTGATGTTCATGTTCATGTTTTCATCTGTAATACATGAACTAACGCGTCTTCAGTAAAATCACTCTAGTCATTTTGCTCAAGATCATGACATGTCCGTACTGTGCGGACGCGGTGCTGTGAAGGTGTTGTGCCGAGCGCCACTCCTACTCGTGCTCTTCCTCTTCTCTTGTTGGTCCCGCGGACCTCCTGCCCTAATCAAAGGAAAAAGCGCTTCGAAAAAGTGCAGCGGGTGGACCTGTCTCGCGATTTTTCGTCGGTCTGTGCTGTCGATTGTTTGCGTTTGGTTTGGTGTCCCGTGTTCAGCGAATGAAAAAATCTGCCGGCCTTACTTGAGAGGAGGAGGAGGACTAAAGCAGCAAAGCGAACATATCAAATATTAAAGAGGCTGAGGCCCGAACAAAGCAGTGTCCGGTAGTGGTATTGTTCATCCTGCGCTGCAAAATATTGTTTCGTCCTGTATCTGAGAGGGTCGCCTCAGTGTCAATTTTCAATAAAACCGCTGCGGAGATGGAGATTATCATTTCGTTTTCCTTTTTGTTTTTTCTGCTTTCTTCGTCGATTATTTAGATTAAGATTTTACAATGCCATACGGGACGGACGACGTGCATGCGAAACAAATCAAAAAAGAAACATAGACGATTCTTCAGCATCAGTTTTTACAGAAGCAGTCCGAGTCCTTGGACTTGCAGCTCAGCTTGGGTCCGTAATCAACCCTCGTCGTGGATTTCTACCATGAAGATTGGTGTAAACAACAGTATCTATAGTGAAAAAGGGACTTCAGGTTCTCAGGATCAACGTGGTAAAACAAAAAACAGTTCTCGAAAGCATAAAATTGACGTCGTGCTCGTGAGTCACGTTTTTCTTCTTGTTCCTTCGTTGGAAGCAAAAGCAAAAAAGCAGGAGAAAAAAACCGCAAAAAACTGCTGATTGCGAAAGCGTGGGCATTTTCTGTAGTTTCATCCTGCACGACCCGTACCATTCGCAGGTGGTGATCCAGTTGCGGAAGGATGTGCGCCGCCAGCACGGAGGTCTGTCCGCAGCGCCCGACTGGTCGCGGGTTTACTGCATCTTCATTTGAAGATTTTCATAGCAGCGTACAGTTCTCCATCAGAGCTCGTGTAGCCGGTTGGCTGCTCTCCCTGCACTGAATCTGGATCTGTACCGAGGTGCTTTTTCTCCATTTGCTCCTTACTTTCCTTAGAAGGTAGGCGCTGCGCTTGCAGGGAGCTCGTGCTGAAAGCGGACTCCTTGCTGCCGTGCAGATTTCGTTGTGCCTCAAGCTCGTGTTCCTCCACAAAATAGGGGTGCTGTACCCAGTCGCGGCAGTGTTCGTTGATGAGTTTGCGAATCGCGAATTCAAGGTCCTCGTCGGTCATGTTCCAAAACCGTTTTGTCGACGGGTTGTTAGCTGTGAGATTTTTACATAATCAGTTACTTTAGGACGGCAATGGCTGCGTGAGCAGGACCACGACCAGATAGGACCGCTGTTCTCGATTGATCCAAGTCCAATACTTCTATTGTCGAGGTGTACTGCTCCTACTCATGTTTACGAACCACCTATTTTAGAAAAAAATCAATCGAAACACAAAGAGCACAAGGAGAAGTTTCTCTAAGAGCAGTACTCGGCTCCATTTCTGACTTCGCCTTGTCAACCTCTGACTCTTCGACGCCCATCCTTCGGAGGAAGTTGACCATCTGTGCCTGTATGCACTGCAAAAGTATCGTACTCGTATAAATGCATTACAAATTTCCTCAGCACGGGAAATGAAATCTGTAATGCGGATTTACCTTCAGAAAAAGATTTGTAATGCATGACTGCAAAAATACGAGTGCGATACTTTTGCACAGGATAGCCTGCTCCATGTAGCAGCGTTTGACGGTCTGATATAGTTATTTTTCGTGTCATGTAAGTCCATTTCTCAATTACAATTACTTCTGCACGGGCGGCGAAATAAGTAGAGACGAGTTCTTACAGGCACACAACGGGACAAATGTGCACGCTAGCGCATGCCATAAGCCCCAATTGTTAAAACAGCTACAGACACAGTATGTATTCGCTTCGTCTCGTCACTTCCGTGTTGAAGTTGATCAAGCAAGGGCGACGGCAAAATCGAAATGTAAATGCACAACTCATCGTCTGCAGTTGTACCTTAAACATGGCAGCGGCTGCCCGTTGATTCTGAAGCATGAGATCGATGTAGAGCTGCTGAATGTAGTCCTTGCGGATGTGTGTCGGTACTCGGAATTGCTTCCAGTTTACGCCGCCTTTTTGTCGAGTAAAATTCAACTTTCCTTTTCAGAAATCCACCACGACAGGTCCTCTGGAGGGCAACTACATCGTGTTTCAACAATTCGTTCATACCGTAGCAACGAACAAGCGAAAAGGCAAGATAAATACCGCCGCTCTCCAGGATTTCCATGATCGTGTCGTCTTTGCTGGCACCTATGGATTTCTTCCGCGCTTGCACCGCCTCCTTGACAACGGCCGCTCGTAGCTTGCGGAAGTGCGTTTCTAGCATGTCGTCCTCAAAGGTCGCCCACTGCGCTTCCATCTCACCGTGTCGCTTGCGCTTATTTGACAGGTAAATCTTCACTCGCACAGGAATACTACGCAGTGTGGTAGAGAACCGCAATACCTGTTTTTCGTCATATGGGGCTACGTCCTTCTCACACAGAAAAGACGTTTACAATGCCCAGCTACAGCTACTTGAAGTCGTCGCAGCGTCTATTTCAATCTCTTTGCACGGAAAACTTTGATAATACTGCGATGCAACTAAACCATGTCAAAATTTGTGTCAGTCTTAAAGGGGCAGAGGAATCAAATTCAAATCACATCAAGCTCACCGCCCTTTTGAGTGCTGAGCTGGTCTCAACCATTCGAAAGAGCCATATAATTCGCGACACGGCTCTTCTTTTGGCTCGCTGCTTGTAGAGTCGCTGGAGCATACGAGTAGCGTAGAAAACGAGACTCCACAGCCCTTCCGTTCGTTGCGCGCGTTCGAGTTCTTGGTCGCCCGCATCGGCGGCCTCCTCGCCTTCTGCAGGAGCCGCGCCGCCTTCGCCACCGTCGCCTCCCTCAACTGCCGTTATGAGTGTACGATGCGATCAAGTCTAGCTGAAACTCGTTCCTCGGAGTGAAAAATTTGTTTCTACCAAGTGTTAGTTTACTTTGTGCGCTCTAGCTCTGTTCATTGTTAAATCTAGAGTCGAAGAAAAAAAACTTTTTGGAGGTGTACCGGAGGCTTTTTCTGCTTTTGCTTTTTTCCTTCGCTGCATCTTGAGCCGTCTAAGCTCCTTGCTGTTTCTCAACTCGTCAATGGATGCGAGGAATTTCCACGTCGCCAGCATGACGAACCATTTCCGTTGGCTCATCAAAATTTCCTCGGCGGCTTCTCGTAATATCGCTGCTGCCGCGTCGCGCTGCGCCTTTTTGTAGGTTCGCGAGTGCAGTTTCTTGTGTTCAATCCTGTCCCGTAGTAGGTACTTTCTGCGATACCATGCCTGTACGTACCACTCCTCCTCTTCGACTTGAAGCGGGAGCACGGACGGAACACTGCGCGATCTGGACGCGTGCCCGTAGACCGAGGCGCCGAGCTTGTTCTTTCGCAGGAAGTTCACCGAAGTTGCGCTGTCTTCGTACTGCATCTCCTTCTGCTTTCGCTTGTACGCGGCCATCAGCTGCTCCAGTGTGGGCGCACCGCCAGACATCCCCATGCACATGGCACCTTCCGCCAGCTTCCGGACGTCGACCAGCTCTGTTGTATTGTAGATGCGACATATGTTATTTTTTTCGACCGAGTCCGCCCTAGGAAAAAGAACCACGATGCCACTGCTTTTTTAGTACTATTTCAAATAAACCTATTGTGCGTTGCTGTAGTTTTCATGTAGAGTGCATCTGCAGGTCGAGGTTGAGCAGGCAAGGCGAACAGACAATCCGTATCCGACCGCTGTGCTCTATTAAGTCGTCCTCAGTAAAGGCGCACCAATAATTAAAATCATGAGTATCATTCTGTACCGAGGCTTTCGTGCGTGCCGGGTATTTTATAGTTTGTGAAGGGGACCTGGAGCTGCAGTTCGGCGAGAGCAGCTGGCTTTAGGGCGCGACGCTCGTCTACATGCCCCATGACAATATCTTGCTTCGTTTTGTGCTTGTTCGGGTCTTCGTCTTTTGCACTGGCGCTTAAGTCGGTCTGCCCACCACCTTTCGGACTGCCTTTTGCCATTCCGCCACTTTGCGTTGCCTGAAGAATCGGAATTTTCATTTTCTTTGCTCAGTCTTTGTCTGGTTGTATTTCTTTATAACAGAAATAATACCGCTGCAGCATCAAAAGAAAGCCCAACCGGCACTATCAGTATATCATAGTCATACATCATGTGCTCTGGCCGACTAAGTACGGTGACGTCGTTCGCACTCGCACTCTGAATCCAAGAAAGTTCATCTTGTGAATCAAATCAAACCTATGTTTGTAGTACTTTCATCTCCTCTGTTTTGCTTGTGTTGAGTCCAGTCGGCTTTCCAAACTGAAAGTTTTTGAACTCCCGTATGTTTCGCATGTCGCGATCCATGTTGGCGACGAGATCCTGGGCGTTGATCCTCTCGAAGTTCATCAGCTGACTTTTGAGTTCGGGTGAAATTTTGCTGCCCTCCTCCCCTGAGCTCCCGCTGCCGGAAACCCCGCGTCTTTCGTCCGGATCGTAATCGTCCGAGACCATGGCGTAGATGCGCTCGTATTCCTCCAGGGTGTAGTTCTCCAAACCCGTTATCGGTTGTGGTGTGAGTGGAAAGCGCTTGCCGCCTTGCTGCAGAGCTGCGGTGCTTGACGTCGATGCGGACGCGCCTGGCGGCAAAGAGGTGGTTGAGGTGGAGTGCTGCAAGTGTGGCTGGAGGTTCGACGACGAACCGCTAGAAACGAGCCCGCCGTGGCTCTGCAACCGCGCGGAGCTGTTCTGGTGGTGCATCGAAACCGAAGTGGAAAGACCTGGGAAAAGAGGTTTGATTTCAACAAGTATAGACGCTGTTTTAGTGCCGCCACTGGAGCAAGCCAAATTTCAAAAGTCATCGAGGAGCGCGGCTGCGCGGCGGCGGATGATTTCATATTGACAATATCGTCAGAAGTAGCGCCATTGCTTTTGCTACTGGAAGAACTCGACCAAATGTGTCAAAGTTGTAAAAAATCATTCACCGATGGCGCCACTTGACTGGGAGCCACGCCGTGTCGATGGTCCGCTGCCACCACTCGTCATGCTGTTGTATTTGTGCCGGATCACACTGCTCACCTTGCGTTCCGCTTCCGGAAACTCCGGCGCCTTACTGTGTTTACCGCCCACAGTGGGCTTGGTTAGCCCGATAGGGGGCAGCAACATCGTGTCCGTGGTGGTCGAGAAGGTTTTCGTGGCCGTCTTTCGCTTCCCGAGCTTACTGGCGTTCCCCGAAACTGAATGATCTCAATACCGGGACCTGGCAAAGATTTTCTGCAGGAGGGGTGCTCGCTTTATTCCAGTCTTTTGTGCCGGGTATGAGAGGACCGGCGCTGGCGGCTGCTCGACCTCGAGCCGATGGCAATCGATCAGTTAATTGCCCATCGTTTAAGTCTCGACAGCAGCGTGGCAGCATCCATAGCTGTTCATCTCCATTTGCGAAGCGCAACAAGCAGAAGTGCGCCAGCCACTATCAGCCGCTGGTCCGGCACGTGCTCGATGTGCAAAAGCTTCGAAGGTCGCTTTGGTTCCGCCTGTGGCGCCAAGAACGGTGCTAGAATGAGTCAGATGAGAGGCGCTGCAGATAGTCTGATGAAGCACTAGCTTGGCACGATTGCTCCTTCCACCGCCGCGACGGCGCAATTTTCTCCAGGTCAAAAACAAAAAGAAGAAACTTTATCCGCTCAATAAAACAGCCAGTCCTCCTCGTGCCACCTTAGGGGTATGTTTTTCTACCTAGTAGTTCTTTGTGATGCAGCAGAGCACGATGCGAGTTTGGCTTGGCAGATACAGATTTATTATGATCTTCATCGTTTGGTTGCTCGTGACTCTCGACATTGGCAAATTTGATTCATCTCTTGCCTTCCTACCGAAACCTGAAAGGGAGCTAAACATTGCGATTTCACTTTGAGGTGGCTCGCTCCACGCTGTAGTTGCTGTTTTCCCACTAATATCGCTTTGTTAATTCTCACACGTCGACTCGCTCCACTTCATCTCTTTCTACATCTAGCATATGATTGGGGAAGACGAAGATTAGCATCAAGAGCTCCATTTTATTGCGGAAACACACCTTCCCAGTGTAAAGATCTGCGTTGAAAGCGCAGAAACAGAAAGCAAGTTTCAAAATCTCACGAGATGTCCATTTCGTCCCGAAAACCTAGGACTAGGCCAAATCCGAATTAAGCTCCAAATTTACCCAGTTTTTCTACGGCAAACTTCTACTTCTTGGAATGCGAGTCTTTGAGTTCGAAAATGATGAATCATCAAGATGCAATCGGGATTTGCAACAAGCGCACGTCGCGGCAAGCGCACAGATGAAGAAACATCGAACTGGTTCAGAAAATTGGGTTGTCCGTAGTTCAACAACAGCGCACGAGATAAAACAAGCGCATGCGGAAAATCTTGTTCAGACTAGTAGAAAGATTGAAAATGAGTTTGGGCGGCACTTACTTTATTGGTTCTTGTTTTTCGTCTCCGCCTCTGGACTTGCGCTCTCGGCAGCTCCGGCGGTCGCCCGTGAATAGGCAAACAAGCCTCCTATCGTGAGGACGAAACCGATCATCTGCACCGGCGAAACGGGATTTTGAAACATCACCAGGCCGGTCGCGATGCAGCAAACCCGATTCAGGTTCGCGATCACCGAACAAAAAACGCTTCCCCGCTTTTCGATGAGCAGGCACTCTGTCACATACCACGTGGCCGTGCAAGCGCCCTTGCACAGGATCAGCAGCAGCACCGGGATGACCACCGAACCGCCGAAAATGCGAAAATCCTTGCTCGAGTCCGGATCTACTACGCTTGCGGCGTTGAACTGTGGGTTTTTCAAAAATGCAGCAGTGCTCTCGTACACTATCTGCCATGGCTTGGCGCCTTCCAGCCACGCCGAAAGCATCAGGACGGCGACCATGTTGAAGGGCATAATCGAGAGGGCCAGGTCGAGCACCACACGCTTCTGGCACTGGCCGTGGCGGCGCTTCACGACGACAGACGTAAAGAGCATACGGAGTGCGCGAAACGCCAGGGCGGCGAGCGCGAAAAACATACCCAACGCGTGGAAGTTGACTTCGCCCGCGGAACTAAGTACGCCGCCGAAACAGAGCGGCACCAACGATAGGAGCATCGGCAGACTCTTCCAGAAGTCGAAATTTTCTCGGCCTTGCACGAACAGGATCGAAAGCGGCACCTGAAAGACCGGAAGCGCCATGGAGACCCCCTCGGTGACAGACGGGAAAAGAAACAAATTGGACCCCATTCCGCAGGTGCCAGTTCCAATGGTCATCAAACTCATCGGCGCCACTTCGCGCAAGAAACCAAAGGCCGTCAGCCCGAGGGCGTTCACCTCCTTGGGCTTGCTATCTGTAGTCGTGCGCCCGTCGTTCTTATTGAGCGTCAGTTTCCGCATTGTGAGGATGGTACAGAGGGACATGATTTGGTCCGTGAAGATCAGAAATAGCGGAAAGGGCATAGAAGAGCTCATGAGCAACTTGGCGAGAATGATCATCCACACGTACCCCGCGGTATGAAGCACCGCCTCCACCACCATCAGTAGCCACCCAAGCATCGTCGGAGACGAGGTGCTAGTGCCTGCAATAGTGGCTGGTGGATCCGTCTTCGCAACCACGGCGCGCTTTGAGGTACTGCGACTGCGCGACGTGCTTTTGCGCTTCGCGATGCTCATCTTGTGTAAGTATCCTGATTTCGAAATAAACAGAAACGAGAGAGGGAAAATTGGTCCGTGACCGTGCCCCAAGAACTTGTTGGCGGTGCAACGAGAGCACTATTCTTATTCAATCTCTAGTAGGACGAGAAGCACCAGAAGAAGACACACCAGGACGCCGGTCTCATATGCGAATGTCGCGCATGATGTAAAACCAAGACAGCAACGAAACGAAGGAACAAATTTACGTGTCATTGAAACAAAGGTAAAAGGGTCTTGGTTCGGCTCTTTTTTGAGTTTCCGGTGCTTGTCTGTCACTGTTTCACTACGTCACTTTGATGGCCAATATCTTGTCGGAGGTTGCTCGCAATTTTTTGCAAGTTATTTGCTCGCATTGTCCGTACGGATATCAGTTGGTGCGCAGAGCACTTCTGTCGTGTAACCATCATCTTTTCTTGCATGCACTTGGTTGTATGCAGTAAACGCTTTTTCTATGGGGCAAAAGTTTCAGTCACTTTTGGTTAGCCACGAAATTTTACTTCATCCTTGTCGAGTATTTTAGTACTTCTTTCTAGTCTACTTACGAAAGAATATCTGTATCTTCACCCGTTGGCGATTCTTCTTTTTCACCCGTGTTTCCCGTGTCACAGTCATCGCTGTTAAGAGTAGTATTGCTCTCACGTGAGCCGTGGTCTGTTGTGCTGGTACCGCGTCGGCGGCTCCGGCTTCTGCTGCGAGAAGCGTGTCTTCTCGTCGCACTCCCGGTCGACGGGGTTGATCTGCTTATTCTCGCCTCGAGCCTGTTGTTCGCACTCGGAGAGACAGAAGCCGATTCACGCGCAGCAATGTCGCGCTCCAGCCTGGTCTCTCGCTGGCTTGCTGGACTAGGAGACGCGTAGTGAGCGCGCCAGGCTTCGGTAGCTCTCTGAAAGATGACACTGGAGGAAACTCCGTCCATTACCATAGTCAGTGTTCGCTTTTGCACTGCAAGCGACTCCGCGGGTGGACGTTTACAGGGATGCACGAGATTGTGCTGATCTACGACGAAAAGGCTAAGGACCTCCTGGTACCCCGCACGGAGATCCTCTGGGAAGCGATAGCGACGTCTGGAAGCCTTCAGGTCCGGGACGAGTAGATCCCGAAGCCTTTGTTTCTGCGCCCGGCAGGCGGACTTCGAGGGAGCAAAAAGCGTTTTCGTCGGTTTCCCCCCGCTGTACTTGTCCGACGTAGTTGCCTCTTCCAGTTCCACAAAGTAGGGCTTTTCTTCCATGGCTGAGGTCAGTGACCCGTACACATTGGCGGTAATTTGTGTGTCCATGCGGCTGAGTCCCAAGGCCAAGCACTCCGGCGGCGGAGGCGGATGGCAATGCGCGATCCAGCTGTGGATGGTCTCAATGTGCATCGCGAGACCTGGCAGACCGCCGCAAATATTGAGGGCTTCTTGGTCAAGTTTGCGGTAACCCTTCGGACAAGCGTGGGCCAGGTGTTCCTGCAATTTGCGCAACGGGCCACGGAAATCACACCCAGCGTGCGGACAACGACGTGGAACGACGCGGCAAGGGTCGACACTTGCGCAATAGTGCCAGCTTTGATCATCGTGTTCCCCCGGAAGGTGTCCCAGTTCGCGCATCCCTCCAAGTGTCGTCACTTTGCAGCACCACTTACACTGAACCCGTTCGGCGTGCAGCGATCGTGTTGCGAAATGACTTTTCTGAAATCCGAAAGCATCCCTGCCAATCGGAAGGTTACAGTGGAAGCACGCGTCACGAAATGCGCACTGTTTGCTGCAACTCTCGCATACTAATTTTCCGCAGCATGTTGTTTCAAATGCTGCGTCCAGAATCGGATCACCACAAAGTGGACAGGTACTTTCAGACACGAGGCAGGCTGCTTCAGGAGCGTTCTGGTTCAAAAACTGGAGGTCCGGCGCCATCTTCTCCTTCATTCCAGTCGCTCTCCTGAAAAGAGCTACAAAACAGACAAGAGCAGAAAGATCGCTTTCCACAAAAAGAATCACGAAGCACAGTGATCTAGAATGTGCAATAGCAATTAAGAAAGTGAAAAAGCAACTGACTCTAGACTAGAAGCGATTCCTCTTTATCACAGATTGATAAACATGCCTACCCCACTTATTTTTTTCGGTACAGTTCTTTCAGCGAAGGGAAAAGACTTCGATGGTGCTATTTGCTTAAGTAGCCTTAGCGTGATATGGCCGCCGGCAAAAACGAATCGATCAGTAGTTGATCAGGAATGACAAAGAGCAGCAGACTGTGCACAGATGCAGGGGATCATCATCATAAAAGAGCGAGATCGCTTGCAAAAAAAGAAAAAACTCTGGGACCAGTGCGAGGACACTACTTCGCCGGCTGAAAAAAGACAAGTACTCTGCAAGATGAACACCGTGATGGTTATTTTCGCTGTGTTTGTACTCCAATTCTGTCAGCGCATTGATTGAAATGCAGGAGCTGAGGCTAAAAATAGGAAACCAAGCGTCCTAGCGCAAGAAGATGCGATCCCACTTTGGGGTGCTGATCTGCGGTGATTCTTTCTCAGATTGAATTGCATGGGACTCATCTTCGACAAGTCCAGTATATCCATACATAGGCATTTGGAAAACAGCGACTGGAAAACTTTATCAATCTCCCATGGATAGTTGTGACACTCATATTTTTATTTGACCGTCCAAAACGAAAACCTCCAGATCAAACGAAAAATCTTTAGAATGCAATAAACACTCCGCGTTGTACGACCTGCAGCTAGCGCTTCAAAGTCGAGATGAGGTCGTTCTCCTTGTGCAGGTTTCCGTCGGGATCCGTCCAAAACAAAGCCGGAACGGATTTGGGCCCCACTGCGGTAACCAGTTTTTCAATCTCTGCTTCTTTCGCAGCGAAAGATTTCCCCGCATCCACGACACTGCTTCCGGGGTAGTACAGCGACAAACTCGAGCCCATTTGGGCCTTCTGGTCTTCGTTCGTGTGCTTCACGTGGTAAGCTCTTGAAAACGAGAATCGCTGAGAGGTTGCTCCTTCTGAGGAAGGAGAAGAGGTGGACGTCGCGCGGGCATCATCGCCGGTCCTGGCCGCGTGACGAGAAATTGCGTCGCTTTGCTTTTCATCCGCGCCGTCCCGCACGACAACGTACAACACTTTCAGACCCGCGCTCTGCATGGGCGGCATCCCTCGAATCACGATGTCGCCGAGTTGCGGGGCAAAAGCCGAGCACTCAGAGCACTGGGCATCGGATCCGACAAGGTAGACGAGATCCGGGACCATGTTTCTCTCCAGATCTTCTCCCAAAACGCTGGTTAACGAAAAAACGGAATTCTTGGTCACCATGTCCACCTCCGCAGTAGATGCGCCGTGAATCTCTTTCTCGCCTCCAGACGTGATGGCTGCTTCAGCTCCTGTATCTGGCTGCGGCGTTGGGTCTGCAACATTGGATGCTGTGGTCGCTGTCGCGGCGTGGTCAACATCGATTGTAATTTCACTGGATTCCGAATTTGATGGATCAGTAGATGAAGATGAAGAGATGCTGTCGTGCAGTTCCAGTTCATGCTGCTGTTCTCCGGAAGTAGCACTGTGCGATGAAGCTTTAGCTTCACGATCTTCCGCGCATGATGAAGTGTCTCGCTCTTCCTCGCTTTGCAACTCTTCTCTGCTCCCTTCCCCTGCATCTTCCATGTTCATGAGTCGTCCACCCTCGCTGCTTGTTACTTCCTCAGCGCGACGAGTGGCAGCGAGTTTGCAAGCTGCTCCTGCTCCCGGCGATGAAGAAACTCCTGTGAAGGTTGCGCTGGAAGTAGACGAAAACGTATCCTCTCCGATCGCGCTTGAGCTTCCGCGGGAAACAGGCCCGATGACGAAGGTATCCCCCCCGCTGCCCGATTGGGATGACGTGGATGTCCGCAGCGCACCATCCACTTTGATGAATTTCTGCAAGTCGGGTAACAAGGACGCGTATTGGTCATCTTGTTTTTTCAAATTTTTCGCCACGCTTTCATCTTCTCTTACGGAGTCGGATTGGTGGAGCTTCGGTTCGTAGTTGTTGTTTTTCTCATCTTTCCCCGTCAATTTCTTTGGTGTGATCCGTGTGTCGCCTGCACTTCCGGAAGCAACTGAGCCGGTGCCTGGGTTCTTCTTGACCACGGGTTTGTCAACGTGCTGCTGGCCTTCTTCTTCAGACAGTTCAGCAGGACGCGTATGGGCAGCGCCAGGCGGGTTCAGCTCTTTCACTTTCTCTTCGACGTTCAATTCATTTGCATTTCGTGCATCGATGCCGCTGGAAAGTTGCTTCTTTGGTGGGTCTTCAACGTCATCTCGAGGGGTTGAATTCTGCGTCGACCCGCGTCTTTTGCCGTGGCCGCTGCTCGTACTTCTGCTTGATGGCTTTGTAGTTGTCCCGTTTTTCTCCCTTTTGTTCTTCGCTTTCTTTGCTTCATCTGGTTCTGCTTCACCTTCCTGCTGTGTATAATCTTGATCTTGTTTCACGATGTGGATAGGCGTATCGTCTTCTTGTTGCGCTTTCGGTTGCTTTCTTTGAGAAGAGCTCGCAACTTTTGCAGAAGCTGGAGTTGCAGCTGCCTCACCTTTACTTTTCTTTTTGACGGAAACGGAGTCAAAGGTTTCTTGTTTCGAAGCCTTGATGGAGGTGCTCGTCGGTTTACTTCTTGCCTTCGTCGCCTTCGTAGTCGCTCCCCCGACTACTGCGCCGGCCTTCACCGCAGTGGGACTGGGGGGAGCAGCGACTACTTCATAGTACGTGGTCTGGTAGTAGGTCGAGGCGCCGATGAGGATGCCGGCTGTGACGATTCCCATCACTGCGGTTCGGGATCGCCCAAACTTCAGCAAAGCATCAAGCAGAGCCTCAGGGAGAAACGCCGTAAATTTCGTCATGTATTTTGGTACGACCACAGCCACAACAACTACCCTTTTACCATAAGCAGAGTGCTCTGCCGTTACACTTAGTAGAATGTGGAGACTTTTTCCCCAGCGACCACCACTCTAGAGAGACCTGCTGGACCTCGGGTGGTCATGGTCAACACGGAGCGGACTTGAATTCTCTCTCTGCTTCTCAGATATTTCAGAGCTTGATCGTGATCCACCTATTGCTCCAGATCTCGGCAATGCATGTGCAACGCACCAGATAGTCCTCAAGACCGGGACGAAGAGGACACTCTCCTTTTGACACTCACACACACACGCTCAGAGTTCCAGGTGAGTTCAAAATCAAATGCAGAAATAATATATGTTCTGGCCCAACTAGGTCTATGTCTATCACTAGCAATAGCACGCAAGGCCTCGTCGAACGTAAACACGCTGGAGCTCGCTGGACATTCGGGATATGGCATTTGTTTGCTGCAACATCTTGCCCTTTCATTCCTATTTTTCCCCGCTATCGCAGTCGTAAACAAAATATATCAGTAATGTGGTGGACGAGGCAGCAATCTGGTGGACGAGGGTGTATTTGCTTCAACGGCTATGCAATCGCACTTAGACTAAGACTTACGTCGGGCACTTTCATCAAAAATGCATTTGTAAACTTGATGCAAAGACGTCACCTGCACTTAGCAAACTTGCGCATCTACAAAACCATCGCACTGTCGTCGTGTGTCGAAGAAGAAACTGTCGCCGCGAGATCAGCGAAGTCCTCCGCAGTGAAATTCACCCGGCGCGCCTTGTCGCCCATGTCGTCGGCAAGGCCGTAAAGCTCAAGCATAGCCTGGTGGTGCTTGTCTATGCCAACCTTTGCGCGTGCGAGAGCGGCCTGAACTTCTGCATCAGACGCCAATAGCCTTGGGGGGACCGCATGCAGCAGCTTGAGGCTAGTGTTGTTCTTGGATCGCAATGCCGCAAGCACAAGTGCTCTCCCATTGCTGCCTCCAAGCAACGAAGGGGCGACGTGTCGCAATGCGGCGCCGTTGCTACGCACCGCCAACATCGCGGAGGCGGCATCGGATCGCAAGGGGGTATATTTTAGTGCCTCCCCATCTTCCCGCAAAATTTTGCGCATCGCGTCCTTGTCGTTGATCAAAGGGTCTGAAAAGCCGCACGCATTCAACAGCTCTACGTTGCCCCCCTCACCGATGAACATGCTTGCGAAAAAGTCGGGGTCTCTCTCCATAAACCCCACCGAAAACCAAAAGAAGTCCGGATGTCCTGCGCACGCCACACGGAACAGGTCCGGATCTGAGAGCAATTCTTCGCCCCGAAGGAAACGCCACGCCTTTGCGTTCTGCTTTACAGCCGCGTGAGCGACGGGAAGACTCGAGGACCGCACTTCCATACTGCAATATTCAAGCGCTAAGCCGTTGCTCTGCACTGCCGCGAGACAAATTTGCTCGTCCTTCGCGAGCTCACAGGACAAGTACCGCAGCGCCAGGCCGTTCTGCTTCACCGCTAGCAGCCCTATCTCCAGAGAATTCCGTAGCTCCCACGAGGCTTCGGAAATGGCATCGCCATTTCGCATCACCGCTTCCCGTATCACGTTCTCGTCTCGGCAATTGGCTCGCGAAGTGGCGGCCAGAAGGCTCGGGATCATTCCTCGGGGATGATGTGGACGAACGTCGCTTGGCGGGGGCTCAACTGCACTTGTGTTTGCAGCCACATCTTTCTCCTTGTCGGAACAGACACTCTGTTTCTCAGCATCGTCCTCGTTCTCAACGATGCGCACGCGCTTGATAGTTTCAAGAACGAAGTCCTTGTCGGCCAACACCCGCGAGCTAGCAAGTGCAACTGCTGAATCACTGTTAAGTTCTGCAATGGCGCGAATGAAGTGAATATCATCTCGAAGGACCCATGGCACCCGGCTGCGCTCCCGGAGACCCGAGCGTTTCTTTCCCAGGCTGTCGCCACAGCGTAAGAGTTGACGCACAGCCGCAAGGTAGAAGTCTTTGCTTTTCTGCGATGACAGCGGCAACCTCCAGAAGGAGTAGAATCTGCAATCGCGCCCCGTAGTAGAGGCAGCGACAATGCTCAAAGCTGTTGCACGCTGTTCCGGCAAGAGGCAATCGAGAAATTTGCGTGGAAGCTGGGATAGCCCTGTATTGGGCAGCAAATTGCTCTCCACTGCTGCGAGAAAGGCTGGGTCCGCCCGCTGGCTGGGACCCAGATTTCTCCACATATCAAGAACTGCACCGCTCCCACCTGCTCGAGCGCATTCCTGCAGGAATTTCAGCGCAAGAGCAGCGTTGCTACGAAAGTTTTTTGGAAATTTCCTCCACAGCAGCTGCACGGGGACTGTTTTTGCCATGAGGGACAGAAATTCAGGATCGGCGCGCAAGTCGTCGCGATTCATCAGCTCCGACAAGTTGGTCAACAACCAACATTCTTCGTCGACAAATCCCCCAGGCGCAGTTGCGCAGCTGGCCCGCGCCGCTGCCATTATAGTTGGTTTTTGTTGCGCATGCGCTTCGCTGACATACCACAGGGCCTCAAATCCATACTCTTCAACGGCCAAACGCACAACGCAGTCGCGGTTTCGGACTTCTTCGGAGGCAAAGAAAAAAGCGCCGAACCAGCCGGCACGAAGAAGATCACAGACGAACTCTTCATCGTCGCGCAGGGATACTGGAAGTGCATAGGGACACCTCCCCCAGTCGCTAATCCTATCAGCGATGCTAGCTAGCCGTGTTGCCGGGGACCGGGGCCGTTTCCAGGGATGGTGTATGCCTCTGTCATTTACCACCAATAAGTGGCCTGCGTCCTTACACAATCCTGCTAGTTGTTCTTCCTCGTAGTGCGACAGGCGCCCGGGGGTGACACAAAATTGGGTCAGACTAGGACTAGCCAAACCCGAAAGACCTTCACGTGCTAGGACTTCGATCCGGTATAGTCTTGGATTGCCTTGGCGAAGATCGTACTGGTTTCTTGGCAGCACTACCTTAGCGGATGATCCAGTCTGCCCACCACCCGGATTGCCAGTCTCGGAAGCAGGGGCAAGTTGGCCGCGTGCGGCGTCTATCGCTCGCTGCCGCATCGCGATGATTTTTGGGTCCGCATTCGGCGGCATTGAGCTCACCAATAACGGTGCAGAAGGGGAATATACACCCAAAACCTCGAATGGATTTGTGCTGGGTGTTGCTCCTCGACTGGAACTGCCTAGGCGGGTAAACGTCCACAAATAACCGTCCAAGCAAATACCGTCGACGCCTCGGGAACTTGCGCCGGCTGCTACCAATCCAAAGCATTCGCGGGCAAGGACTTTCTTGCGGTGAATAGCCATGACAGTAACCAAACCTTGCCGTGATGCGTAACGCCACCCAGCTAAACGCGCAGCCATCATCGGGCAGCGCATGTACACTTTCGACAAGTAAGCCGCTCGATTTTGTTCGAGATACAGCCGCTCGATTTTGTTCGCAACCGCTTCGGTAAGTGCCCCCTCAGCCTCCTCGACGCCACTGCTGCGGCTGCTGTGCGAACCTGCGCACATCACTGCTTCGGATGCTAAAGCCAAAAGCTGCAGTTCTGTGTCCTCCCGCAATTCCGGAGAGGCGAAGCGAAAATTTGTGCCGTTTGCTCTGATGAGTTCGCGCATTAGTTCTCGGTCGCTTCGATAACGGGCACATGCCACACATGAAAAGAAGCTCTCCACCAGGTGCACATCGCGACACATGGGCGCGAGTAGGTGATCCATCACGAAGTCGCGTGATTCCATGAGTGGCGAGGCAACTCTGTCCACAAACGCCGAGTTGCTTAAATATGATGCCACAACATCCTCGTCTGCACGAAGAGCGGGGTCAAAATAATCCAGAAAGGTGCCCGGGGCACGATCTCTCGGCATAAGGTGCTCGCTGTGGCGCATTACGTCTCGCGCAAAGAATTTATCAGAACGCAACCCTTCGGAAAGCCGATCGAGGACATCACCCCCCTCGTGCGGCCTGCTCTGGTGTCCACTATCCAGAGCCTCGAGAACGATGCTGGGCTTGTGTTGCAGCCGTTGACTCGCGTTCAAAAACGCGGCTTCATGCATCCTTACAGCGAGCGTCACCAGATCGTCATCATCGTTCTGCTCCTCGGACAGCACCGTGTATAGCTGTTTTAATTTTGGGAAAATGCTGGCCCTCATGTTTTGCTGGCTTTGAAACAAACAGCAGCGGCTGTCGCGAGTCTGCAGGCACTCACGAGGCCAAGAAATGGCTGCAAAAGTTGTACTAGCGAACAAGCAGCAAAGACAAGGGAGTGTGCGACTTGCTTATAGCAAACAGCAATGCTCTTACCTCTGATCCATTCTCTTTGCTTGCATGGGTGAACAAATGCGCTAGAAAGCCTTTGTTCCTTCTGAGCGCCTCGCTGCATTTTTGGTAGATCCGCTCGGGAACGTCGCCCGCGGGTTCGCCGGTGCGAACCATAAGCTCCTGGCAGACACGATCCACCAAAGCAGTTGTCGTCGGCCGATCGTGTCCCGCGATGTCGGGAAACTTCTCGAAAAATGCATCCACGTCAGGAGTCCAATCGTCGTCGACTTCTTGCACGTGGTCCCCTATCACCAACGCTTTCGCTTCTGCCAAAGCCTCCTGTTTCTCTTGGTGCATGATTGCATAAACAAAAGGCGCTTCACTTTGATGATCGAACTCACTTTCTTGTTTTGCATTTTCTTTTTCATTGAAGGAGCTGCACTCGGAGACATTTGAGCTGGCCCTTGAGACACCAGGACCAGCGCGGCCGAGAGGGAGAGCGATACTGTTAGTGTTACTGCGGATGCTGCTGGAATTATTTGTCGAGTTCTGTTTTCTTCTTTTCGCATCAGGGTAATGGAAGTCCGTTTCTGTGGTGGAGGGGCAGCTGCTAGTATTAGCCTGTCTGGCGCGAGAATCTTCTGGTTGGGGCTCCTGGTGCGAGTGGTCTATGACCACCTCTGGTGCGGCGTAAGGCACTCGCAGCCCGGCCTCGGCCTCAGCATTTACCTGGCCGCGGCAGCCCGAAGATGCTCCGCCAGCATTTTTGTTGACGTCCGCGTCCCTAGTTTCGGAAAGTGCGCCACGCACTGGGGATCGAGATCGTCCCGGGCCCGCCCTTTTTACGAACTCGATCCCATCCTCTTCTGTTCCAGAAGACGAAGCTTGTGGCAGGCCAAACTCCCCGGCGTCGTCCGTTAAAAGCTCGCCTGTGCATCCGTTGACGAGTCCGATGTGCTCGGGCGGCACATTTTTCGCTCTTGCTGCGCGCGCCCGTATCTCCGACACTAATAGCGGCTGGGCGTCATCCTCTGGTAGTACGACGTAACATATCACTGCGTCGGACAAATCCTTCACGGGAAGCTTTTTTGAAGGGACATCACCGACATCGTCTGCCCGGTTCGAGTTTGCGTCGGGAGTTTCAACAGACGCCATTTTTGTAAGTTGTATTGGCTAGACAAAAAGTCACAGTGCAATCGTGAGAAGTAGATGAAGATGAAGTAAAGCTAAAGTGAATTCATAATTAGGTTTGGTATATTAATTTAAAACTTGTAATCTAGTCTTTCTGGTTGTATGCTGAGGAAATAGAGAGGCTGAGACAGTTGAGATTAAGATTTTGAATTTGAACTTCTGGCTAGCATGACTGTTTTGCTGTGATCCTCTTGTCGTCAACAATCTGAGAAACGGAAAACTATAGGAAAAAATGTACAAACGAAACACCGATAAGCACGATCCACAACCACAAGCTCGTTTCGAGTTCCACCTAGCAACAGAAGAACAAGAACGTGAACTTTCGACGTCATTCTACACCTGTGCCAGGTTTCAGTCGCATACGCACGCGCATGGAGCGGGTGATGCCTCCGTCTTGCGAAGTCATGTGCTTTGTCTCATGACCGTGAGGCGAGTGCGCTCGCTGTCACTTTTTATTTGATCTCGATGCACTTTTCGATCCGAGGATTCAGATTCGGAACGCAGCAAAATCGCGACCCTCGCTCTACTAGGTAGCTCGCCGGTGCGCTTCTTGCTTCTATTCAGCCATCACCATCTCCTCGTCCGTTGAAGAGGAAACTGCCGTGGCGAGATGAGCAAAGTCATCGGCAGTGAAGTCTAGTTTCCTTGGCTTGCTGTCCCAGATATCCCCGAACCCGCTCGCCTCGCGCCGAGCCTGCTGCGCCTTTTCCATCGCTTTTTTTACGCACGAAGCGGCTTCCTGGACTTCCGGGTCAGATGCTAATAACCGTGGCGGGACCGCTTCCAAAACCTCTGCGCAGCAACTACTTTTCTCGGATCGTAGTGCCGCAAGCACGATGGCTTTTCCATTGTCCCCAGCAAGCAACGAAGGGGCGACATATCGCAAAGCAACGCCCGTATTGCGCACAGCCAACATGGCTAATGCGGCGTCAGACCTCAACGGAGTGAATGCCAGCGCCATCCCGTTTTTACGCACAATTTTGCGCATTGCCTCCCTGTCGTAAATCAGCGGATCCGTAGTGAGGTTACAAAAAGCCAAAAGCAATACATTGCCCTTTTCACCCGTTAGCATGCTTGTGAAAAAGTCCGGGTCTCGCTCCATGAACCCTACAGAGAAACAAAAAAAGGGGGTGTGTCCCGAGCACGCCACACGGAACAGGTTCGAATCTGACAGCAACTTTTCGCCCCGAACGAACCGCCACGCCGCTGCATTCTGGTCCACGGCCGCCCGAACAATCTCAGGACTCGAGCTCCTAATCTCCATGCTGCAGTACTGAAGTGCTAGCCCATTGTTCTGCACAGCAGCAAGACAAATTTTCTGGCTCTTGGCGAGCTCACAAGACAAGTACCGGAGCGCCAAGCCATTCTGTTTCACCGCCAGAAGTCCGATCTCGGGCGAGTTCCGGAGTGCCCAAGACGCTTCAGAAATGGCTTCACCGTCTCGCATCACCGCTTCGCGTATCAGCTGTTCGTCTCGGCAATTTTTCCGTGAAGTGCAAGCAAGCAAATTTATTATCACTCCCTGAGGATGGTTCGGCTGCACTTGGGGATACAACGACGACTCATCATGATTACTTGCAACAATCATGAGCCCTTCATCAACAACTCCACTTTCATTCGGGGGACGACTTTCCTCGATTTTCGTGGTAGTAGATACACGCTTGATTGTTTCGAGAACAAACTCCCTGTCGGCCAGCACTCGTGAGCTAGCGATTGCAACTGCTGCCTGACTGTCAATCTCCGCGAGGGCACGAATGAACATGAGGTTATCTCGGAGCACCCACGGCACGCGGCTTCCCTTTTTCAACCCAGTTCTCGTAGAGTACCGTAACAGTTGTCGCGCAACGGCAAGGTAGATGTCTCCGTCGCTCTGCGCAGACGAAGGCAATTTCCAGAATGAAAAGCAGCTGTCATCGCGTTGACCGATAACAGTACACGCGGAGAAAATGGCTACAGCGGTCGCCCGCTGCTCGGGCAAGAGGCAATCCAGAAACTGGAACGGAAGCTGGCTTAACTGCGTGTTGGGAAATAAATTGCTCTCCACTGCTGCAAGAAAGGCTGGATCTGATTGCTGGGCCCGGCTTAGACGCACCCACATATCGAGAACCTCGCGAAACTCGCCCGCTCTAGCGCACTCGCGGACAAACTTCAGCGCGAGGGTGTTGTCGTCTCTAAACTTCTTCGGCAACGCGTCCCACATCTCCGCAACTGGAATGATCCGCGCCATGATGGGGAAAAAATCTGGATCGGCGCGCAGATCGCTGCGATCTACTAAGTTGGAGAAATGCATTGACAGCCAGCATCTAGGGCGCTGAAACTGGTGTCTTCTGCTGAGGGGGGAGTTGGTGGCAGAGGCCGTATGCGTATCCACCGCCCGTGCCGCTGCCATTATGATTTCTTTTTTTTGTGCATACTCCTCGCTGACATACCAGAGAACATCGAATCCGAATTGCTCGACGGCTACTCGCACAACCGAGTCGCGGCGTCGCACTGCATCGGAGGCGAAAAGCAAGGCGTCGAACCATCCTGCGCCCAGAAGATCACAGACAAACTCTTCGTCGTCGCGGAGTGCTTTTGGAAGCGGATACGGACAGGTCCAGGTGTTGATCGCCTCAGCGATGTTGCGAACTGCTACTGAACTGGGGCGCGCTGAGGTAGAATGGCGGCCGATGTTATTTAGCACCAGGAGATGGCCTGCCTCTTTGCACAAGTCTGCTAATGCGTACTCAGACACGACCCCAGAACTAAGAAACGGAACGAGACTGGTCAAACCCGAAAGACCTTGGCGCGCAAGAATTTCCACGACGAGATCTCGTGGATTGCCGTGGCTAGGAGTTGCAGTTGGTAGCACGGTCCCGCTCTTATCATTATTGTTGAGAGAGGCATCATCAAGTGCTTTTTGCCGCATCTGGAGGATTTTCGGATCTTCGTTCGGTGAGATGGACGCAGCGACTCGGCTAGGCGACGGAGCGTGCAGATTCAAATACTCGAAGGCGTTTGTGCTCGATTTCACCTGATAGCTGTCCAGGCGGGTAAACGTCCACAGGTAACCATCCAAATTCTTACCAGTTATGCCCCGGGCGACGGCGCTAGACGCAAGTAAGCCGAAAGCTTTCTGCGCGAAGTCGTGATCATCGTGCTCCATCATCCAACGAGCATTGACTGACGCCGCGCCGAAAGAACGCCCCCCGGCATTCAAGCGAGAGACCATTATTGGGCACCGCATGTACACCGCAGCAAGGAATTCGGCGGTGCTTCGAGCATGCTCCCCTGCTTCCTCGATGAGAACCAGCCGTTCAAGTTCAGCAGCAACTGCCCCGGCAAGCGCTGCCTCGGCTTCCTCAACGCCGTGTACATTGCGGCCATGGGCCGGGCTGAAGAGCTTTTCGGACTCTAATGCCATCAATTGCAATTCCCGATCTTTTCGCAAGTTCAATGACGCGAAGCGAAAATTCGCACCGTCTGCTCTGATGAGTTCGCGCATTATTTCCCGATCCGATCGGTAGCACGCACAGGTATCGCAGGAGAAGAAGCTTTCCACCCGATCGGAATCCTCGCACAGGGTCCCAAGCACGTGATCCATTACAAAGTCGCGCCGCAGCAAGAGGGGCGACGGCATGTTTTCGAATGGCAGGTCGCGCGTTATACACGCGACGAGGACGTCTTCATCCTCAAGAAGGGAGGTGCTAAAGTAGTCGAGGAACGTCCGCGGAGGATTTTGTTCGGGAATGAGATGGGAGCTATGCCTATGGCGCCACACGTCCTGCGCGAAGAACTTATCGCTGCGAATGTCTTCAGACAGCCGCGTGAAGACTTCGCCCCCGTCCTGCGGCCTACTCTGGTTTGCGCTGTCCAAGGCCTCAAGGACGATGTGCGGCCGTTGCTGGAGGCGTTGGCTTGCGTTCAAAAACGCCCCCTCATGCATCCGGACGGCTAGCGCTACCAATTCGTCGTCGTCGCATTGCTCCTCGGAGAGCATGTTATAAAGCTGTTGTATTTATTTTCAGTTTCGCGGGGTTTTTCAATTTGTTTTTGAATACTCGTGTTGGTGTTCATGTTCATCTTCATGCTTGTGCAGCGGTTTGATGGCAACGGCAACAACAAATTCACGTCACGATTGGAAATCACACAGGAGCGAGCATCAGTGGGAAGAAGAGATTCGTCACTCCATCCGCTAACAGTAAAAATAAAATACAGCAGGAACAACGAAATAAGTACGTACTTACGTACCTCGGATACGCCCTTTCTTGCTTGAGTGAAAAGGCGCAACAAAAATCTTTTGTTTGCTTTTAGTGCTGCTGAGGACTTTCGAAAAACGACGTCCGCGACGTCGCCGACGGGCACTCCGAGGCGCAACATAAGCTCCTGACTGACGCGATCCACTAGTGCTGCTGTCGTCGGCAGGTCGTGTCCTGCGATTTCTGGGAACTTCTCAAAAAAAGCGTCGATATCAGTTTCCCAGTTATCGTCTACAGCCAGGACGTCGTCCCCTATCAACAACGCTTGCGCTTCTGCCAGAGCCTCCTGCTTCTCTTGGTGCACTATCGCATACACAAAAGGTGCTTCGTTTTCATGATCTTGCTCGCTTTCTTGTTCTCCACTAACCGCTCCAAACGAGCTGCACTCGGAAACGTTTGAGCTGGCCCTTGAGAGGACACCAAGACCAATGCCGCCGACTGCGAAATTGTGGCTGCTGCTGCTGCTGGAATCACATGTCGGATTTTGTTTCCTTCTTTTCGCATCGGGATGATCATGGAAGTCCGCTTCTGTGACGGTCCTGGTAGTCTGAGGCTGCCCTGCTCGAGATTCTTTCGGCTGCGGCTGCTGGCGCGAGTCTAACATCTGCTCGGTGCTCGGAACTCGGGACACGCCTTCTTGTGGAGCAGGGCCAGCTTGTGGAGGAGGGCCGATGTCAAAGAACGCTGCCGAGTCATCCTCGAGTAATTCCCGAGTGGACGTACGTCCATCAATAAGCACGATGTGCTCGGGCGGGACCCTCTTCGCCCTTGCTGCTTCCGTTCGTATCTCCGACACTAAGAGCGGCTGGGTATCGTCTTCTGGTAGTTCGACGTAGCACACCAGTGCATCGGACAAATCGTTCACAGGAAGCTTTTTTGGAATCGCAAGCGCAACGACATCGACGTCATCGGTTCGATTCGGTTTTGCGTCGGCCATCTCAGACGCCATTTTTGATGATGTGTTGTCTTTTTTCATGTGCAAGTAATGAGGTTTTGGTGCTTAAATCACTGTGTAGAAGTTTTCATGTTCGTACATTTTTCACAGAAGTGGTGGATATTCATTTTTGTTTTTGATCGGAAGAAATAGCGAGGCTGAGGTAGTAGAGAGTTTGACTTTGTTGGGCTTCCTGCCAAGTAGCATGACCTTGTTTTGCTGTGGTCCTCTCGTTGTTAACAGTAAACAATTTGAGTTAGACTTTCACAAAACTACAGGAAAAAGAACAAAGAACAAACAAAACACCGATAAGCACGCTCCAGAACCACAAGCTCGTTTCGAATTTCACCGAGCACAAGCAAGAAGAAAGTGAAGACAGGGTCGGTGCTCCTACATCACCCGAACGCTGAAACGCGCTTTTGAGGAGGTTTCCCTTTCCTTAAAGAATCTGAATCGTCATACTATCCATATCCAACTTCGATAGTGCTACTTTTCAGGCTTACACTTGCTCGTCCTCTGTATCCTGTCCCACATGATCCCATCACATGTAGGGGACAGCTCAAAAATGCTTTTCTCAGATTCCATCGACCAGCCTTTATTCGTCTTCGTCTTCCTTAATTTCGGTGCCCCCTGCCCTGTCCTGCTGCTCCTCTTCATCCAAAACAGCCTGGAAGTCTCCCGGTGAAAAGCTGTGCTCATCCTGGGCCCCGGGCGCCCAAGAATCAATACTGTTACTGGGTTTCAGCTTGCGGAGCTCTTTTGCCACATCCGGATCTTCATGAAGAAACCGCGGCACTGCTTTGATTGCCTCTCGACCTCCTGTTGGGTTGCGCAACGCTATGAGAGCTAATTCTTTGCCTTTTTCTGGGTCACGCAAAAGCTTTGGCGCGACAAACCGGAGAGCTGCGCCTGTGTTTTCGACTGCGGCCTTTGCTAAGTCGAAGCCTTGCGTTAGCGGAGTATTCACGAGAAGCGTCCCATCGCACTTGACAAATATCAGCATATTCTCTTGCGATGTCCAGAACGGCCAGTCATCACTGAACGAGCCGAGTATTCGCGTGCCCACCGTTTGGATGCAACGAAGGATGAAGCTCGGGTCATTATAGAAATAGCCGGCACCAAAATGCAACGCCTGCGGGTTTGTTTTCAGCGCAGTGAGAAAGATGTCCGGGTCCGAAAGCAGTTCTTTGCCGCGCACAAATCGCAGAGCCTGACCGCACTGGTTGACTGCGGCGCAAACGACGTCTCGGCTCGTCGACCGAATTTCCATGGAACAATGTTGCAGCGCCATTCCGTTCTGTTTGACGGCCTCGAGGCACAGCGCTGCGTCCTTGGTGAGGTGATGCGGCGCGTACTTCAACGCGAGGCCGTTCTGCTTCACTGCGAGCATCAAAAAATCCAGACGGTTCCGGAGCTCCCAAGAAGCAATCGAAAGTCGCTCTCCATCTCGCAGCAGGGCTTCTTTCATCACTTCAGGATCACTAAGATGGCTAGGCGAAGTGCGGTTTAGCAGCGTCCTGACCAGCCGGTCTGGATACTTGCGCTCGTCGCGCACTTCCGTCTGCTGCAGCGTTCCTGACCCGCTAGCGTGCCCCGCGACGGGGATGCTTCGAAGAATCTCCAACACGAATTTCTTTTCAGTGACCACCTTGGAGCTGGCGATGGTCACGGCGCTGTCGGGGTCGATTTGCGCCAACGCTTTGATGAAGTTCGCGTCGCGGCGCAACTCCCAACGGATGGGCATGTCATCTACGTATCCCCCTCCTGGCTGCAGGATCCAAAACAGTTCGCCAAAGAACGCAAGGTGGAAGTCCCGATCAACCTGCTTCTCCGGTAGCAAGTTCATGAAACTTTCATCATAGCGACGAGTGAACGACGTGCCTTGAAGGATCGCCGCAAAGAGGTGCGGATCTGTGGCTTTCTCATCGGGTCTAATTCGCTCTGCCATTCGGGAGTCAATGTTCACCCTGTACTTCACATCGGATATCCGACGTCTGCCAGCCGCTTTTGAGCCGGTGCGATCACGAGTCTTGGGCTTGAAGACAAGCGCGCGCAATTCTGGATCGGAACGTTGTTCGGGTGTTAGCTCAGCCCAGACTTCGTCGAGGCCCTCGCCGTACGCCCGACTAATAGCTGTCAAAAACTTCATCAAAAGTGGCTTGCGCAAGCGGAACGTATCTGGCAGTAGCCTCCACATGACCCGCGGATGATACGCGGAGGCGATTGCCAGGAACTTCGCATCCTTCCGTAAATCAGCGCGGTTCAGAAAAAGTACGAGGTTTGTACGCATCCAATCTGCCCCGGGCCCGTAGCTGCTCGTCCTCTTACTTTCGAAAGCATTCATGATCAAATCTTTGCGGCGGGCCACCCCTGCTGGTAGGTGTTGAAAGCAATCAAAGCCGAATAGTCTCGCAGCTGCGGAAGCAACATCCCGGTCACTCCGAAGGTCCACGGAAGCCAAAACCAGCGCACCTTTGTATCCACCATACATCAGGTCGAGTATAAACTCCTTGTCGGTTCGCAGTTGCGGCGGAAGGTATTTCTTGAGATCCGGCACATTATCTGCGCGGCTAGTCGTGACTGCCAGCAGGTGGCCATATTTTCGGCACAGGTTGGCCAGCGCGTCTTGGGACAGGGATTTAGCCTGCGCTATTGCCACGACGCCAAACAATCCGCTACGGCTCAGTTGTCGTTCGGCTTTTTTCTTCGCGCAACTAGATGATGACGCTTGTTGTATTGTGCTGTTTGCAGTAGCGGTATCCGCATCTGTGACGCTGCTGTGCTGAGCTTGAGTCGTTGTATTTCCTGGTGCCGGTAAAACGTCCGACAAAGGTGGGCCATAAAAACGCAGGTATCGCCCTTCGTCTTCCATGATTCTGCGAAGGCGAACACTATCCGAACTCGAATTTTCGCCTTTGCAGAATCTCCACAAGTGCGCATCCAGAGAACTTCCAGTTGCACCGCGTCGCAGAGCGGTCGCCGCGATCTCACCAAAGCATTCCTGTGCGACTTTAAGTTTAACGTCACGATCGGATCTCCGGAAGAAGTGATTCTCATCAACCCAAGAAAAAGACAAGGGACACCGCATGTATGCTTCGTGGTAAAACCTGAGTTGATCGGGATTATCATCGTTCAACCTTCCCCTTTGGCGCAGAGCATCAATTACCATCGCCTCCGCTTCTTTGCACGGGTCGGCCGGGTCTCGAAATAGGTCGTCCGACTCGAAAGCAAGCAATTGCAGTTCGCGGTCTCTTCGAATGTCCCAGGGCCCCAGGCGGAAATTCACGACATTGGTGCGAATGATTTCTTTCATGAGTTCCTGATCGAGCCGGAACTTGTTCCCCGGAGCGGTATGAAAAAACGCGTCGAACGAGTATTCGTCGTAGCAACATCGAAGAACAGAACTCATCACAAAACTCCGGTCCGCCAAGAGCCCCTCGGGAAGGAGAGGAAGAACTTTTTCTCGATCGATAGCCGCACAGTCTAGAAGAGTTGCCGCTACGTCGGGGTCGGTGAGAAGCTCAGGGGCAAAAAAGTCCAACACGATATCGTTTACTCCTGTATAGCTTCCGTGCTGCAACAAAAAATCGAGCAGAAACTCCTTGCTTGCACGAACAGATGGCTGGGCAACTTGAAAGATGGCACGAGAATCTTCCTCCTCACCATTAAGCCGTCGCACAGCTTGGAGAGCTTCGAGAATGACTATGTGGTCCTCCTGCAGTTGAGGGCTAACGAGCGCGTAGTTTGCATGGTTTAAACGGACTGCTAAAATTGCGACTTCCCGATCCGCGCGTAACGTTTCACCCAACCGGTCAAATATCTGGAATTCGTCTTCGTGAAAAAAATACTTTATGTATATGCCATGATTCTTCAGTATCTATGGCTATGGTATCGTTTTACACGTGAAGAGTATGTAATTAACAGAAAAGATAAAGATTGAAAACAGAAGCATTCAACTATATCAAGAAAAACAATTTCCAAAAATCTGAGGAGATCCTTGTCCTTCATTATCCTTACACAGAAACAAATAAAAATACATCTGTGTCGTCGTTTGCGCGGATCAGGATGCGCATGATGAAGCTCTTGTTTTGTTGCAGAGTGGGTGCGCACCGATTGAAAACAAATTCAGCCACAGCCTCGCCCCTGCGTCCAAATCCGCCACGCAGTCCTGCGTGAATACTGTCTATCACAGCGAGCGCTGTTGGAGCATCGTGTTTCGCCACATCCTCCCGGTCGGCAAAAAACTTCTCAGCAAGTTGCTCCCAATCCTCCCCAGCCGGCACCGCGAGCAGCTTCGCTTCTTCAAAAGCTTCGCATCGCTGCTGCATGACAGTGCCTCGGAGGAAGAGCTCGCCGTCTCCGCACGGCGTCGAGGACGACACCAGCGACGCTAAAGAAGCGCTGCGAGAAAGCGGCCGCGGGTTATGTTTTTTACCCGCAACTTCTACTGCAACTGCTTGCTGTACTCCATCAGGAGGAGCTCCATCATCAATCTCCATCGCGAAGCTTTCATTTTCTGACGCTGTCGGACCTTCGTCGCACGTCGAAGGCTGCTCCTGGCGCGCGCCATCTTTCTCATTCTGCTTTTCCTTTGCGGCGTTCTTGCCGTCCGCGTGGCTAGGCGCTGCTTCGGACTCCTCAAACGACCAGAAAGCTGTAGCATCATCGTCGTACGTATTTCCGTCTGCGTCAGACAAGAGAATGTGCTCAGGCTCTACCTTTTTGGCTTCCGCAGCACGACGCCTAATCTGGCCTACGCGCACAACAGCGCCCTCCTCATCCGGAAGCGTCACGTAGGCATAATCATCACCGGAAAAGTCACGGATTCCGATCCTGGCACACGCGGATGATGCCAAGGCCGACATTTTAATTTTATTTTTCAAAAACAAGTAGAAGCTGCACTAGTACTTTTTATCGTTATTCTGGGGCTGCAGCTTGAACTGGAACTGTACTGTACAGTAGCAGGAGCACTTACTGCCACTGCGTGAATGCTTCAGAAAAAATGGAAAGTTGAAAAGGGATGAGACACCGAGTCACAAAGAAGGTATATGAGGTACACGTGAAGATGAAAAGAAACCATGGGCGCACAAGAAAAACTTGTTCTAGTTCTTCTCCTGCAAATCGTTGAAATACACTGTGTTTTGTCGCAGAAGCGGAGTATGCGTAAAACAGTCACCACCTGGAGCTGGATCTCATGGTTCAGCTTGAAGAATACAAGAATCAAGACGTTGCTGGGGTCAAGGCTACCTTCATGTCTCGATCCCACCTCGTGTTGCTGGAAAACAGAAACAACATTCAGATCTCTTGGTTGAGCTTCAGACTGAGAGCAGAGATCGAAACAAAACAGCTCGAGCTCAACCTGCTGCGGAGGTACTACGCACAACTGCAGCATCGCTGCATCAATCTTTGAAGACACCCATGTGCACTTCTGCGACAATCAAACGTATGTAAGTCATGTATTTTCAGTTGATCGATGCACACAAGAACTGTTAGCATCTCAAAACCGCCTTCGACTTTCAAAGTCGAATTTCTGTTTGAAATCTTCGTACGTTCGTGTCCAATCGTATTTCATGTACTCTACAGTATGTGTGGTCGAAAAACCTACATTCGACGGCCACAGTCGCAGTCGCTCGTGAATATAGTGGTAGTAGCCAAATCCAAGTCCAATGCCCGCGGCGTGTGCCAGCCAGGCCACCTGAGGCTCCTGCTCCAGAGCTGAGGTCGATGCGTTTCCGAAGCTTCCGCCCCGCTGCGCGACCCGGTAATTCCAAGAGTAAAAACCGCCCGACGACGAGAAGGGGAATCGTAGTCCTCTCCTGAGAAGGGGGGCCAGAAGGAAATACAACGCGAGCCCTCCATTTACGACCATATTCACATCGGAAATTTGCGACAGGGACACGGACGCGCCGGGCACCGGAAACACCATTTGCAGCCTTCGCTCCGGCTCTATGCAGCCCGCCAAAGTCACCATGGCCATCAAGGTACCGCTCACACCGAGGACTCCGCGCTGGGCACCGGAGAGGCAATGCGCTAGAATGGACAGAGAGCCCGTCGCCAGAACAAATTTTGTATACTCTATGCCCGCGGTGGTTGGCTGGGAGAAGTTGAGTCGGCTGAGGGCGGGCGGGGATTTGTCGACATCGCTTTTGTTCGCAATCTCGCACTCGCGGTTCAGTCTATCCGCGACCTGATGGAAGACCTTCATGTCGAAACCGAGCAGCATGGAAAAAATGTACAGAGCCCCACAGTTAAACAGGAAGTGCAAGGGCTTCTGATGGGACAAAGCAGCTGTGAAAGGTGTGTAGAGAAGGTGTGGAAAACTGCGCACGTGCCGCGAGCTGCACATCAGGTGACTCGCATTCCAGGTTTGCCACCGCTGCGCGACCGCCGGCGCCGCGCGCCGCAACAATTGCGGCAGCTGCCAGGATGTGAAACACACCGCGCTCGCGCCCAATACCCCGATAATCGCCTTCCTCAAAGAATCGTCGTTCTTGCGCCGGTTTGCAGTTTCGACATTGCGGCTGTAGAAAAAATTCTTGGATTGACCAGAAGATGAAGCGCCAATATCTCGCCACCGGTCAATGAAACGACCGACGACGTTGTTCGAATTATCCGCGACAAAGCCGCGATAGTCTTTCTCCTCGGACCGCCATTCCGTTCGCGTTTTATTCATCCCGAACAAAGACTCACTATGGGTTTCAAGTGACGCCGACACTTCTTTATACGCTTGCCTCAGCGCCTTTTGGCAGTCACGAACCGACTCCTTCAGCGTCGCTTTGAGCTCCTGCAAGCGGCGATCAACGAATTCTTTATCGGTTTCGTCCGGATAGTTGTAAAGGCGGTCGTTCAACAGAAAGCTTGTCCACGACGACGGCGACGTAAAGGGTTCCCCAGGAAGCCCCCCAAACGAGAAATGTGATCCCTGACCTCGCTGCTCGTGATTCACAATGGGAATAACCAATGGAGCGGTGCTACTTCCTGTTGTATCTCGGTTACTCACAGCAAGATCAACATCGGCTGATTGTCGCAGTAGCGCTGTTGCTTGCTGCTCTCTTCGCGCCCCCCTTGCACCTGGGAACGACCTCGAAACTTCCTCTTCGACAGCTTGCTTGAGTTCCGCCCAGAAAAACAACGGCTGCATCACCGTCATGTTCAGCATCAGCTGACCCGTCTGCAAAACCGTGTGTGCTGTCAGCTCGAAGTGATCCAGGTCCGTCTGTGACCGCATATTGCGAGGAGCCGCGGAGAACAACGCGGTTCTGCAGCCACCCTTCCCGCCACTCTCCGTCGAATCGAATCCCTGCTCAGCGCTTGCGCCGAACGGCCACCAGGAATCAGGAAGCCAGGAACTGTGGGCCCGACTTGGATTCTTGCAGAAGTAATTCCCAACAAACTGGTCGGTTTTTGCGTCATTTCCGTTTGCATCCGAGAACGCCTGCTCTGGGAGACCTGCGCATGTTCCGCATACAAAGAGGTTCTCATCGTTTCCATTCATCAGAAGCTGAGAAGAATTGTATTGAAACTGCGACACTTATGTAAGTAGCGGAAGCTACATGAGAGTTGAATCAGTATGTTGATGTGGTCACCTTCCGGCAACACACGACACGACTTCTGTTTTATTGTCCTTTCACTCCTGTATCAATATGCATGCTCAGGATCACGCCAGTCACGGAAGTTGGGTCATGGATGCCCATGGTCAAGGGTGCCCTCGCAGATCTACTAGCTAAAAAAAAATTGAAACACATGAACTCCTCGGGGCCTTGGTCTTGGTTTGAAGTCAGTGTGACAGATAAAGGGATTGGGAACGAGAAACCTCAGTTTTCGAGTGTGTAGCTAAGTAAAAGAACCTTCTCACATACACATCCCTCGGTTGATCATGAAAATTCCGGGATCTTGTTTGCATCCTCAAATAATGGGGTCGACGTCGAGACCACGACTACGAGCATTTATCATGTCTGAACAGAAAAAAAAAAAAAAGATCCCGTGCCGGTCTGATTCACGGACGACGAAACACAGTCACATTTTTTTCGAACACGACTACATCTACATGATCATCGGAGCATTTACATGCAGACCCACTTTCGCAGGAGCCCGATCTTCGGCACGATTGCCGTACAAGCGGTCTCGCCGAATTCATTTTTATATGCAGAAGCGAATTGATATACTGTAGACAATGTCAATGACGGCACACGTTATTGCCGCATCTTCATGGGTTCCACCTTCTCCATATCGCTATACTCCATCCTCGGTCTGAGCCACCAGGCTTCTTCTTCTACTCTATCGTCTCATCACGCGTAAGAAATGCGAAACCGTTCCTTGCCGTTGCTCTCTGTACTACGTGTGCGTATTGTTCAGTTCCAATCCGTTGTTTATGGCGTATCATAATTTTCAGTTTCATAGCATTCTGGTATTCTCGGGATAAATTGTGCGGGCCAGAATGGTAAAAAAGGCAAACTAAATTTACTTTCGCATTCGCTTATGCAAGGTTCATTATATTTTCACCTAAACTTCGTCGCATCTCGTCTGCGTCTCTCCAACCACTCTAGTACAAGCATGATCGACAGATCGAAAGAAAAGTTCTTCATCCTATATCAATTTGCACTTCATCATCTTCAGCCTTATGTATTTGCAGAAGTTCAGCGGCTTTGCCACAGCCAAAATCCACCAGTTTCTGGCCAGTCGCATTTTCGACTGCGTCTCTCAGATCGTCGCGGCTTAGCAACCTCCCGCGGCAGCGGCGCGTTTCTTTTGCGCCGCAGAGGACGAAGTTTTCTGCACTTTGCTGGAAAGGAGCTCCTGGGCCGCTTCGTTGTCCGTATCGTAGACTTCTTCGGCTTCCTCATCGTCCTCGGTGTGTGTGTCTTCCGCTGGCTGGTTTTTGTCGCCCATGAGGCGGAAGATGGACATGAGGATGAACCCCAGCCCGATGGCGCCCACCGCGATGAACAGCTGGACGTGGGTCTGGAGGGAATGGCCCGAGAAGAAGTGCCACATCAGGACGAGACAAATCATCAGGTTGCTCGGGATGTAGAAGATGTTGTACAGCGTGGCCCGAATGTCCTCCGGCACCATGCTGGCCTTCACCCCGCCCATGGTGGGGAAGTACATCCCCACGGCCATCTCGAACAGCACGAAGCCCGTGTACATCACGATCTGCAGAACCAAAACCGTTCCGCTCTGGTCCATCGGCGTGTCGGGCAAGTACAGTTGGGTGTCCGCTTGCGGAAAATAAATCGGGGCCACATACAGGACGGTCGCCGGCAAACTGAGCCCGAAAGAACCCAACAGCATCACCCAGCAGGCGAGGGTCTTCCCGCTAGTGCCGCGACTCAGGAAAACATTGCACAAACACGAACCGATCAAGTAACCTGAAAAGGGATTATATGAATGGAGGGTGAAAGTCAAAACATGAAAATTAGACGCATGAAGGATTGCTCGTGGGAGTCATGATCATCCATATATAATTAGCATGTTTTCTTTCAGATAATTACGAGTTCGCATACTCTAAAACTCGTCATACGGAAAAAGCGATTATCATATTACCGCTCAACAGCGTCGCAAACAGGATGGGCTGCTGGATGTTGTGCCGACTTGCCGGAAGGTTGAGGTAACTGTCGATCGTGAAGAAGGACGCGGTCCAACTGCAGACGAAGAGGTACATGCTGCCCTCGAATAGCGCAACGGAGAGGCCGAGCAGCAAAATTCTCCGATCCTGTGTGAGGAGTCCAAAAGACTTTTTGATCGACCCCAGCGTGCCCAGGGCATCCTTGTCATTGCTCTTTCTTGTGTCGGTGTGCGTGCTCTTCATGCTGAACACGGAGGTGCGCGGGGCCTGTGCCAAACTGTCTTCTTTGTCCTTGTCTTCGACGGCATCCGCGGTGCCTCCGTGTGCGGGCTTGTCTTTCGCCGTGGTCCAGGTGAGGGAGATGATCAAGAACCCGATCACCATACAGGCGAACATCAATGCGTACACATACAGCCGCCCACCCCAATTCACGCTGAAATGGGACATCTTGTTCTCCTCCGGCATCGCCGGCCCTACGGTGTAGATCTTCGTTCCGGCGAACATCGTGATTCCCTGCGAGACCAAGCCCGCAAGGATCGCGGACACTGACCCTCCGAAATACATCCAGCCCAGCGAAGAACCTGTTGTGTGAAGCAAAATAAATAAATGGTGCGAAGACAACCATAAAGAGAGCGACATGTTGCGCTCTCGGTTACCTGATTTCTCGTCGAGGCGATTCACGAGTGCGAGTCGTGGTCCTCGTCCTGCTCTTCCTGTTGCTCATCTTATGCATCACAAAAGATCATGCTGGAGCATAAATAACGTACCAAGTCTTTGTCCGGAATAGCCGCGCTTGAAGTGCTCCTGCACGTACCAGGCCTCGAATGTTGTGAAGAGGAGACGGGTCGCAATCCCGTTGGTAAACTGTCCCAACGCCAGGATCCAGTAGTTGTTGAAGAAGAACGAGACTGCCATCAGGCCGTTCCTGTTTTAGTTTTTGGTGTCGAAGGTCATGAATTTGAATCGTCACCAAGACCATAAGCAGCGTTTCCTGCAGCCTTTGTATTTAATATCAGCAGAGGTATACAGCAGGCATCCGCATCAAGAAGGAACGTTGCGAAATGAAAGTAAAAACAAGTGTGAAAAATTTTTATGCCAAGTACATGATGCAGTAGAAGAGGCAGGCGGTCCTTCTTCCGACGGTATCTGCCACGGATCCGATGAAAACGCCAAGAATGACAGCAGTGGCAAACCCGAAGACCATGAACTCGTTGAAGTACTGGCGTCTGCCGGTGGGATCGCTCCAGCCATAGTCGTCAACGATGATCTCAAAGATCACCGTGCCGTTCAGCCAATCCGCGAAAAAGCAAAAATACCAACCGGCCAGGTACAGCAGCTGGAACTTGCGAAAACCGTCGGTCTTCTTTGCCGCACCTAGTAAGGAAGTTACTTATTCGGATAAGAACGTAAAATAAAAATTTGTATTTCAGCAAGTCGGGCATAAACAAACTGGGATTACTTACGTGTCAGAGACAAAGCAGCTACTGAATTATTGTGCTCTGGTTGAAAGTTTCCCAAATTCAACCTGAAACTCCTCCTGTGACTATGTACAACTAGAGAGACCTGCCAGAAGCAGAGGCGGGATGAACTACAATATTATGTATATGTTCTCCGCAGTGCCAAAAAAAAATAGAAATACCATCTGCCTCGATATCGGTAACCGCTTCCATTTCGGCTTCATCCTTTCCGCAGTCCGGACGCTCCTTGATCCCGAGGAAGACCGCGAGCACAATCACGACGGCGAAGAAGACCCACAGCGTTGTATGTTGGGATTTGGCCGCCCAGTTGCTGGAGTCCGTGTACAGGCCCCAGAATTGCTCTTCTTGTTCGCGGTTCTCAGGTTGGTCCTGACCTGCGGGAAGTGCCGCAATCTCGCTCTTCGCCGCAACCGCTCGCAGGACCTCGCTCGTGTCCGCATCCACAGAGACCAACATTGATGGCTCACAACAGCTCGCAGATCGCTCCAGCACCACTTTTTGTAGCGGCTGCGGGTTCTCGCCGTTCACTGCAACGAGGAAGTTTGTGATTTCAAGGTCCGGGGTGTTAATCATGTTCCCGGTTAGTTCGGCCCAAACGTCGTCGGGGATGGAAAGTGTCAGGACAGAGGTAGAGAACCGCCCCTTGACAAACTGAAACTTCGAGTCGGAATCCCCCTCAATTCCGCGCCACTCCGTGGCACCAGCGAGGAAGTGGCTCTTGAAGATGTTGTTCTGCTTGTTTTCGACATCTTGCTCTGTCTGCGAAAAGGTCTTGGGCGCATTGCTCGGATCCACGTTGCGCTGGCTCTGCTCGCTCTCCAGCCTGTTTTATTTGAAAAATTTATGGATTTGCTTCTTCTACTTTTTTTCGGCTAGAGGTAGACATGGGGATGGGTCTGTGCCAGCGCTCTTCTGGCGAGTGTCTTTATTAACTGCTGGCTCACATTCACATACCAGATCTTGAGAAAATCATCAAATAAAAGTAACGAGTACGTTTGCCAGAGTTCGTTCGGCTTTTCCGCGGCGTCCTTCTTTACTTCCTTCGTATTATCGTCCGTGACAAATTTTAAGAGCAGGGCGGACTGCATGTTGCGGGGCTTCCACGAGGCCATGACGAATCCAACGTCTTGCGGCTTGTCTCCTCCGGTGAAGGGACCAATTTTCTTTTCGTGGCTGTAGACCCACTCGGCGAGATTTTTTGTCGCCTGCACACTGGCAGCTTGCATGTTGACAGCTTCCACAGTGGCCAACACTTCTTGTGCTAACCCGGTGTCCTGTCCACCCTGCGTGGCTGGAATCGTCAACCCAGTGACCACACTGCCCGTCTTGGTCAAACCGACCTGGACGAAGGGCTTGAAGCTGCCAGCGTCGAACTTCTGGGCCTTCAGCCGGCCCAAGAGAAAGAAGCGGTGGCTCAAGGCCTTTCCATAACTGGCACCCAAATCCAAGACTTGGAAGCCATCCTCCAGCTTTCCGTCCTCCGTCACGGAAACAACGTAACGATAGTTCCAGTTGTGGGGCTTTGCGACCCATCCGCTGGGTGCGCTGGCTTTCGTCGGCGTTCCGATGTAGTACTGCGAGGCGGCCAGACAGGTGCTGAGCAACCAGCCCTGCAAGACCAAAATCGCCTTTGCGATCATCATATTTTTGTCTTCGATGTAACAATGATTATTCGGCAGTTCCCCTCGTTCCCGGGAACTACAGAAAGGGAAACGAAAGCTCTTGCACAAAAATACTTTTCAAGCGGCTCTACTTTTTTCTCAGAAAGCAAAATTTGTTTAAACGTCAAGTCGTGGTTTTATTCGGCTACCAAACTATTGAATGTAGATCGAAACGTGGATCGTCTTCAAGTCACAAAGCACAAAGGCGGATCGATTGTTGTATACTCGTGGTAAGTATGCAACTTGTTGTACAGTCTAAAACTAGTTGGAAGTTTCTAAACTAGACCTTTACTTTGTGCTTAGGTGTTCTGGGTTCGCAATTTTGGTCTTTACAGACGAGACAAGGTCACCCTCAAGACCTTGTAGTCCACTAGAGCCACAAAACAATAAAAAGCAACAGCCTGTGAGTACCATTCATCACGCAATTGAAGTTGGAGCCACATGAAAAGAAAATGAAAGGAAGACGCTTCCCCATGCGAAAAGATGGAGCGTCGAAAAAAAATACCAGTGGATCTTGTTGATGCGAACCTGCAGGTCAGATTTTTCTGTTTCTGATCTTCTCGTGCACTTGGCAGTGTCGCACTGCATATTTTTGATCAGCATCTGATACAGGTACAGTGTTTTGTTCATCATCATCTACGATTTTGCTTTTGGCCTTCATCGAAATACGAGCGCAAATTTCAATTTATGATCGTGCAGATTATTTGTCTGCTGCGTGGTTTTTTTTTCTAATTCTATACTTCGTAAGTATGGAACCGCGGATCTGTTTGACCTCATGTATGGAAGGATCGATAAACTTGTGCATATTTCCATTTCATCTTTGGTCAGGTTTTTCTCCATCTTCATGCTACCACGCTACACCGTACAAAGCACAGCATGCGAACAGGCACTGAATCTTGTTTGTTTTTCGAGGACGCCTCACCTTTTCTACATGAAATTAATCGAAGCGTCGCGCAAGCAAAGGAGTGAAGAAGGACCTCGTGCCTCTGCGTCCCGCACAAGACGCAAGCGAAATTCAAGATTTGATTTCTGGCCAGTCATGATCATGCACTGCAACAGCCGATGCCGAAATTGCCAGGTGCACGAGGAAAAAACTGCCGGTCTTTTATTTCAGCAGGCGACGATGCTGTGGATTATCGTCGTCGGCGGGTAGCTCGTCGTCTTCGTCTGTCAGTCTCGTGTAATGCACTCGCCACCTGACGCCGTCGCCTGAGGTGAGGAAATAGAATAGGTATAAAAAAGGTCTTTTCTGTCGGTTCTTTCTGGTGCGGCGTCCACGCACGAAGATGGGGGCCACACTTGCGATTGGGATTGCTGACAAATAGAAATGCTCTGTTTTTAAAGAAGTTTCGCATTGATTTGAAACGATTTCTGTATCTGTGGTACCATGCGGGCGAGCGTTGCTCATTGGTATTGGTATCCACCACGTAAGGAGATTGCTGCCAAACACCTGCTCCCAGTTTCGCCGGTAACCCACATCGTATTTGCTTTTCTGCCCATCTTCGCGCTCCAGATTTTCAATGGTAGTGTAGTTGATGGAAATCAAGCGAATGTGGAACTTCATGAAGTTTGTTAATGTGCAGCCGAGAAGCGTTGCGGCGCCCTGCCCTATCAGCATACCCTGAATTTTCAGTGACAGCAGAAAGTAGAGTTTTGGTGAGTGCAAACTTATCTTCACGCTCTTCATTCCATCCATCAGAAACACAGGAGTTTGAAGTAACAAACTAAACCATCACTATCCACGTTCAGACACGAAAAAGAGTCGAGAGCAGGCGAGTCGTGGCAGAACACATCAAATGAGAAGCAACCCAATTTACCAGATGGCGCAACTGCACGAACTGGTCCAAGCCCCCGGGAACAGGAAAACCGGGCCCGCCTTCTGGAAAAGCCACTGTAAGGTAGCGGAAAACCTGTTCAGTCGATGTCGATCAAAAAGACAATAAGACGTCGACAAGAAACCTTCATCGTCCAAAAAGGTATTCATGGAAACACGAGCGACATGAAAGAAGAAGGTCTAGGTCAGCGTAGAAGCCAGTATTGTTTTGTCGTTGTCGTCGTCGTACCTTGTCCAGCGTAATCACCGACCCGTAGACACAGACGGTCTGAAGACACACCCAGGCGTATATCACGAAGAGCAGGAAGTACTTGCGGTTGTAGAAGCCTACGCAGTTGTTTATCCACGGGCAGTGATGGTCCATATTCAAAACGCATCGTCGACATATACTGCAGTGGTGGGTCCTGGAAAAATGGTTGCGCAAAAATTTCTATCGATTTTCAATTTCATTATATCATTTTGTACTTGTAATTCGTATGTCTATGTTCTTCATTAACGTATTGCTTTTGCATTTCTCAGTTACATTTCCATTTTCATAACGTGGCCGCGGGTCTGCCACAGCGAGAAGTACGTGTACGTCCCAGCTGGACATCCAGATACCTGTCCGGCTTCCAAACGTTGCACATTTTGCAGTAGCGCCTTCGCTTGCTCTCGTCGCCCATGTAGAAGCCCCAATTTGCCGGCACCTGCCCCGGATCCACGACGATAGCGTGGTAGAAGCTGATGAGGAGCAGGACAAAAACGACGTGGAAGACGATGAGCACGACCGTGCCGACGTCTCGTACGTAGTAGTGGTATACCACATCATAGGTGGACTCGCCCATCACGCCCCACAGAACCGTCCCGCCCTGCTGTAGCTGCCGGGCGTGAAACATCTCTTCACTGACCTCATGATCGGCCAGCACTGGGGGCGGTGTAGCAGGGGTTTTTTGGTGTCGGGTAGAGCTGCTAGCGTTGTACTGTGGTCCCAGCTGTTGTTTGGTGGAGGAAAACCGTTCTGTGAAAAAGCACACGATCTCGACCAGCGCTCCAGACGCTGGGAGAAAACTACCGAAAACAGCAGAGCGACTGATCGCGGAGGCGCAGTCACCCGAATTGTCGTGCGGTGCTGGCATGCCGCCGGACGAGTCCGCTGGAGTCCGGGCTTTCTTTGTAGAAACGTTGTCACCCTTAGCGCTGTCAGTCCTACTTCTCTCCTCATCTGGTGAAGTAGCTCCTTCTACCCTTGCGCCTGTGTTGTTGGGCAGGTCACCTGCTGCACCAGTTTGCCCTCCTTGGATTCCGCTATTGGTAGTAGATTTCGTGCGTGATAGCGCGCTGTCTTCTTGGTGTATGGTACTATTCTCATCTGGTAGAAGCGAAGAGGACGCAGCTCCCCCACCTCCCGAGGCGTCGTGCTTATTCTTGGGTGCCTGTGAGGCGCTCCCCTCTTGGGCAGGGGGGATTTCGCTCGTCATCGTTGTAGCAGTAGCTGCCGTGATCGCTGAAGAAGATGCTATGGAACTACCATCTTTTAACTGAATTGAAGATGGCGAGAGCTTTTTATCCGGGCTCTCTTCTGCACTCTTTGTGTCCACCTGCGCACTATTTTCGTCTTTGCGTGCCGTGGCTGTCCGCAAGTCACTGTGCTTGTTCGGGTCATCAGTTGTACCAGCTGCGTCGGCGTTGCTTGTTCTGTCAGCATCGCCATCTATTACTACTATTTCTGCACCATCCTTCTCCTGCGCAAGCGCGCTAGCTGACGGGGAAGGCGCCCTGCTGGTTGCGCCACCGCGTAGACCGACAGTTGGTTTCTTATTTGCAGACTGTTGTAGAGTTTCGCTTTTTTGTTTTTCGGAAATCGCGGTGCCGAGTTCTTCGAGGGCAGCACTCGCGTCATATCCCGTCGCAGCGCTCTCTGCGTCCGCGACCTGATTTGCTGTTTTCCTCCCTTTCTTCGTGTTTGACAGTTCTGCGTCGTCTTCGTCTTCTCCCAGATTTCTTCGCCTCCCGGCGGAGTAGGGTGTGGTTCCCGAAGCTGGGGGTGGTGCTGGGCGCTGACTGTCACTGATGCTCCGCAAGTACCCCGACCCAACCAGTTCCATTTCTGGAATCACAACGACAAACACGAAGGCGCCATAAACGGAGAGAATCATCGCCAACACCGTGCACACGAAGCCCGCGTTGGCGCTGTTTTGTTCAGGCATCGACGTGCAGCAGTTGTAGAGAAAAAGATGAACTTTTTGTTTCTCATACGCACCAGCACGGTCATCCCTCATTTTTAAGCAGAAATGAGATGCAAAAGGAAAAAAACGATCTTAGACCACACAACGCAAAAACGTGGACACTAGTCCAATTCAAATACCAATTCCACACATCGTGTTTTTGCCGCATCGTCACCGTGCCCCTTGTAGCAAGTACAGCTAGAGCTACAGGTGCAGGGACGTATCTTAATATCCAGCTCCCCTCTGCGTAGCCGTGAAAGATTGTCAAACCTACAGGCTAGCAGGATTCGAGACGAAATGCGGCCGTACCTCCACTACACTTGTTTGGCGTCCATCCATCGTTCGTCATAGTTGTGTTGGTGTTGATTGAATGGGTATGAAGGCTGCGTCTTAAAATTGTATAAGTACCTTTGTCGTCTAGCGTAAGTACTTCTACGGAAACGAAATAGAGGTGAAATGTGGTTCTAGATTTTTGGAATATCTTCTACCGCGGCATGAAGAAGTAGAAGAAGACGCCGCACGAGGCAGCAACTGCGTCATTGACTCTTTCTTGCGCTTTCAGCCCTTGCGCGATGGAATACTACACTCGCTGTTGCACCAGGCGCCCTCAGCAAACGGCATGACTTGACTGTTCATCGCCACGTCGACGTAACCGAATCGTAGTCCGCTGGGTGTCCTGAATTCATGACCCAGAGGAACCACGTCGAAAACTTTATGCTCATATTCATTATTCATCTGGAAAACAAGAACACTCCATCAGTTGTAGTCAACTCACAACAATGTGGCTGTCGCAAAACGGCGGAACGATTTGCTGCTAGCCTGAAACCTGCTTCGTTCCCCGTGCCATTAGCAGCGATGCAGGGTCGCAGAGACGGAGCAAGGCTTTTTCCAACTCATGGCGCATCTACTTCGTTAGAACGTTATCTTGGGGTCTCGAATGAGCGCCTGTAGAATCTGTTCGTGCCTGGAGAGCGAAGCGCTTGGCGCGCTCTGGAACGCCGTCTTTTTTGTGTTGAAGAGGAAGTCCAGCCAATACCTTTCCGTGATCTCCTCTTGGGAGAAACCCACCACTAAACCCTCGGGTGTTGTACACAGATTCTTGGTGAGGAAAAAAGTGAGCGGGGCTTGCCAATAGTGGCGGTGCGTCCGCTTGCTGTAGAGCTCGCACAGCGTTTGCAGGTCATTTTTGTGCCGAAAGCGGTGGTGAAGCCGTGGCGTTTTCCTGCGTCGCTGTACTCGCTCCTCTGCTTCAGGGGGCAACTCCGGTAGTCTGCCGCGAATGTTCGCTGCTATTTTTTCCGGATCAAAGTAGTTCAGCGGATCGGCCGAGGATATAATTGCTTCCGAGGTAATTTCTTCCAAAATATTGCCTTTTTTCTCATCTATCTCCGACGAAGCCTCTGAATTTTTGGTGCTGGTCCCTTTTCTTTCTCGACTGTTCATTTGAGATTCTACCTGTTCTTCCGAACCTGGCGCGAAGTTGTTCGATCCCGCGACACTGCCAGCTTCGACTTCGTTCACTTCCCATAGAGATTGCGCGAGCTTTTGAGAGTCGTAAGGATCTTGCTTTCCCTGGAGGCCGGAAGCAGGACGCGAACCCGTAGCGGCGACATTTTTACGACCAGCTGCGCCTTTCTTGCCTTTTGTCGGGACCAAGTCACTGGTGTGCAGTCGATCTACAAGCACCATATTCCACCAACCAAAGTAGATGACGTCGTAGCCAAAGGCATTACCCAGCTGCTTGATGGCCGCAGCAGTGGCAATGAAAGCCTTGAAATAGCCATGGATCTGCGTTGCAACGCGCGACTCGTAGTCGTTCGCAACGGTGAAAGTCAGCGCCAAAGCCTCCTCGTCCTTGTCTTCATCTTCCGGTTTGTTTTTTTTTCTATCTGATTCTGAGTCAACTGATGGGCTTGCCTCCGCGGCTGGACCTCCGCGGGCGGCTTGTCCTGTTTCCTCTTGCTCTTCGTGATCCGCTTCGCCATACATTTGCAACAGCCTCCGATAAGCCTCACCTGCATTGGCAGGCTCCGCTCGCTTGTATCGTGGAATTAGATTCAACCCTGGCGGCATCATGTGGTCCGGCCAGAAGTAGGAATGGATGTGCTCGATTTGAATCACCTTTGGATAGTAGTACACCGCGTCGTGGTCCCTCCTCTCGTCCTCGTCGTTCCGCATGGAACCAGAAGAGGAGCTCCTGCAGGCAGTTGGTGGCGAGAAAAACTGTTCCGCCTCGTGCAACTCGTACTCACGGGTCGCGGTTTCTTCGCTGACAGCTAGCTCTCTTACGGCGTCGCTTATTCCGCTCCACACTTGGCACACGCGGCGTTTCATCTCGTTTCGCGTGCGATGCTCGCGGATCCTCTGCGAACTTTGCAAGATGGCCCGCAAAACATGCCAGGAAAACGAGTCGATTTGCAGGACGAGAAATGCGAAGTCGAAGGGCACTTGCCGGCGCGGAAAAACTTCCGCCACCACATTTTCCGGCGATAGCATCTCTGGGTGGTAGCCAATGGCGGAGTTTGCGTGCCCGACGTCCAACATAATTCCGGTCCATTCCGGACTGCGAAAAGTCCGCAAGAAACGAGCGTAGTGCTCGACTCCAGCAAAACCCACGCCGACATCAACATAGAAATGCTTCTGTTTGATGTCTGAAAAAGCATTCGTGTGCACTTTGGATTTGGATTTCATCTCCGAGTCGACGTCATGATCCGCAGTTTCGCTCATCCTCTCGCCGTCTTCTTCCCTAGGAAACGCCAGTTGGAATATCCTGCTCAGCACGGAGTCCATCTGGTCCTGTGCGTAGTTTAAAAACTTTCTGGTCAGACTCTGCGCTGGGTCGCAGTCATCCCACAAGTCGAAAGGTCTCTTCGAAGTGAGCAGGACCTGTGCAACACGGTGCATCGCGCCAGCCGCGGTGTCGTAGTAGCTCCTCCACAGCGTGTCGGCCAACACCACGCGGTCCAACCTTTGCTGGAAGAAACGGCGAAACCGGGTCAGCGGGTCCAGATTGTCGCTCAGCGGTACGATCATCTGTCCGATCGCCTCCCCGCACGTAGGGTAGGTGCCCGCGATCTCTGCATCGGTCATCTGGTCGGAGTCGATGTCGTTTCTACTGGCGTCATTTGATGCTTCTTGTCCGTTTTCTTCCATTCTACTCCTGTCGCCGTGAAGGTCTTCTTCGGAGCTGGTGACCTCCACGGGGCTAGTTATGTCGCCAGCTTCTGCTGCCGCAAGGCCCATGCGGTGTTCCCGCTGGATTTCTTCGTTCAGGAAGTAGTCAAACAGTGGCGCGGTGTACGGAAGCCGCACCGTGTGATTCAGTGCGGCAAAATCCATCACGTATTCTGAGGAGATCTGCTCATTAGACGAGTCGTCATTGAGCCGGAGTTCTTCTGTTCCTGCTTGTATGGCGGTAGTTGCGAGCCCCCCGATTTGGCGTTGGACGAAGCCAACGTCAATACCAAGCTGTCGAAGCGCACTTATCAGACCGTCCGTCGCTGCCTGAAGAGTTGGTTCCCCTTGCTCTTGGTCCTGGTGCTGCGCGAGAACCGCTATTTCGGATTTTGCCTTTGGCTTTTTGTCCACTTTTTTCGTCTGCTCCTCCGCTACTCGGCGAATTTCCTTTTCCCAACGAATGGGCTGGTCGATCGCGATGCGGTGATAAGCGGAGTGGAATCGGTCCGGGTCGTGAATCTTGTACATTACCTCGGCTTGTACGGCCAGGGCCGTGTCGTAGAGAAATTCGCAAATTTCTCCGATGGTTTGCGGCCACCAGGCCCGCTGCAGCTGCACGCTGGAGGCCTCGCTAGGCAGTAATCGGAAATCCAGGCCGGGAGGATGAACATCATCTGATCGCCCCGCTTCATCTTCGTCGGCCACTGTGGATGGTGCGCTGGAGGAACTGGGTCGTCCCGACGTACTTTTGCTGGTTTTACTATCATCCGCCGTGGATTGGGATTCTTTGTTTCTGCCCGATTTCAAATATCGGCCCCACACGAAGTTTGAGGTGCCAAACTTGGCCAGGAACCGCCAGATGTCGAGAAACTTTTTTCGGTCTCCCATCAACCGGAGAAACTGGAACGGCGCTGCGTTTACCCGATTCGGAAACAAACTGCGCCAGTACCCGATTTCGGTTTCCAGGACGTCCGAGAGTTTTTCGTAGTTGATTCCGCTCTGGTGCCAGTCCTCGAGGCGGGCGTAGGTCTGCGAGAAAGCGCCCATTGGAAGCATCGCATCCTTCTCGAGCACGGCCAAGCAATGCTTCAAGAACCAGTAGAACAGCGTCACCTGCGCGATTGGGTGCCATTGCTGGAACAACTCCGCGTGTTCCCGATGCAGGAGCAGCTGCAACTCCTCGGCTTTCGGATTATCATGATCATCATCATGTGGTGCGTCGCTATAATTGTTCTGCTCGGCTTTATTAGACTCAGTATCAGCACGCCTTGATGATGATGATGTCGTGAAAACAGGAACGCGGAAGAAGTACTGGATGTGTTCGGAGGTCAGTCCAGCTGGAAGCGTTTCACCCTCGCCCTCCTCCGTTATTGCACCGGACGATGTCGCGGGGACACCAGTATCCGTTTTTGCGGTGCGAGAACGCAGGCGGTCCAGTATTTTTCGCTCGCGCTTGACCTTGTCATCGATTATGATCCCGGATACTTGCTGCGAGTCTTCAGCGCCCGCACGAACCAGGGAAACTTGGAACTCATGATCAAACCAGTTTCCAAACGACATCGGAAAATAGACGCGAATTTGCCGCGTTTGCCGCTGGAGAAAGCGTCCGGTAAGACCCAGGTACATTCCACGCAAGCGGGGGGACGTGTCTAACGATGTCGGAGCAGGGTGCTCATCTTCCGGATTTGTAGTTTCTTGTTGGCCCGTATTGTGCTGTGTCATTGCTATTGTATCTGTCGTGGTCGTCTTCCCCGCTGGTTGTGGTTGCGGCGCGGAGACAATAACTTTTTGAAAGACTTCGTCGGAGAATTCTGCAAGGTCATCCCAAATCGGAATCAGAATGCTGATCAACGACAAGAAACGCAGGTCGTTACTTTCTGTCCGACGATTTTGATGTGCCCTAGTTGACGTCGTGTCGCCACCACGATCTTCTCCGCTGGAAAGCAAGTCCGGCAGCGCCATTCTCAAGCCGCGGTCGTCGTGAACGGGCGCCGACACAGGCCTCCGATTTGCTTTAATTGCCCTCGCAGGCTCTGCCTCGTCGTCGTTTCTGAGGGCAGCTGCTCCTCCGTGCGCAGCGGCGAATTCCAGTAGCAGTTGGAACAGCAGCAAAAAGTCGGGCGTGTGGTCGCAGTTGCGGAAAAAGCTTTTGATCAACTTCGCGAAGTGGAACGGTTCTGCCTGCTCGTAGTTCATAATCTTGTACAACAGACTCGCGTCCCGGGGCACAACTGCCTCGCCTACGAACGAACTACTGTGCAAGGCTCGCATACCCTCGGTCATCTCGTTATTCTGCTTGCCCTCCTCGACATCTTCCGTTTTTTTGTCTTCTAGTGTTGTTGTAGAGCCTTCGTCGTCCTCGCGATGATCCCCACCTTCTCGTTCTTGTGTGTAAAATTCGTTGCTCAACTGCTCGGCTTTTCTGTCGATCAAGAACTGCACTACTTGCAGAAACGGCTCCCAGTGGGTTTTCGCGAAGGATCTGTAGTTGAAAAGTATAGCAGTTTTTCTTCTTTTCATACAAAACGAGCAGACATATTGAGTACACAGGATCCAATCTCAACAGTAACGCTTTCTGCAAGAAGCTTAATTTTTGCGAGTTTGCATGATGCAACGAACAGCACGAAAAGTGCTGCATTTGTGCGTGATGCCTCCAAACACTTCTACTTTTTCTTTATCATGGGTACAAATGCGATATCATTATCATCATCATCATCATCACGACTGAATACAGGAGAATCATCTTCGCACCGCTCGTCGGCTGGCGTCAACAAGCGATCCAGCTCATCCAGACCTCTCGGCAGCACTTCATTCCGCACCATATGCTCGTCTATCTTCTGAATCTGGGCGACCGACAACTCAGACAAAGAAAATGGAAATGCAGCACACTGGAGGACGACGGGCGAAGTTGTACTTGATTGGTCTCGCACCGCGGCCTCTGCCCCTGCGTCGGTAGCCCTGCGCGCCTCGTCGCCCTCTGCAGATCCAAATAAATTCCTACTTTCCCGCCCGTCTTGCTGCACGCCAACGGATATGCTGGTCGTGCTCGGATTGGGAGCTCCATTAGCGACCGTTGCAAGTGCAACGAGGATAAAAACAGCTGTTCGCGACATCGCGAGGAGAAGTACTCCGGCTGAAAGCAATCGGGCAAACATGGTGCTGGCTTGGCGCTCAAGATACAACTACGCAGACGTGCATAAGAGTACCTATTAAAGACGACGACTTCTCTACAAGAATGATCCGAAGACATTTATTATCTTCATTCTAACGGCGTAAAAGACATGCTCGGGTCTTCTCCGTCAATCTCAATTTCCAGCTTTGATCATTTTTCCATGCTGATAGATACCTTCTACTTCTCTCTGTTTCTAGAAGAAACAGCGACAATTAGCGTGCACGGACTCGGCGCATCACCACTAGTGCCCCACGTAGCCAGCGATGGTTGATGGTGGAGAACAATACTTAACCACGAAATAGCTGGCGCGCCTCAACACCAAGGATGGAACCCGCGGACGGCGCCCGACCCCGGCCTCGCGAGCCACAACTGCGGCACTCCGCCTTCAAAAGATAAATATCCTGACTGCTACGCATCTGGATACTAGGCAGACCGCCCCTCTTCAACACCTGAGCAGCGCTAAGATGAGCGAACGGGGCACAACAAACATGCTACTCGCTCGCCGGCCCTGGTCAGGGCCCTCGCAGCGGCGCAAGAAAGGGCAAGGTAGGGCGACCGACGACAAGGTAGGAAGCGCGCCGGGCGGCGGGTTACCACACGGAGGCGACCGGGCGAGCTGCAAGGGCGCCCGATAAATCCATCGGACAACCATCCCACCAGCCAATAGCGCCCCAAACTCTTAGCCCGGCTTTGGCGACCCAATTCTGGGCCCGGGCTCGCAAATCTTCAAAGCATGCAACGCCCGCCCCAGGGAGATGCGGCGACACAACCAGCGCGCCAAGCCCGGGCGCGCACTGTGCTCGCCCGCCGGCATTTGAAACGCGAACCGCCCCCCGCTGTACAACGTGCGCCGGCCACAGGAAGGACGAGGGCCGGCAATGCTGATGCTTTTCGCTCCAGGCCGCGGCTGGCCAAGTGTAGCGGCTGAGCGCGTCGGCCCGCCCGCACGCCGGCCGCGCAAAAAGGGCGGCCCCCTGTGCGAAGCCCTGGAACTGCGGGCGCCCCGCGCCCCGCCTGTATTGCGCCTAGCCGGGGGCCCTGGTTCCACCGCGTGGAGATTACTGCAAAGCCTGCCGGGCCTATTGTCGGGCCCCCCACGAATGTACCCACCGCCCCCAGGAATTAATCTCCCGGCGGCGCGCGGCGGTGCCCCGGGCCCCTTGCCGGATTGCGCCGCGCCTTTGAGCCCAATCGCCTCCGGCCCCCTGCAAAACCCCAAAGCGCCCGCCCGGGCCCTCGTTGCGCCGCCCCTGGTCGACCGCGCGCCGGGGAAACACATGAACACCGAAAAAATTCGGCCCCCGGGACCGGGGCACGTCTTCGAACCTGTGAGCGGTAACTGCAGGCACGGATCACGCCGGTCATCATTGTGCAGAAGGGGCTGCCTGAGTGTCGCAACGCTTCGCGCGCGAATTTTCTAGCGCTCGCGCGCAGTTCTTCATGGGTCGCGCACCTAGCGAAGGAAATGCTTGCCGGAGGTGGGTCAGAGTGCTGGCCACCGGGCTGAAGACAGTGGGCGCCTCTGCTACATTTCCGGCGCTCAGCGGAAAGCTCCCCGCGGAGGCTCGCGGAGTTTCTCGCCAATCGCTCGGCTTCATCTTTCTGTGGACTTTCGTTTGTGCTGCGACTCACTAATCGTTTGTATTTCGGGCCCCGTGGTGAATCTTCAACTGCAACGCGAACACCAACAAGCAATTAGCTGCTCTGATCATGTCTCATCAGTGATCACACTTACAGGCATCCTCTTCACGAGCGTGAGCGAAACCAAAACAAAAACTCCTTGGGGTCCACAGATTCTTGTTGTTTTATGTTTTATTTTCTTCGTAGATTAAGACTTTTGCGCGCTCAGAGCAGACAGCTATATTTTGCTCTGCGTCGCAGTCTACGCGCTCTGTACTGTTGCAATGATATTCATATTATTTCTAGAAATATTTTGATATCGAGATGCCACCAAGAACATCTAATCATACACCCACAGAAAAGAAAGAGAAACGCCTCCCCTGAACAAGTAAGCGCACCATCATGAGCAGCAACATCATCCGTAGGCAATCTTCCCGCAACATCGATAGCTGCAATCGCAAGCACGTCACTAAGTCCTAAGTGGCGCAACTACGCCGGCGGGAAGATTCGACCTTCCGAAATCACTCGAGATAGACAAGCGCCTTGATGAGCAAGGGGGTTGAGGGTAGTTGTAGTTCCAGTCCAAAAGAAAAATGCAAAGGGTTGTTCTGCAGTAGTCGAACATACGTTGAAGAAGTGGTACATCACCGCGACGCTACGAGCGGACGGCGACTGTGCTAGGGCTGCCGCAGTGCGACGAGCAGCAGAAGGCTGTTGCGCAAAGCTGCGACACGGCACCGCGAAGAACAATCGCACTGATCCTGCTTCGGTCGGTCCTCGTCGTTTAAAAATTTTTGCAAGAAGCGAGCGCACCACAACAGGTGCATTCGCCTGGCCTCGAGAGTGTAGTACAGGATCAAGAACTTGACTCACACGTCGACCGTGAGACGTAAGTACTTACGTACAAGTAGAAGCTACAACTTGCCCCGAGAGAGTAGAGCGGTGTACTCCTGCTGTGTCGGGTAGTCTGCGATCGATCGCTCCAGTCTTCGGAACGTCTCCTGTCCATCAGCACCGAGTACGACGAGGCCGCCCAGCCGCGGGGACGCGCCGCGAAGGTTCCACTGCGTCCACGTCGTCAAACGGTGCGCGCAGCAGCCCGCAAAACACAGGATCCGCAGCAATGCGCGGAGCCCCAACGCGGCCCACACCGAGCGTATTCGCGGGCGCCCCAAGTAGTCGTCCCATTTCCGATCCACGTCGCGCACTACAGAAACCGCTTCCAGATTTACCTTCAAAAAGTCACGAGCAGCGCGTGTCGTCAATAAATGACGAAGGCCTACTAGTCCTCATTTGCGTTTTGTGTGATAAAAACTAAGTACCTCTCGCACATGATCATACCATGCGGCCTGTCCGAAGAAAAAGAAAAATGAATGTCAGCACACAAGTTGTACATATTATGAGGCTTCAGGATCTTCTACGTCGTGGAGGACTCATCGCTTGCTAGAGCGTACGTGATGGTGATGTCTCTTATCGTCAAACAAATTGCGTCTTGACCATACCTTCTTTTTGAAGAGTTCTATGCTTTCTCGGGGTTCCTTCTCGCCGACCACGAAAACGACGCGGCATTTTTCTTGGATATCAGCAGCCAAAGCGGCATGGGCTCGACATAGGTTCTCGGCATTTGTCAGTCAGAGAAGTCAGCCTGCCCGACGAACTACATAGATGAGCACGAAGTTCGGCGCTGTAGTGGTGTCCACGCTACCCGAAATTCCCGCTGCTCCGGGATTCGGAGGCCACAACCGGCCGGCAATTAAATCGTCTGCATGAAAAACGGGAGGCGAGGTCGCTGCGCCGACTGAGGGTACAACGTTGTGCTTCTCTAATCCGGATGACATAGTTCTAATCTGTGATGCGGATGTGCATGTGGTCGAATCATCGAACAAAATAAGTACAATGCGCTCCACTATTGCCGACAGCACTTTTTCCGTGCTGGATGCAAATGAAATCTGAAAATACTAGTTCTCAATCCAGAAGAGGAAAAGCTGGAGCGCTGCTTGATCTGGTATGGCGCTCCTGCAATGGTCCACAGATTCAGATATTCATATTTCTACCACTTATTGTTATTTGTACTTGTAGATGCTTTCTATTTCTTGCTCGTAGAATAAATGACAAATGTTTCTTGGACAACACCAACAACGGCGACGACGTTCATCAGGGTCACCGCAAGACAAAAAAAAGCTCTGTGAAGAGGAACGGACGTGGCGCAGCCGAAGACACGAAAAAGGTACGCACAAGTATGGGCGCACATGTACGAGGACATCAAGCGAAATGCCCCGATTTCTTCAGGTGTCTTGCGTTAATGTGATTCAATGGTTTACACGGAAGAGATACATCACATCACAGTAGAATACGGCGTCCCCTCTTTGCAAGAACGGATTCATTTTTCTCAACATTGTCTTTTCTTGATACAGGTCTTCTTGTCGTTCGGGTTCGTGGTCGCTTGTTGTCAACTACTACAGAAGCGCTCCGGGCGTGGCTAATGACTTTTAATGTTCTGGAATAGAAGGGGCTAAGGCACGGGCGCCCGCTGGCCGTGACCTCATCATCAACTAGTGGGTGGCTTCACAACTCACAGCCAGCGACCGGAATGAACTCTTTCGGAAGTGGACTGTTTCAGAAGTACGGAATAAAAAACAAAGACGGTAGAGCTATCGTAATTTGAAACCGTGAGCGTGACGGACGACCCTATGTATATGATGATGAAGAAGAGTCTGCACCTCCGTATTGATGTAGCCAAGAAGCATCTTCCACGCACACAAGGAAGCCCCCTAGTGCAACTGTTGCAGCGCCATCGCCAACGCTGAGAAAATAAACAGTGGCGCTTTATTGATGATGATGGCTGGTCGCGGTCGCGTGGTAGCTGGTCGTGTGGTAGCTGGTCGTAAAGAAATTCAAGCCATTCTCGCTGTGTCGCTTTGCCGTCTGTAGTAGGAAAGGGTCGTGGTGTTGTACTAGTTGATTCTTCACGCTGCATGGGACGAACGTCAAAGTTGTGGAATACTTATTAGGTAAAGTACGTGTAGCAGCTGCTCTGTGCATGGTACTATGCCCAGAGGTTCTTCATGGTTCAACATCTGCTCGCACGTATAGAAAGAACGACCTGTCTGTCGGAGAAGCAGCAGGCCGCTGTGGACTTTTTAAAAACATCGTGTGGTTAATTTTTGCGAAGCAAGGACCCGTAGACGAATGAATCCCGGATGATGATGTGAATGTCGTCAGCTAAAAACTAAAACTTGCTCGACTACAAGCCGAGATGCGCTTTATTTACTCGTCTTTTTCTTTTATTTGCATCTACTTCGTCATTCCTCCCGCTTCGATGAACGGCGACTTACACCAACGTGAACTTTGCTCCTTGGCGCAACAAGTAACCCTGACTCGAGCTCCGCTCACACTGGTGAAGATAGCGCCACCCCCGACGAGCAGCTGCAAACTGTAAAACGGTTTACAAGTACGTCTGTCATACGATTCGATACCGATAAAGGATGTAATGTCAAGTCAATAAAATAAGAGTTGTCGTGTCGTCGTGTCAATAAATGAGTGAAGGATATTAAAAACGTCGATTCTGCTTAATTCATCTTGGTGAAATAGGGTTCTTCTAGTAGAGTTGTGCTTTTGATAAAAATTTCGATATGTAATATCCGTATTGTCGTCTCCTATCAGCCTTTCTTGGCATTTTTCACCGGCTTCAGGACCTTGAAGGAACACATCAGTGTCTCGTCTACCGTCATCATAGCACCCGCATTGTCGAATTCCCCGCAGTAATTCGGTGCTGAAAACAACGTAATCAGCTGTCGCTTCGCAAAAAATTCATACCTGGGGTGCAAAATTGAAATTTTATTATGATCGTATGTTTTGCATCGAGATATCTTCAATCTACGTTGTTACTACACATGCACCTCGGAAGTAAGAGGACTTGAGTTTTTTCTGACCAAAATATTGCAAATGCGATTTACATTTATTGGATTACTTGCATTGCAAAGAAATAAAGTGCCGCAACAGATTTTTCCAAGAAATAAGCTTTTCATTTTCTTACCCGTCCTCTACTACTTGGTGTGCTCGGCAGATGAGGTCCATGTCGTGTTTTCTCAAGAAGGATTGGACCACGTCGGGGCCGAAGACAAAGCTGACTCCTCGGTCGTTCTCCGCCCACCCGGTGATGTCCTTCTCGGGGTCGGCCCAGAGGAGGTCGCAGAGCAACCCGGTGTCTGGGACGTCGGTTGGTCTCACGATGCGCTTGATCTGGTCCATGCTGGTGATCTCGGGTGACAACCCGCCGTGCATGCAGAGAATCTTCTCGTCCACTACCGCCGCCACTGGGAAGCAGTTGAAGGCGTCGCAGAACGTCTTCCACAGCTTGATGTTGTATCGTCGCTTGCACTCGTCGTAAAACCCGTAAATCCTTGTAATCGAGGCGCACTCGTGGTTCCCTCGGAGCAGAAAAAAGTTCTCCGGATATTTTACCTAAATTTTTCGTTACACAATTTAAATTTGATTCCTTAGCACCAGGTCGCTCTCGTGTTTTTCATCTTGTTGAAATAGAGCGTCCTCCTGGTCGACATGAACATGATCAAGTAGAGACCTATACATAGATAGGCATCAAGAAGCCCGCTGAAAATCTTTGATGCTAGGGCATACATCAGAGAAATCATGAATCATGCAAAACCAAAATGCCCCATGACAAGTCTTGACCTATAGTACCTTGTAGCACATGAGGAGGCAGATGGTTTCTAGTGACTGTTTGCCGCGGTCGACATAGTCGCCGAGGAAGAGGTAGTTTGATTCTGGAGGGAAGCCGCCGTACTCGAACAACCGCAGCAGGTCGTGGTACTGCCCGTGTATGTCTCCGCAGATCTTCAGCGGGGCCTCGAGTTCCAACAGCGCGGGTTGTGACAATACGATCATTCTTGTTGCGTTGCACAGTTTTCGCACCTCGCCTTCCATCAACTGGATCAACTTCCCCGGCTTCGCCCCCCTGGCCTCCAGCAGTTGTGTGGTGTAGTTGTCCACATCCTCGTTCGTTATCTCACCGCCCGACATGGTATTTTTATTTTTGCTTGGTTCGTTGTAGTATTCAAAAAGAACCCTCGGTTGCAGTGTGATGTGGCACCACTCTTAGGTTCTTGCGTTCTTAGTATACCAAAAAACTGTCACGAAATCTTCATCGAGCTCGCTTTTCTGTATCTCTATCTGTATGGTAGTCTATCGAGTTCGATTCTTTTTACACTACTATAACCGCTCTACTTGTTGATTATGAGTTCTTCAACATGTGTTCGTGTTGTTCAATAGGCGGGGGTGTTACAAATGTTTATTCATGCCAGTTACCGTTCGACAAAATTATCAAGCAGCCGATACCGGGTTGAGGTTTTGTCTCGCGAACATATGAGAAGTACTGGAAAATTCTAAAAAATCTGTAAGACTAAGAAATGACAGTTTTTTAATATTCTGCGGTCTCTACGACTACAACAGGAACCAACAGGCACGCCCTCCTATAAATTATCGTGCTGGACGGTACAACCTAACACTAAAACAGCGCACGCTTTTAGCGGAGTTAGCTTTTCTATTTTCCAAGCCGCCGGTTCTACTACTAGAAAGGACCAACAGAAAACACAATCTTCGATGAAGTTGAAGACCCACAAAGTCAGAACATCAGATGCGACAAAATGAAAGTGCTTTACCTAGTGTTCGCCTGCGGAGCGAGCGAGTCTCGCTACACCCACACTAAGGGTAAAATTTTCTACCTTCTTTCAAAACTTAAATATCGTTTACTAGAGGGTCCAAGACGTCGTCTTTCTGGATCTTTTCTTGACTCAGCTTGTTTATGGTGCAGTACTGAAACTAGCAAAAGTATATTTAGTTAACGCACTAGATTCTTTATTGCGCTGCGTTTCGTGCTTACTTACTCGTGTCAAAAATCATAATGGTGACTGGGGAGAGAGCTGCATGCGATCAGCTTTCTAATTCTAACGTCTCTCTGAAACTGAGGATCGAAACTACAACTGAGGGAAACACCAGAGTGAGACGAGGGAGGAAATGAAAAGGGGGAATGAAAAATTTACAGGTCTTAGTTTCGATGGTTTCTAAACAAATTCAAACCTACTGTAGAAAGATTGATTGTCCCTGACCCTGTCACAATTGAAGTAGTTGAAGTCGATATTAGAGCTCAATATACGTGGCTGACGACCCAAAATCGAGTACGGTACTAGGTTGTATGATCTTGATCCCCGATAGTCTCTCTTGAAGTATTGTTTGCAATGGCATCGAAAAAACGTGAACGTCATTACCGATGCATCGAATCTCTCTGCATGTTCATACTCATAGCCTTTTGTGAAAAAATTGTTCTTCCGATCATATTACGGCAAGGAACACGGCTACCTAACATGATGCATAAATAAGTAGCATATCGTTATTGATTGCAACTACTGCTGCTTCTAATTCAGATTATTGCTGGCTTATTGATTCTCGTCGAGCCTGTCGTAGGGGTAAGTATGCTCCGTTTGTTGCGCGCGTTATTTTTAGAGCAGGTCTCATGCGCTTTAGCAAGCTCTTCGAATTACCTAGATACTATCTACTACAAATAGAATATTTTGATCTTGTCCCATGCGTAGCAGTTGCAGTGTCAGAATGTAGCCGTCGCTGAGAAGTGTAGCTTTTTCTTTTTGACGAGTATCCCAGCACTTTCGGATTTATGCCCACGAGAACAAACAGTATGTAGCTCACTCGGTGGAGGCTTACGAGCAAGCAAGAAAGAACGAGCACGGCGGGAGCAACGAGGTTGTCTGCTAAAATTTTCATCTCGTCAAACATCAAGAACGCCAACGCCACCGTTCAGGACAATTCCAGGTTTGCATGATAGTGAGCAGAATCAAAGTGAAGTTGCTTCATCTTCTTGCAAGTTTGCCAGCACTTCTCGTGCGGTTGTGAGCCCGCTTTGGCAAGCAAGCTCGACACCACTTCCGACGAAGCCAGCACCTGCCAGGTAAATCCCAAGGTCACTCGCCGCTGCTGCGCAAAGGGCCCCTACTTTCTCGCGAAACTCAGAGTCCTGCGGCTGCGGAAGAGCCTCCGGCCACGAGGAAACTATGCTAGCAACGATTTCTGGGTGGAAGCTTGCGCTGTGTTCTGAGTCGGGTGTGGTGGCACTCCGACGGCGCGGGGAAACGGACGGGCACACTTTCCCTTTTTCCGCAAGTGCCTGAGAACGACCAGGCAAAATCGGCGCGAAAAAGCTCGCAATTCCGTGACGCAAACCCGCGCAACAAGCCGAACATTCGTAGGTGTCATCTTGTTCTCGGAAATTTTTTGTCACTCCTCCCGCTGTTCCTTTATCTCCTGGCGCGCCACGGATTTGCTTCTGCTTGTGCTTCTGGTCATCCGCATGTCTGAGCAAGTCTACGAGAAACCGCTGAGCGGCTTGCGAGTAAAAGTCGTCCGAGGTCGTGGTTTTCGAACCAGTTGGTCTGAAATACACTCGGAAGACAATGTACCGGTCTTGGCCATCAGTATTTGCCTTGCGGCACTCCACGTGTTGGTGTTTTTCATGGCTGTTGGTTCGATTTGCATTTGTTGTTCGGGATGTTGTACCAGCCGCCACCGCCGAAGGTAAATCTTCACCTTCAGGCTTATTTCCGTGCTCGAACCCATGCTGCTGTTGGGGAAATTTTTCGGTGACAAAAGAACACGCACGGAATCCTAGCCGGGAAACTGCCTGCACAGAAGCAAGAAGCGAAGACGGGGCGCCAGTGATTGCAGCGGGCGGAGAGGACGAGGACGGGAATGAAGAACTACTGCTCTGTTCTTCGCTGTTTGTAGCCGTTTCGCTCGTGCATTCCTCCAGTAGGTCGGGCGCAATGGTGAGCCCGGAAACTTTGGGAAGCAACGACGAAACTTCCGCGTTTGTGTCTCTGACGACTAGATTAACAGTCACGTTGCTGTTGGGGACAGGCCTTCTGCGGCGACAGTAGTCCAGCAAATCAGAAATACTCACCGTTGAGCTACTTTTTGCATCATCTACATCATCGTATTGCGGGCCGTCTACCGCTGGTGCCTCTGTCAGTGCTGGTGCAGTAGGAGAGCCTTGCTTCACGACTTTATACCCGATTGCAGTCCTCCGTGGTGTGGACGATGTCGACGTTGAGGGAGTGCTTCTGCCGGTTAGCTGCAATGATCTCGGCGCGATGGGTGCCTTGCAGCTAGTACCCCCGCAAGAAGAACTGATTGTCGTTGCTGCATTGTCCAGCAAACCAGTCGCAGACTCAAATCCGCACGCCAGCACGACACGGTCGGCGGTGATTTCGTGCTCGCAGCAGCCCGTGCGGCCGTTGGTTTTGTAGTGCGTGCGATACTTTACCGCTACGCGCTTTTCCCTGGTCGATTGATCGCACTCGGTGCGGCGGATCACCCAAGATGGTTCTAGGTGCACGACGGAGGAAGCCTTGCACAGTTTCACTTGGTTCGTGCGCAGCAGCCAGGTCTCAAGTTTGTCTATGAAATATTGCATCCCTCCGCGAAAACTGCGCAGTCCCCGCCCGAGGTGCTTTTTGTCCACTCCGAAGCCTAACCGGCGCGCGGCCTCGCCCCGCGCGAGCACCTCGATCTCCAGGTTGTCGTGGCCGCCGTCCTTACTGCGTACCAGCTTGCCGGTTTCCACGACTTGTTGCGCAATCATCTCATCTTCCTCGATGCCGATCTCCCGCGCAATCCGCAAGACGGCTTCGGACAGGTAAACGAAGCCCTCTGCTCCTTGCTCCAGCGGGATAATTGTAGTAGAGCAGCCATGGCCATCTTTTTCTTTCCCTGCTGCCTGGTGAAATGGGGACGACATAATTGCAGCTCGGCGATCGACACGACCAGCAGACGGAGATGATGAAGAACGACTGCAAGCGGAGCTCTCCTCGCTTGTTACTCCGACAACTGGAGAGCTTGTCCTCCATTTTGCGGTTTTAATCTGCCCACCAAGACGCTCGGGATCGGCTTCTAGCATGACAATATGGGTCTTCTGATGCCCCCCGTGAAGATGTTCTTGTGGTCCGAGAGGTCGTGTGGTCCTCTCCGCAGGAGCAACGATTTTTCCACGATCGGCTATTATCTGCTCGTCGGCTTTCTCACTTTTCGTTCCTTGCCGTCCGGCGACGAGTTCGTAGGCGGTGGCCAGGCCCGCTATCCCTCCGCCAACAATCACGACCACAGGCTCGCGCCCTGCTGCAGCTGCAGTCGAGCTGTGAGTGCTCCTGTTCGACGGTAAGGGCATGGTGATGGCCCGTCCGGCTCTCCTGGTTATTCTACTGTTGGGTCTTACAGCCCACAAAAAGACAAATCTAGATGCGCGGGGGCGGGTGGAGTGAGTACGAGTTTTCTACTACTGCAGCGCATTCTCTCTTTTTCTCAAGGTGCAATCTAAGTTCAAACACCACCTTATCTCTGGACAAAGATGATGATAGACATAGAACTGGGTACGCACAACAATTTCTCCGCCAACTACAGGCGAACAACAACAGCAAGGATGCAGCACCCAACGAAAATCCACAAGTGAATACAATTCAAATTCGCAATCCATCCTCTAAGTCGAAAAAATACGAAAAACCAGACCACCTACCAGATCGCACACCATATGCAAGAAGCAAGATTTTTCCAGGGTGAAAAAATAATGTGCCAGAATGAAAGCTCATCTTTTTCAGCAAACTACACCCACCGGAACAGGACGATTTTCAAGCAAATTTTTCATGCTTGCCTTTCTCCTATCCTTCGAAAAAAGCTACGAGAACATGCTGGCGTCTTTGTTTGATTTTTTGTTTTTCTTTTTTTATTTGGAAAATCAACAATATCGGTTGCTTTCTGCCGATGCTTGTCGTAAAAAATCTGATGAAAATCAGAAATCGCAACACACTTCTGCGAAAAAAAAATAGGAAAGGCACATCTGAGCTGCTGTACAGGGGAGTCTATCTTATGTAGTTTTCATTGAGATTGTTTTGGATTGAAATGAAAAACTTGAAATTACACGTCGCATTCAGAAATAAGCCTGTCAGCAACAGACTATTGCGCATGCTCGGTGTAAATCAAATTCACGTTGAAATTCTGATGCCGAAACAGGCATCGTTCAAACGCGGACAAAATTGAAGTATTTTTTATGTAAAAAAGTAAAAGAAAAATGTAAAAAAATAATTGTAAAATACTGATAAGGGTGAAGCATGGCCAGAACTTGACTTCAACTTCTCGTCCTCGATATCACTTCCATTTTCCATTTTTGGAGTCGCTATTTCGCCAACTTTCTCCTAACGTACAGACTGTAAATGAAACAATTTAAAGTTTTGTCATTAAACACGGCAGCAAGTTGAAAACCAAGTAGGGAACAAGAGAAAAATCGAACGTTTAGGTGGGCGTACTTAAGCGAAGCCGAAGCCGAAGTCCAGCATATCTGACAAAAAGAAAAAAATGAAAATCATAAAACATAAACCATGTTGTTTGATGCTTTCCTTATCCGATAGGAGAAAAAGTACTCGAGGTTGTAGAAACTAATTGGTAGATAAGGTGTTCATATGGAAAGAGGATAACAGGGTACCTATGGACAGCTTAGCTTTGTAAATTTTTCATTTGAAAATTCTGGACCGTCGCCGGTGCCGCGCATACTAAATGCCAAACTGCTACTTCAAAGCAGAGCCTACAAGATGATGTACCGCGACCATATTAGGTCGCGGCGTTCCATCTTGTACAACGTCAGAAGACAAGTGTAGCACATAGTTCTGTAGAAAATAGCCTTGTGGCGCGTGGTATCGATTCATTGACTCGGTAAAAAAAGTTGTTCTATATCGTTTTCGTTGTGAAAAAAAGCGAAGAAAGCAAGCTCTCGAGATAAAAACATGTGGTATATTAGTAGTTGCGGCGGGTCGAGTCCGCTCTTTACTTAACTTCGTTAACCGTCGGCGAAGATGACAACCGAGACTGAAAGCAATGTCCTGATCATGTCCTTGCTTAATTCCAACTCACGTCCCATGTGGTAGAATCAGTGGTGGTAACGATCGGAATCGCAGGAGCGACGGCACAGCCCAACGCGACCCCAGCGCATGTGTTGTCGCAATCCACCCCCTCGTCCGCAAATGGCTGGTCACCGGGAGAGCCCGGGACACTGCCGCCACTCCTTCCTGTTGTCGATTTTGGTGCGATAGCGACCGGGATATCAAAATTAAACCATATGCGTAAGAAGTGATGCGGTTCCCGATATTTTTCGTCCCTGACCCTTTTCATCTTCCACTTTATCATTTTTTGATCAGTAAATTGTCGCCTTTAGCGAAACAAAACCAGCATAGTGCGCACAGTACTAATTATATAAATTCACCTTTTAACGCGAGCGTGTCTGACATGGGAATGACGCGCAGAAGTACCTTGTTTGGAGGCACCAGCGGGCGCGGGGCTGTTTTTCAGGTCCAGCACTTGCTCCCCTGTCGGCATTGCCAGTGGGCCTTCTAAGGCCGTTGCCATTTCGTCCGTAATCGCTGGTGGACCCGGAATTTGGTTCGCGCTCTGTGAGGTTAGTTGCGTGGTACTTAACTAGCAAGAAGAAAGTGAACAGTGGCAGTGCTCCATTTTAGAATCTTCAAGTAGATCACTTTTCTCATGCTCTCCATGTGATGTCCATGAAAAGTTCTTGCGCAACCAGAACCATGTTGAAAAGCCATTTATGTTGTTTTACTTTTATCATTATTTTCGCAAAACAGTGACTAAAAGGACTATCACTATGTGTAGAAACCTGGTCGAGATCCTCTGCCGCGGGGGGATCCGGGGGCGGCTCCTGCTCGTCCGGTTTAATATTCCCTGTGTCAAGTCCCGAGAGATCGAGCTGCCGGGCACCATCCCAGCAGTTCGGGCGCATCGGCGTAAACATCAAGCCGTTCACACTGCAGTCAGAGGTGTCAAAGAGATCCGAGTCCCCCAAGTACATGTTCCACTTCCGCGCCTGCCGCGTGCCCTGCTTCGGTTGGGACAACGACCCGCTCTGGTAACCGTACCCGCCATAGCCAGACGCGTAGCCTGATGTGCAGCCACCCACGCTCTTGCCGTAGTACTGGTTCATCAATTTCCCGCCCTTGTTCCCACCCCCGTAGTAACTACCGCCGCCCTTGTTCGACGTCCCGTAGAAGCCGCCTTTGGAGCCCCCGGGGTTGTTGTAGCCATGGTACGCAGCTGCACCCTTACCAGCACCGCTCTTCCCCGGCGTCGAGCAAACCGTTGCACCGTTGCCGTTTTTCGAGGACGGCGGCAGACCGCCTTTGCACCCGTCGTACCACGGAGCGCGGTACCAGGAACTGAAAGTAGAGATGCAAGCGTTTTTGGTTACAGCGTCCTACTTCCTCCGACACCAGAAGCACCAACACAGAAGATAAATGTTGTGCCACTAATTGTCTTCAAATGATAGATACGCTAGAAAATCGATGATAGTGATACAACACAAGAAGATCAGCATCGACCTGAATCCTAATCGAAAGACAAAAGTAGAAATGAAAATGAAAAAGAGTACTCGTGATATTTGTGCTGCGTCATCCAGACCTGTCCTTCGTGGGACGGTGGGGAGTGCGAGACCGCCCGGCGGGTCTCCCGGTGCTTCTTCTTGGCGGAGGAACTCAAGACGACGTCCCGCTTTCGGTCGGCCTGCAAATCCTGAAACGTGGTGTAGTGCTGCTTCCAGCCCCGCTGCAGCGCGCGTTGCCGCCCGCCCTTGCCGTTGCCGGCGTCGTCCGCGAAAGCGGCCTTGCTCGTTGCAGATGCAGATCCCTTGCCGGCCTGCGCAACGTTGATGTTGTCCTCATCTTCGTCATCCTCGGGAGGCGGCGGAGGCGGAGTTTCGTCCCCGTCATCGATCTCGTCCGCATGCGGACCGCCAAGGCCAGCTTTGCCCGCATCTGGTAGTTGCGGCATAATTGAACATCTATTTCAATTTCAAATAAACAGTTGACCAGAACAAGATCCGGGTAATAAAACAGAGCATCAAAGAAAAACAGAAACGGCGAAAAGCAATGCAAGGACAGTTCGGAACTAGAACGAGGACGAGACGCAGACTGCTTCTGCTACTTATTCGATTATAATTTCTGTCAGTACCCTTCTCTGTTGCGGGGCGCAACTTCGCCGCCCAGGAGGACGCGGTAGTGTTCTGGTCATCGTTGAAGGAGAGTTCGGAGGGCTGCAGCATGGTGGACAGGTCTTCGGTGACAGCGACCACCTTTTCCTGCTGCTGCTCGTTGGGCAGACTGGGGAAATCTTCGAGCTTCGGCACGGTTGTCTTCTTCGCCTGTTCCAAACTCGGGTCGAAAAACGTCCGCGTCACTGTTGCAATTTTTTGATCAATGCAAAAAATTCTAGAGTCACTGCAGCATCTTCAAAATATTTCATTTTCAACAAACCAATGTGATCCAATGTCGAAATCGAATTAATTATCAGATCCAAACGCTCTTTATCCTTTTCTGATCGTTGTTGAGATGATAGTACTAAACATAGAGGAATAAAGTACCACCGCTCTTGCGGCGCTGCTTGTCCTTTGTCGAAGACTTCTGGTAAGATGTCGAATCGGCGTGGACGTTGGAATTTCTTCTGGAGTATGCATTGCAAATATGTCGGGGTCTGGTGGAAGGGTGGAACTTGTAATGCTAACTTTCCAGATACCATGGCTGATGGCACTTAGGATGAAGGGGGCAGTCCTCAACCAATACACATTGGGAGAGGGGACCCCAACCCCCTGGGGGTGAAGAATCGAGGGTGGCATTCTTAACTTTCCACACCTAGGAAATCTGTATTGCATAACCTACAATAGTCGCAGCCTCTTTTGTACATGCAAACGCGCAGTTTCTGATGCGGATTGTCCATGAGAAAGCGTTCTGGAAAGTTGTCATGCCAGGGCGCATTCGCGACTGTTTCCATCATTCACATTTTAGCATCACAAGTTTCCAGACCCAGGCATATTTGCATTTGATATCGAGCCGGGATTTTTGGCGCTCTCCTCGTTCCCGCCGTTGGACACCATCGACGGTCGCTTCTTCTTTTTCTGCGCACTCGGGCTGAGCTCGTTCAAAATGGTCTCCATCTGGCGAAGGATGTTCTTCTGCCGCTTCAATTCCTCCGCTGCCTGCCACTCCTTGCGCGCCTGCTCCACCTCTTCCACGAGGCCCGGCTTCTGCTTCAGCTTGTCCTTCTGCAACTCCTCCAGTTGCTCTCCCTTTTCAATCCGCTCCTCGATCTTGCGGATTTGCAGGAGCTTCTTCTGCAACTTCAAGAAGTGCTGTTCCTCGGGCAACTTTGTGGTTTGCTTCTTCTCAGCACTGCTCCCAGCGGCGACCATACCACCTGGGGAAGAGAGGAAATGTGCTTTTTGCTTTTGAATATCTCAGTTGGAAGGGTTTGCATCTAGTTGTTTGACTCGCAAAGGCGCATACAAATAATATAATGACCGTTCCCATGATGCGGTTGACTGCGAATGCATCCAATATACAGCTAGTAAGCACCGAGGGGTACTACTAATGCCAACTAAGCATCATCAAATCGAATATCGGACAAATAAATGAAAATTTTTCGCCGCGTGTACTTTTCTTGCTTTCCAGCTGCTTCTGCTTCTCACGTTCCGCTCGCCAGGTCTCCAACGCAGCAGCTTCGCGCTCCTGTCTGGCCTTCTCCCTGCGCTCCGCTTCCTCCTTTGCATCCACCACATTGGCGCTGTCGACGACGCCGTCACCCGATTTGGAAACTGGTAGTGTTGTCACAGTTTGGAGCGAATATTCGAACTTCTAGAATCAACGCTGCTCGTCAAGCCGTGCCATGATCATGCTGCATCATCATCATGAGAAAGAACACGTCGAAAACGAAATATCGAATGATTTAACTCATCACATCTTGATGTTGATACGATAGGAGAACGTACACCAAAGTATTATAGTAAGTACCAGTATCCAGATTTTTGCTCGTCACGAAACCGTCCTCGCAAAAGTCTCCCTCGCCCTCGATAACTTGATCGACCTGATGATGATGAATTATAAAGGACGTCCAAGGAATCAAGTTGGTCAAATTGTTGGAATCAAGTTGGTAACTGGAATCAAGTTAAATGGAATCAAGTTGGGTTCTGGAATCAAGTTGACTGGAATCAAGTTGGGTCCTGGAATCAAGTTGCGTGGAATCAAGTTGGTCCCTGGAATCCCATTATGTGGGATCACATTGAATGTCCTGTTTCCCGTTTCCGCCAGAAGCACTGCCCATCATCCCCACTGCCAAACGTTATTCACCACGCACGGCCCGTCAGGGAGCCCGGCATGCCCAGGGCTCCCATGCGTAGCGCGCCTCTTCCAAAGGTGCGGAGAGCTCTCCTAGATCCCCCCGGGGCGGCAGGCATCTCCATCTGCTCTCCCGAGGAGAAAAAATAAAATTGCAGCCCTGCCGGCACCAGCGGAATTCAATTCCTGGCTTCACGGAAGGCAAAACCTCGGGTCTCCCCAGAAGGGAAGGCTCCATGCTTCGGGCCCCCCGCCTACCTTTACAGAAGGCTGGCCCGCCTTCCGAGGACGGGCTATGCATGTTCCGGGGCCCCGGGGCGTGGATGTGACAAGGCCCCGGGACGAAAAAGAAAAAACCCGGGGCCCCCGGCGCAAAAACTGTAAGCACACGCGCGCAGCCTCCGACAGCGGCAAACTTGCGCGCCCCGAAACCGAATCCAAAACGCCTCGGCGAGCCCGGGCACAGAAACACCCCGAACAGCCCATGTCGCGCAGGAGGTGTAAATAAGCTCGGGCCATTCATCAATCTGGAGTCGATGACGAAAGCTTCGCGCCAGCCAGGAAGTAAACAACTCAGAGTCCCTCGAGAGGCAACCAAGCTGCGGACCTTCCGCCGGGGAGAGACCCGCCAGAGCTTGCGAAGGCGAGACATCTGGGGCTGCCGAAGCCAAAGAAGCTTCGGGGCCTCCGAAGGTGAAGGCTTCGGCGCTTCCGAAGGTAAACGCCCCGCCGGATCTCCCCAAGGCGAAGGGGCCAAGGTTGGCAAATGCCAAACACCTGACTGAGGCAAAGCCTCGGCCCCTTAGAAGTGCTGCAGGCGGAAACCCCGGACACCGGGAAGACAAGATGGAACTCCCAGAGATGAGATCCCTGCCAATCCCCAAAGATTCCTTCCGAAGGGGGCGAAATAGAATCCCCGGAGAGACCTGCCGAAGGGCAAGGGAGGCGAAATGGAGGCCCCCGAGACACCTTCCACAGGAGGGCGAAAGGGAGTTCCCTGAGACCACCCTCCGCAGGAAGGCGAAACGGAATCCCCCGAGACTGACACCATCCCCAGGAAGGCGAAGTGGAAACGGAATCCCATGCGCAATGGGTCTCCCGAGAGGAGGCGAAACGGGAATGTAACTCCGAGAGGGACGGATGGATCTTCCGAGGGAAGGCGAAATGAAGACGGAATTCCCAGAGACACACCCCTTCCGAGGGAAGGAGACACAAATGGAATCCCGGGAACTTCGCAAGGCGAAAGTGGAATCCCGTCCTCGCAAAAGTCTCCCTCGCCCTCGATAACTTGATCGACCTGAAAAGCAGAAGATATTTTTTGTGGGAATGACGAGCTTCTTTTTTAAGCGCCGCCGCGGCTCGGTCGAAACACAAACAGAAACATATTCTGAAGTCGAACCAGATTAGCACTTTCATATCCATTACCACGTCTTCCACTGCCTCCTCGTCCCAGAACTCTTTCAGCAGATCCTTGTCCTGCGCACTTTTGTTCTTCTTTTTCGCGGATCGCTTTTTCTTTTCCGTTGCAGATTCGACATCCTGAGCGGGGGTCGCCACCGCTGGTGCAGCGGCAGCACCAGAAACGACTACAGCCGGAGACGTTCCCGGTGTCTCCTGGCAGGAACTCTTGGCGGCTTTGTTTGATGCGGAGACGCCCCGCTTGGACGTCTTGCCCTTAGCCGGAGACACATTCTTCTCGTCGAATGCCAGTTCTTGTCGTGCTCGCTCGCCAGCGCGACTCGCGGACCGCGACCGGGACACTGGTGTCAAGTCGGTTGTAGTCTTGTTGTCCGAGGCTCCAGCACCGTCGACCGATTTGACAGTCGTGGACGTCGAGAGGAGAACCTTCGTAGTTCCCGAGCTTTCCTGCTGCTTCTTCGCATATTCAACGACACGGGGATCCTCAAGGTCATCATCCTTACGGCCCTTGCGCGCACAGCGCTCCCGCAACTCGTGTTCCTGGGCCGGCAGCGGCTGCACCTTGTTGAGGTTTCGTTGTTTTGATTTTATTTCTATATTTTATCATAAAAATTAAGCGACCACATAGATGTAGAAGCCACTCGTCTGAACCTATCCATCGTTTTTATATCATGTTGGCTTTTTTATTTGTAATGTTATATACATCTACATTCACCTACTTGTACTTAGTTTATTTTTGCAGGAGCACGGTGATGCTGTACAAGTTGCGAAAAGCTGCAAGAGCAGTCAACGAAAGAAGAAGAACATACCTTCTCCGCCGTCGAACATGGTCCGATCGTTGAACTCTGCTGCTCCACCTCTAATCCATCAACACGCGTCTTCTTGCCAGTACTATCCGCTGCTTCCGGGGCCTTCTCTTGTTCGGTGTGCGTGGTCTGTTCTTGCAGTACTAGCAATTGTTGTTTCTTTGCGGCCTTCTTCTTTTCCTTGATCTGATCCATGCGCTTTGCCCACTCCTTGGCTTTGGTCAGTTTGTCTTTGTCACCGCTTGTTTTCGAGGCTCCACGACCGAGCAGCATGTTTTTGCCACTCACAGCAGCACGGGCAACCGACGCAGAGAGTGAGGACGAGGCCGAAGAAAGCTTCCGCAGGAGGCTAACCTGCTCTACTCCTGCGTCCGGATGTTGATCTGCGTTCGATGTGGTACTATTAATGCAACCAGTAGTTGCAGCCTCACTTGCTCCATCCTGACCTTGCTCCGGCACGGTAGTTGTACCAGGACCGGCACTGGAAGTAGTCGCAGGATTAGTTGCACCTTGTTCACGACCGACGGCAAGAACTCCGGTCTTCTGTCGTTTGTTCGCAGCAACCACCTCCACTCTGTCCGTCCACTGCACAAAGCGCCGATACACTTGGGCGACCCAGGCCACAGTGAGAAACACGAAGACCAGCTTTCGTGTGTCGGATTCCATCAGATCCAGCGCCAGGGTTTATGAGAGTGCCTAACTCGTCCCACGCTCGTCCCTCATTTGGATGGCAACAACTTTATTTCTGCAGCAATTTAAAAGCGCTGACACAGAAACAGTAATAGATGCAGTGCCCGCATGACAAATTCACCACGACCGATTCTAGTAGTGCTGTTTCGCCTTCGGACACCTGTCTGTCAAGCAGTGCCAAAGGGCAGAGGGTGGCGGTGGATTTGGCATTTTGCAGCATGACAAATGAGACGAGGGAAACAGAGGGACGAGTTGTGCACTCTGATAGGGTTTGCTCGAGCTTCAAGAGGCAGAGGCAGAAGACGTACCCGACGAGTTCTACGCGACCGTACCCGTGCAAAAGCGCATCGTGCACAAAGGAGAACGGCTCCGCCCCGTCCACATGAACAAGGTCCTTGTTCTTCAACGAGGAAGCTGCACCGGCCAGCGTAGCAGACGGGACCACTACACCCCGCTTCGACAGTTGGGCCGCCCGCCGATGGTGCTGTAAACCGGGAGACCCGCCCAGCATCTTGTTGTTGATCGTCGACGCCACTTTATTATTGCTCATGTTCTTGTTCGCTAGCGGAGCAGTAGCGGTTGGTTTGGTTTTCGACCGGTCGTGCAAGACCGAATCGAAATCTGCCTTGCTCGTCATGGCCATGATGGCCAAAAAAACAACGCTAGGACGAAGATTGCTGACTAGTCCTCTTTAGTTACAGAGACACGAGGCACGGAGGTCTGGCTGCTCTACGAGTATTACCTCGCAAACGCAAAGGAAAGGTGGAGAACGCAATGGGAAAATTGACGCGGTCCTCACAAGCCTCGTCGGTTGCTGCTCCCGCAGTTCTACTTTGTTCCTCTAGTACTCGTCGGTGTCGTCGAGAGAACTACTTACTGTGCCGGCAAATCTACTCGCACGGGTCGGGAAGCTGTTGGAGGATTTTTGCAGAAAGTAAATCAAAACTGGCAGCAAATGTGCGGCGAGCGTAAAGAAAACTGCGACCCCGATACTGGCAGCCCGTCGGCGGAAATGTTCGTCCACCACACTCCGGAAACGTTCACTGGCTCTGACTGCGAATGAGATCAGGTGCAATTCGTCGCACATGCACTCAAAATATCAGTACTTACACCGGGGGGCGAAAGATGTTGTTCGGGTCTTCTCCTGTGTGAGCTGAGCGTGCTGACCGTCTTCACGAAGAGCAAAGATTTAAAGAAACCAAGCGGGCAACAAGCAAAGGGGTTTCCGCTAGAAGTGGAATCTAAATCTGTAAGACCCGGTCAACACAAAAATTCGAGGTTAGACGCAATGCTTGCAGAGACGTGCTTTGAGGACATTTGATTTGAGTTTTCGTTTTGCAAACACAATATAGAAAAAGATTGAGTTTTACGACAGACAAAAGATTTCTTTGGAGGACTATCACTTTTATAACAAGCCATTTTTTGAGAAACTCTCCTTCTCAACCATGGTCATGGATTCAGAAGTTTCAGTTTGCTCGCCCTTGCAATCAATACCCGCAGTTTTGCTTTTGCAAGACCTTGTTTTGGCGTTTTACTTCGTACAAAATTTTCGTATTTAAACTTTCCGCCTTTTTTGGTTATCTTTGTCTTCCTCCTCTCTCCCATTCAATATTTTCAGCGCTCGGTTTAGCATACAGACCGTGCTGAAGATCCCCCCCGAAAGAAAGGCCCGCACGAGGCAACACGAAAAACATTTTCAATGTGGGAAACACTACTGCCCGCGCACCCAAAATATAGGTGGTTTCCGCTTGCGAAGCAGTTCAGTTATTGGCGCGTCGTGGTTGCGTCTCATGATTGATACCTCTTTAATCTTTATCTTTTGTTAGTTCGTGTAATCAATGTCGCTAGTTGTGTTGCATGCGGAAAAAGAAAAAAAGATATCGGTAAAAATGCAGCGCAATTTTCATATTCAATCTGTCGATGTTCGGATTCGAACGCAAAATATCTTCCAAGTCGACCCCAATTGTTCCGAAGGGCATTTAATACCACTGAATCTTCATGCCAAGGACCAAAAAACACCTTCTCTTAGCTCAGCCATGATGCTAGTGCCCTACCCTGATGAAGCCAACTGTCGTCTGAGAATAATTTGTGTTGCCGATAATGCCTACATTCCAAGTTCAGGAACTTTTTCTTACCTTTGATTGTAGTTAGATTTTTAGCCAGTTTGCCCGAAGTAAATGGAGATAAGTGATCCTCTTTTTGGGGAAAATTAAGCTTTTTTTACGCAGGAAACAGATGGAAGTCGAAAGTGTAAATTTGCTTGCTTTGTTGTATTTTTGTTTACCTTATATTCTTACAGCCAGGAATTTCAGCGCTTTTCAGGGACAAGAACAAATTGACGCCGTGGCCGTGGCTGATGCGACTACACTTTTACACATTCAGTGTTACTCGTTAGTACAGAAGAAAACTAGCGACAGCACGTTGCTCATATTACTCACGACTAAGCGTACTACGTATGAATGTGAGACTGAGAAACCGGAATGGACAAAATCAAGAACTAGCAGCGGGGGCTGGATTTGAGTTTTCAATCAGTGCTATATTCTCGTTGTCTCTTGCCTTCAGGAAACAATAAAAAAGCATGAAGTACTCTACGCCGAGACTTTCACAAAGCCACCATCATCAAACACAAGCCCGAATCTGGCAAATGGATTTGCGCGTCATTTAGGTTGTCGAGCATACTTTTCGACTTCTTGCAGCTAAGTAAGCACTTGGCGGAGTAAGTCCTATCTCATGATACTAGCAGTCGCAAAACCAGCTCCAACACTTGCAGAAACATGAAGCATAAGCTGCAATGCTCTTCAACTACTATTGCCCCTAGGAGTAGCTTGTTCGTTGTGCTGCTGCGAAGGTGTAGTGGGAAGAATTCTTTTAAACCCGACGCCGCGCAGAACGCAATAGTTTTTTTGGCAGGTCGGATCCGCCTGCCGCTGAACAATTTCCACCCAATATTTCCTCTCATCCCCAACCTTGTCCTCCAAAACACAAGTTCTGGCCTGATCTTGCTGGTTCTTCTGCAGTCGGGCATCGCTGGTGCTGAGCATGCCTCTCCAATCGGTTATGTTCAGAGGAGAACCCGTTAGAAGCTTACCTCGCAATATCCTGGTGCTGTCGTTAGGATCTCGAAACTCGAAGCACAGGTGGTTCTTTTCGCGGTCATGCTTTATAAAGTCTGCATGAACTTGCTTCTTGAACAGTTTGGTCTGGTACTCCTCGTCGGATATCGTCTCATTATATTTCGGACTTTGCTTCAATTTTTTGCTCAGTATTTGTTCGACACTCGTCACCAGTGCCGCAGAGGGTTCTTCTGGGGGTTCTTGAAGTGGCTGGGCTGCCTTTTCCTGTTTTGGCGATGGCACAGATGCTTGTAGGTGGTCCCCCTCCCGCAACTTTGCTTTTGAGCCATGAGAAAGTGGGTAGCCATCGATCGAATTACCGTCAACGTCGTCTGAGCCCGAAACGTCGTCCGGTGCTGCATCTGCCAACACCAGAGAAGATGATGGCGTCTGCACTACTGCGCTGAGCACCGCTGCGGTAGAAGACGAGCCGAGGGGGGTCGTAGTTCCATGATTGTCGCAAGAGCCAAGCATATTAGCACAACTGCTTGTTGCACCTCCGCTTGAAGATGAAGATGAAGATCGAGCGCCCAGGACCGGACTCGCACCGGGCAGACCTCGCTCTTTCTTAATTCCGTCCAAAGCATGCATCAGCAAATTCTTTCCAGCCTCGGCCTTGCGGGCCTTCCGTTTTTCCTTTTCGGGATTGGACCAGTTTACATCCCACGCAGCATTATACGCCGGTCGTTTGTTGTTCCCCAGCTTTATTGTTTTTCCGGCCGTCTGCGTCTCAGAGGTCCTCCGTTGTTCTTCCACCAGCGAGTCATTCTTCTGGCTTGACTGCGAATTCATCTCCACCGTGGTTGCTGGAAGATCAGCAGGGGATTCTTGTCGCGAGGGGGCCTGCTCAGGAACGTCCACGTGCTTTTGATTTTCAACGTCGACGTACTCCCGCGAGCTACAGCTGGCGTCTTGTTCCTGTCGCGGTCCTCTTGACGACGTATCGACGACGATGTCCTGGTTGTGGCCGGAATCCTGTTGTACTAAGGGCTGACTGGAAGACGAAGACGAATCGTTCTTGCCCGAGCTCAGAAATGCAGCTGCATCCGCGCCCAGCAACAAGCTCTCCCCATCTATTCCCTGCGCGCGTTCTTCTTTGGCTGGCACTGCGCTTTCATCCGGTTGCGGCACCTTTTGGTCTGGATTTTTTGCTCCTTCGCTGCAGACCAATGGTAGCTGCACGGAATTGTCGTGGTTTTCGTCTTGCACAACGACGGAGGACAAGCACTTGATGTCCACAGATGACACAGAAGCTGCAGAGACATGTTTCATTTCATCATGATCCACAGCTTGAAGATTCGACGGACCTTCCGTTTCTATATCTTGCTCTTGGCTTTGACTCCTCGTAGAAGCTGGGGCGTCGACCTCGTCCTCTCTCATCTCTACACCAGCCTGGTCGCAGACGCGCTCGACGGCTCCCTGCAGTTTCTCGTCAGCATGAAGTGACTGAGCGGCCACGGCAGGTATCATCTTTATGTGTAGCTCGGTCTGCTTCTCATCTGCGCCGATCCTTTCTTTCGTCACGCACGTGTCGTCCTTGCTACCTGTCGGAAGATCGTGCGCCTGCGGAAGCTTGTTCATCGGTTCCTGCAGAGGGGATTCCTGTACATCGGCTCCTGCGTCTTCATTTTCTGCAGTAATCACACCAGGGAGCTTCTTGTCGCATAACTCTTGCTCGGATCGCGGCCGCTCGGGCTCTACTTTTTCTGGAATGGAATGTAGGTGCTCCGACATTGGACTCCTGCTCGCTTTACCAGGAAGAGGAGCTTCGTCCTGCAGATCATCTTTTTTTACGTCTATGTCGACCGCTGTCACAGACGAAACCTCAGTGGTGTTCGGGAGAGCGGCAAGCGAAGCTTGCTGTTCGACGCTCCGCCTTATCTTCTGATCCTCTCCTACTATCTCTGCGTCTACCCTACTTCCACCTGCTGGCGGCGCTGAATTCGTGGTCAGGTCGTCGTGGTCGTTTTGGTTATTTTCTACAGGTGGCAGTTCTGTCGCAGCGGCACGGTCCGCCACGTCTTGGGAAGGTGCAGGCATTACAGTTGTAGTCTTTGCGAGCGGGTCGGCTGGCATCGCCGCAGCAGAATCACTTCCATTAGGTGGCCCCGACGTTGTTGAAGATGATCCTGCAGGAGAAGAACCCGGAAGTGGGCCCCCTTCCGGTGCGTTTGCGACACAAGAGGTGGCGGATGTTGACGTAGCATCTGGCACAGGTAGAGTAGTTTCAGGCCCGGCGTTATGAGCGCAGGTTTCCGGGTCCTCGTGTGCAGCTGGCGCATCAGGCGCCCCGGAAGCAGAGGCTGGCGCTATTATTTGTTGCGGCTCCTGCAGTACAGCGCCGTCGCCACTCCGACTGCTGGTCGCAACATTTTGCTGGGGTTTTGCTTGTTGGCGCAACATCAGCTCTTCATTGCGTTTTTGTGCCTTTTTTTCCTTGTACGCGTCGGCTCTTTGTGCTGCTTTCTCCTCTAACCATGCCACAAAGTACTTCTGCGCGGCACTACCGATGAGCAGATCCTCCAAGTTTATTTTGTTCAGGTCCTTCTTGTTCTTTCTTATACGTTGAAACGTTTGAAACTGCCTGCCAAAGGGTGTTGCCACATCTGTGTTGTAGTTCATGAAATCCGAAACTTTTGCAATAATCTGCTCCGCTCCTTCGCCGGGCTTTTTCATCTGTCGCGGCTTCAATACCTCCTCACCCAGGTACTGCGCTTCGCGAAAGATTCGGACCATGTTCTGAACCTTGCTCCTCGTTTCTTGGCCTTTGTCGACCCGGAAAATCTTTTGCGACCTCTCATCGATTCCTTTCACCTTCCAGTAAGCCAAGTGCGCAGGGTCCTGCGACTGCAACACCTGCAAATCCGTCTCGCGATCTGGATCCCGGTCCTGCGGATGTAGCGGCGCAGCTTCTTCTCGATTGCTTTCATCTCCTGCACTCCTGCTTCCTTTGGCGGACGACGCCCAGCACTTCGCGCCCCCTAGCGCGGTGCCGGCGATGTCGACGTGCATAGGAAAAATTTCGCATTTCGCGAAGTAGTACTCGAGCCCGATCCGCAAAGAATAGATTCCGTGGCCAGATTTTGCCTTATCATTACAGCCCTTGAGTGAGATGGTACGGGCCCAAGTCTTCGACGAAACAAGGCACTCGAGGACTTCCGCCAACTTTGTATCCGACAGGTGCACGTTGTAGGATAGGTCCAACATGTCGATGCTGCGGTATCAAAGTGAAACGATCATCCCCCGCTCAAGCATAATCGATCCTACAAGACATCATCTCATGCATGATTGAATCTTAAAAAGGGGCGGCAGCTGTAGCGCATGCACTTGCATTTGTCATGACATCCAGATGCAAGAGCTGCGAAATTCGTCACGCAACTTCAAACTTGGACTTGCTGCAAACGAAAACATAAAACAACTTTACTAGAGTGATGTTGAGCAGCACTCATTAGTGGACGAAGTCGAAAAATGATGCTACAACACCGTTCTTCCACTGAAGATGAGGTGCGGGGAAGGAGGTCTTGTTCACTTTGATAAGTAACCGTCTTGGTCCTTCGCAAACGCCTTCCCCTCGGTCTGCAGGAAATCGCGCAACAAATCGCACCTCAGAGCCTCCCAGTCTGCAAGACGCAGGGTGATCCCTGTTCGCCAGGTTGGCTGCGGCTGTGGTCCATCCTCCTGGGGGTTTGAAATGCTTGTCGGAGGTGATACAACACGGTAGCAGCTTTGTTTCCAGTTTGCAAGGGCGCTTTCGCGTTGATGTGCAGTTTGACTGATCAGTCCTGGACCAAGCGAGGCCGAGCTTGTCTGAACTTTATTTCCACTTGCAGCACCTGCTCCCGCACCGGCGGCGATCTTTGTAGTTCCTTCCGTCTTTTGGTCCTTTTCGGCTGCGTCATCTAGTCCGGTCTGGTCCTGCTCGTGACCGATCTTCAGTGCTGTCGCTTTGCCGTCTCCTGTGGCACGTTTTCGACCTTTCTTCTTCGCTGGTTCGGCCTCGTCTTCTGACGCGTTTGCGGCGGAACCGCGATTCTGGTCCAGGGGCAGCGTGCCCATGAACTCACGCTGACGTTTCATCCTTGTACTACTCACTTCCGGCTTTTTGTTTTTGTTGAGCAGCTCCATCGTGTCTGCCAGAACCGACTTAATCTCTTTCCCGCCGCCTTCCTGGCCTGCCAAATACTTTGTCATTCCTCCCGAGCTCGCGTACTCTTTGTCCTCTTTAGGAACCGTGGTCTCATTGCGCTTCTTCTTGTTCGCTTCGCCAGGCGAGGAAGGCGAAGGCGCGCCAGGACTTCCTCGTCTAGTTTGATCATGTTGCTGCGACGACGAGCTGCTGGAACCGTGCGCTTTCCCGCTGTGTTGAAGCTGATGGTGTGGCGCGGTACTACCCGCAGCGTGTGTGCCTCCGCACGTGGTGCTTTCCGGTGACCAACATGCCTGCGATTGTTCTAGATTCTGCGGACCGAGAGACCCCTTTTTCGGTTTTGCCGCGTCGCCCAGCAGTGATGAAGATGCGCCCTTCATTAGTTGATGCGGCGGTCCGGCAGGGGACGGCTGCAGCAGATGCGGATAGATGGGTGGCATCTTTTGTGCATACAGAACACCGGGGTTACCCTTCATCATGGGCGTATGTGCGGTTGCCATGCTCGGCGGGTTCATGCCACTCGTGGTCAAGACCGGGTTGTTCATGGTGTTGATGAAGTTGCCAGCACCCTTGCCCATCATATTAACGGCTTCCTGCAACTTTTGAGCAGCGGCGGTCTGCATAACCCTCATCGCGGCCGTTACTTGCGGAGGTGGCGGTAAAACACCTGTAGCTCCAACACCTCCGCTAGGACGACCCGCGAAATGTTGTGGGGGGCTCGCAGCGGGGTTGAGTCCCGAGCTTGGCGTTCCTGGGACAAGCTGTTGCTGAAAAGGCTGCTGCACCACCGCAACGAGACCATGCGAGGACGGGGTTGATGCCGTCTGTGGAGCGTGAACGGGCGGCCCAAAGCCTGTTGTGGTCCGTTGCTTCATTGGCCGACCGACTGTGCCCCGGGGTGATGCCAGCATCATGGCGCGCTCGATGAATCTGTCCTTGTCGTTCGCTGGTGCGCCTGGGGTCTGCACTTCTCGTTGATCCTGCTCCTCGCAGTCCACCGCCTCCGGTTTCGTGTGAAGCAACTCCGTCGCGCGCTTGTCATAGCTGTCGCTCACGCTCTTTAACTTTCCCAGGAGGTCCGGGATCGAAGGAAACACTTTTGTAGAAGTGCCAGCGGACTCGGCACCGGGACCGGGAGCCGCGTCAGGTTTCGTTTCTTGTTCATCGTGTTTGATGCGCCGGTCCTTCAACTGTAATTCCTCGGTTGACGCGTGCTCTCCTCCGCGTGTTGTTCCGCGCTTTTGATCGTCGCGTTCTTTGTCAGCTTTATCTTTGTTCGGGCAGTAGTTTTCGTCTCCGCTACAACTGCTACTGGAAGCAGGCTGCTCATCCCCTGCTGGCTTGGAACGGCGCTCTCGTCCGCCTTTGCCCCGATCCATCTGTGCTTGTTGCGGCCTATCGCGTAAGTTCTTTATCGGTGGAATGACGAATTCACTGCTGCTACCACGCTCTTCCCGGGTTCGGACGATATTGTTTTTGTTCCCCTGTCTTTCTTCGGCCCGCCGCGGCCGAGGAAGCTTGGATGCATCAACGATCTTCTCTTCTTCATCCACCGAGCCGTCCAGTTTTGACGACCTCGTGGTCTGTTGTTCCTTTTCGTTTTTACTGGCTCGACTCCTCCGACCAGCAGCACCTCGACGCGATGATGAGGACGAGGACGAGTCGGATGACTCCTGGTCGTTCTTCCTGTCTCGCTTGCCGCGGTCTTTGGCATCACGACTTTTCTTGTCAGCACTCTCTACACGCTGTTGCTGTTCTGTACTGCGCCCCTCTCCGTCCTGCTGGTCGCCGCGAACTCCATTCCCATTCGGCCTCGTTGTTCGCGCATTGCCACCAACTTTGTCCTTGTTCTTCTGGGCACCATCGGGGACAACATCTTCGGCGCCATTCGCTCGCACTAGCTCTCTCTTAGTTTCGGGAGACGTCGTTTTCTTGTTCTTGCCGTTGTCCTCCCGGTTGTTATTATTTTTGTTCCTGTTCGCAGCACCAGTAGCACCTCCACCGCGTTGCGCGCCGCGATCTCCGCGGCGCTCCTGGCTATGGCCGCGGTCCCGCTTGTTTCCTCGGTTTCGCTCATTATTACCTCGTCGTCGAGAGTCGTTGTTGCGACCGCGGTCTCGTCGAAGGGACCCTCCGCGGCGCTCGCCTCGTCCACCGCTTCGATCCCGCCCACGCCGACCGCCCGATCGGTTTCTTCGGCCGTCTCGATCCCCTCTTCCGCGACTCCTGTCCCGACGCCCCCGGCCTCCGCGCCGGCTGTCGCCACGTGGTCTGCTTCGGTTTCGCGAGTCGTTACTCCTTGCCCTGCCCGGACTTCGGGAGCCGCGACTACGCGACCTGCGACTTCGTCGCCGCTCCCTCCTGCGGCCGTTTGCATTGGAAGAATGTCCATAATAATCTTTAGACGACTCAGACTCGTCCGAACTAGACTCATTTGAGGTGCAACTTCGCTGGCCCACCGAGGATCCCTTACTGCGCTGCCGCGACCGCCCATGCTTCTTATCATTTCTGTTACCTTTATTGTCGTCCGTTCCCTTTCTGCCGTTAAGGTTGGATGCGCTGCTGTTTGGATTATTTCGCGAAGTGTTGGCCCCTTCATTCTTTTTTGGCGCGTTGTGTGGCTCCTGCGCGTTTGGTGAGGTTGTGTTCACTTTATGAGACGCAACATCCTCGGGACTCGTCGTTTTGCTTGCACCATGATCCTGTTTCTCATCTTGCTGCTGGCCCTTTTTGCTGCCTATCTGCTGCTGTTGATGTTGGTTCTTGTTTTTTCCCGACGCGTTGTGTGCGTTTTTCGCAGATTCATCCCTGTGGCGTTGATTTTGCGTCTGCGGTTGGAAGAACCAGGCAGAGCCCGGGGCTTGCGGTTCCGGCTGCTTGCTCGGAGGCGCCGCACCACTGGACTTTGGAAAGGAGCCCGCCGGTATCGGCGAAGTCTTCATCTTGGAGTCGGCACCTATTGGGAGTTGCAGCTGCTGGTACTGCGGAGCTGCATTTGAACTCGAGGAAGATGCCACTTCGCGACCAGCGGAAGACGTCGCAACTAGCTGCACCGGCACAGCCGGTGGAGGAGGCGGTGGCTGTACTGGTGCAGACGACGCAATTACGGATCCTACAGGCACCGGTCCTGGTCCTGCTGGTGGTCCTACGGGTACGGGTAGTATGGGTAACGACTTGATTGCAGCGGGTGGTCCTACAGGCAGCGGCGCCGGTCCTGCTGCTGCTCCTACGCCTCGTGTGGGAGGTGATGATGCCGCGATTACAACGGGAGCTCCGATAGGTAGCGGCGCCGGTCCGGTTCCTGCAGCTGCTCCTGCACCTCCTCCTCCTCCGGGAAGATTTTGCTTGCTTTGCTCGCCGCCTTTTTCTTTCTGGAGTTTCTGCGCTTCGAGCTTCCTTTTCTCGATCTTCACTTCGAGTTGCAGCTTGTGGAACTGCTTCGTCTCATCGTCTAGAATATCTTGAATGATATCACGCTCGATTTGTTCGGTGGTCGCGTCTTGCAGTTTGGCCTCTGCTTCCTTTATGGAGCGCTCGAGTTCCTTCAGCTTCTTCTCCTTTTCATCAATGCGTGCTTGACCGGCCGACGGAGCAGGCGCCGCGGCTGCCTCTGCCGGCGAAATTTCCAGCGCTGGTGGAGGTGGTGGAAACACAAATGATCTCTGCTTTTGCCCATTTCCGTGGAGTCGGCTGCGGTCGCCATCAGGACCTGTTTTCTGATTCTGCGCCACCTCGGCATCAAACTTCCGCTGGCCGTGGTCTCTGGCGTAGTTGTTACCCCTTCCGCGACTATCGTGTCCTCGCGCATGATCTCGCTCGGGCTGGCGCTCGTCTGCTCGTCTCATGCTGGCGTCAAAGTCGAACTTACTGGGAAAGGATCGCTCTGGTCCTTTTCCTTTTTTGCCCAAAGCCTCGTACTCATCCCTTCGTCTTTGTTCGTCGAAGTCGAATCTACCGTCGCGCAGCGACAGCGGGATATCGGCCTTGCCAGACGCTGCTTCACCGCCCTTCTTGCCAAAGTTTGCGGATCCAGGGTCGTTCGACGGCCCCCATTTCTTTCCACCGTGCTGCCCTTTTTTGCCCTTGCTCCACGACTGGTAGTAACTAGGGTCCTCGTGGTGATCTTCAAGCCCTGCGAAAGGTTTCAATTCCGAAGAAGGCCCTGGTCCGTCGTCGTCGGGTACCAATTTCCTCCACACATATGAATTCATTTCGTGTGACCAAACTTCTTCATAGTCGTGGCCCCCTTTGCTAGTGTGGTAAGAACCACCACCTTTTGCACCATGCTTGTCGCCGGGATAGGCATGCTGTTGCTCCATCGGATAGCCCGCGTGGTCTTTGCCTGCTCCGTGCATCATCTGCATTCCCTTGCTCCCGCCGAACTTCCCGCCTTTCTCCCAAGGAGGATGCATCTGTCCTCCCTTGAAAGAATTCTCACCTTCGCCTGCCGGCGCTCCTGCTCCCTTTCCCTCGGAAAAGTTGGGGTCTTTGCCCTTGTTGTGCGGAAAGAGAGTAGGTGGTGGTCGTTTGGGTTTGACTATGTTGTAAGCCATACGTGAAAAGTTGCCGGTCACTGGGTCCCGTTTCCGGGCTAACTCCCACGTCTCGTTCCGCCACCAATACCATGCGTATGTTTGGGGTATCTCCCCTCGTGGGGTAGCGTCCGCTGGCCGATTATATGGACGGTATTGCGCTAGAAGCGACTCCTGCGTTTCTGTAGGAAATTTTTGAGGGACACATTGTTCACAATTGTGGCTCTATTTTGACGTGTGTCCGCAACCAGCAGATTATATATCGAGTTTGCTCGCGGACGCGGAATACACAGGCACACATGCTACGGCTGTGTAGTTCCAATATTAGCAGTGTCAGTGACTGTCGTCGTGACAAGGGGTTGGCATTTTTGGCTGCTGACTGGCCCAATCAACAGCCAATGCCACCCTGTTGATCTTGCTGTTCGAAGCCATATTTCAAAAAATAAAAAACGATCGTAGTATACAATTACAAAATACATCACGAGAAGATGGATCCTCTAAATACCTGGATGCTTGACGACGTGTTGGTGACCAACATATTCCGGCTTAAAGTTCTTATCATTGATTGTCGCCGGATCAGGCCATCCTGATCTATCCTCTTCCTCAGGTTGGGGCGGCAGTCGGGACTTCGTCGGGAGCGACTCCAATGCTGCGGCGGACAGGGGCTGCACTACCGGCCGGGGCGATTCTCGGGGTCCATCGGACCACTGATCAGCTGCTCGCGAAGCGCGTGTGTTGTCGACACTTATTTCTGCCGTGCTGCCATAACTCACGATGGCGGTGCTTGTCGTTGCAAAGGTTGGAGTATCCATCTCGTTCTTGAGGATGTTCTTGCTCGTCCTCGTTCCCCGGGTTCCGGCGTCTCTCTCCTTACTACTGCGCTCTTTCCGTTGGCTCTGTTCCACGCCTTGATCGGGGTGCAGCTCCGAAGCTTCAATCTCTGATTGATTCGCGGCCGCTTCTGCAGTAGCGACAGCGTGCTCCGTTTCTTCTCTCGTTAACGCAGGAACAGGGAGGCGCTTCTTCGAGCTTACGGCCGGTTGATTCGATGCTTCATCAACATCATCGGGAGCCAGCTGAAGGTCTTGTTTGGCTTTGGAACCTCCAGGCCCCTGCTCTTTGCCTTTGTGCTTCGTGCCGGTCGTAGTTACAGCTGCTCCACCTGCTGCGCTTGCTTTGACTCGTCCCGCTTTGGCTTTCGCTTTAGCCTTCGTCGCAGTCTTGTTTTTCGCGCTCTTCGGCCCCGCTTTAGCTTTATTGGTCGACGCCTTTGCATTCGCTTTGTTTTTTGCAGCAGCTCCCGCACCGTGCTTCGAAGTACCTCCAGGCGCGGGCTTTCGCACATTGCTTCCTCGTGCATTGTGCTTTTTTGCGCCGATTTCTCCATCTGCCTCGCCAGAAAATACGGACCCGGCTTCCGACCCCGACCCATCCTGTTCTTCTTCACTCTCGTCCTCATCATCCTGATCTTCTTCGCTGTCCTCCGCATCTTCGGGATTAGGATTAGCGACAGTCTTCCTGCTCACCATTCCCATTCGCGACGATGAGTTTGCAGCTCCTGCTCCCGCAGCTGCCCCGGCGCCCTTGCTTTTTCCCCCGGCATTCCTAGATGCTTTTCGTCGCTCACGCGCAGTTTGTGCCAATACAGCAGCCTTCCCACCACCGCCTCTGGCAGTCGCCTTGCTTCCCACCTTCGCTTTCGCTTTTCCTCTCGGGGCCGCGGCAGTTTCCTCCTCTTGTGAGGAAGGCACATAGTTGTCATCCGAGTCTTCTTCATCTTCGTCCTCCTCTTCTTCCTCCTCCGCGGCCGACTCCGAAACTTCAACCTCCAAGGGACCTTGGTCCATCACATCTTCCGCAGGTGCTGTCGCTTTTTTGGTCGTTGACCCTGAGGGCGGCGCTACACGACTTGCGGCCCCGCCCTGGGCAGCTCTACTTTGCTGTCGACCGCGCGGCCCGCCTGCTGCCTTCGACTGTGGTTTTGTCGTCGACTTCTTGTTCGCCGTCGTGTTCCTCTGCTTGCCAGTATTTTCCTCACTGGCGGCAGCACTTTTCGCCGCTCTCCACTCCTCAAACTCCTTCGTCCACTGAGGCAGGTAATCTGTGGTGCGCATTGTAAATAACGATAATCTCAGGATCGCTTTAAGTAGACACAACTACACGCATCTTCATCTTGACCTAGTACTCATGCTTGTCTATTACATACTTACATCGGTCATCATAATCAAAAGAATTTGGGCCGTAGCAGTAAGTGCTATACCTTCGTCATAATGCGCGGCCCCGGAGACCCAGAAAATGTCATTATCTTGCTTTTCCCTGTGCCATTCCGGCAAGTCGTTCGGGTCCAGCACGAGTTTCGGATCGGTCTTCTGACGCGTGCGCTCCGCTACGTCAAAAGGAATCTCGTGCGTTTCGGTGGGGCGCAGGTAGCAACGGAAGTAGATGCGGGCGAAGTGCTCGTCCTTGTCCAGCATGGTGTGCAGACACAACCCGTCCGCATACTCCACGGCTTCCTCGGCGAGCTCCTCATTCGCAAAGGTGACGACCACCACATCCTTCTGCTCGTTGTAGAATGCCGCGGTCACCACCTCGACAAAGTCCGGCACGATCGGCCCGGTCGGACCCCGTCGCTTGCCCCCATAGTCCTTAATAAGCTGCTCGAACCGCTTCCCGTAAAAGCACTCCTCAAAAAAGGCCCGGACCTGTGAAGGTGGAAAGCGATGATACGTTGGGAATTCTTGAAAATACACCAGTCCAAGTTCTTGATGCAACTGTTTTTTTTTTAGTACAACATCGTGGAGAACGCGACAAACGCTGAAAAAACTGAAGCGAACGTTTTTGGTTTTCGTTCATGCAGAAAGAACTTGTTGAAAAACCATCACAGCCGCCATGATTCCTTTTTTCCAACCAGATCCACGGGCAACAAAAGGCACGCGATATTTTTGATTTTGATCAACCCTGGTGGCGTCTTCATGCACAGCTGTCATGGCAATTGGTGAAGGTGATAGCGCTAGGCGAAGAGAGCCATCATCAACTCTCTGTGCGAGAACCTCTATTTATCGCCTCGACGTGGACGTCGTGCGTCTGCTGCGTCGACTTATTTAAGTTTGTATTTGTAATTTGTTCTCCTGTAGTACTTACAATACCTGCGTTGTGTGGTCACGAAACTGCTGTTTGTCGATTTTCGGCAAGATGTCAGCAGGAACCCAAACATCGCACATTTTGCTGCAAGCGGTCCTGGCTGTCGGAGGCTTTGCTCAAGGAGGACTCCCACAGCGAAGAGCTTGTTGTCCAATCGTGACCACGCGTAGTTTCGTGGTTTGTTCCAAATCCAATAGCCGCGGTTACATAACGATAACACCAGACGACCCAGAGGACGAGACTGCTTCTACTTCTGTAACCAAACTTTACGGAGCATTTCAGTAATTTTGTAGCTGCGATTCGATGAAATAATGAAAATCGGTTCGAGGCCGCGACGGGACTGCTTCATTTCAACTTGATGGCTCCACCTCGCCATGCTCGCGTCTTTCAGATTCGTTCCTCTGCGGATGAGATTAGGGTACTTATTTTCGCTCGTTCGCCGCAACACGCAGATCCAAAGCGAATTCTGGAAAGTTCAAGTCGGAGATATTCTTCAACAGCGTGGTGTAATGTGAAGGCACAGGCAGTCTGGTTGGATTCACACTGGAAACTCTATTCAGCTCCAGGTCGGTCCTCCTCGGAAAAACCTAAAAATACCCTCCGATCATGGCTCAAGAAAACTTCAGAAATGACACGTTCGCGGAAAGTAGTTGAAATCCAAATCAGAGTCAATAGCAATAATTTAGTGGTACAAAGAAATAAAAGGAAATCCCAAATCGACAAAATGGATCGATTTGAGACCTTTCTTGTTCACCTCTGTCTACATACTCGAAAAGTCACGAAAAAACGTGGCCAACATTTTTGTATATGAAACTACACGAGGCATTTACATTTTCGGAAAAAAACCAAGTAACTTCCTAGGAAACCGATATATTTCTTCCTCTTCAGGGCTACTCTCTGTGGTCGCTGTGTAGTCGGTGGTGTGAAAAACAATTTGACTCACAATCATAGTCATCATCGAAATCGATCTCCGTAAGAGCTCCAGGAACTGGTGGCACGATTAGGCCAGTCTCCATACATGAAGGTCATTCGCGTGTTTGTGTTTCATAAACGCTAAACGCCATTTGTTGGATTGATTTGGAGCTGCGCGTTTGCAGCTGGTGAAGCAGAAGATCTTCAACGAAAGATCAAGATCTCGCTGTCGAACTCGCGCGAACTCGCACAAGCACACGGAAGAAAGTGCGAGTGGTGCCTTTCTTGTTCGTCTAGACAAAACAAGAAGACTGTATTTCATTTAGATTTATCAATCTTTATGAGCCACTTGGACTTGCCGAAACAAGTAAATCAAAGGACCACCACGTCGATGTGGATCTTTTTGGTTCTACTCTTTCGAAGATCTTCTGCGACGACGACAAGCATCTGCTTTCGCACCGCAAAACGTGATGTGTACCTGCGAACAGCGATCACAGACACAGCGACCAAGATAGTATCGTCTGCATTTTCATTTGTTGAAAGGAGTGTATCACGGGTGATTTTTATCCTGCTTTCTGACCCTGTAACTTCGTGCGCGGCTGCCAGTTTATCAAGATTTATCCATGTCACTTGATGTGATCAAAATCGCCTGCGTTTTGTTGATGACGATGTTGACCAATCACATCCATAGATACTCTCGATGATCATGGACACGGGTCACCAAATTTTATTCAGTTCCGCTATTTTTTGTCTTAGTTTTTGATCTTGGATCCTTGCCTTGCCTGCAAAGATCGGAAAAGAAAAGATAGAGAAGTAGAAGCTGAAGCGCGGGAGCTTACTTCTTGCGTTCACGACTATACTAATTTTTGTTTACTAAACTAAGTGAGATCTCGTTCTCGACAACATTTTCGGGAGGAAGAGGGAAGCATAGGGGGTTAAAGAACATAGGAACTTTATGTTCATTTTTTTACTTTATATGGGACGCAGCTAGTCCTAATTTAGATTTACAGATAATAACGAACAAAAACTAGAGTGCAAGCCAGAAGTTTTCGCGGTCTTTCGGCCCTTCTTCTAGCAACACTTCCCCGTCGAGCGTGAGGATGCGACCCGCCATAGGGCGCCCCGCGAGCTGCTGCCTGGCGAGTTTCTCGAGAAAGTCGAACCCCACGTCCTGCAGCGGCAGGCAGTTCATCACCAGCAACCGGAGCCGCTTGATGTTTTGCTCGGTGAGAACGAAACTTTCGACCATCTCGTTCTCCGTCGCCTCGTCCTCTTCGTACCGAGTTAAGGAACCGAACAAACGGAACCCCTGTGCGACGCAGTCCACATCCTTGACGCCGTTCTTCTATCAACCAAAAAAATTTCGTCACGATCACTCATGCGTATTTTTGCAATACAAAATTTTTTGTCATGCGTAGAAACGCACCACCGCCAAACTTCATAAGGGATCTCCCTAGTAGTGGTTCTGCAATACAAGGAAAAGCTGTGATGCAAAAAAGTTTGTAATGCAAAGCCTGCAAGTTAGTGACTGCGAGTGCGACGAACTTTTTTCTTTCCATATCTCCTCGAGGAGAACCAACACCCATTCCACGAAGTTGATGCTCTGCTCGCGCTTTGCCTTGCCAAAAAGCAGGTCGCGGACGCTGGTGCAGAACAGCAGGTTGGCGAACGTCGACAGCAGCTCCAGGCACAAGTTGGAGCTCGTGGAGCAGTACTTCTTCCCGGCCTTCAGCAACGTCGCGATACCATTGTTCTCTTGGAGAACCGTCAACAAGCTGACTTCTAACACAGGCAACCCACCGGCCATGGCCATTACCTTCGTGTTTTTATTTTTTTTAGAGTGACTAGGACTACGATAATCTCCGCCAGTCCCAGTTCTAATTGGAGTAGAAATGCGCTACTGGTAGTGGTACTGACGGTATACCACAAATACAAAAAGAGCAGCACCCAACAACAGCCACAATGACAATACATCAAATTGCGCAAGCCCGAGTAATATCGTCGACTCATCCGCATGATCTCCATCCACCGCAAATCAATGATGATCGGTGAAAAGTGGATTGTAAAAGCTAAATGTAAATTTCATCAAGATCAGATTGCAAAAAAATCACATAAAAGCAAATCAAATCTACCTTGACGCAGTTGGCCGCTTTGGCCTGCACGGAGACGCTGATCCGGTCTTCGTTTAGAATGCGCAGGGGGTGTTTCATCCCGGGTAGCAAGTACTGTCGCAGCACCGCGTTCTCGTGGCTCAATAAAGCCAGTGTCTCGAGACAGGGAACGACGACGCTCGGGCTCTGCATCGTGTCCTCGTCCACGAGGAAGTGGTCCAACATGTTTAGGAACGACTGCGCAATGGGTTTCTCGTACTCGTCGATATTCTCGCTGCCCTCGGCGAGCACGCGGAGGGTGTTCACCAGATACTCCCGGCTCTCCAGGTCGTTCTTCAGCAGTCCACCCATGGTCAGGAGCGTACGGAACACGTCGGAGAGGCTCGAGCCCAGTCGCTGGTCGTGCAACGCGCAGGCGTGGAAAATTTGCAGTGCGTGCTTCAGCACCGACTGGGAGTCGGGGTGCCGTTTCACGGTCAAAATCACCGACCGCAGCGCGTAGTGTGCGGTGTGCACGATCTGGTATCAAATGTAAAAATGTCTGAGTCTGGAAACTTGTGATGCTGGGTGGCGTATCATGAGGAGGCCACAAGTGCTCGCTCAGCATGACAAGTTTCTGAGCTTCTAGGTGTTGCCTATTCTGCATGCCAAACTGCGTTTCTACATGACAGAAAAGTGGCGCTCTTGGGCAACGTGCATGACAGATTTAAGAGTCATGCCAGACAAGCATGACAAACGTGCATTCTTCCAGACCCAGACATTTTTACATTTGATATCTGGGCCTTGGAGACGACGCACAGCAGCGCGATCACGCGCAGAGTCGACCCACACACCTTCCGGTTTTCGGGGGACAGGTCCAGCACCTGGCAGAGCAGCTCCAGTAAGGAGGAAGACCGTCCGTGCAGCACGGCATTGCCTTTGTTTCGCGTCATGCGAATGTCCGCACCGTCGCGGGCGATTTTTCGCAAGTGCTTACTGTTTAAGGCAGCTCCTGCGGCCCCATCGGCGGAAGAACGACCACCGCCATGGTCACTGTCTCCCCCGGCATCTTCGTCTTCGTCCTCATTCCGAAATCCCCCCGACGCCGCGGCGAAATCAAACAGCCGCCCGCCAGGCACCGATGCCGAGCTGAAGAGCGCGGAGGGATCGTCGAGCAATAGATCGGCGTCTAGCTGGCCCTCGTCCACCAGCAAGAGGTTCCCGTCGATCGCGTAGTGCAGCCGATCCAACTGCTTCTTCTGGGTTATCGCAAGACAAAAGTGCTACAGTCACGCATTGTGTTGCAAGGCCGGCAAGACTTCAGTGACTACAACCTTTGTCATGCAAGAAATGCTTGCGGGCCTTGTCCGTTTCATATTACGTGTCTGCTCATTCCATACGAAAAATGTCTGCAATGCACGTTTTTTTTTGTCATGGAGCGAAAGCTTGTTTGTGTTTTCTGAACTTACAACAAATGCGTGGTACCTGGAGCACTTTCTCTTTACATATGGATCGGCGGTCGCACACTGGGGCGCGCGGCCGTCGAGTGCGGCCCGCCATTTTCCTCGGTCTCCGCCCGGGCCGCCATCGTCGGCCGCAGCAGGAGCCGGTCGTTCCCGAGATGATTGATCGTCAGCTCGTAGATGTTCCCCAAAACCAGCAGAGCGCGCACGAGCAGGCGCGGGCTCGCTTTGAAGCGCAGCAGCGCCCGGAGGCAGTACGCGTGCTGTTCGAGGACGCGGTGCGCCGAGCGACACACCAGGAGAACCTCGAAGAGCGATTCGTAGGACGAAAGCGTGAGGAATCGCTGGCGCTCTTGACGCGCGTTTACCTGGTTTGCCCCGTCGTCGTCGGCAGCACCGGTTGCTTCCGCGAGGGTCGACGAAACCAGATTCAGTTCGCGGTGGTTGGCGGCGACGGACTTGTAGCGGGTCCAAAACTCCTCCTGACCGCGGCCACCTGGGCTGTTGTTCGCCGCGCCCGCTCCGCTGTCTATCGCCACAACCTCGTCGAGCAAGTTTCGGTATTGTTGTGTTTTTTTCCGCTTCGTGCGGTCTTCCGCCTCCAGCCGCCGTGCGATGCGTTCTTTTCCCTCGACGAGGTCCAGCGCAAAGTCGAGGTGGTCTTGTACAATCAAACACTCCGGGTGGATGCACTCGGCGAGTGCGTCCAACACTTTCCATTGCAACATTTCCTCCTCGATCCTCATGGGCACGTGCAGAGAGTGGAAAACCGCCATTTGAAACTGGTGTCGGTGCTCGGGGACGGGAACCGACGAGTCCACGTGGACGCGGTTGGCCTGTTGCAGAAGCTGATCGACTTCCTGGTCGAGGTCCTTGGCGGCCTTCTTCGCGTCTTTTTCCTCGACGTCCTCGTCGTGCAACGTGTACCCGGCGACGACGTGTCTCCCGTCTACTCCCTGGAAGGGGCTCCCGCGCCCGGCCAGGTTCTGGTTCAGGTTTATGATCGGTTTTTGTCCGACCGCGGCGGCGAAGCCGAAATCCGCAGTCGCGAGATGCGTTTCCTTCTTCAGGTCCTTGTCTAACTTATCCGTTTCCCGAATGCGGGACATCCACGCGGCCGCCAGGGGAGAGGGGCTCCACTTCACCTGCAATGCCTTCCGCATGGACTCCGAAAACCCCCCCGACGCAGTACGGCGAAACAGGAAGTGCAGTGGACGCGCACTGTAAAACTTATCCAGCTTCTGGGCCATGAAAGAGAAATCCTTTTCCACGTGCGCGGCCTTGTTGGACGTAACGCAGTGGCTCACGACGAGTCGATCACCGACCTGCAGTGCGTTCTTCGCGGCCCAACAGTCGGCTCCTTCTATTTGTGTGATGCTACCTGCGGCCGGCGGCACGGGCGGCTTGTAGTCTTCCGGGTTCGGTAGAGACGCGGGACCCCCGCGTAGGTGGAGGTCTCTTTCTTTCTCTTGGTCCTCTTTTGTCAGCTCGTGCCCGTTCGCGATCTCGAAGCCCAGGTGGCCGGGCTCGGTGACCTCAACTTGAACGTATTCGGAAAAATTCTCCTTGCGCAAAAACATAAAGTTGCAGGCCGGTGGCTGCGGGTGCTCCTGCGCGGCCTTGGGATCTTTTTTTTGTCGTTCGTGGTGCTCCTTCTGCTCGTGAATGACGCGCTCAATCAGCGCATCGTCGGGGTCGCGCCCGGGCCACTCGTGGATCTCCGAGATGGGGTGTCCGGCGAACAAAAGCAGGACGTCGCCCGGGACCAGTTTGAATTTGTACGCTTGCGTCTTCCCGACCCCTCGGGGCGTCAACTTCTCGGCGCGCAACAACCGCACGAGCGGGTACTCCTTCCAGTACAACTGAAAGCCAAAGAGGTGCAGAAATTTATCTCGGCTGCTGAGGTGTGGGTCGTGGAGCGCGTCCACGTCGAGATCCTTGGCTTCGACCTGCCAGCCCACCACCCCGGCTTCCTTCGGACTGAGGCCGCGGGCGAGCTGCGACAGCAGGTAGGGCTTCATTCGCGGTGGCGGTCCTTTCTTGCCCTCCTTCCCCTTCCCCTGGCCTTTGGGCGGCGGCTTCGCCGGTTCGGGGAAAAACAGCATCCGGTTCCAGGGGATGCGCTCGGGGTCGTAACTATCGCGCAACTCGTGGCGATGAAACAGATCCACCACCGCAGGGTCCTTGTGACCGGGGACCTTCTTCCCGACGTCCGGGTGCTCCCGCCAGGCCTGGGGCAGTTGCAGCGTAAAATCCTCCTGGTTCTTGTAGTGCTCCCGTGTGTATGGCTCTCCACGGCGAAACAGCACCGATAACGGCCGAGGGCCAGTGATGTCCATTTGGTGCTGGAGGGACGCTTCCAAGGCTTCTTCGGTCTGGTAAAGACCGCCCTTGTCCGGGGGGATGAATTCGCACAGCGTGCGGCCGATGGCGATCACGCGATCACCCTTTTTCAGTCCGCGTGATTCGGCCCAACCCTTCTTGGCCATTCTTCGAACGAAATACTTCTGGAAGTCCATCTCGAGGCCATGGTCAGGGCGGTCGATTTCGAGTTGCAAGTACTGGCTCTCGAACTTCAACCGCAGAAACCAGAAGTTGATTTTCTTCTTCGCTGTGACCTGCTTCACGCAGTGATTCACAATGGCCTCGTGCGGGTCCTGCCCCGGCCAACTAACCAGCTCCGTCACAGGGCGGTCGTTGATTTTCAGCAACAGGTCCCCCTTGCCGACCTTTGCCTTGAAAGCGCGCGACGGCTTGGTCGGGTCCATCACGTCCTGCTCCACCACTTTCGTGACGCGAATCTGCGGGAACTTGGTGAAATCCAAGGCCATTCCGAACAGACTCGCCAACTTCTGCCGCCACGTGACCTTTTTGTCCTTGATCACCTTTGCGTTCAAACTACTCTGCGCCCACATCGCCAGGCCGAGCTTTGGTCCTTTCAAGCTGTCGGCCAACAGCAGTATCTGCATGTAGGGTGCGCCCTTTGGGTTCAGCAGTGCGTTTTTGACCATGCGGAGATCCTGTTTTGTGAACACCTTTTCCCGTTCCGCTTTCACCGCTATGTCCATGTGCTTCTGCTGCCGCATCAGGTTCAGAAGCGCATCGATTCCCCAGTAGTGCAGCCAGGGGTTCCGCGGGAAGCGGCGCAGGCAGTCCAACAATAACGTGATCAGCTGACTCGCTAGGGAGCCGTAGGGAAGCCGCGGTTCCCGTGCCAGGGCGATCGCGTACTCGAGGACCAACTGTGCCTGGCTCTGCATGTCTCGTCGCTTTTGCAGTGCCGCCTGCGACGGCGACGATCCAGGTTTTATCGCCGCGGCGGAGGCGGTCCCGAGTCTGCCGTCGTGCTGGAGCTGGAACAAGGTGGAGTACAGCTCCCCGATGGTGTAGCGGAATCGTTTGAACGACTGGAATTCCAGTGTTTCGTACACCGTGTCGAGGCTGCGCAACTTTTCCAGGACCTGGTGGAAGTCCAGGGCGTCCTCCTTGTCTGGCAGTAGCTCCAAATCAAAGTCCTCGATCAAACAGGCACCGAGGTCGGGCTCCAGGGGGCGCAAGTGCGGGAGCGGAATTCCGACCCACTGAATTTTCGGCGGAAGCTTCAGTTCTTTCGGGTGCTGAATTTGGAAGGCCGACTCTTCGTTGCGCTGCGCACCCAAATCCCGCTCACGCAGCTCCATCTGTATCCTCTGCAAGCGCTGGGCTCGTTCCTGGTCCGCTTTCGTGGAGCCGCCGAGAAAGATTGCAGGCGGTTTCACAACGCCTGGTGCACCCTGATCGTCAATGCGGACTCGGCCGGCTCCTGGACTACCACTTGCTTGATGTAGTCCCGGACTACCTGCAACGCTCATTTTCGAAGCGGTTCCCGGAAGCCCCGCAACCGCAGCTTGGATCGCGCTCCCGGGCCGTGACCCTCCTGCACCTTGGTTGTTGACAGCGGCAACGACCATGCCCTGCTCATGGTCGAACTCCATCATGCCCGCGCTCGCAAGCAGCGGCGAAGTTGCTGCGTCCTTCAGGTGCTGGTCATAGTGCTCGAAGGTCGTACCTAGCAGGACCTGTCGCTCCTCCAGCTCCTCCATGTGCTGGTTGTGGGCGTGCTGCGCACACTGCTGCAACAGGTTGACAGGAGGGATTTCGCCCGCTTCAATCGTCTCCAAAATGTCGATTTCGGGCGGCGGGACCCGGGGCCGCGCGGTTTGGTTCTCCAGAAGCTGATCGCGCACCGCATTCTGCTCGGAGGTCAGGTTGTCCGGATGAAAATCCTCCTTGTGGGCTAGCTTGTGTTGATCGCCGACCAATCGCTGCATAGCCGCGGTTTGTCGCGCCACCTCCGCCTCTGCCTCGTCGTCGGTCGAAGAGTCAAAGCAGGAGAAAACTCCTTTCGGCTTCGTCTTCTTTGGCTTTGGCGGCGGGGGTAAATCAGCCTGGTGGGGCTGGTGTTTGTGCGCAACACCTGTAGAAGTTGCCTGACCGGCCTGCCCGGCACCGCTGTAATGTTCTACTGTTCCATGACGTTCCTGTGCAAGAACATCATCCTCGGGGTAGAACAGAAATTCCGCCCGCCCATCCTTCCTCGAATTTTTCACGTCCTCGATAGCAACCTCCAGCACTTCTGTGTCTCGCAACGGGACGCGACCGTGCTGCGCACGCTCTGCCTTCAAACGCCGCATCTCCGCCTGCCCCGCGGCCTTCACGGTTTGTCGCAGCTGCAATTTGTCCTCTGGCGTCAGCTGAATCGCTTCCCCTGCGTGCTTGGTACCATCAGCGCCCAGGTCGCGTTTGCTGCGAAGCTTCATCAGTTCCTCGGCCGCCTCCTTTTTCATGAATTGGCGCACCCGCTCCTCGTCCTTCCGATCGTGAACGATGTCCTCCAGCCGGACTCGCTCCGCAGGATCCTCCAACTTTCTTTTCGCTAACTCCTCGAGTGTCGGGCCCTTTTTTTTCTTCTTTTCCTTTTCCTCGTCTTCCAAGTCTTTGCGCTTTTTCGTCTCCAGCGCGTCTGCATCCTCCGCCCCTTCGCTGGAAATATCGCTCGCATCCTCCCCCTCCAGCAAAGCCTCGCTCTTGGAACGGACAATCTTGCCGCTTCCTCCTGCGTCAAACATTGCCCCGGAGACGGACCCTCGTCGTCCCCCTGCTCCTGCTGCAGCGGCGGACTTCTGCTTCTGCTTCTTTTGCTTTTGCCTTCGTCTTGCCTCCGCAGCGGCGGTGATGCCGCGGTACTCCTGCAACCGCTGCTGGTCCGCCACTGCCTCGTGTTCTCGTTGGTCCAGCAGGTATTCGTCATACAGAGGCTCCGCGTCGCGTGCAAAGTGGTTTTCGCGAATGCTGTCCACCATGCCGCCGCCACCCTCGACCACGATCTCCTCCTTTCCACTGGCGTCCCAGGCTTTCACCCGCTCCACAATACCGTACTGCGAGGCGACGGCTTCCCCGCTTTGGGCCGCGCTATCGTTCCAAGACTGGGGAAGATAACTCTTTCCCTGCGGGCTTCGTCCACGACCCGCTCCGGGCGTCATGGGCGACATGCCTCCATCTCGCGCGCCGGCAGCGGAGGAGCGGGAATCGCGGACGACGCATCTTGCTCGCAGAACCGCGTCGGATCCAAAGGCCTGCACCAGCCGTTTTGACTTACGCGACCAGATGGGCTGAACGGCATGAACCTTGCCCGACAACTCCCCATTTCGCACCCGGATACTCACCTGTGCCAGCGGGTCGGTTTCGTCGAAGGTCGTACGTCGGCTGTGCAGCGTTTTCCCTCGGCTGCCGGTTGGCCGCTGCTCGTCCGGGGAAACAGAGGACCCATCCGCCGCTTTTTCGTAGAAAACGATGTGGAACCACAGTACGTCGTTCGGGTCCGCACACTTCTTCTTGTCTAGTGGAAAGAACAACCGGCGGTAGAACGGCACCAGCGAGGGATCGAAGCTGGAACTGATAGTCGCAAACCGGCGCTCCGAAATGACGGCCTCGCGTTGACCCGCGTCAAGGGGCTCCCCACGCAGGTAGTGGCGCCAGGCGGTCGGATCTCCGGCCGTATCGGTGCACACACGCAGTGACGCCGCAACGTCGGTAAGCTTCAGCCTGAAAAGGTTCGCAATCTTCTCCAGTGCGTGCACATCGACGTCAACCTGTGGACCAAGATCCCCCCGTGAATGTTCGCCAGCACCAGTTACTGCAGCACCTGCCGCCGACCCCAAGAAGCTTATCGCATTTGCCTGCAAGTCTGTGTTTCCACGGCTTTCATGATCCCTGCTTCTACTCAAGGGAGAATTCATCGCGATGGCTTGGTTTCGAATCTCCTGGCGCTCCGCTTTCATCGCGTTCGCGTTGATCAGTATCGGCGTCGGATCCGCGTCCTGGTCTAGCTTTTCCTGCCAGCCTGCCTTCTCCGCGCGCTTCGGGATCTGCAGCTCCCCCGTGGTCGGGTCCACCGGGACCACGACGACATCCTCCGGGTCTACTTCTACCCCAGTGTCGTCTTCGTCCTGCGGCTCGTCCTCATCTCCGCCGCCGCCGCCCGCCCCGCCGGCAGCCGGGATCGCGTACATGGATTCGTAGTACTGGTTTCGGCTGTGCCTCTCCGCGTAAAACTGCGCCTGCTGTTCGTCCCGGACCTGCTCTTGCAGTTCCGCCTTGTAGCGCTCTTGCTCCATGCGCTTCTGCTCCTGATCGGCGATCATGTCCCGCTCATTTTGCGTGATGAAGTTGGCATCCAGCAGTTGCTGCGCCGTCATCTCGTTCAGCGCTTGGGTCACTTTGCGGCTCAGCTCCCCGGTGACGGATTGCAGACGCTCGCCCTGCGACCGGAGGTGCATGAAGGTGATGTCTAGTCCGTCTTTTTGCGTCAGCGAGTTGATGCTGGGAGGAATCGGCCGGCGATGCCGCTCCTCTGCTGCGAGTCGCGCAGCAGCTTCATCTCCGTCTGGATCGTCTGGCGCTGCGTTATTTCCACCAAATTGGTCGAATTGCATTCCCGGCACCTCGCCCGCGGCTCCGGAGAGGGGAAGAGTGGTGTTCGCAATTGAATTCGCCGCGCCAGATGCGGCGTTTGATGTTCCACCGTGGTCACCAGCCGTCTGGTACATTGGGGCATTGATGGTCGTGGCCGGCACGGTGTACCGCATCAGCTCCTGGAACCGCGCCAAAGCGTTACGGGACTGACACACAGTCTTGTACCGTTCCTGCAGTAGTGCGAGCTGTTCCTGTGCCTTCGTAGGGTCGTACAACTTCGGTTCCTGCAGCAGTGTCGCTAGCTCCGGTGCGGCGTCGGCGGCACTCGCGGATCGAGCCATGATACCGCCTCGCTGTTCGAGCGTCTGTAGATAGGAGGTGACGTACAACTGGCTCGCTTGCTCCTCCCGCAAGCGCATCTGCCCGGAAACAGTGGAGGAGGAAATCTTCGTGTCTTTCTTCACACTACTTTCGTCCTGACTCGCTCCGGTGAAGGGCTGAACAGGCATGCCCAAGGAGGGATGTTCTGCGGCCAGATTTTGGCGGAGTTGGCCTTGCATGCGTCGAGACGGATCGACTGCCTCTGCCACGTAGCGCTGCATGTCCGATACGTTCTGCATGCGTAGCAGCTGGTCTGCGGTGTACAGATCGTCAACGGACCGGACGTTGTCGTAGCCTGCCATAATTGCGTTCACATCGTAGTATTGACCAACCTGAAAGCCCCCCGCCGCGCCAGCAGCGGGAGCCAATCCTGGTTGCTGCGCCCCCGCTGCCCCCACCTGCTGCTGCGGAGCCAACGACTTGGCCGCGGCGATCGACGCAGCTGCGGTGGCGTTTGGCAGGTCGAAGTTTGTTTCTTGTTGCGACTGGTTATTCACAAACTTCCCCGTGGCGGTCTGCCCGCCACCGGTAGCTGAAGAGCCCGCCGCTGCTCCGTGTGGCCCTTGGGCAGGGCCTCCATCGAGGCTATCCACCATGGGCGGCACAGTTTTCCGCTTTTCCAGTGCGGCCTTCCAGTTCGACGGCAAACTTCGAAGCACGCTTTGCACCGCGGGGGATGTCAGTGCTGCACTGTCGAAACCGCCTCCGCCGCGCCGGCGTACCAGCAGACTGAGCGGTCGATGACCCTTGGAAGACAAGAGCGGCGCTAGTTCCTCTGGTTTGTGCTTCCGCGGGGGCTTGTCGTTGATGATCAACAGTTGGTCTTTTGCCTTCAAGTGGCACTTCGCTCCAAACGTGCCGGATTTGGGATCTTCCTTTATTTCGCCCGTGCTGCCGCTGATTTTCAGTCCGAGGCTGATGTCGTTCGTGGTCAGGTGCACTTGAATGAACTCGTTTTCGAATTCCGACCGGAGAAACATGAACATGACCTTCTGGTACTTTTTCACCTTTCTGGCGAGGAAATTCAGCACCGCCGACTCGACGCTGCTACCTTCCATTTTGGGAATCGAGGTCGTTCGCTCGCCCCCCAAAACCAGCAACCGGTCACCAACTTTCAAACCGCGCGTAACGGCCTCACTTTTTGCTCCCCGGGCACGCGGCGTGGTTGGATGCACACGAACAACACGAAGGTTCGGGAAGGTCGCCCAATCCAGCTCAAAGCCAAACAGGAGCAGAATTTTCTCCGCCGAGCTCGTCGAAGAAGACATTTTCGAGACCTTCCCGACCAACTCCTCGGCGTCTGGCATCTTCTGCTCGTAGTACAACAGCGCGCTGCTCATGCTGTCCGCTGACTGCGTGGCTCCAAAAACGGACAAGAGAAATGGTGCGTCCGCTCCGCTGGCCGCGGCCGAAACCTTCTCGCCCCCGCCAGCAGGAGTAGTTGATGACGATGCACCAACCGCGCGAGAAGCGGTTGCGCTTGGAGGTGACGAGGAGCCTCCTTTGCCTTTATTCAAAGGCGCGTACACCTTGGCCCAGTGCGTCGCAATGTCGGTGGTGTTGCTGTGCTGGTTTTCCAACAAGTGTGCCGAAAACGCGGCGTGTGGCCGATGCACAAAGAAATTCCGGCTGGTTTTCAGCAGCTCGACGATTTGCGAATCTTCCCGTCCGGTGCAGAATTTGTCGCCCGCAACCAAGAGCTCGTCACCGTCTTCGATTTGTAGCCCCGAGGGATGCAGGTGTACGCCGTGGAAGGCGGACGTCTTCAGCATCGTTTTCTTGCCGTCCGGACCCTTGTGAAACATGCTTGCGAAATCCGCGTTCTTGTCCAGAATTTCCACATTTAGGTAGTTCTCCGCCTTCTTCTTCCGGTGGAACACGAAGCCCCAGGAGGTCTGACTCGGGTCATTGTTTTTCTCCTTCACCTTTTGCCGCAACTTCCCGAGCAGCGCAGCGTCAGGGCTCTGGGGAACCGGGTCGCTCGACGACTTCGGAACGAAGCGGACCACGTCCGTGATGACATACACGTCCGCTATGGTGGCCACCATGTCCCCCACCACGAGGCCGGCCTTGGCCGCTCGCGTGTCCTTGTCCACGGCGGTGAGCGCCACGCGAGGCCATTTGCTCCAATCCAGCTCGATTCCGAACAAAGAGCGCAGCGTTCCCTTAGGATCGTTGTTGATGTCATGATCTACATTCCACTTGTCGATGCTCCGCTGCTTCCAGCCCGTGAAACCAAACTCGCGCAGCAAGCTAGCCCCGCACTTGATCGCCAGCACGCCGGCAAGGTAAGGCTTGTTGCTACTACTACTGCCGGACCCCGACCCCGACTCTGGCATGAAAAGAAAGGGCGGGCCTTCTGGCTTCGCGGGCTCTAGGTAGCCTTGGTGCCGCCTTCTCTTACTTCCGTGACTCGAAGTGGAACTTGATGTCGCCGGGCTTTGGTCCCCGCGCCGCTTGCGAGCGGAAAACCGGATAGTTCTGGCATTTGCTGCCGGAGATGTTGTACTATCCGGTCTCGCGCCAAACCGGTCCTCCGCATCGATATCAGAATCGTCTGTGACGAGTACGGAGGAGGATGACGAAGTAGAGCTACCGGACAACGACGAGCTGCTCTCGCTTCTGCAGTCTGCCGTTCCGCGTTCGCCGGGCCCGCCCGCTTGTGCGGAACGCGTGGGGGCCCCAGACGGACGCGAAAACCCAATTTTGTAGTTGCCATGATACGCCATAGCTACAAACTGGTCGCCAAGAAAATTTCGGTGTCAGTCGGTCGCTCGAGGGGGTGCATGTGGCAGCACACACTCCGCCAAACGGCGGCCACCGCCAGCGGATTTAAAAATTCCACCAGCTGCTGAGAATGATGTACTGAATGTTCTGCGAAACGACCTCACCGACCCATCCTCGGTTAAATAAAGTTCCATGTCGGTCTGAATGGGAGAGATAATCATTGAAGTCAGAAAGAAGACGAAGATGCCCATTGCATTTGCAGGGTCGTTCCTCCGATTCGTCCAAAAACAAAACACACTTTTTCGCTCACGAAAATCGCATTTTGAAGCCTACTCGCTTCTCAGATGAACACTTCTCTCTCGACAAGGCGACACTCAAATTGTCTTGTCCTCTGCAAGCAAGTTCCCTCGTCAACAGACAGTACAAACTTCACTAGGCACAACGGTAAATAGCATTCCCAACGGGTGTAGGCAGCGTACACCCGTGCAGGAGAATTAGAAGCGAAAAGGTTCCCCTTCAAGAAAAAACGCCGAAAAAAAATGGAAAACGATCGGCATCATGATCGAACACAGCGCTGCGCGACGTGGTGTTCCTCCTGTTGGTTAGTCTGCGTTGACCACGACATTCCGGACTCCATTCTCAACAACGAACAAAAAGTAAAAGCGAAATCCTCAACACTGTCCATACGAAACGATCCGGGAAATTCCGCGACATGTTGACACTCACGTCACTGCTTCTCCGGGAGCAGCATGATAGTTGTCACTCTGGCTACTGTAGAAGTGTAAGGATGAAGTCACAGTCAGTGTCAACAAGTTAGAACGAACATTCTTCTCAAAGGTAGCAAAACAGTACAGATAAACGTCATATGCAGCTGCAGCTCGTCAGCCTACATATATGCAAGAGAGTAGTGTAGCTGAATCGGTAAAAAATCTAGGTCTAGGTTACGAAGCAGTCGCAGATCGATGAAAAACATCCCGGGAGAGGGGGAAATCAAATACAAATTCCCCGTTTTATACATCAAAGCCAAAACGAAAAGGGAAAGAATTACGGACTGCTAATGCTCTACACATGCTAACTGTACGATCGGTAGATCAGCTCTATGACTTCGTCCATAGATTCTGGAAGTCGCTGGAGGTTGACGCTACCCCGCGCTTCGTCGGAAGCCACGGCTCGTCCGCCGGTTGCGGGTAAGAATACGATCCTGCAGAACTTCCCCGTCGACCACTGTTGCTGGCTCTTACACTGCTTTTCTTTTTTTCCGGAACGGGCACACCCACTGCAACCTGCGCACTTGAGCTGGTTCTCGTACTTCTGCGGGCCCCAAAACCCGGTGCGGGAGGAGACGAATCGCGCTCCGCGGGGAAGGCCCTGTTGATTACATACGATTTACGTAAACGTAGTGAAGATGAAAGCATCAATGGAATCAACAGACGGAAACGGATTGACATACAAATTAATACTGAATCAGCTGCACTACAACACGCGCACCAAACTGCAATGCATCGTCGCCTTTCCATGTACTTATACCAAAACTCAAAAGAGCAAACAAACATAGTTAGAGTACCATCCCTCCGGCCCCCTGGCACGTGTTAGCTTTGCTCCGCCCGAGGCTATTGCCTTTTCGCGTACCTCCAAATCCGATTCGGCGGACACGGAGACCAAACAGTCGGACGTTGCGTCGGAGTCTGCGTCGAGCTGCATTTCCTTTGGGACCGGTATGATGGTTTGCGTCCAGTACTTTTCCTGGTCGAATTTCGGGCCGTCCAGCAAGGTCCACTTGGGACTCTGGCCCCAGGGCCGCTGTTCCCGATAATTAAAGCCCTGCGGAAGATCCTCCGCATGATCCCCGTCGTTGCTGGCCCCGCCGACTCGGGCTCCACCAGCGTTATTGTAGCGCATGTAGGCCGCTTGCCCCGCACCGCCGGGTCCGCGACCCCAGGCGTTGCGACGGCTGGACTTCTGCTCCGGAGGCTGCAACTTTGCGAGCGCCTCCACCACGTTCAGCATCTGGCCGTTCATCAACTCCCACATGCGGTTCTCCATCTCCGCCTGCCGCTTTTCGTTGGCCGCGTGGAACTCGGACACGAGCAGGACCAGGTTGTCGTTCATCGCCTCCCGCTGCTTCAGCAGCTCCTCGCTGTCCTCGGACCGCAACTCTTTCAAGGCCCGCAGGTACTCCTCCTGTTTCATCCGCTCGAACTCCTTGTAGGCGCTGTTTGCGTCCTGGATCGGCTTGGAGAAGTCCGTCTGCTTCAGCCGCTGCAGCTCGAGGAAAATGGAGTTGCGGTCCCGCTGCACGCCCTCGTCGGATTTCTCCATGTTCAGCAGTTTGTCCGCGTGCTCCTGCTCCTGGAGGAACAGGTCGTCGAACTTCATCTGGTCCTTCTTCATCAGTGCGTGGTACCGCTTGTCGTCGGCGTCAATCTGCGCCTGCAGCTGCGCCTTGCCCTTCTGCTTCTCCTGCAGCAGGTCCGCCCGGTGCTGCTGCGCCAGCCGGTTCAGGATGGTGGAGAACCCGCGACGCTGGTTCCCCAGCTCCGTGCGATACGCCAGGTCCCGCTCCCGTTCCACCAGGTTCAACCGGTCCAGAACTTCGACGTTCAAATCGGCTTTTGTCTTCAGCAAGTAGTTGCTCTGCTGCTGCGACTGCTTTTCCAACTCCGCGAACGCCCGTTGCCCGGTCGCGTACAGTTGCGCCACGTCGGCGGTACCCTGCTGTTGCTGCTGCTGCAGGTGCGCGGAGAGCACGTTCTCGAAAAGCTCGCCAGTCGTTTTCTCCACGATGGAAGTAGAGGGCCGGCCACTGGATGAGGACGCCGGAAAGTTTACAGTGCCGTGGTCCACCTGGGAAGGAGAAGTGCGCATGGTGTCAGACGCCGGAAAGTTCACGGTGCCATCCTGCGAAGCGCGTATGTTGGAGGTTGAAGAAGCTGGGTAATTCACAGTCCCGTGTTCCTGATCTTGACTCGCCCGCATAACCATAGAAGCGGCCGGAAAGTTGACGGTGCTTTTCCGATTTCTATCTCCGACGAAGCTCGGCGGCTGCTCGGGCACTTGTTGCGTGGACCGCGGATTCTGACCTGGGCTGCTCACGCGTTCGGAATAAAAAAGATGGACGGCTTTACTGGTGCCACTTCTATCTTGGTCCTCGGTTTTTTTGTTCCGACCTGTCTCACCCTTCGCATTTATTTTCAGAAGGCCCTTCGCTGCATCGATCTCACCCTCCTCCGCGGACGACTCCGAGCTAGAGGAAGCCACTTCGTCCTCCAAGTCGCTGGGATAGTCTTCTCCGAGGCCGATCAGCCTGTCGGCCTCCGAGAACTTTCCGACGACAAAGCGGCCGGGGCGCACGGCATTCCGCAGAACCTGGCGACGGAAGAACGTGTCGTTGAAATACCGGCGAAGGGGCGTCTTTTGCCGCGGAACTCTCTCCTTCGGCAGCTCCGCGACGAAGAGGTCGTCGAAGCTGGATTTTTCGTGTAGAGCCCCCTGTTGACTCATGATTTTTTATGAGCTTTTATTTGTAGTTGGATGAAAGTAAGTAGTTGTTAATGCGTGAGCCTTATAATTTGATTTTGATACTCAAATTATACTTATCAAGGTGATACTGAAGCTCGAGTGCATCTACTTGGAATCAAGTGAGCAAGAACTTAGTTATCTTCTTCTTCAGTGGGGGAATAAAAGGGCTAAAAGACTTACTTACACACTGGTCTTGTCGGACATGCTTCAAAAATGGTTGGAATTGACGAGCACAGGTTGGAACGAGAAAGACAGGAGGGGTCTTCTACTTCTTGTTCTTCTTTCTTAGTTACGATTACGAAAACAAAACAAGCTCGGTGCTGCACGACAGGAAAGCACAAATACTAGCGGCGGCCATTGTATCATGATGCACGAAGACGACCGATTTTTCAACAACGTAAACATACGATACACAGAACAGAATTGATCACGACAAGCATGGAAATGTCAACGGCACAAATAGAAATATGATTATGACGCAACCGCAAGGCGGCCTAAATAAAATCGGCATGGGCATTATCCGAGTGCACGAGACGAGACGATGACGAGCATCCAAAGTAACAGTGAATTATCCACGGCAATCAGAGCGACGAGAACGTGCACATTACTTAAATTGGACAGCGCAAGGATGACCCGATACCGCTACCGATTGAATCCACGAAAAGCCATATTTTTAATTTTATTGGAGTACGAAATCCGCGAAATTCTAAAATTTTATTTTTATTGAGCCTCATAGTCGTATGGCAAATGTACACCCAAAATACCTCAGAAGGGAAGCAAGTGCAGGCGTGCGACCGCAAACTAACTGCGCATCCTGCGGCTCCAGAACCTAAAAACCGAGAGCCCGGCGCACGTCGGAGGTGCAATCAGAACACAGTCTGTGACATCCATGCATGCAGTCCGCTTTCTGGGCCACGAAAGTGGACTCAGCTTTTCGCGGACTTGCCTTGCTCAAACGTAAGCGACGAACCAAGGAAACACACATGCAAGGCAGGCGCCCGGCGGCTCCCCCTTTGCTGCGCGGAAAAAAAAACACCCGGGGCGAAGCGGGGCGGAGCCGGTATTTCACGGGGCTGGAAAGCCGGCTCGCCCACAAGCGGGGGGAGACAGCCAGGAGGCGCGCGCGGCGGCTTGCGCCTCCCGCGGGCCCAAAAACCTACCCGGCCCACGAGCACGGAAGGCGCGCGCCCGCCGGCGCCCATTTTGGCGCGAGGAAAAGTAGGCCCGCGCGGCGGAATACGCCTCCCGCGGGCCCAAAAACCTAGCCGGAAGGCGCGCGCCCGCCGGCGCCCATTTTGGCGCGAGGAAAAAAAGGCCCGCGCGGCGGAGTACGCCTCCCGCGGGCCCAAAAACCTAGCCGGAAGGCGCGCGCCCGCCGGAGCCCATTTTGGTGCGAGGCAAAAAAGGCCCGCGCGGCGGAGTACGCCTCCCGCGGGCCCAAAAACCTAGCCGGAAGGCGCGCGCCCGCCGGAGCCCATTTTGGTGCGAGGCAAAAAAGGCCCGCGCGGCGGAGTACGCCTCCCGCGGGCCCAAAAACCTAGCCGGAAGGCGCGCGCCCGCCGGAGCCCATTTTGGTGCGAGGCAAAAAAGGCCCGCGCGGCGGAGTACGCCTCCCGCGGGCCCAAAAACCTAGCCGGAAGGCGCGCGCCCGCCGGAGCCCATTTTGGTGCGAGGCAAAAAAGGCCCGCGCGGCGGAGTACGCCTCCCGCGGGCCCAAAAACCTAGCCGGAAGGCGCGCGCCCGCCGGAGCCCATTTTGGTGCGAGGCAAAAAAGGCCCGCGCGGCGGAGTACGCCTCCCGCGGGCCCAAAAACCTAGCCGGAAGGCGCGCGCCCGGCGGAGCCCATTTTGGTGCGAGGCAAAAAAGGCCCGCGCGGCGGAGTACGCCTCCCGCGGGCCCAAAAACCTAGCCGGAAGGCGCGCGCCCGCCGGAGCCCATTTTGGTGCGAGGCAAAAAAGGCCCGCGCGGCGGAGTACGCCTCCCGCGGGCCCAAAAACCTAGCCGGAAGGCGCGCGCCCGCCGGAGCCCATTTTGGTGCGAGGCAAAAAAGGCCCGCGCGGCGGAGTACGCCTCCCGCGGGCCCAAAAACCTAGCCGGAAGGCGCGCGCCCGGCGGAGCCCATTTTGGTGCGAGGCAAAAAAGGCCCGCGCGGCGGAGTACGCCTCCCGCGGGCCCAAAAACCTAGCCGGAAGGCGCGCGCCCGCCGGAGCCCATTTTGGTGCGAGGCAAAAAAGGCCCGCGCGGCGGAGTACGCCTCCCGCGGGCCCAAAAACCTAGCCGGAAGGCGCGCGCCCGCCGGAGCCCATTTTGGTGCGAGGCAAAAAAGGCCCGCGCGGCGGAGTACGCCTCCCGCGGGCCCAAAAACCTAGCCGGAAGGCGCGCGCCCGCCGGAGCCCATTTTGGTGCGAGGCAAAAAAGGCCCGCGCGGCGGAGTACGCCTCCCGCGGGCCCAAAAACCTAGCCGGAAGGCGCGCGCCCGCCGGAGCCCATTTTGGTGCGAGGCAAAAAAGGCCCGCGCGGCGGAGTACGCCTCCCGCGGGCCCAAAAACCTAGCCGGAAGGCGCGCGCCCGCCGGAGCCCATTTTGGTGCGAGGCAAAAAAGGCCCACGCGGCGGAGTACGCCTCCCGCGAACCCAAAAACCTAGCCGGAAGGCGCGCGCCTCACAGCTGCTTTTAAAACAATGTTCAAAATGCTCCGGAACAGTTCTTGGCTTTGCCGCTTTCGTCGATGTCCTTGTTCTTCGTGACTGATGGGCTATCAATATGAGTACCAACGTATTTCGGCATCAGCTTCTACGATACCCAAAGCAGGCCCTCGCACTGCCGTCAACACGAAGCAAATTGATTGCGACTGCGAATTTCAAGTTGTCGGATATCGTTCGTGACCTGATGATCAAAATAAAACACAGGTATATCACAGACACTATTTCTAATTAAGAAAGAATAATGAATAACTACATCAAGCTTCAATCTGCAACAAAATCGAACGCAAGTAGCGGGAGAACTTCTGTTCCTGCAGCGGTGTCCTGCCCTACGTCGTGCTGATGGAAAATTGGCGTCGATTGTTTTGAGGCAGAAGCAGCTGTGGTTGGAATCAGCATTCGGCGGTCGACAAGGTCACGCAAACATGCAAAAACAGCGGCTCCGCCGCTCACATGTGTTGATGCTTCGGAAAATTTGAAGTCCTTCAAAACCCCGATGTCCGCGGCTTTTTTCGCTTCCTCGAGAAACTGAACCGGCGGCTTCGCACTTTTCAGCTTCTTCCCTGCAGCTTCGACTTCTGCAAGCACAGCTCCCTTCTTGGTAAAAACAGTTGTATCGGGAAAACTTTTGTTCCTTGCCTGCTCTGCTTCTCCAGCTTCCCGCGACGGGGCGTCGAAGTAGGTGTAGGACAAGTGAGGCATGAGAAGGCAGGGGAGGGTCTGATCGCAGTTGACGCGCTTGCACTGAAATAGGGCCTTCCATATGCAGAGTGCCGTGAGGAAACTGCCTATGGGTGAGGGGTGCGCGCGTCCGTCGTCGTGGTAAAGCCCGTCTTCATGAAACAAGCTGCTACTGCCTTCGTTCTTGGTACTAGAGGTGCCCCGTCCGCCGGCTCCAACCGCGGGAGGCGTGCGCAGCCGCTGCCGCTGGCAATACTGTCGCACCTCGTACCAGACTCGCCCGATAGGGAGTAGCTGCGCGTTGGGGATGTTTCCCGTCCGGCACAGTTCTACGTACTGCATACATCCGGCTTCCAGCGCTTCCATGTGCTCCCTCTCCGACGAGAATGAGATGTTCATGTTGGCGTCACCACTTTCTACCAGCCCAGCCTTCGCTTTGCTGTTTTCGTCTGCAAACATGAAGCTTGCTCGCGCGTGAGTAGCGTAGAACAACACGCGTTTGGTCCGGTTGCGCGAGTCCCTTTCCAGGTCTGCGGCAGAAGACTCGAGGGGGATTTTCTTTTTCTTGTTTCGCTTGTCCAGTTTCCGCCGTTCCTCGTCCTCCGGAGTCGTCCCAGCCCACACGCGCAAGGCAGGAACGTAGACTTTCTGCAGGACTTCCAAACTTTTTTCCCTCATCTGGGGCAGGCACGGCCCCATGGAGAAGTCCTGCAGCACGATCACATCCGGGTCGAAACCGCCGCGCAGGATAGCGACAAAGTCCTCCGCGAAATCCTCCAGCGACTTGCCCCCTTCCGACAACTGCAGGATGCGCAGGTTGTACTTTTTCGCGCTTTCGCTTTTGCTGTTCGCGTTTTCAGCGGCCTGCTCTCGGCCTTGTTCACCATCCCGGAAAACGCGGAGAAGGTGCTGCAGGTTGTGATAGTACAAGTAGCTATTACCAACAAGCAGCAGCTTCATCTTCGTAATGAATTTACAACCAACGCGTTTTTCTTTTTGCTGTTCTAGTACTTGTTGACGAGCAGAAGCAACAATTTCAATAAAACTGTTATCTATACTGTATGGAAGGACAAATACACCTCACACAAAACGCAGTCGCAGCCGCACGCAACGTACAGAACGACAACCACAAACACAAAGAGAGCTCTAGTAGTCACAGGTTTAGATTAGAAGCATACTTGTACTTCATCGAGGTGAATAAGTCCGTCGGTCGGAATCGAATTTTGAGAGGCTATACGTTACTAAAGAAAAAAAATTCAGCAACATCATCACAGCAAAAAACTACCGAATTCGAGAGTCTTCCTCTACTTGTACGTGAAGAAGCGAAAGAAAACCATAGCGGTGCTTCAACACCTTAGCGTCCGGCTCGGACGACGAGGTGGTCCTCTTTGGTGTCCTGGGGAACACCTGGTTCTTCGTCAGTAGTTGTACTTGGAAGTGTACAACAAGCACGGCTGCGCTATCTTACAGCTGCATCCGTAGTTCCTTGTTTGTATATTGTTCGTGCGTGCCGTCATAATTCTCGCCCAAGCCAGTGCATTCGCACGTAAGAATCTGGGACAGAGATGGAAAAGGAAGTTGTCGCGGTCGTGTTCGTGACTATCTTCGTTAGTCGGAGAACAAGCCCTGCTGGCTTGATCAATTCATATCTCTCATAGATTTGTGCTTGCCTCCAATCGGGTTGCGATATCGACGATACCACCCCAAGTTCGGAAAGTCGTTTATTTGGTCGTCAGCAATGTCCCGCAGCTGCTGCTGTACTTCATTTTCTACCTTTTTGTCTTCTGTCAAGCTGTCCTGTGATGAAGATGCAGATGCGAGGACGTCAACATTTCTGAGGCGCTCGTCGGACGTTATGGAACTGCCATGGCCAGCATCTGCCGATACATGCGCCTGTTCTTCGGGTCGCGGGGCAATGATCGGCCTGCTGTTCGCATCTAAATTCACTATTCTTCGCTGCGGTGCGGAAAGTGCTTGCGCAGCCTGCCTCTCTGTTTCCCATTTTTTGCGTTCCCCGCGCAGTTCTCTCGTGACCACATCGAGCATCTCGTCGATGCTCGTGCTCTTCCCCACTTTTTCCCGCAACTTGGGAAAAGTCTGCAACCCGGCGTAAAGCATGTGGAAGCAGTGCGCCTTGACACACTTGAATTTCGCGTCTGTTTGTTTTGCGTAGTGGGCGTATTCCTCGAAAATGATGTCCTGCGGCTTTCGCTGGTGGATTTTTACTCCCCCAGTGCTGACACCCCCGTTCGTACCACAACTCGTCCACGTCGGTCGGAATGCAAACAACTGCGGGTCCTCGAGCAGTGCCTCGGAGCTCATGACCGCGTCGCAACCTGTGTACTCGAAACACCTCTCCACGTCCGCGTAGTTTTCGATTCCCCCATTGCTGAAAATCGGCACCTTGTCCCCTCGGTTCCTAAACTTTTCCTTGATCAGCCGCGCCGCTTCCCAATCCACCTGCTTCACGTGCTGGCCCTTCTCCTCTTTGGTCCTTCCGTGTATGGTGATGGCGGAGACGCCGCTGTGCAGCAGCGACTCGCACAGGTTCAGCGTCTCCTGGTAACTGTTGCTGTTGTTCACCTTGCGGATCTTGCAGGTGGCGGGCACTCGTTTCAGATTTTTTGCCAGGGTGCTGATGACGCCGCATATCAGATCTGGCTCCTCCAAAAGGTAGGCCCCGTAGTGGCCCTTCTTCGCGATTCCCTGGGGACAACCGCAGTTCAGGTCCACGCCCGCAACGAACGGCTCCACCAGTCGAGCGGCCGCGAGCACCACCGACGGGGTGTCACCGCAAAACTGGGCGATCACCTTGTTTCTCTCTCTACTAGAAGTCGAAAACTCGCGCTCGAGGAACTTATTGACAACGCCGTTTGTAGTCGTCGACGCCGCACGCGCGCCAATGCTGTTGTTAGTAATGGTGTTCGCAGTTGTGTTCAACATCGTCGTCCCCAAGTGGGCAGCTCCTCCTGCTGCGTCGCTAGTACCAATCGAACTAGCTTCCATGGTTCTACTAGTACAACTTGTCCCAGGCGGTGACACAACGCTATCAAACACGGGGTTATACTGCCGCGCCACGGCTTGGTATGACGAGGATGCCAGCAACAGATCTTCCACCTCCGAGCTGTAACTGCCGTGCTGCACTAGGTTCTGGTACAATCCTTGATCCACGGACTGCAAGACCATTTTCGAGTTAATCATCGGGGTGTAGCACAAGTCGGTCCCGTAGTCCAGGCACAACAAGCGAAAGGCGAGCTCGCTCTGGTCCACCATCGGAGCGCAAATGTGTCTCGGCGAATCCAGCACATTCTCGTACCAATCGAAGCCGTGGCGTTTTGTTCTTGATGTGGTACAAGAACTTGGAGATGTTGTAGGTCCGCACTTCCACTTTGCTCCTTCCTGCTCGGTACTATGGTCTTGTTCTCGTGGGGAACAAGAGGTCGACGGGGTCTCCTCCACAACGACCTTGCGCCGCTTGCTTTCGTCATCCTCGGAAGATAATGCCATGGTCTTTATTCTTGAGCTTGAGCTTGTCTGAATATTCTGGAAAATGTGAAGCGAAAACAAGTCTGAATATTAATTCAGGGGTAGGTCAAAGTAGCTCGGGCAAAGTTGGCACTACTGCTCACTGGTATCGCCAAAAGAACTGATCCTGCTGTAAGTTTGTGGTATTGATGCATCAACTCATGCCCACGGCGCAGGGTGACTTACTATCCATAACAACATGATGAACTTCTGACTCAGTTTTGCTTTGATTTGGATCTTGACATCTACCCGGAACTGAACGGAAATCATGTGGCGTGGTAAAAATTCGGATCTATGTCTTTTCGGATCTTTGTGCTTGTAACGCTTCTCATACACTCGGGGGGCGTGATTACGTACGAGGGCCCAGACATGCCGACTGCCACACAGCTGCGCAAAAAGACACATCTTCTCGCAGCTTCGCATTCTTTTGTCTCGACCCTGCCAACATTCTACTACCTAGGGATCTTCAATATATTTTGCTTCAACTCGACACGAGAGCAACACATCGTTCGGGAGGACATGAGACCGCAGCGCTGCTCCGTTAATACTACGATCAACACAGGCAGTGTTTACCCTCCTTGGTTTCGTGGGTCTAGATTAAAGCTCCTTGTTGTCGTGGATCTAGAACGAGCAACAAAAGCCATACTCCGTCCTGTGTTGGAACGCTACTAGTTGCCTGCTTTCGTCGGTTTCGTTTCCTCCTCAGGAGGAAGATCGAGATCTAGATGTGTAGTGGCCTATCTTCTGCTTACGAGGTGTTCATGATCTTGAATCTTGTTCGGAAAGACATCTTCAAAAATCAAGTGTACAAAACAATACATCTAGACCCGAAAAATCGGACATCTCCATCTACTGAGGATATCCGCAGGGATAATTTCCGAAATCCGTTGTATGATCATCCACCTGAGCGTCCTCTACTTCATCCACAATCTCGTCAGGAGCGGCCCCGCTATTTGTCACTTGGAACAGAAAGCAAGGTATTGATCATCATCAATGCCGTCGATACCTGAGGTGTGATTATTTTTCTTTCTACTTCTTGTGCGAAAAGTTGATTCGATGAAATGCTTATGCTTGCAAATCCATTGGTGGTCCTATCTCGCCTTCCAGCTCGTCTACATCAACAAGTTATAAATACGTAGAGAGAAACTTACGTGGGGTACGAAGCCGCGGACTTGCACCTCGCGCATGCCGTCGTCGCGATCTCCTTTCTTGTCCGTGGTGATGGCGCACTGCGAGGACGCGCGAATTTGTTTGATCGAGGTTCCCTTCTCGCCGATGATCCGGCCAATCGTGTTTTCGCCCACGTGGATCGTGCAGACGCACTCCATCTCCGCCACCGTAGACACACCACCGCCGGCCGCCCCGTTGCTGGTGGGCCCGTCGACCCGCCTGCGCTTGTCTTGGTTGTCGCTCATCGAGGGGGCGAAGGGGTTCGCAGGTTCGTTGCCGGAAGTGAAAGCGGAGTACTGCGGCGGATCCGCCTCCTTGCTCGAGGCCTGCTCGCGCTGCCGCCCGCGCTTGTTCTGCTGAGTACTGTTGTTGTTTCCCGGCCCGTTCGCGTTCTTCTTGTTGCCGCCCCCTGGTTGCGCGTTCATCAAGGCCGCCTCTAAAACGTCCGCGATAGAAACCGCGGCCTCGCACAGGTCCGGGGATGGTCCAATCAAGTGAAAGTACCTGTTGATGCGTTATCATGGCTTGCTCTTGCTGAGAAATGCCGGAGAAACAAAATGATCACGAAATCAAGTTCTTCGCAATTTACTTAAACTCAAGATCTAAATCTATTTCATTCACAGATGCAGACTCACAGTAGTCACGACGACCTGTAAATGAATTTTCCGCCATCACATTGATTCGCGGAGTTGGACGACGAGTTCCTTGCAAACAAGAAAAAAGTGGCTGCGCCGTTACAACTTCGAGCAAAAATGAAAATACCGGTAAACATTGTCGGTATCCTCGTGCTTCAGCTCAAACTTGCAGTCTGGCCACTTTTCACGCCACCCGTTCAGGTTCGCGCCCCCACGCCCGATCAAGGCGCCCGCGCACCCAACCGGAATTCGCATCTGTACCGCGAACTTCTCGAAGAGGTCCGGGTGGTCGACCTGGAACTTGTCGTCCTGCTGCACCGACTTGATGAGGTCGCAAAACGCGCACCACATGTGCACCCACTCGCCGGCAATGGTGATGCGGCGAAACCCCCCGTCCTTGAGTTGGTCCTTCGCATCGTTGGTGATGCGCACATCATTGTTATCCTTGATCGCATTGATGCGTTCCCCGCGGGGGCCGATGATGCAGCCGAATGCCTGCTGCGGAAAGAAGGCCTCAATGGTTTGCAAGCTCGTCATAGAGGGCAGCTGCGGAGGTGGAAAAGTGCGGGCGGGATGAAGTAGATGAATGTACTTGAAACGGTGGATAAGGAGCGTAGTTTTTTCAGCGAAAGCCAGCGGCGGACTGAGCAGGCACAACAATTATCGGGAGGACAGCAGGCAGGCGTTGTGATTGGATCTAAAAAGACGTGAGTCAACGATGAACAATGGCTGCTCTTTCGAGACGAGATAAAGAATACGCACAATTGCTCGTGGGAGTAGATAAGAGAGGCAAACACAGATAATCCAATACCTAAACCTAGAGGGACGAGAGACAGGTTTTTGATGTTTGTAACTTTACTGCTACGTTGGTAGGTTGGTAAAGGTTTGATGGAGGTGGGAAAAAATTCAAGGACAAATGTTGGGCTTTGAGGGATTACCTGCTTTTGAGGAGAGAGGTAAGGTTGGACCTGCGAATCAAAAGCAATCTCTAGATTTGGATTTCAAAACAAAAAAGTAGAAAATTAGGAGCGACTCAGGTTCGATTTCGGGACTCTACGGAAGGAACGAATCTGGCTCAAAGGCGAACGAAGGTGGAAGCTGAGTCTGATTTCGATTCTCGTCGTGAAAGCACAAGAGCAAAAGGCGTGAAAATCGATGCGGATGGAAATTTAAAGCATTTTCGAGCTGCGGGCTGAAGGCAGGCTGTGTGATTTTGTTCTCCTTTTCGCGATAAAGAAGTGGATCAATTTTTTTCTGTCTCAGTCGTTATATATAGTTTCCGTGTACGTGTTCGAAACGTGCTTTGTTTTCTGTGCTGTTCCTTATCGTAGCACGAAGTCGGTGCGTCTGTTCAATCGCAAGACTCCTCACAGCCCACACTTCATCTGTAAGTGTGAGCGATGGCTTTGGTCACATGTAGTACGTACTACGCTTTTCAAACTGTGGACACAAGATCTAATCTATCTATCATGTACGATTGATGCGCAAACTACCAATTGATCCAGATCTCGATCTCTTCTCACTTTGCATATTGATATTTCGATTTCTGCAACGGAGATGGAGATCCACATCCAAGAACATACAAAACAACGAAAACCTGCAGAACTGCGTGACTTCTTTTGGCCCAACACACAACTGATTCCAAAGCTTATCATGCGAGAAGCGGACTCATCAAAACAAAGTGGCCCATATTTTTTCAAAAGAAGTACAGGTGGAGGCTCTCGTGTTTTTTTCTGGAGGTTTTTGTTTTTTCCATAGTATTTTGATTTTCGTTTTCAAGAATGACGTCAATTTCCAATTGTTTTCCTTTTCACTAATGACGTCGACTGTCCGGAATTCGTTCAGCAAAAAATGACGCAGCACTCACCGTAACCGGGGATGGCGGCGTTTCAATAACAAAATACCACTCTATTTTTTGCACTAAACCAAGAGGCGCTACGCTTCGTGTTTCGACGTGCGTTCCAAACATGGGAAGAAAAAGACAGGACTACCGATGTCGTCAGGAAGTCAGTCCTCCTACACTAATTGTAATTTCCAAGTCCATCTCTATTAATTTATGTATTTGCAAAAAATAATGCAAAATTACGTGGTTCAAATAAAGAACAATTTGTTTCCAAAAATTGATGCAAACTTACGTGGTTTAAAAGAGCAATTAATATGCAAAATTACGTGGCTAAAAAGAACAATAAGTAACAGTAAGCGAAAAAATTATTTTGAAAAGAAGCTGAAGCATACTCATCTATATAAATTTGAGTTCTGACATACAAAAGGTGGTCACCAAGAATTGTATGTCTAGGTATATCAAATGTACCCTGTACGTCGGCGCTCTCTCGTAATCAAGGACGAGCGGCACCCAGTGGCTTTCATCAGTTCAAGTTCTTTGACTTGGTGTAGCTGTAAGTTCGTACTTGTTATTTCTACTTTTTCCCATAGTACTAGTAGCACCGGCAATGTTGATGGAGCTACATTACTTCTTTCTCCTTCAAGCCCCCCAAAATAGGTCATCCATGTTGGCGGACGCTTGTGTCCACGCGATCACGTGAGGCCGCCCTGTTGTGTCCGCGCTTGTTGTGCCCTGGTGCACGTCCTCTCGTTCAAGTTCAAATAGTAGTGGCTCGTGGTGGGCTGCAACGGCGGCGGAGGTCTTGCAAGCTGGGATTCAACACGAAGGGTGTGAATATCCTATTTTCCCCGCGGGTCGTGCTCTGATCGCATTCGGATTCGTCTTCGGTCGCGTCGGCTTCCTCGTCCGCCTTGTCACTCCTAGTATCCTGTTCACCCCGCGTTGTAGAACGCAACTCCCGGACAGCAGCTGCTTCACTTTCACTGCTCGCCCTTAGTTCCTCGTCGTGGAAAAATAAGCAGTTCCCCCAACCGCGATTCGTGGATGTGGTCCCTACTTCCGTGGTGGTCGCGCTCTTCCGGCGGGTGCGCAACCAGGAGCCGGTGGCGTCCCTGCAATGAGGATGAAGACGACGCTCTTGTGAGACCACTTCCCGTCCCGAATGCGCCTCGTGTTGGCGAGGCGCTTCGAGTGCGGCGCTTGTCGTGCTTGGATTTCGGCCTCTGAAGACCTCCTGGCGACAGGGCATCTGTGCTTCTGGCGCCATCGTGACTAGTGCTTCTTGCCAAGAAGCGACTGGAGATCCTGGAATTCCTTCCAGTTGTGCCACCGCTTAAGTTGTAGACTCGCCTTCCCAGCAGGAGATCTTCCTTAATCTTTTGTCGCTCCTGCCAATTGCTGAGTTTCTTCTTCTCTTCTTCTACTTTCTTGTGTTTCTTACTGAAGCGGTTCAGGTCCAGCCTCCCGCGCCCAGCGGTGGAGGAGGAAGCTCCTGCTCCTCGACGTGTAAAAGTCGTTCCGCGTTTGGTCGATCCAAGATAATTCTTGCCCCTGCTAAACCTGGCGCTTGTACTCGTTGGTGTCGAAGAGGAGCAGCCGGGGCAAACACTATCATCTGCGTCATCCTCTGGCTTTCGACGTTCAGTCCTCGCTTCCACGACTGCGATTGGCGAGCCCGGAGGTCTGCTTTCCTCCTGCTCCTCTTCCGCGACTATCGAGAGAGCCTCTTGATCTTCAAAGTAGCTGCTCGGGCTGCTCTCCGCATCTGCAACTTCATCCTGTTCACGGGTAGGCTCAGGAGCACCACGACCCCTGGTGACGTTCGTCATCCTCGGCAATATTTGTTCCATTTTTTACTTCAACAAGTCTTTCGGGGGATCTCGTAGTCCCAGTTAGGAGCAACGAATTGGTTGCTCCTTCCCCTTGCTGTGGCTGCGCATCCTTTCTCGTGGTACTTAGCAGTGCAACCGACCTGGCTAGCACGTCGCTCAGAGGGCTCGCAGCTTTTCTACTTTCGCCGTCTAGTACAGACGAAGGATTGCTGGTGTGCAGCAGTGATTCCTCTAGACCAAGTCGTGCTCCTGCATGTTGCCGCGACATTGTATCGTCCTCGAGGTCCGCGTGATCGTGCACCTCCTGGCCGCCCAAGGGGAAAGGGTCTTCCTCATGCGCCGGTGCGGCGGCCTGTGGGGGAAGAACCAAAACCGGGATAATTGCAGAATCGGCGCTATAATCTACCGGTGCTGGAGTGGCGCCTCCAAGACGTGAAACCCTTGCCGGAATAGGCAGCCTCACCTTGTTCTTAATTTCAACCAGCTCCTCCTGCAGGCCCCGAAGCTGCGTGGTGCAATTTTGCAGCAACGGTTGATCAGATTGTTGTACACACGATGACGCGGCTACCGCTCCCGTAAATTTTGTTCCTTCTGAACAAGATCGAAACCGATTTTCGGATTCGACAGTGTTCGTTCCAGAATAAAGGGAAAACGTTGCAAGATTACTTGCTTTTGCTGGATCTGGTGCTGTTGTTGAGACATTTCTTACGAAGGCCGGATGCATGTCTGAATCGAACACCGGGTGACTGGTCGATGACGACGCGACAGAGGAGGAGGAGGGTGGTAGCAACTCTGGCGGTAGCAACTCTGGGACGGAGGCCAAGTCGTACTGCTGCCCTTTTCTTCTTTCATCTTCTAGTTCTACCCCGCCCGCAGCGACGGAACAATAACAGGAAGTGCTGCCCGAAGATGGATTCTTGTCCTCAGTGAGGACCGCAGGTAGTTGGAAGGAGCAGTGCTCCTTGAACCTCCGCAACCAGAGGTTGGAAGGAGTAGAGCTCCTTGCACGGCTTCGGTTGCTGCACTCGAAGCCGCTAGGCGGCAGCATCGGAGCAGGGGTCGTCGCCAACTGATCCAACTCCTCCATCACCATCGATGTTGAGTTGGTGGAATTATTGCTCGAAAACTGCGCTCTGAAGTAGTAGTGCTGCTCCGAAAACAAGTGCTCCTGGGCGTCGGGTGTCGCCATTTCCGACTTCTCCTCGCCGAAGTGGTAGCCTCTTCCCTGCAAAATAAAAGCGTCATTGTGTTCGTGGGGCGCTTCGTCGTCCCAGAAGTGGGACGACGGGCTCGTCCGAGCCTGCTTGGTCAGTGGGGTCTCCGTCTCTTCATCATCGTCCAGGGAAAACGAAAAGCTAGGCGGAAGCGCAAGGCCGCTTCGGCTTCTCTTGTTTTGCTGATTGCAGCTGGAGGAGCAGCTCGTGCGGCCGGGCGTTTGGGAACCAGGAAGCTGCAGCTGCATCTGCAAGTCAGGCAGACCGCGCGTCGCATCTTCATCCGCAACATCAGCGGAAGTGCGGAGCGGCTCAGCGATAGGAAGTACTAGGCCAGCTCCTGCACCAACAGAAACATACGGGGACGACAACGCTTCACCCACAGAGGACACACACGCAGAAAAATTAAAATACGAGCAATCATATGAGGACGACGATTTTTGCTCAAGTTCAGCAGCAGCTGCGCGCAAATAAGTGTGATGTTTACTAGCAATGCTACTGCTCGAGCTACTCTTCGTCCTCGCGTGCACAGGCAACGGCAATAGAGTCCAATAAATCAGTGTAAAAAAGGCAGCACGTGCGGACCATCTACATTTTCGTCCAGCGGGAGCTGCGCCTTTGTCTCCGCCCTGCAACAGCGACATGACAGAGCTGCATTCCATTACAGATCGCAAAACCACGGCGGACAACATCGATCGCGATATTCACGACATCCACAACCTTCTGTGAATCTTGCTTTTGACTTCCAAAAAATACCGATTTGATGATGAAATAAGAAATACGATGCTGTACGGATCAAAGATCAGAATTATGATCTTGATACTTGTTTAATTACAAGGAGTTTGCCTTTGTATTTGCTCGAAGGAAAGAAAAAAATCTTCAAATTCATTGCACATCAATTTTCCTTGATAGCAACAAATGAGGTTGCAACGACAACAAAAACTACAAACACAAGTAGACGACCGCTACATGTTGTATTTCAGATTTTTATCAGATTGCCGATTTGATTTAACTTAGGTATTGTTCTTTTGTGAGAAGCACCATGCATAGAACGATACACAAAAAAAATAGCACCAATCGTTTTGGTTTTTCTTTATATATATGCACCTTTTTCGACCTAAGCACTGACGATAAATTGAAAAAACAAGCCACGGAGCGAGAGAACCGAAAAGAGGACCGCAAAGAGCAGATCTGCGCCTTGTAAGAGCCCCTGCTGATCTTCGTCGTCGTGAAAAAACAAAACCATCAAGATCGACCAAGAAAAGAATCGAAAGAAGTGCAAGGGGCGGAAAAAAAATGAAGAACCAAAAATAAAAAATGCCGACACTGGACTACACAGACTGAATTCATTTGCCTTCTTCCCGGTGTCGCTCATACTTAAGTAGAACAACAGCAATTTTGCACAATACTGAGTGCTGCAAAGGGTCGCAAGACGCTAGCGCAGAAATTGGCTTCGCTTACTTTCGCCTCTCTCGGCGGGCGGTTTCCGCGAAAGCAACACTCCGGAGTTCTTGGAACGGAAAGCGTGTCAACACTCCAAGCAGTGTGATGATATAGCTCTAGTACTACAACCTCCCTCAAACACTGTTTTTGATCTGGTTCACGCTGTCCAGTTCTTGTTTATTACGGAGTTCCGTCTCCCCAGCTGCGGTCGTGTGCTGCCGTGCCCCGCCCGCATCGGCGCTACTATCAACCTTATTTTTAACGTGGGTCATGTCACTGACGCCGTCTTTGCCAAGCAGAGACAGATTTTCTTTCTCTAGGTTTCGCAGAACATCAGCACTACCAACGTCACCTCGCTTTTGCTCTTCGCGCCACGGAGAGAGTCCCAGATCGTCGAACCGGTCCCAAACCCAGCCAAAAACCTGTCGCTTGAGCACGTTCTGCCGATCGGCTTCGCTCTGGGTCTGCTGCCACGTCTCCCGCCAGTCCGTCGTGCGCCACTTCTGCGCCTCCGGGCTGCGGTCCAGATACGCGCAATCCAGGCAGTTTCCGTACTTGAGCAAATAGGGCTCCACCAAGTACACGAGGCACAAACAACTGGCCCACCAACACCACACGCTCCCGGCCTCGGCGCCGAGCAACAGGTACACAAAAAAGCAATAGGTGTTGATGTGCTGGAACGCATACGGAATCAAGCTCGGACGGGTCAGGATGTTGAAGGCTCCAGCCATCGCGGTGTAGGCAGTGCAGAAAAACAACTCGATCACTTTATAGGGCCACGCTACCATCGACCAGACTTGGTGTCCGAAAGGGCCTCGGCTCGTGCAGCGTGCCACCCACAAACCCTCGCCGCCGCTCGTCATCAGAACCTCGCTCAGAGCAGCGGCACTAAGGTCCACCGGCGCACCTCCAGGAACTACAGCGGAAATCCCATCTGCCTGGTCGATGTGTCCAGCCGAGGACCCAAGTAAAACGCCGTTCGGTGCAGAAGGAGCTCCTGCAGCTGTAGGAGAAGGCACAGCAGCTGCCAGATCCACTCCACTGCGACTGTTGCTCGTCAGTTCACTTGATGTGTCAACAACTCGTCTCATCAAGTTGGGATTATCGATCAGCAGAAAATAGCCCAGAAAAATGACAAACACCCCCCAACAGCGAAGCACCAGCTGCAACGCCGCTCTCCGGCTCCGCCCGTATTGCCCCACCCTCTTGGAATCGTTCAACGGTCCAACCCGCACAAGCCAGTCCGGTGCGGTGCCGCTTTGCAGCTGCTTGTCATGGTTCTGGTGTTCCCAGTTAATGTGCATCTGCCAAACCACCATTGTCCCATTCACCACGACGGCGATCAGCCACGAGAGCACGGAGTTCGCGTAGCTGCACCGGTGCAGCGCCGGATCTTCCCACGTCGCTTCCCACCAATAGTTGCCCATGCGCGTTCGCTCGACGAAGGGCCACAGCAGGGCTTGCAGAATCTCCTGCAACACCAATGGAATTTGAAAATACACGTTGGAGCGGTCAAAAAGCCAGTTGCGGCGATACAGGTAAATCAGTATCAGGGTCTCGGCGAACGCGAAACCCCCAGCAACTTGGGGCGACCAACACATGATGTTTGTCGACAACTTAGCAGTAGGACTCCCTCTCCTTTTCAACTAGCGCTTGAGAAAGAAGAAGAACGACTCGGCGACTGCTTCTGCATCACACCTACGTCTTTACTCAAACACAGCAAAACTGACACAACAAGAATGGTATCTATCCAAAATCAGCTGCAAGCTTGCCGCCCAGAAGAACAGGCATGATATACAAAGCAGCGAATCCTCATCGCCCGCTCAAGTTCATTCGCGGCACTCGTCTCGGTCTCGGTCTCTCCTTTTGATTTCTTACTGCAGCTTGCAGACCGCTGGAGGCACAAGAACCATAGTTTGTTAGTACAGTACCCACTAAAACACACTGAGACTCAAAGTCTTCGTTAAAGACATCATGATGCATAAACCTGTTTCTTATTTTTCATCCGGAATTCAGGGGCGTTTTCGGAACTCGAATAAACTAAAGTCGTGACGTAGATGGTGCCGCTTACGTGAGTAGGCATCACGGGCATTTGTGTAACAAGTATTTCTTTTTTATAAGGGCTGCGTACGCGTAGTAGCTTCGAATTTCCATTTCAGCCGTCAGAAAATTCATCCTCCTCCGCCGGTTCTTCGGCGAAAATGTCTTCGTCTGCAGCGTCGCCATCTCCTGGCACCCCCTCGTCGGCGTCGTCGCTGTTCTCTAACGTTGGTGATACAACGAAGTTCAACTCACCACATTCGTGCTGCAGCGGCAGCGTAAAGATCAGCGGGTACTCCCGACTGAGAAATATCAGCACGGTCTCGGCAACAGGGAGCCCCGAACCAACCATGATGATCGATTCTGTCGTAAGGAGAATTTTGGTTACTTCATTTTCGCCACTAAAAAATGTAAAAAAAATAGTTTCAACTTTTTGGCTCATAAAATCCACAAAACACTGAATGACACGACAGAACCTGAGGAAAATAAAAAAGACATGCTGATGGTTGGATATGTACCATTTCTGAAGCGGCATTTCTCTTTGCTGTCGAAACCCTCTTTCCTGTTAAGGAATACTTGGTCTTGATTAGGTATTTCGAGCTGCTGCTCTAACGTTCCAGCAACGATGAAGTCCACACTCATGCCACCGGTTGCGTTCTCGGAGCCAAACCGTATCATGTCCACTGGTTTCGATATTACAGTGAAAAGTGCCCCCCACCCCTGAAATTGCAAATATTTGTGATGCGCAGTTTCCAAATGAAAACTTTTTGTCATGCATGAAAGGAGTATGAATCTTTCTGATGCAGAGTCTAGTCGTGTTTCGCATCGCTTGCATGACAAGCACCGCTCTTCCTGGGATCTTTTGCAATACAAATTTTTGCTATTCACGATCGGAAATCTGTGATGCTGATACATGCAAGAGGGCGAATGTTTCATTTGGAAAGGTTTGCAATACAAATACTTTCAAGTTCGGGGGTGGGGGCATTTTTCATTCTGATATTCGAAGTGCCGTCTTTCATGTCCGTGAAGTCCTCAGTGGGGCACTTATTGTGAGGAAAAATCCCCTCTCCCCATAAATATCCAAAACGAAATTTGTGTTGCTGTATTTGAGGCGTGAGGCGGCAATGATCACACTTAGGGGAGGTGGAGCGGTCAGTTGCTGTATTTGAGTACACAAATCGATTTGTATTGCTAGAAGGCCAAGAGACGAAGCTGCTCCCTCGTTTGCAGGCAATTGGTCATGCTGTTTTCGGTTTCCAGTTGCTTTCTGTCATGCAGAAGGCGCAAGGCTTTCCTACGCCAGCCAGCACTACAATCCGCATCTCTTCCCTTCTAGCATGACAACGTGATTTGTGGCCACAAATCATGCTACACAAATCTCTCTTTCGGTATGGAGAGGGGGGATTTTTCATTTTGATAACACTGGACGTAAACCTTCGACTTTTTCTGGTCGGCTGTTGTGCAAGTTTTGCATTTAATCATCCATGATCTGGGTGAGGATTTGACCTATCCGAAAAAAAATGAAAAAGAAGAACGCAAAGTAGCGGCTGGCCCAACAAAATTCTCCCTGGTGCTGGTCATTCAACATCAACACTTTTGCTTTTCGTACAAATAAGAACATCAGGATCTCACGGTTCGCTAGTTCGTGCAAGGTGTCTTGGACATATCGGAAGCTTGCGACCGGCATCTGGAGCCTTGTCGCGTCGTCTTTCTTGGGCGGTATTTCGAGCGCTGACTCGTTCCCGACTGGTAGTATCCTAATTTTGAATTCGTTCAGCTTGAAACCGCTGCTTGCCTCTTGCTTTTTCTTGCTCTTCGGCGCTCCTGCCGCACCGTTTGCTTCGTTGGCAGCGTCGATTCCCTCTTGTATTCTTTCTCCCCGTGGATCTAGCAGCGCAATCGACAGCGTTTCGCGGTCGACTTCCGTATCATACAGCAGATAGATTATCTGATACAGTAAACGCAATGGTTGTGTAATTGTGGCAGGCTTTCGTTTTTTGTTTTCACTTTACTTTCCATGATGAGAATGTCTAGCTATGTGCAACAAACATCGACCAAAATCGTCTCTACTAAACAAAAACATACGATACACAAAGAAAGTCAGGGACATCACAAAACATAGAAAAATGGTACATCTCTTGTCTTGCAGATCTTGAGCACTTTGTTGATAAGCTGCAAGTCGACAGAGAAAGTGAATTCGCCGCTTTCCTCACCTTCCGCGGGCTTGTTTGTGGTCTCCACATCGTACAGGTCGAAAGCCTTGTCGGCTTCCAGCGACCATTGCACGAGCGACACCTGTGGTAAAGCAAGTAGATCAAGCCGTGTAAATTCATGGCCAACTTTCAATCATCCATCTGTCCATCGCATCTATGTCTATGATTTCCTGAGTCTCCAGCGCAACATCGCACATTGTGCAATCTTGAAAATAGCAGTGAATGGTATGCTCGGCCTCGGCCTCAGACGCTGTGTGGGAATGAGAGCAAACATGAAGGCGCCCGAGCCCGACCCCGACAACACGGTTAAAAACGGGCATAGTATCTTATCACTCTCTTCATCACAGCAAATCCAATGCACTTACGTGGTTTGCATCTATCCCGATGTAACTCAGCCGTTTTTTTGTTACTTTCAGGGTGAGTTTTTGAACGTCGGAGTCGTTTTTCTTGTCTTGTATGCTCTGTGCGCAATTCACAAGCGTCTTGAAGAGGAACTGGTCCTTGAATTTGCACTCAAACCGGTGCTTTACTTCTTCTTCTTCGTCCTCGTCGCCATCCTCCTGCTGTTCTTGCTTGATGAGAACATCGCCCTCGTCGGCCATTTTCTTCTACTTGATTTACTTCTACTGTATTCAAGTGGGAGCGAGACAAGTAAAAACGATTTCACAATAGGAAGCAGCAATCTTGTCTGTGAAAGCAAATGAAACCGAGAAGTTGCCTCTTCTGCTTTTCACGAAAAGCCATACCACAATGAGACATTTCTACTAGTGTCGCTGAAGATGCAGGTCATGTACTTCTTGATCTATCATGTGAAAACGAAGCGAGCTAAGCTATTCACATTCAGTTTCATGTGAACGCGACATGTCAGCATGTTGATATTCTTCGCCGGGGCAACGAGTAACACCGGTGGCGACATTGGTATGGCTCAAACAATAACAGAACTCGTTTGCGGATAGAATGATCAAAATTCAACGCAGATCTTCATCTCAACCTTTATTCCTCGGTGCTAACAACAGCAAGATTGCAGTGCGCTACCGCTGAAGATCGTAGAAAGTGGGCGACGAACACTGAGTATGGTTTTCCTTTTTTCTCCGAAAGCAAGGCAGCAGTAACTGGGTAGGCACGCGCGACTCCACCATTGCTTATTGATACTCTTGAAGTACATTCAACTTCGTCGAAACAACAAAACAAACAGAAACATGTTAAGAAGTTCTTCCGCAAATCTTGCGGGTAGAAAGCGTTTTGAGAGTTCAATTTACACACTAGAGATACTAACGATACGTGAAGAGAGCGACCTGGTAGGCAGGCACACAATCATAAGCGTGGTCTAGTATCAAAAAAACGTAGAAAAAGATGACTTGGTCACCTGGAAAATGAATGACTTGCCCGAGCGTAGAAGCAAACATAGTTTTAATCCGAGAAAAAAGGAGCTGGAGTTCTTCCTGCAGCAGCCTCATATTCATATGTAGGACGTAACTCAACAGACAAAAACTAGGGTCCGCCTCCAGGTTCAGATTGGTTTATTGGTTACAAAATGTCAAAACACTACACAAAGACTCCTCCAAAACTGTTCGTGTCTAAAATCGCACGACTGCAGATTTGCTATTATTAGGGAACTTCTTGGTTGCCGGCAGACCCGTAGGATTCCGGCGAAGCAGTTGTAGACGGGAAAATAAAGGCCCCGCCGGTATAATTGCTGTCTGCCGTTGCAAACGGGATCGACATCACAGTGGAGTCCGCCGATGATACGCCGGACGACGCTGAAGCGGAAGCAGAGGACGAACTTCGACTCAGTTCGCTCGCTGCGTCGTGCTCTATCAGTCCGGCGGCCGAGGCAGGTGGTATTTGCTCTGTCAACTGATTGTTGCGAAAAAAGCTAGACAAGCGACACCGCAACCCTTCGAGAAACGCGGGCAGGCGGTGCGGTAGACACACCAACCCCGTCGTTGCACCACTTCGAGCAGCAGCTGGAGCACCTGCTCTAGTCCCGCTTCCGGAGGAGGCGCTGCTACTACTTTCCCCCACTGCAGCCCCCGTAGACGAGCCACCGCCGTGCTGCTGTCCGCTGGAAGATGCGTTGCTTGCTGGGGCCACAAGGTACTGGTAGAGATACGATGCCAAGTTGTTTCCCCCGGCGCTTCCGGAACTGTTACTCGCACTAGTACCGGAAGCGCTTCGTCCCCGTTGGTCCGCAAGTCTGTTACCCGAGTTTCCTATGAGGCCGCTCAGCATACCGTCACTAATCGGATCTACTTCAGGACAAACGGTTTCTTCTCCGGTAGCGCACCTGCGACACAAGTCGAAACCGAACGGGTGTGCGCCGACCCGCTCCGCGGGACAGTGATAGAGCTGTGTCCGCCCTCGCACAGCACGGTTGCACATATCGCACTCCACCGGGCACCTGCATTTTTGCCAGTCAAAATCAGTGTAAGCACCAAAGGCGGGCCCGAATTTGATGAAAGTGTCAAGAGAAGAAAGAGGGACAAGAAAGACAAACTGAAAAATCAACTTCATCAAATGGAAACAAAAAGCAAGCCAGATGTTTGACCAATTTCAACGATGTAAGTACTTACCCTAAACTCGTCGAGTAGGCAGACCGTGCGGAGACAAGCTGCATCGTCTCTCCGCATGGACAAAGCACGCGGCGGGAGTCCAGCAAAACGTCCTCAGAGAAATGCAAATCCTCTACCAGTTGGTCGAGTTCCGCGCGTAAGTCCGCATTTAAGTGCACGGTTACATCGCTCGAGGAAATTCCCGGCGCCGTAGTAGATGATTCGTTCGGTGGCGCTGCTACAACTTCTAAGGTCGCATGCTCCGTGACGTCGACCATCTCCGCATCTTCTTCGAACTCCTGCAGCTCAGGGGGTGTGGTACTGCTCGACGGTAAAGAGGAAGGTGCGGTGCCTAGAGTGTTCGACCGTGAACGCGTTCTTGATGTCGTTGAGGACACATTATTAGATGCTTGTTCAGTTGCACTTAAGTCTATTACAAGGCTGACCGCGTCATTCTGGTTTTCACGATATGCTGCACCATTCCTGCTGCTGCTATCCCCGCCGAGAAGCGGCTCTGACCTACTATCAAAACCTGTGTTCGCGAAGTCACCAAGTGGACTGATGTCAGCTCTGGTTGCATTCAGCGATGATGCCGGTGGCATTCGTCGATGCAAGGATTGCTGTGCCGACCGCATTTCTTCCCTTGCTCCAGCGGCCACGTCACTGTGCAACTCCACAGACTGCCGTGAGCCGCACCTTCTTCCGAATAGGCCCTGCACAAATGCCGCTATGCGGCTTTGTTCTCCGATTGCTGCGCCGGCAAACAGCCGCGGACTGGCAGGGAGGTTATTCTGGTATTGAAGATAATTATCAGTCGATGCCGCACTGCTAGAGGAAGAAGAAGAGATAGTTCTATTTGCTGATACAACTGCGGGATCGTAAACTACAACAGCTGTGCTACTTGAGGAACTGCTGCTTCCCGCGCTGGAAGGAGCGCGTGTTGCCCCAGACTGTGCTGCCCTGCTTGTTGCGCGGCTGCCGACGGGGAGAGTTTCCTGTTGCAGATGGGTCCGGAAATCGCGGTACCGCTGAAAGGTTTGCCGCAGATCGCGATACAAGTCCAAGTCGCTGGCACGCAGGATGCCCAGGGCCGTCGCGGACGTGTTGGCATCCAGTTGAGCAAGCTCGGCCGCACTGATGGCCGTGTACATTCGCGAATTCTTACCCCGCTGCGCCGAGCCGTGTTTCTTGTTTCGGTTCTGCAACACCATCTTTCCGTCCTTCGGCGCGCCCAGTTCCCAATCCGCTCGCGTGTCCCGGGCGCGGGCTGTGATCTTGGACGGAGTCGCGCTCACAACGGGGCTGTCAGGTCCTGAGTCGTCCGTGGTCGCCGTGGAAAGTTTGCTTTGATCTCGATGATGATTATCGGTCATGAGTTCGTAGCCGTCGTGGGGAACATGATTGGATACGGAGAGACTGATCGCGTTGTTCGCATGATGATCCCCGTTCTGCACAAGATTCTTGTCGTAGGTCTCGATTTCCTGTTCTGTACGCTTCCGAAAGGGCATCCGACAGTACGGACAACGGGCATACACCTTCGAGACCAGTTGTGTCGCGCAATCGGCGCACATATTCGAATGACCACACGGCAAGCAGTGCGCGGGATCAGGTTCTGAATCCAAGCAGATACAGCATAGGTCCTGCTCAAGCTCTCTGCTTGCGCCCCTCTCTTGCACGACCTTGTGGAGGGTTGTTGTCCCAGTTGGTGAAAGCGTTGCATCATGATGAGTTGTGGAGGTTAGTGTGGTACTGCTCTCTACTGTCTCCATAATACGATCGCCCAAATCTTGCAGGTCTTGATGGTCTTCCACAAGCAACGGAGATGTTGGTGCGGCGTTCTTCCTACTGCTTGTTGCCGTTGCAGCTATTATTTTGCCCGGTTCAACAACATCAATATTGGTGAAGTCAGCTGTCGGCAGAATTCCGCGCCTCGCGAGGGCTGCAACTAAGGTTTCTCTGGTGTCGAGCACGGGCGCTTTGTTCGGCGAGGGCAAAGTAGATGCACCGAGCGCCAAATCCAGATCGAGACCAATCACCATTGGTTCACTGGCGACACTCGCCACATCCGAGATATTGTCTCCCGTTCCTGACGTGCACTGTGCCAGTGCATCGACATCGTGTGAAGAAGAAGAAGAACATGCTGTTGTATGAACAGGAGGATAAATGGAGCTGCCTTCACTGCGAATCTTGATTGTTCGGCTCTGATGACCGTCGTGCGCTACTGGGAGATGAACCTTTGTTCTCACGGTAGCCGCTCCCTGGAGGTCAACTTCTGCGGCTTGCATGACGTTGCTAGTAGCGCATGCTACATCATCAACCATGTGGTCTCCTTCGTCTACATTGTCATCTGGCGTAGCTGTATGCGAGGTGGGCGACAGTGTGAACCAGTGTGGTCCTCCGTCGGAAGTCGGCGAAGGGGCCGTTGACGAGGTGGGTGTTGTACTAGGTCCCACTGTCGCGGCAGGCGACACGGCTAGGAGCTGCGGGTCGCCGTGCTTTCGACGCTTCAGCATCATGCCAGTCGGCGATGGATCGTCCTCGACGTCGCTGTCTGGCTGAACATCTATCGCATTTTCCTCACTTCGCCAGGAAGGAGGAGGCAAAGCAGTACTTAGCGTCCCGATTCTGCTTGTGCTTTCTGTGTTAATGTTATCGTCATTCTGCATCTGCTCATTCCATCGAACAGCTTGCTCCATAATCTCTTCTTTGCTGCGTTTCCGCTGCTTCAGTCTCGGAGAGAACAAAGTGCCGGCAGTAGTAGGGCGTCTCGTCGGAGAAGTACTAGCCGGTGCTGTGTGCTCACTTCGTCCCTGAGACGACTCCAGAGGGGGAGCAGCGGCTGATGAAGTCGTCCAATCTCGATTCATTCGTTGCTGCGCCGACCAGGCTGCATAAGCAGGTTTTCACCAATTCTTTCGAAGAGGATACCGGTGTTGATTCACAGCACGAGAGAGATGATGTTGTAGGGGGGACAAAACTGTTGCAATCGGTTATATGTCTAAGCACCAGAGGCACACTAGAGGGGGTCATGGGTACAACAAAGAAAAAGGCACGGAAGTTAAAGGGCAAAGAGCTATGTCGCAGAAATTCAAAACTTGACCTTCCAAAAATGAACGACTAAATAGCGGGGCGGCTACTTGGTAACAACTAACAAGTTGAGTTTTATCATATTCCTATTGCTATCGCTATCTCTAATGATGAGGGAGAGGTGAGTCCGTGGGTCTTAATGCGTTCAGAGATATTTTGGTACACCACCACGACCTGTGCTGGAAAAAAAAAATCAGGGGGGCTCTGAAATACGCTTCCACGTATAGACGACTGCTTTGACGGCGGGATGCCGGTTTTTGTTTTTCCAATATGTGTTTCACTTTCACCGAGGACAATGCAGTGCTGGCGTTAGTCTACTTGTCACAGGTGCATACATCACCGAAGCGACACTACGTCTTTTTCTTCAAGCATGTGGCAGCACCGATCCGTCATGTTCATCACAATTCGACCGCGACCGAAAAATACTCAAAGTCACGAGGTAAAACGAGCATACAAGTTTTGAACGACACATTGATCACCGACACGGATTCTCATAATCGAGAAGTTTGACCGACTCGTTCTGTGCAAACTACTTCAACATCTTGATTATGATTTAGAAATCATGTGGTCACGACATATTACAGACCATGATTGGCTGAACGAACACAGACAATGTCTGTACTGGGTTAGAGGGGTCGCTGTATATGAGTTGTAGCACGGTCGTTAGAATTATGGTCGCTGTAGCAGATGACTAGCTACTCAAATTTATTTGCGCTAGTACTAGCCGTACCGATATCCTCCATCGATCCGGATCTGATAAAGGAATGTGATGCGTTGGCGTTCTCGGTGTGCTATTCTATCGGAGCGAGTAGCTCGGTGCGAATGACGTACTTCGACCCTTCCAGCACCGGGGAGCCTTCGTGGAGCAGTGGAGGCAGACATTCGCCATGCGGAAAAACCAACACGGCACCCTTGACGGGTTTCACGGGGATTGACACCATACGGCCTTCAGTCGCTGGAACGAAATACCGGGTGCACCCGCCGGAAAAATCGTCGTTCAGGTAAATCAGAAAAGTGAAGTGAGACGTCTTCGCTTTTGCCTTGTCTTCCGTCAAGTAGCCGGGGCTTGACCCTTTTCCATTTTGTGCAGCTGCCCAGTACGGCGATTTTTCATATTTCTGCACGCGCCCAGCCTCGTAATACAACCCGTCCGCAGTCAGCTCCGAATTCGGCCAAGCACCGTCGATGTGCGGTCGGTAGTAGCGGCCGGGGACATACCGATAGCACCGCCAGCGACGGTTCAGGCTATCCACTTTTTGCATCACCTCCGTTCCGCTACCGTCTTCGCGAAGTTTCTTCGTGCTGTCAGTTGACCGCTGCAGCAACGGTTCTACTCTTCGGAAAATCTCTCGCTCGATGTCCTCCGAAACCATCCAGACGCATGCGTGCGCCAGTTTCGAATCCCCGGGCTGCCCTTGCAAAGGTTCGTCGGGGTGATATCCTGCAGTCTCGGCGCAGTGGCGTAAGTTATCACACTCCCAGGGCCGCAACACGTTGTGCAGCAAGAACGCACCCGGCACAAATGGGACGTCAAATCGACTCATGTTGTCTGGCGCGGTTGCCCCCAACACCTCAGACGAGCGAAACGCATTGCGCATAATCTGCAGCGGGTACTTGTTCGGGGGACGGCGGTCCCGCGCCGCTTCTTCGTAACAAACGTGAAACTTTGGCTCAACTTTCATCTGCTTTTCATCAGCAGCAGCACTCGCCCCCTCTACCGAGTCCTCACAAGGGGCTGGCTCGCAGCGATTCCGAAACTCGTGCGTTTCCAGGAGAACAAGCTCACTTGCTCCTCCGTCTTGCGCTGTGGGTCTCCTTGACGAAAGACCTTCGATCTTCGCGTGCGCATCGCAGTAAGATTGTACTTCCTTCAGAGCCGGCATCCGATGGACGAATTTCTCTGCGCTTTGCCCCGGCGAGTTTTTATCCGCTTGTGGTCCTTTCCTTTCTCGAGAATCTCCTTCGTAGTAGCAACTCAAAAGCGCATGCAACAGTCTCCACCGCGCAGTGCTTTCGTTCCTGCTCTTGGAAATGTCAGTTACACTCCTTTTACTACCATGATTCTCTACTTCAGCTTGCTTGCCGGTTTGGTGCAAGGAGATGCCCGCGGCGTCGATTTGACGGATCCAGCGCTGCAAGGCTCCAAGCTTCGGCATCTCGTTACGCGGATGAAACTGGGCGCGGAGCAAGGAGACTGCGGCATCGTAGTCGCTGCCGTCAATCATGACGCTCACCGCCTCGTGCATCTGCCGCCGCATGGCAGCAGTCACTGTCACGAGGGACGAGGCGGAGGAAGAAGTAGATGCCGGTGATTCTAGAAGTGGTCCTTCCCGCCCGGAGGCGCCGATCTCCTCTTCTTGGGCCGAAGCAGCTAGTGCCTGGTGCTCTTGCAGATTCTTTTTTTGATTAGCAAGAATACTGTCCTGAATGAGCTGAAGCGACTGCTGATTTCTTGGCCTTTTATGCGCAGTCATCATACCACCGGCCCCTGATCCCGCCGATGCTCCACTCGTCGTGGGTTGCAAGTGGCTCAGGACGCGGTAAATTTCCCTGCGCAGGTCTTTGAACCGTTTGTCCGTCCGTAGTTTTTGTGGCTCCACATTCGTTGCTAAATGCCCCAACGTGCGAACAACCTGGACAAGGCACGCATCACTCAAGGAGGATTCTTCTTCTGGCTCCACCTTGTCGTTACCATTTTCATCTTGCTTCTTTTCTTCTTCTGCTGATAAAGATGAGCCAGTAGTCCTCTCGCTTTCAACGTGTGCGCGAGGACTTTCTGCAGATTCGCGACTCTCGGTGCAGCTGCTTTGGCATGATACTACTACTGCTGCATCCAGCCCTTTTCGCTTTTTGTACAGCGGCCCTTCGTCGTCGTCCGAGCCGTTTTTATCGTGGTCGTGGTTCTGAACCACGACGCAGCTCCTGCCTTGTTCCACAAGAACGTCTGCCGGCGTAGTTGTACTAGACATGATAGAACTTCCCGCATTCTTTGTCAAGACAGAAGTAGTAATTTGCGTCGGGGTCGTCGCGATATTTTTCGGCGCAGTGTGAATGGCGTACGGATCCCGATCCGCCAATCTGTCTCCGCTGCTCTGACGAGTGACGGCATCCTTCTTATTCTTGTTTCGCTTCTTAGCCATCTTCGTTTGGCTTTTTTGTCACTTTGCCTATCGTCGTTGTTTTGGCTCCAGCTTTGAATCGGACTCGACGTTATTTTATTCCTTACATGATCAGTAGCGTTCGTAATGTCGTAATAGTAAACAGATCCACGCGTTCACTGTTTGTCTCAATGTCAATCGCGAGTTGCGGCCGAAAATTTATCAACATGTGCGATGAAGCGGGAATTCAAAGTGATTTCCTCCCACGTAGCAACCGGAACTGTTCAAGGAAACGAAAAGGGTATTTCGACTGAACATTTAGATCGCGATCGTGGATCCATAGTACATCCGTCGAGCTCTATCTAGCAACAATGATCACGTGGATCCAGTTTCTTGTTAAAACATAAACTTCACACAGGATTGCAACAAGCTCCACGCGCCTTTTCTCCGATAGCTTCGAGGACCGTGAAAATTAAAGCCTGCGCCACACAAGACCTCCAACACGTTTGCGATGGCCAGTGCATTATTCATTTTTGATGATCTCCGCATTTTCCTTTTCGTCGGAACTGCTTTTAAATCGGTAATCTTGATCTTCCTGTTCCTTGTTGGTCATCTTGTATGGTACATCAAATGATTGGTCACCAGTTCACGGCTCCATGCAATTTTTTAGTGCACTAGCTCGCTGCCAGAACATCAGCTGTTCTTGCAACAGGTGGCAAACAAACCTGGCGACATTTTTTAGCAACACTTCAGCATCGCCGGGGTTACTACGCATTCCTTTTCCAGGTGTTCCAGATGTCCGTCTTCAGGGTCAGGGCACGAACTACCTAGTAACCAAAATTTCTTCTGATCTTCTTCGAAGTTTTCCTCCTGTGTTCTCGCGATAAAAAAAATTGCAACTAACAACCCGAAAAAAATGCCGACTAATCATCAATTTTTGTTTTGCTTTTGAGCATGGTTCGTTTACACGGCATCGATCCTATTCCTAACACATGCCACCCGTATCTGATACTGAGCTCACCCTAACACTTCTTTTTCGTGAAACTAAAGCGTGCGAGGATACTTAGTTGTCAAGATTCCATTCGACTTAGCCCTCAGCGTCAGATGCACATGCAGTAGTAGCTCCTACTTTTCTTCGACGTGTTCCCGAAAGTATTTGATATCATCGCTTGCTAGAATCGAAAATCAGAGTAAGTAAAGTTCGTGTTGAAAGTCAAATTGAATGCCAATTGTTTTGAAAACGTGTGAAAGACAGCCACGATCGTTCTTTATTAACAAAGCTCACAGCCAGTGCGATCTCTCAGAGTCGCGGTCTCGTCAACTCAAACTCATCAGAAAGTAAAAAGTTCTGTCGTCGTTATGTGCTCCCACCAGCCACAGCACAACACTATTTATTTCACTTTCGAACAATAGTTCCCCCGTCGTGCCGGTCGGCGGTACTATCGCACGTTCCCCTACAACTACTTCTCCCCCTCCTCCTGCTTATTCTTTTTTTCCTTCTCCTTTGCCGCATCTGATGCGAGTGAGTCTTTGTGCACGAGCGTGACCGCCGTGCCCAGGAGCGGGTGCGGAACAACGCCGCGATAGGGGAACAGCCGCGGGCGGTACATAGCGGACACGATGGCACCCAGCAGGATGTTCATCCAGAAAGGCATCCCGATGCCGAACCAGAGCGGGAACCAGCCCAGAAGGCACATCAGCTCCCACATGTTGCTGAAGGAGGAGCACTGCACGCACCAAAGCACTACGGCCAGCATCGTACACCCCTCGTAGTTGGTGACCGTGCAGGCCGGGCAGAGGAAGAGACAGGGGAACTTGGGGAATTTGCGCTTGTCGCAGGCGAACATGCCGATGGGCTCGTAGATAGTGAAGCAGGCGCCCTCCACGATCCGGCGGTTGCGCGTGGGGCCGAACAGTTTGTTCGGGTGCGAATCGTCGCGCCACGAGTGCACGTGGTTGTCCACAACGCGGTAAAACCCCGAGCCGTACAGCCGCTTGTCCGGGTCCTCCTCGAAAATGTACCCCGGGTGGCCGTGGTGGAAAACCTCCCCCTGCTCGTGCGCCACGAAGTCCGGACCGCGGTAGCTGCGCCGCAGCGCGGTGAGGATGAGCCACGCGAGGATGCCCACCGTGGCCACGAACACCTCCCACATCCAGGTGTGCCAGAAGAGCTTGCTGGTGTCCTGCTCCAGGTCGATCTTGTGTCTCGACGGCCGAAACGGATTGCCGTAGAAGTCCAGCGTCGTGGTGGAGCCGTCGCTCAGCCGCGTGGTCCGCGAACTCCAGTGGATATCCATCTCGTCGAGGGTCAGCGGCTCCTTGTAAAACTCCTGGGGGGTCTCACCCCAAGCACCAATGTACCGGCACTGCAAGCCGCACCAAGTTTTCACGTCCTCGGGGTTCATGTTCAGCCGTTTCGTCACGAAATTTTCCGGGATCGTCAGGCTGTTCACCGGTGGCGTCACCTTGATTTGCGTCACGAACACCTCCATTACCAGACCCTGGGTGTCGCTGCCTTGCCGCGTACTCGAGGCCTTTTTTCCGTTCGTTATGTTGTGGCTGCTCGGTGGTGGTGTGTCGGTGTTGAGCTTGTTTTTCAGGGTACTACTCCAACTGCGAACATCACTTGCGTCCAGTAGTTGCTGTTTCCCTGCTTGTAGCAACGATCGCATGCCAGTGGCGGCCGCGGCGCTTCGCTGACGGAAAAGTGACAAAAGGGACGGCGGCGGAGCCCGGGTTGTGCTACTGGACGACAGCTGCCTCTGTTCCAATTCACTGCTTGCGGTAAGAATTCCAGCCATCGACCCGCCCATCTGTGCCTGATGAAGTCATGATTTTTATGGCTGCTTTTATTTCGTTTTTCAAAAGCTACAATTGCATACATTTACATTCATAATACTCAAACTACTTGTATATTCATTGACCACGTGCTGTTGTATCTTCCTTTCCATAGACTCTAAAAAACTGAATGCCATTCAACACGAAAGCCAGTACGATCTAGATCTATTTCGTGGTTGTACTAGTACTTCACATAATTTTTATACTAGAAGCTTTCCGAGCACCGAATCCTGCGGTGCTCTGACGGCCTTCTCGTCCTGCGATTCTATTTCTTGGCGTTCTGGCGTAGTCCCGACATCCGACGAACCGTTCAAATCTTCCAAGCGAAGATCTGTTTCCTCCGCAAATGACGACGGGGCACTGGAACCCACCGAGGAGGTCGTTCCAGTTTCGCTGTCGTACGAGAGCGTGTGAGCTGATGGCTTTGCGGGTGGGATTCCTTCCGGGGGGATGCCGGCACTGCTAACATATTGCATTAGCCGGCAACCGTACACCTTCTTGAGTTGCTGCACCACGGCGTTCACGTTTGCCACGGTGCCCACGGCATCATTGATCAAATCATGGATGTGCGGATAGTAGCAGTACAGCCCAAATTCCCGCAACTTCGCGCTGTTCAGCATCGTCACGCCCAGGTTCGTCAGATCCTCTATGGCCTCGGTTTCAGCTCTCTCCAAAGACATCTCCACGACTTTTTCCTGTTTGTATTTATTTTCGAAGATGATGCAATAAATCCGTCGTGTGTGTGCTTCTTTTTGCGGCGCGGACGACGTGCGCAAGTAGCTATTGGGTTGCTCAATGCTGCGTAGGAATAAGTACTCTGCGCGTCTTCAAAGTTGTCACTCGATCAAACAAAAATGTAATAACGAAAAAGTACCCCCATCATTGTTAAGAGCGCTTCTTCGGACAAAATGTTCAGGTGGAGCTCGTCCCGGCATCGTTTCAACTCGGCCAGCTTTTCGTCGGGCTTGGACTGCCAGTCCATCGAGGCCCACTGGTCGGTCATCGCGTGGATGAGCGCTGCGAAGGCGATGACCTGGGCCTCCAGGGTCTGCAACCTCGTGGCCTCGGTGCTTGTGTCCTGAAAGGCCAGGGAACGCGGTAGAACGCCGTGACTAGCCAAGGATCCCGTCGCGGACATCAGCGCTCCCTGCGTGGTCATGTGCTCCTCGAATGCGTTGTGGAAGTCTTTGCGGACGTTGAACCATTCATCGGAGGAGAAGCACTCCACGTGCTCCACGACGCACAGCAGTCCCGCTTGACACACCACATTTGAAGCGACCGACTGCATCGCGTCCTGGACACCGTGCTTGCCCTGGTGCCCCTCGGGGTACTCCACCTTCAAGAACGAGTACGCCTGGGGCACTTCCGGCACCTTCGAGGAAGTAGTCGTACCAAGGCTTCCCGCGGAGGAAGACGCTGACGTCGCTGCCAGCTGGTTTGTTTTGCTGTCTTGCAGCAGAAGTCCTCGTTGTTCGCTCTTGCGAGGACCGTCGCCGGCCAACCGCGTCGAGAAACTCGTGGTGTCATCTTCCGAGGCTGCAGCTACCGATGATGTTGCCACCGTGGCAGAAACGCTCGGACGGCTGTGAATGATCGGCAAGGCAGATGCGCGATCCAGGCCTCGCGGCTGGTTGTCGACCACGTCCCTTGTAGTTCCCCTGGTCGTCGTGCTGTGTGACTCTGCTTTTCTATCTTGCTTTTGCATCAAGACCTGCAGGAACGCTAAAGCTGTTGTTGCGCTGTTCGTCGCGCTCGTCGTGTGGTCGGCCAGGTTCATGGTACAGGTCTCCGCAGAGTACACTTCGGGAAGCGAGGCGCCCATCTCCCGGATTACCTCCTCACGGAAGGCCTCGGAAGCGAGGACCTCCACAAAGGGAGCCTCGTCGGTTATGTGCTTCACCTCCACGTAAAATTTCACATCCACAGGCACGGAGGGGTTGGTGGCGTTCGGTGGAACAGTCAAGCTGCCCGAGGACTCTCCACTAGGTGTAGCTTCTTCTCTCTGCTGGACGTGCAAGCCCGTGATATGAATCCAGTGATGGTCGCCGGCGGCTTCTGCCGTCGCAGTGATGTTCTGTCCGCTAATAGCGGACGCCGCCTTTACCGTCAAAGAGCTCCGCATCATCGTTTCGAGCGCATCTTCGAAGGGCTTGTGGCAGGCGCTCGTTCCGGTGCCGGCATCGTCTATGCAGAACTTTGGCACCTTGCCAAGGATGTGATTCTCGCCGGTCTTCAGTGTGTACCGCTGCGCGTTGATTGATACGTCGTACACGTTCGGATTGTCCTTTATGCTGTCCGCTGCTCTGCCGTTTTTTACCTCTTGTCTTTGAAAAAAAGCCGGGGAAGTTTCTTCTTTTGATTCGGTTTTTAGCTCTTTCGCTTCGCTTTCCAGCACCCCGATTATGGCGTCGAGAGTCGCCAATAGACTCTGACGATTCCTAGCCTCGCTCGACATTGGACCAATATGATCCAGCAGACTACCTTCCTTGCCGCCAGTGCGCGCCGATTCTATCTTTTTCTGCAAAGCGGCCGCTTGAGCGAACGCCCTGGTCAGGGTGTCCTCTACGCCTTTTGCACTTTTCCCATCGTTGCCAGTATCAGGAGCAGCTGCGACTGCGGAGGTCGACGGCGTGCTACTTTCTTGCGAAACAAGTGACGCAGTGCTGCTGCCGCTGTTTGAAAAAACGGATTTTGTTTCTTCTGCAATTTTTCGTCGCAGTGGTGCGAGTTTTTCCTCTGCGCTTTTGTCTTCAAGCAGCTTTGACACCATACTAATGTCCTGTGCGAATGAGCTCGTTCCCTGCCCTTGCTCTCCAGCTGCTTGTTGTACTTCGTGTAATTGCAGACCTTCTTTCCTTGCCGCAGCCGATGCCAAAAGCGAGCTGATGCCCTCGAGTACCTTGCGCTGCTTCTCCTTCACGCTCGCAATTTGTTTTTCTACCAGGTTGCGATCGTGCTTCAGTCGTTGTAGCTCTGGTGATGTACCAAGAGATCGCATGTGCGCCTCAAGCGGTCCAACACTCGTCTCCGCTGCGCTTTCCTGGATTTGCGCCACGCCAACATCAGCGGGCTTGTTTTCCAACAGCGTCAGCTTACGTAGGGCGTCCAGCTTTGCTGCCATTTTCACCACTTGCGTGTCTTGCTCGTCTATTGCTCTCCGCGTCACGCCTATGGCGTCCGTGACTCCGCTTCGCAACAGACGCAATGTCTCCCCGAGCTCCTGTGTCCGATCCCACGCACTCAGGATGGTCGCCGCAACGCTAGTACTGGGAAGAAGATCGTGCTCGTGCATTTGATCAATTTCAAATGATGGGCTTCTGCCAGAAGATTCGGGAGGAGCGAAGCCGTGCGTCCGGAAGACACTGTTGTGCAGCCCAGCGAGGATTTTCTGCTTCACTTGCTGATTAGTGCGCTCGACTACCGCGATCTCCTTCTGCAGGTGATCTGCGTCTGATGTGGTTGCTTTCTCAGCTGCTTGGCTGTCAGCTCCTCCAGTCGTTCGGTTTTGCAAGGTGGGCTCCTGTCTATTTTTTGCCTCTAGAAGAACTTGCTGGCTTGATGGTGCCAACGTTGTCGGGATTTTTGTTTGCTGTAGAAGAGCACTGAGGTCTTCAATGATAGCTTCCTGGTGTTTTCGCAGCTCTGCAACAGCTTCCTGTAGACCCTGCCCCTTCGCGGTTAGAGCTCTGATGGACGCAGTGATCGCCCCTGTGCTACCAAGTGCCGCTTCTGTTTTCAGTTTTTTGTTTCCGCGTTTGGAAGGAAAGCTCTAATGAAAAAGAACGAAAGAACGATAACGAGGAAAAAAGGACCATGATAATTCTCCACATCGCCTCAAGGTGAGGACTAGCAACAGCTACAGTACCACAAATACCTGCTTTCTCTTGTTCTGCGCGACTCCTATGATCTGTCTGCTCCTTGTGCTTCTCTCGTATTTGGATGAACGACGCCGCTGTGCTATTGGCTGACGCAGTCTGTGCGTGTGCAGCCGTTTCCAGCTTCTTGTGCGTTCGTGTGGCACCAACGTCTCGGCGCTCTGGGACGAGCACGCCCACACCCGTTTCATCGGCGACCTCTCTTCTGTCCCTAGTTCGGCTGCCGCTCCTCCCCTCCCATTCGCGATCGGCCTCCGAAACGACAATATCGTCATCCATCAGCTCATTGTCCGAGGGAACAGTGGCTCCACTGGGGAAGCGTTGCAGCTGTTCCGTTTGATCGATGTAGCGCCCATCACGCTGGTGCCCCCGGCGCTCGCTAGCGGAAACGCGATGTCCGGAGGCGGGCCAGCTTGCGCGAGCTGCTTCAGTGCCACGAACCGTAGAAGTGGTGCTGCCCCCAAGGGTAGCGTCCCCCTCGGCCGCCGCCGCACCTAGAGACGACAGTACCCGCCGCATTCCGGCCTCCGTGTCGGAGATTGACGCTTCCAGCTGCTGTCGTTTTCGATGCAAAGCGAGCTCCTGCTGTCGCAGTGTTGCGACTTTTGCTGCGGAAGTTTCCATCTGTCTACGCGCTTCCTGTGCCCGATGGCTGAGCATCTGCGCCTCCGCGGCAACACGCTCGGTAAAAGAGGAGGACGATGGTGGCCCAGGACTTGGAGCATCTTCGCCCGCACGCCGCTCTTCATCATCCTCATCGTCAGCGGATGTTGCTGCACCACTACTAGGTCCTCCGCCATCATCTACCACAACGTCATCCTCTGTCAAATCTCTTCCACTTCCACTATCACTATCTGCGCTGCTGGTATAATCTCCTGCGGGCGACGGCACATCGGGCAATGGAAGAGAAGAGTCTTCGGACTTCTCGATATCACGAGACTGCTCTGCTGCATCTGTTAAACGAAGCTGCTCCTGCTTCTCCGCCTCGATACCCTCAACATCTTCTGCAACTGGAGGTGCGCCGGCGGAAGTATCTTCTTCAGCAGTGGTAGTTGAAGCGGTGCCGTCGTCTTCCGAGGCAGCTCCTCCCGCACCGCCACCGGAATCAACAGGCGGCGGCTCTTCCTCTTCTACACGACCTCCTGCTTTTGAGGTAGCTTCCCTCGTCGACCCTTGTGCTTCGTCCGCTTCGTCTCCTGGCTCTGTTCCTTCTTGCGCGCCGGCCGCCGCTGAAGAAGAACTGGAAGCGGTAGCGGAGCCGCTCGGGCTACTGTTTTCATCCTCAATCCCCCCGGTTCGATCGCCTACCTCCGGTAGGATGTCGTCGTCCTCCTCGTCTCCGAAAGCCCCCGTTCGGTGCACCCGCCGCATCAAATCGGACCGCGCACCAGCATAGGCTTGTTTGGCGCCGTTGCAGGCGCAGAGCGAAAGTACGCCGAACAGCACAGGCGGCCCCCTCCGGCGGCATTTTTTGGTTCTTCTTGAAGCCACTGTCGTGGCACGAGAACTGCTGGAACAAGCAGGTCCAGTACCGACACGCAGCTTCATGACAACTTCTCCCGCGATGCTTGCTTCATGAGGCTCGTCCCGCGATGGTGGGTCGCGTTGATACGGCATTTTTATCGCGCCACGTTGGCGAGTAAGCTAATCTGCTCTAGAAGTACACCACAAACTCCCGTCGCACCAGGGAAGCGCGCACAACTGCTGGGTCTGTGCCCAGTTCGCGTTTGGTGCCCATCTTCATCCACAACAAACACGACTCATGTTTTATTCTCTACAGTTTGGTTTCCATTATTGCACCCGCTAAGTAGAACCAAAGATGTCGATGTGTTCTATCTGTTCGAAATCACAGAAAGAATCGAAATCCAAGTTGCTCTCGAAAAGAAGAAATCGAACTCCTCTCGTCGTCGTAGCAGTTCTCCGACACGTTTTGCTGCGCCCTCACAACTCTCTGACAAATACTTGGCCGCCCAGCAAGAACGGTATCCCATGTAGACGACTTTCATCTCAACATGACTTGAGATTGATGAGAACAATTCATCTACTGTGCTTGAGCGAACACCAGGACGAGTTTCTTGACTGCATTTCGTGTAGAAATTTAGCACGCGCTCCGCGCGCACGACAACTCCATCAGAATTCATTAGACACTTCTCCCGAAGAAACGTCAGAAACCTCAATTTTCTTTCGGGTGCAGCAAGATTTTACACAAGTCGAAAGAAATGGCATTGGCATGATCAAGAGAGTTAGTAGTAGTAGTAGTGATTCCCAGCAAGGGGAGTAGTAGTAGTAGTAGTTACAACAATAGAAACATTTATACTTAAGTAAACGAGCCGAGTGCTGATGATTTGAATCTGTTCGACTCTAAGCCTTAGATTGTCCCTGTGCGATTCACTCCTATTCTTTTTCGTCCCTGGAGTCTTCGCATTTGCTGAATAGGAGTAATTTGCTCTTGGAAGGACGCAGCGGAAGAAATGCTGATGCTGCTTGCTGTTTGTTGTACTAGTACAAATAGAAATAAAGCTACTAACTATCAGCTCCTGCTTCGATAGAACGAATTTCGTGCGTTTGAACTTGCGATCGTGATTGAGATTGTAGGACTGGAAAATGAATCAGAGGGCAGGAGCGAAAGCGGGAGAGGGCATTATTGTGCAGAGAGTCAAAATTGTACTGAAAGTCTTTACGCAAGACAGATTTGCTTTTGAAGAGAAGGGGAGAAGAGAGGAATAGGAACGAGCAGAGCACTTCATGATCAATATCGCTTTCGATACATTGATCGCAAGTATTCACCATACATTGCAGCGGAAACTACGAAATTTTTATTTTATTGCAGTATCACTTCGAACGACGACATCATACATACTAGGAGCCTGCTCCGTTACTTGGACGCATCTAGAGCAATGTGACGGTCTGCTCGTCTAAAGGTTCAACGACGGCTGAAGTGAGAGTGACCACTGCAGGAGGCTGCGGATTATCTTGTGGTGGTGGAACTTCTACAACTACAGCCGCAGCGCTTCCTGTTGGTGGCGCAGCAGCAGGTTTGATGTCCCCTTCCGTCGGTTCTTCGTCCAACCTTGTTACTGTGAATCCCCGCTTGGGACGCGCGGGCTCGCCGTCTTGCTCCTCTGTAAACTTGGTTACTGTCATGCCGCGCTTAAAGGTAAGCGGCAGGGGCGCCTGCTGCGCGGGTGGGGCTCCTTCGGCTTCCGCCGCGTCCCGCAAGTCACCAGTCTTGCTGTCCGTGTCCCGAGCCGCCCCGGAGGACGGCTCGTCGGTACTTTCCGCACCGTCCTCGTCGCACAGTTTCATGTGGAGCAAATCTTCGTCGATGATCGTGAGTTCCACAACTGACCCGTCCTTCGTCGGCTCTCCGCCCTTGATGGTTTTCCCGACCCCGGGTCGGGGTGTCCACTCCCGCCCCGGCTCCGGTAGGGGTTGCGGGATAATCTGCTGCGCACGAGATAAACGCGCACCTGCGGCGTCGTCTTTCGCCGGGGGGCTTTCGTCCTCTGCGTCTGGAGGCGGGTCGAAACCGAGCATCTTCATTTGGCGGATGTACCAGCGGCCGACGACGTTTTCGTACTCGGTATCCACGTAGTAGGCGTCGACCACGCCGAACGGCTTGGTCAGCTTCTGCCACATGGTCAAAAAGGCCGCCACCATGCCGATGTACCCGATGTAGGCGCCGACGAAGGCGAGGAAGTTCTTCAGCTCCAAAATGGGAATCTCCTGGAACCGCTGGCTGCCCGGGTCGATCTGGAAGAGCAGGCGGACGCTGCAGGACGAACGCATCGTGTAGTCCGCGTCCGCGTAGTTGATGTCCAGCGAGGAGATGCTGGTCGCCCAGCGGTCCAGCACAATGCCGCCTTGCCACTTGTCCACCACGTAGATCGGGTTCACCTGCCACACTAAGTTGATCTGCACGATGCTCATCGGTTTGATCGCGATGAACCCGTCCTCGGCGGACCCGAGGGTGCGCAGCCCCGAGTGCAGATCTAGGTTGAGGTTGTCCAGCTGCGCGAGCAGGCTCTCCAGTTTCTCGCCCGAGTCGTGCGCCGGCCAGTACTTGGGCTCGATCTGCTCCAGCAGCGCCTTCGTGCGCTTGTGGTTCACGTTGATCCTCACCCCGGGTAGCAACATCGGGGGGTTGGCCGGGATGCCCTGCGCGCACCCGCGAATCTTGTTCGTGCAAATCGCCCGGCCCCGCGCGAGGGGCTCCGCGGCCCACAGTCGCGGCTCGTTGTTCACGTAATCGCCGCCCTCCGCCATGTACTCTTTCTCGACTTCGAGGAATTTTTTGTCGAACGTCAGGTAGTACGTGGCCTCCAAATCCACGTTCCATTCCGGTAACGTGGCGGAGTAAGACTCGTCGGCCCTTTCCTTGGGCAAGAGCCACTGCCCCGTCAGCGGCCCCGCGATCTCGAACAGCATGTGGTGGCCGGGGAGGAAGTCCTTGGAGCAGAACATGCGGTACTTGTCTCTGCTGTCGGTTCTCAGTTCCGCCTGGGATTTGCAGTGCTGGAAGGCCTGCGTGTCGCTAAACTGCTTGACCGTGCAATTCTGGACGGAAAAGTTGTCCTCCAGCGTGATCCCCCACTTCCCCCAGAACTGCTTGAAAATGCCGCGGCCCGGGCTGTTCGCGAAGGCGTTCGTCAAAAATTCGCCGTCAATGGCCTGGCTCGGACAGAGGTCTGCGTACGGGGTGCGCTTGGGCATCACGAACACGGCCATGTGTGCGTCCAGGGACTCGGGGGAGCGGTAGGTCTCCGTGGTGGTGGACCCGTGCCGGTTTTTGGGGAGGTACACCGAGCTGGGATCGCGAAAGAGGTTCACCTTGGAAATGGACTGCACCACAAACGAGATCACTTTCTTGTCGGTTTGGCTCGAGGATGTGGACGAGGCGAACAGGGACAGAGCGTCCTCCAAGTTCAGTGCGCTCTTCGTGCCGCCCTGGGAAGCGAAGTCGTAAAACCCGAGCTCTTCGAGCTGGGCCTCGTTCAGGAAGGCCCTTGCGCACACCGGAACCATTCCAATGACGGCATTCGGCGGCCACTGGGTGGAATCCGTCCAGTTTGCGGCCACTGGACACAACGTCAAATTCGCGGCAGAAGCTGTTAGCGATCGAAGGTTTTTGGGCCCGTCTGCATTTTCGTCTAGTACTTCGTCTTCGGTGAGCAAGTACGGAAAATAAACCTGCTCATCTCCCACCATCGTGGGAACCCATTTGGTGTTTGTGCTACGTGCCTCCTCCTCCGCCCCAGCCCCGCTCTGATGTCCTCCTGCTTCGTCATTCGAAAAAATCATAGAATTTTTATCCCGTGCGAGTTGCAGTTCTTCGCTTGCTGGATCAAGAAGCATGCTGCGGTACTCTCGCTGCAGCATTTTTATTTCGAGTTCCCTTCGCTTGCGCAGCGAAAGTTCTCGGTTATTCCGGTCCACGTGGTCACCAGAACTACTGATCTCCTCGCTAACTTCGTCGTCCAGCAGCCGAAGGCGTTCGTTACCGCGATTCGCCTGCTCTCGACGGAGCGCCAGCACCTCGGCTCGCGTACGAGCTCGGCTTGTTTCGTAATCGGGAACCTCGTTATAATGGAGCGCGGCGTACACATCTTCATCTGCACCGTTGAGAGTTCCTCGTAGTCTACGGTTCCGACGATAGAGCTGCTGATATTCTGTACTGCTGTAAACGCGCTGATAAAGACTTTCGGCCAGCACCAGAGCATCACTGCTCGTCTCGGTGAGTTGGGAACTGTCTGGGCCGCTTGTCTTGAGGTCCACTTTGGTAAACTCCGCCGCCATCCAGGGAAATTTCTCAACCATGCGCGAATGTAGGTCCCGCTTTTCAGTTGACGTCAATCGACGGGGCGTGGCTTGCTCAATCAATTCCTGTACGACAAGGCCAGCGGGATTCACCGCTTCTATATCTATTGTGTTTACCGATTTCTTCTCGTCCTTCCTCCTCATCTGTGCAGCAGGAGGTTGTGCGAGCTGACGTCGCAGATCGATCTTCTCCTTAACGTATTCCGGCGGGGTTCCAGTATCAAGCTCTTTGAGCTCAACTTTCCACTGTGGTATGCTAGTGCCGTCGCGGGTGTCGGCCCACTGCTGCACCCTTTGTATCGTGGCCTGTGCGATGTTGCCTCTCTCGTCTTCGAGCTTTTGCATCAATCGGTTTGCCGCGGGAGTGCTGTTGTCTTCGTCCGGTCGAAAGCGAAACGTTATGAGAATGATTTTCTCATTATCTGGGGGCGTGCCGCCATCATCCTGGTACTGCAAATCGTCTATCTGGGATTCCGTGATCTCCGCCCAGTTCTGAAACGGACGGAGCATAGCCGCCTTGAAGAGTTGCGTCTGCCTTATGGTTACGATTGCCACGTTTGCCGGTTGCGCTGCTCCGCCTCTTAGTCGCCACTGGTACGTGGCTTTCACGGCCATGTAAAAATTTGCTGCACCTGCGCCGCCACCGGCGGGAGCAGGGGTCGGATCCGGACCGGCTGGAGCAGGGGTCGGATCGGGCTTCCCCGCGTCTGGAGCAGGAGTAGGATCGGGCTTCCCCGCGTCCGGACCGGCTGGCGCAGGAGTCGGATCGGGTTTCCCCGCGTCTGGACCGGCTGGAGAGGGGTTTGGATTGGGTTTCCCCGCGTCGGGACCGGCGGGAGAGGGGTTCGGATCGGGTTTTCCCGCGTCCGGATTGGCGGCAGGAGATTCGGGCTCACGGTCCGTGCCGGCCGCCGGACGAACCGGGCGTTGAGTTGGGTCGGCATAGTCGTAGCCAGGCTTCATCGCGTTGGGGTCGCTGTAATCCGGATAAAGGTTGGCCGGATCGTCCTTGTAGTCGGTCCCTGGCATCTGTGGGTCCGCAACGCCGGGGAACGGCAGCGGCATGTTGTTGTACCCACCAGCCGGCATTAATGCACCAACCTGCGGTCGGGGCATTTCCACTTCCGGTTCCTTCAGCTTGCCCATTTCGAGCAGGGAAACTTTAATCGTCTCCACTTTGTCAAAACCCTTCTTTAACCTCTTCTGCACCTCATCCGGGTTATTCGTCATAGCTTTCGTCATCTTCTTGGCCATTTCTTCCGCGTCTTCTTGCGAATCTTGGACAACCTCCATAATGAATTCCACCTTCATCTCCATGCTTCCCGAGAGCTGCCGCTGAGCCGAAGATGGATCGTTAATCTCGAAAATTTTTTCAGATGTTGGAGCCGCGTGAAGTAGATGTGATCCAGCAACACTCTTTTGTTCCTCCTCGTCGAGAGAACGTCGTTGCCGTGCCGGGACCACATTGATGCCGGTGACCGTAACCTGATGCGGTGGAATTCCCATGGTAGCCGCGAGGGAGCTCTGAAACGCGGGCACAAACTCCGGATCTTGCATCAGCTGCGCGCCCGTGGTCCCCGCAGGCAGTTTCATTTTCATTCCCAACGCGGTCTTTATCACCGGGCTCGTGTGTACGATGGCTCCGCTCGCCGTCGTGATCTTGCCGCCCCCGCAGAAGGGCGGCGGATTGTCCACGAGACATGCTTGATCGATACCACCTCCCGCCTGCGTTTCCCGATCCCCCTCTTGCTCCTCGACGCTCTCCTGCATCAAACTGGTGTCCACGTAGGCGGAGGCGGTCGCCAGCGACGCGGACTGGAAGGCCGCCGCCGTCACCTCGGAGACCCCCAGCGTTTCCACCAGCGTCCCCACCGGTCGGTCCGTAACCAACGGGCAATCGAGCTCGATCACCTCCCAGAGGTACCGCATGTACGTCGGGGCCTGCAACCGCGTGCCGTTGAAGGAAGCGGACTGGTACATGTTCTCGCGGACCGACGTCGGAAGCCCGGTGGCAAAGTCGCAGTACCCGTATTTGGCCGGCTGC